GCATTTGCAGGTTCCTGTGTACGCACACGTACTTCGACGTAGTTTGAGTTGTGCTCCGGCAGTACTAGTAGCTTTCAAAGCGAGTAGAAAAAAAAAAGCCGTATAACGACTCCCTTTCGTGCCGGGGCAGCCGCGCGCGCGCTTTGGGCTCGAGAAAGCTTTCGGATTAAAATGGCCTTTCATCAATGATTAACGTCTCACTCGCTCGAGATTGCTCGACACAACACAAGGTATATACAGCACATACACACACACTCAGGATCGCTCGAGTTGCTAGGCTGCGTAAGGTCAGAAAGTCGAACAAATTGACGCACTATACACGATCAAGAGAGAAAAAGCTCGAGAGAGAGAGATCCTATTTACCTTTTATCCCTCGTTTAATTTTCGACGACAAGGGCTAAAATCTGATACCGTCGCCACCGCTGCCGTTGCCGCCGACGTCGTTGCTATCGTCACCGCCTCGATATAGGACGTCGCTTATTTTTGCTCTCTCTCTCTCTCTTGCGCGCTCGGCGCAATACCGTAGAGAAACACAGCGGAAAAAATTGATACATAAAGCCAATCGAAGCTGTACCCGATGGAAAATCAGCAGCAAGAGAGCTTTTATCGCTCGCAGCTCCTCGCGTCTACCCTCCGTCGACGACGACGACGATGACAAGGATCAGGGATAAAACGAAAAAAAGAAAATAGCGGAACTTTCCCGATCCACTGTAGAGCTTTTTTTTCGAGGTCGAGCTTTCGATGATAAACATAATATAGCGCGATGATACGCTACATGTATTCTCTTGGTGCGCGCAGCGCTTGCGTCATTAAAATACCAAGACAGCTGATATTATAACGCGGACGTGAAGCAGCAGCACCGTATGGCGGAAGAATGTTTGCAACTCGTGGTCTATCTCTTCTCATCTACGTATACGTGTGTGTGTGCGTGTGCAATTGAGAGTAATTAAAAGTCGAGCGTCGTGCGCTCGCGGGCTCGGCACAGGAGTTGGCCGTTTTATGTAAGTGGGTAGGTAGGTTTATACACTTGGCGCGTATATATACTATATAACGTGGCACACTGCCGTCTCGCAGCGACGGCGGCAGCGGCAGATCGGGATAAGGGAAAAACTGTTCGCGTCACGAGAGGAATTCGCGCGCGGCGCGCGGGCAGCAGTGGCAATAGTCGTTGTCGAGTACGATTATAATGGAACGCGACCCAGTTGCAAGCTTAGTTTTATCCTGACGACGACGACGACGAGTAGCCAGAGCTTTTTCTCTCTCTCTCTCTAACTCGCGATTCCACTAAGGCTATTTTTCAAAGATAACTAACTTTATTAATACTTATCACGAGAGAGCGGACATTGCTGGCAAAACGATTATTCAAACTTTGTCCGATATCGGACTCTCTCGCGAGTAGAGAGTATATGCGCGGCGGTGGCGGCGATATATAGGCGCGCGCGCGCTCGCGAGGAGTGCAGTGCACGGTGCTGCAGGAGGCGACGGTGGCAGGCAGGCAGCGAATTATTGATCCAACTGTGTGTGCCCCGGCGTGGCTCTCACTCGCACAGTGCGACTACTGCACACACACACTCACAGCTATATATACTTCTCTAACTGCTCTGTTGCTGCTGCTATGACACTGCTAATACTCCGGCTGCAATCTGCTGCTCGTCGCGAGAGAGAGAGAGAGAGAGAGAGAGAGAGAGAGAACGAGTCGTCGTCGTCGTTTTAAAAATGACATTTTAAGCGCGCACACCGGTCGTGCTAATTTTCCTCCTCATCCTACTGCCTGCTCCTTTTTTTGTGCCCCTCCGGCGCTCTCGTCGTTATTTTATCTCGCATGAATTACGCGTAAATTCGTCGAAACACGAGTAGAGCGAGCTCGACATTGCATTGCTCGAACGACATGCGGTGGCGCGGGTTCGTATTCCGAAATCTTGATAAAGCTCCGCTGCTGCTGTTGCTGCTGCTACTGTGTATTATAACACACGGACGAGTGTATAACACACAGAGCGCATAAAACGCATCCGCGCACGTAGCTATTATCTTAATAATTTCCCATAGCAGCGCTCGCTCGAGAATCTGTCGTGCGTGTATCATGTACTTTTCTATATCGAGCGCAATATAATGTCGCGCCGCAAATTCGTGCTGCAGTTGTACGTGTGCATCGCGCTCGAATCTTTTTTATATATTTTTTTATTTTATTTTTTTTTGCACCGAGCGCGGCCTTAATGCTGATTTTCGGATTTTTGGTGTATCGTGTCATCGTCGTCGCGTATTTTATCCAGCGTGTCATTGAACGCATACAACGTCGTTCGTGCGCGAGTCTGCATGAATTTCTATATAGTAATACAGACTTTATGGGACAACGCGTTATAGCGCTGTACGCAGGAACGACTGTATATAATGCGAAAACGAGAAGCGCGCGATATAACGAGCCGTTGTTTGCCGCCAATTATCGCGTCTGTATTTGTTGGGCTTGAATGGCCAAGTGGCCATCGCACGAGAGAGAGAGGCGCAAAATAATAATTCGCTCCTGCGCGTGCATATACGTATGGTATATCGTATACGTGTCGACGCTCGAACTTTTAATAATCCAAAATGCATATGGGAGGGTAAAAAGCCCTCGTTAGACCGCGTCGCGCAGAGACTAGTCGATTTTATATTTATATATTGTTATGACGTTGTCATCGAACGAAACGGCAGAGAACGAAAATCGACGTTTCGTACAAAGTTTGTCGAAGCAGCAGCAGCATCAGCGCGACATGGATGATCTCGTGGCGCAACGACGTCGATGACAACGACGAGGTTTAAGCTCGCGAGAGTCGACGCTAAGTGCGCGTCGTGTGCTCGTCTTCTCTCTGCAGTAGATGTATGCAAACATATATGTACGGAGTCGGAAAGCTCGTGCCGATGCGCGAGTCACGTACGTATCTCGCAAGTTTTGCTCGTGTGCGCAATTTGGTTTTGCGAACCGATCGATCGCCGGCGCAGCAGTGGTTATATACGTACATATATAGCTCGACTCCGTGTTCGCGGACAATATCCATTCGTCTGCTCGGGCGTTTTAATACACGATGAATATCGAGCTGCCAGTTCGCGTAAATGGCAGCACAGCGCCAGGGCACACACAACTGCAGCAGAGAGAGCAGGAGTTTTCAAATGATTTTTGTCGCGCTCACCCTCCCCGCAGACTATAGTATATAGTAGTAGGTGCTGCTGGCGGCGGACTGCTCGATTTCCCACGTGAAACGCGCGTGCGGCGGAGCAGGCATATGCGCACACGCGGGCTCCTGTACTATTTCAAATAATAATAATAATAATGATTGCGGCTGCACACACACTGCAGCTGAGCGTTGCACTCTTGCATTGTTGTGTACCTTGTGTATATAGCAGGAGGCTTGACGAATAATTGAAAAACGCACGCTCTCTCTCGCTCTCGCGCGTCGCCGGACTTGTGTTGTGTACGCTGTGGAGCATTATGTCGCCGCGACGTCTCGGGTGAAAATATATAAAAGAACTTGGAGAAAATCAAAAAGTCGCACGTACAGATCAATGACTCTGTAATGCGCTGCTGCTGCTGCTGCAGTTTTGCATCAGCTGCAGCAGCGGATTTCAGGCACGTAAAAGCTGCAGCGCAACGCAGGGAGGGCGAAAATGCTTTGTGTGTTTACAAATAAATATATACGAGTGCAGCGTGAATGTATTATACACGAGTCGAATCGTGTGCCTAAATGGAACGCAGTTATACTACCGACCGCGCGCGTGCAGTGTCTATGCTGCGGCAGTTCGGGCGAATGTACGCGAATCACGCAGCCGATGCATCTGGGCACAGGCACAGGCAGTCGGGCCAGCAGCAGCAGCAGCAGTCGCCGACGAAATACGAAATAAGAGAAATTTGATACGCTTTGCAAATACACAGAGAGAGAGCAGCAGCGGCGCGCGTCTGTGTGTACTTAAACGATTGTAAAATGTAACTGCTCTCTCCCTTACATACACACGTATTACGCACGCATACAAACAGACACGATTGGAACTTATGAATATAAAGATAAAAAGTATATATTTATTCGCAAGCGGTGGTGGTGTTGGTGGTGTTGGTTGACTGTGCCGCTGCAGGCTGTTAGGATGTAGGCTGTAGGCTGTAGGCCCCTTCCCGCATATACGTGCGTAATTGCTTTCTGCTTGATTATCCTGTAGGTATAGCGAATCGTCGTCAGGGGGTATATAAATAATAAGTCCTTAATGGACAGGAGCTACGTATACATATACGCGCGTCGAGCGCAAGCTGCGGCGACACACATACGCGCATCTCTCTCTTTCTCTATCTCCGTATTACGCATCTATCGCACGATCTCTCTTTTCTTTGTGATATATAATTGCGTACGTCGCCGCCGACGCTGCTCTTCTTCGATCTGCCAGTACTCGCCCGCATGATGTAAAACCAAAGAGAGAGAGAGTCGCCCCGGCAGAAACTTTTCCAAAAATAAGCGTACGAGCAATACTGCGTGCCGCGCATATCGTATAACCCCCGAGTCGCTCCGAGACTAACTCTCGGCGGCGATACGTATCTCTTTCTCTCTCGACTGGCCCTTCGCAATTCTCAACTCGGTGAAATATCATAACTGCATCGGAGCAGAAAATGGAGTTTCCGTGCGCGGGTGGGCAGGCAGGCAGGCAGCCGGCTTATGCCTACTCTACGCGTGTTTGTGTGCGTGTTACACGAGAGAAGCGAGTAAGCGCGGGGGCACCTACGTTCGAGCAACTTGCTATATATGTATATGTAAGATCGCACACGGGCGCCTAGTACATACTGACGGAGTGAGACGCGCAATCTAAATTCCGATCCCTTTGATTTTCCACCCTTCGGGTTTTAAACACGCTCGCTCGCTCGCCTCGTGTGCCTGCTTGCCTGCCTGCTTGCGTGTGTGTAGATGAAATGAAAGTTTTCGTCACTCTCTCTTCATCCCCCTTACTTCACATCTCATTCATGGCTTGATTTTGGTTCGGTGTTCTAGGGTGCGGACTGCAGCAAGAGCGTCTGCCCGGTGCTGTGCTCGAACCACGGCCAGTACGGGGGCGGCATGTGTCACTGCGAGGAGGGCTGGAAGGGCGCCGAGTGCGACATACCCCTGGTCGACTGTCAAGTGCCCGACTGCAACAGGCATGGCCAGTGCGTCCGCGGCTCCTGCGTCTGCAATCCCGGCTGGAAGGGCGACTTTTGCTCCGAACGTAAGTATACGAAAAAAACATGATAATAATAATATTATAATGCGATATACCGATATTTTCGTTCTGCGAGCTGCAACGTTTCGTTTTATACGTATATGCAGTACGCGCGTGACGTGGTACACGGAAAACTGGAGCGAACGCGTGAGCGGTGATTTTTTGATTTTTGTTTCTCCATTTTCTAACGCGCTGCAGCGATGCTACTACGCGCTCATAAATTCGGGGGCTAGGCAAGCGAGCCAATGCATACTAATGTCTCTCTCGCTCTCTCGCTAGCTTTGCTGCTGCCGGGAGAGGGAGAAAGAGCGAGATTATTAATGCCCAGGTTGACGCTGCTGCTGCTGCTGCTGCACGCGCTTGTTTTGCATGCACAGGCGGAATAATAAAAGCTCTGCAAGCTGTGCGCGTATACATGCAGCACACAGACAGCAGCAGCAACAGCATCAGCATCAGCTCATAGCATGACTGTGATCTTTGGAGCTTGCAGCGGAGAGCTCGCACGCGATACTTTTGTGAGCGCGGGCACCGGTGCACCGATTGGTTTTTGAATTATGCAGATTTTATGTATAGAAAGAGCGAGCCTCGCTCGACTACTATCCAAACGGCGGGGCTGCTGCTGTTACCGCTACTGGCGCGGGATTAATTTTTTTCAAGGATTACTCGTACACACACATATACATCGCGCAAGGATCGCGCAACGCGTATAACTACGGGTGGATCGAGTTTACATTTCATAGTTTGATTCTTTTCCCGATCTCATTGCCTTTGTATAAGGGATTTGTATCGCGCGCTTTGCCGAGCGGGATTGTAGGCGCATAAATGTAGCCGGAATATATACGAAGAGAATTGGGCGGGAGGAAGAGAAAGAGGAGGAGGGAAGACAGCCGCAGGCTTCGTCGAATTAATTAATTATCATTAGCGCTGCTACTGTGCAAACGCGAGCTCGCGAGCGTTAGTCGTTCTCATTACATAATCAGCCGACACAGCTCGCGCGACTCCCAGTGTATCGTCTCTCTCTCTCTCTCTCTCTCTCTCTCTTTATAATGATCAATGCGCGGTTTATTATTATAAGGTCGGGGAAGCTATGAATTAACGATGATTTTCAATGTTGCGTATCGTATGTAATGTTTAAATATTTGTATATAATCGTATAGTATGCAGATGATGCGAGCAATGCCAATGCGGTGTACATATATAACTCGAAGTATTGCGCGTCGGAGAAGCATATCTGCTTCTCTCCAGATTAATATTTTATCGATATACGTATCTCGTGTGCCCGTGTTCAATTGGAGTTGGACTGGATCGTATCGCGCTCGGAATAGCATCATCTCTCGAACTGCTGCGCGACTAGGAATATTTTGTACAATTAATTGTTACAGTGACATTACTCGTTCGCATTGTAACGTCGGAATCGCTTTCGGTACAATAACGTTATTGTATATATACAGATGCATCACAAATAAAAATGAAATCTTGATAATATTTTTTTTCCTTGTTTTTTTTGTTCACAGCGGACTGCGCCGACCCGAACTGCGGCGGTCACGGGGCCTGCGTGTCGGGCAAGTGCTACTGCAAGGCCGGCTGGCAGGGCGAGCGCTGCGACCAGGTCGACCAGCAGATCTACCAGTGCCTGCCGCGCTGCTCCGAGCACGGCAGCTACGACCTCGAGACCGCAGCGTGCGTCTGCGAGGAGCACTGGACCGGCGTCGACTGCTCGCAGCCCAGCTGCGGACTGGACTGCGGACCCCACGGCACCTGCGAGAAAGGACGCTGCAAGTACGTATAGGCACCGTGGAAAGAAACAAAAAACCCTTGAATTTATAATGCGGATTCGATGTAAAATTAGACATTAAAATTAGAGTAACCGATACTGACATTTATTTTATCATATATTGTTACGTGAATTCTTCGTAGAGAATCAATGCATCAGTATTGATTATTATTTTTTTAAATAAATGCACAAAAAATCACGAAATGCCATACATTATTTTATCCCATACTCACATTTGATTGAACAACATTTTGATTAAAAATTGATATTTTAATACTGATTTAGTTTCTCTGTTAATTTTACGTACAAAAAATTTTAAATAATTCAATCATAATTAAAGGCAACTCTCACCGCCAGATGGCGAGTACCGTTATTTGTAAATCTGCAAGTGGTAAAGTCAAAGTAATTGTACAAGTAAAAGTGAGGTTTTAAAAAATTACATCAATAACTTTTTTTGTAAAATAATGTAAAATAAAAAAAATCCTCCATTTAATATAGATTGTAAAGTAAATAATTTTAACGGTGTACTTGGCCTTGCCGTAAATATGCACCCGAACATCGAGCGACGCAAATTTTCGCGTCTCGCATTCGTCCTATATACGGACAACGACGTTCCTGTAATTGCAGACTGTCGCGCGAGGGCGAAGATACGGGGGTAGTACGCAACGCTTAGAAGCGCGCGCACGGACATTGATTTGGGCCGTTTGTCGTTTTTCAGATGCCAAGACAACTGGACGGGAACGAAATGCGATCAGAAGCCGTGCGATCCGCGCTGCGCCGAGCACGGACAGTGCAGGAATGGCACCTGCGTGTGCAGCCAAGGATGGAACGGCAAGCATTGCACTTTGCGTGAGTATTTTAGTACACATGGGTATATATATATATAGCGATTCCCTTTCTTAGCTCGGCTTATATGCGGCAATCGCGAGCGGCGGATCCCTCGCCTGCTGCTGCTATACTTGTGCCCCGGCAGATATCGACTCTCTCTCTCCGTGTACGCGAGTCTGCTGCTGCTCCTGCGTGCATATGGCTCCGGCCGATATGAATAAGATTATCATCGGGTCGGGGCTCTCTCTCGCGCGCGCGCTAATATACTTTTCACATGCGATAAAGCTTTTAAAAGGGTACAAAAAAGGAGAAGCTCTCGCTCTCTTATATAGCGAGCCGCAAAGATAAATATATCGGCGCGCTATAAGGATTTTTCCGCGATAAACTTTCCTGTGCAGTTGCGTGTGTGTGTGTGTGTTGCCGCATACACAAACACACAGACGCATTCACAGACGCGCACAATCTTGCATCTTATATTATGCATCTGTGTACGTGGATAAATTTAATACACATCTATAGGTAAACCGGTTGCAGCTATGTATCGCGTCGCATCTACCAACCCGCGTACAAAGAGTCTCTCTTTCTCTCTGTCGTATAGTCGTATTGTGCGCGCGCCAATACGTACATATATCGGTGGCTTTATATACATGCATAAAACAAAATAATGCAGGCAGATCGTCGTCGGTCGCTGGGCCTGCACTGCACGAGATTTTCCCGTGTGTGCAGCGGCGGTGGTGGCTAGCTAGCTGCTTCTTTCGCATGCGAGAACGCAAATGTCGCTCGAGTAGACTCTCTCTCTCTCGAGTGCATTTATATCGCTTGATTCGATGCCAATGCGGTTGTTGTTGTTGTTCGTATAAGAATTGCCATTGCCCTCGATCTAACTATTCCATGTGTTTTGTCGTTTCAGCGGGCTGCGAGAACAAATGCAGCGGCCACGGCTCTTGTACCCCAGTGGGAGGCGAGTCCGTCTGCGAGTGCGTGCCCGGTTGGGCCGGTCGTGACTGCAGCATCGAGCTCGAGACCATATGCGACGACGACATCGACAACGACGGCGGTGAGTATTGCATTATTATACCTATGCTGCACACATTTTGTTATTGCACGAATGCGCGCCTCGACTCGCGACCGCAGAATTGCAGCACCGCGAGAATCTGCGAATCTTGCTTCACCCATTGTAAATATGCGCGCGACTCGATAGGTGCACATAGTTACTTCTGTACAGAGAACGCGGAAAACAATGTCACCGATTTCGTCGTGCTGCAGGGAATCAAGCGCGCCTACTCGTATATGAGCGTGTGTGTATGTGAAGCGCTCCGGAAACGAGCATATCCATCGATCCTTGAGAGCTTCAATCAAAGTTGATGGATGCCAATGCGATGCGAGCAAATATATTGATGACTTTCGCCTCGATGAATCTATATCTATCTATCTGCTGCTGCCCACGCCTAGCTCTCTCGCTCTCTCGTCCCCGCGTATATTAATATTCATTCGATTATAATTATGAATCCTGTGCATAGCTATACTATACTATATATAATAAACAAGAATGACGTGTAACGGGCAAATGGAATTAATATTTATCATCGGCGGTGGCGGCGACGCGCGCATAATTCTAGCCCAACGCAGCCGTAGTACTGCTGCTCCACATTTTACATACAATTAATCAAAATCACTGGTCCACACTAACACGCGCGCGCCACGCCACGCCAAACCATCGCGTGTGGGTTGGGCCATGCGCAACGAGCAATCGAATGTGTGCGGACGAGAGAGCGAGCAGCAGCACTGCGCGCGCGAAAAGACGTATAATTAAATTTTCGTAAATAACTCGCGTCGGAGGTTTAGACAAACAGTGCGTGCGCGCGAACCGATTCGAAATCCGCATATATATAATAGGCGTGCTGCTGCTGCCGCTGCTGCTCTTCAAGCGGGAAATCACAAATTGTCATTAAAGCCATTTATCATCATCATCCTCCTCCTCCTCGTCGTAGTCGTCATCATGGCTGGCACTTGGCAGAGCAGAGGACTGTAGCCACGGTGGCTGCTGCGTGGATAGTTATGTATTTCGCGGTACTCGTTGTGTGTGCTTGCGCGCGCCTCGCGTAGCGCACCATAGGAATGGTATAATAGACTTAATTCGTTTCTCTCGATGTTATAGTCGCGCTGCAGAGAGCACAGCGGCATGCCTATCCTACTATATACAGCGAACTGCTATGTGCCCTAACATTAATCGTTTAAACTGTCTGTTGTACTACATGCTTTCGCGTATGCAGCCTAGTTGTACGTAGTACATCACATGTGTATTTATTTGCCGTATATATATAAGTCGCCACGCGGGAGGCTCTTGCTCTCTCTCTCTCTCTCTCTCTCTCTCTCTCTCTCTCTCTCTCTCGTGTGTGGAGCTTTATACGATCGTGAGCGAGCCTTCGTGGATCCTGAATTAACTCTCTCGGATGTATATAAGGTGGCTGTCTGTCTCTCTCGGTATATATACGCTGAGAAAACCGCGCGATGAAACGAAAGGTCGAGTCGAGCAGTACTACGTGAGATTCGAGACCGAGAAAAATGCAATACTTATATAAAATGCTTGTGTTTTGTTTTCTGCGCAGACGGCATGAGGGACTGCTCGGACAGCGAGTGCTGCTCGCATCCGTCGTGCCAGGACCACCTAATGTGCTTGTCGAGCAAGGACCCGGTCGAGGTGCTGCTGAGAAAGCAGCCGCCGAGCGTCACCGCGACCTTCCACCAGCGGGTCAAGTTCCTCATCGAGGAGAACAGCGTACAGAGTTACGCGCGAACAGACGAGTACAGCGAGAAGTAAGCTCACCATTTTTCAACCCTCTCTTAGAAACTATCTGACTCACGACTATATTATATATATCTCTCTCTATTTTCACTATTAATTATAATATTATAAATAGTAAAATTTCTCTCTATCTTGGGAAATCTGCGCGCAATATCGCTCGCAAAATTGCGCCGAGTTAGCACATACATTATAATCTCGAGACTTAATTATACAATATAGTTTAAAATTAATAATATATATATTATATATAGTTCGCGTATCTGCGCGCGATTACTTTGCGATCACGGCGTGCGCGCGCGGCGAATGATGTAGCCTCGAGCACACAAGTTTTTATCAAGTAATTTTATAAGATTGTAAAGCGCGCAGAGGAAAAGTCTTGATATTATAAATGCGTGCGGCACCGCGCGCGGTTTTCAGCTCGCACAGCAGCTACCAATGCATATAATACGTACCGACAGCGATTCGCATATTACTCATATACAATATAGTCTGGCGATACTTGGTCAGCTTTTTCATTATTAAATTATTAATGTGTAATCCGCAAAAAGGAGAAGTACAATATAGTAGGAGGAGAGGCTACATTATGTTGCACGCGGCGCGACGCTGCATCGCGAGCACGCGCGGCCTTTATACATATAGTATATGATACGAATATTTGCAATTGCGGACACGCCCCCGTCCCGCGCGCGCGCTCTACAATACGTGTGCAGTGCTGCTGCAACCTTTGCCTTGGAAATGAGAAAAAAGACGCGCGCGAGAAAACGGGTATATATAATACGTACGTGTGTACTGCTAAACGTGCGCAGAGATAGTGGTATACTTGTACGTGTGTGTGCACGGTCCAGTGCCATATATACATACAGAGCTATATAGAATACGACGCGGCGCATACAACTGCACACTCGACTGCGAACAGAAACGAGAAATTTTAATCAAAGTCTCGGGTTTCAGTCGGAAAGTAAAATTAAGGCGAAAGGTGCGCGCGTCCGCGCGAGAAGCTCGTTGGCAAAATAATGGGCTATATATACGAGTCAACTGTATATATGTACGTTCAACTACTACTACTACTACTACTACTGCTGCAGTTTGTGTGCGTGTGTGTGCCAAGAGAAGGCACGACGAAGACTCGCAAACTTGTATTTTTTCCTACCGACGTTTCTGCTGCTCGTTCTCGTTCTCCGCCTTCTCCTGCCAGTCCTCCTCCTCCTCTTCCTTACTCCTCCTTATTACTCCTCTTTCTTCTACTGCTTCTTCTCCGATTTCTACTTTGGGTTCATTCGCGATGTGTATATATACACTCTTCGATACGTATAGATATATCTCTTGCTTTTCTCGCACGCGCGCGCGAGTGTTTTTCTCTCCCTTATTCTTTCGCTCGTCTTTCTTTCTCGTCTATATACTCGCCTTTTATTCCTGCTGCTGCTCGCGAGCGAGCGAGCGAACGTCGAGAGGTATTATTGCGTACCTGTACCGTACGATATAAACGGCAAATAAAAAAGCTCCGCCGAGTCGAAGTCAAGGCTGTGGAGCCCATCCCGATCCTCCTCACCCCCCGCGCGGAGACAGAATGTGCTCGATCGATTTTCTATTTTCGCCTTATACGTACACGCGTTTACGCGCGACGAAAGACAAGGACGAGTAAATTTTGTGCGGCTTGCGCGTTAGCGGAGGTGAACATTCGCTTATACCCGCGTCTCGCGACGCGTCGCGTCAAATTAAAATATGAATGAACGGGCCCCGACGAATAATTTTTTGTACTTTATGCCGGGCGTCAATGTAATGTAAATACTGTGCGAGCCTCGTGAGCGCGTCGGTACGGATCCTCCGTGTATATAATATACGAGACGATGTATAAGCAGGAACAGCAGCAGCATCTCTCTCAAAGAAATGTAAATATCTCCTCATCTTTCTCTCTACGCGAGTTCGAGTCCTTTTTCCTACGAGCTCCTAAAAATTGGATGGAAAAATTGCATAAGCCACGTTGGAAAGATTATGTGCTTGGTAATATTTTTCCTCATTTTCTTCTTCTTCCTCCGACACAAGGGGAAGAGGCAGCAGTAGTAGTAGTGGTGGTGGTTGTGCATCGTACATATAGCGCGACGCGTTTCTCTTTATGCAAAACGTTTCTGCGCGCCGTTAACGAGTCGCCACGCCGCCGCCGCCGCCAACGAGGAGGAGGACGTCGACGTCGAGATCTTTGAGACTCGAGACTTTCTCGGTCTGATAAGAAAAGCCTGTCGACTCGGTCTCGCGCGGTCGCAGTAGCAGCAGCCACCATCGTCGTCGTCGTGCAGCTGCTGCTGCTGCTACGCAAGAAATTCTTCTTTTTCCACGTATTAACGTTGCCGGGAATAGCGAGCGAAATGTATGAAAAAATAAATTACGGACGACGAGGGGCGTGTTGCATCAAAAGTATAGACGAACAATTTTTTTTACTTAATTGTTCATTATTAGGGTAACAAAAAAAGTAAGAGTAAAAAGCTTTTTTTAATTAAGCTTGTGTATAATTCATTGATTATGAAATGAAAATAAAAAAAGAGGTCGTTGACAAAAGGATAAATATAATTATCAAGTCAATGAAGCAAGCCACTTTTGGTGGCAAAGTAAATTGTTATATATATTTAAAAAAAAAAACCTCTTTGACAAAAAAAAATCATAATAAGAAAAAAAAAATATAGAAAAGTTCGTAACAAAAACTCCTTGTGTATCTCACACCTAATAATCCCGCCTCATTCTTACCCTCCCACGAATGCCAGAAGCACTGTAAAATCACCTCTCTGTCTCTTTCTGTATTTCGGTCTCTTTCTCTCGCTCTTGTTCCGTACCGCTTCTGCTGCCGCTGCTGCCGTATATCTCGGAAGTGAGCGGCACCGATCAAAGGACATCCATCTCTCGAACGTATATTTGCTCTTATCCATGCGCGACTGCCTTGCCAAGGGATGTCCACGTCATCGCACAATCTCTCGCTCTCTCTCTCTCTCTCTCTCTTTCTGTGTACGCGCGAATACGTGCGCGTAAATGCGTGTGTCTGTCTCTCTACTGTGTCTGTATGCAGCAGCAGAGGCAGCATCACAGACCTATATATACTGTACTGCGCGCTTATAACGTACAAACTCGACGTTTTCGCGGAATGGAATTTTGCTCTCCGAAATTAACCCAGCAACGCCGCCGCCGCCGCGCCGTATGACTGGACTTTAAAAACTTTTCGACTCTCATCTACTCTCGTGCTGCTGCGTGAGCTTAATCGCTTTGAATTGCTTCAAATATTTCGTTTCACATAAACAAAGTTCAAAAGCAATTAAAATATTTCCCCTTGTTTAATTATTTGCTTCAAGAAGTATGGAAGCTCACTCTCTTTCTCTCTCGGGTAAATGGTAAATTTATAACGCGATAAAGTTTAATTTCATCGGGAGCAATATTTACTCAATTTGTTCGAATCGAATATTTGCCAGCCAACTTCTCTAGGATTTTTCCAATATCGAGCTGCAGCGAAGCCAGCAGCGCAGCGTGCAGCTCGCGTCCATTTAGTTTTCGAGAATTACGAGCTTTAATAGCTGACAGATATCGCGTGTCTAAAAGCCTTTTCCCGAAGGCTCGGGCTCGGAAGCAAAGCAAAACTAAAGCTTAAAGCGAAATGAGAGGTGTCATGGAATCGTCGAATTTCATTGAAAAAAAGTGCCTTTGGTAATCGTGGGATTCGTGTTCGTCGTCTAGTGTTTCTCTCTCTTTTTGTGTATAACCCACCTGACCCGAAATCTCAAGTCCTTTTTTTACAATCTCTAAGTGCCCTTTCTCGGGAGGCTGACGATGATGACGACGCCTACCCATTAAAAACGTTCGGCGGGACTGACTGCAAAAAAAAAAAGAAAAAAAAAGTAAAACGAGCTTCTCATTTCTAATTGTTTTCTTTCAATTTCACTTTCATGGAAAAAGCAAAACAGTGTAAACACGAGAAAGAAATAAAATATTTACATTTTCTGCCGAGGGAAAAGGGTTGTGAAATTGTAAATCGCTCGATACACAATCCTACCTATCACAGCTTCGAATTGAAATGCTCCTATCGTATATAGTGTTACTTTTATATTGAATTTCAATATTTGTAATTATTGCATTCAAGGTGCAGCGACAAGCCATAAGAAAAAAAAGTAAAAATGAAAAAAAAAATAATGATAAAAACTAACACGGCTTTTCAATTGATCGCGTAAAAAGTTGATGAAAAACATCTGCATATTTATGCCGTTTCGAAAAAGAGATTCAAATCGAAGCCAACATTCGAGAATAGCTGCCTCCGCGTGCACACACATATACTATTTGAATAGACGGGCTGCTGCTGCCGCTGCAAGTATTCAGCAGAAATATACGCGTGTATGTATAAACTTTTCATCGGTCGTAAAGAGCAATAACAACGATACATAAACGATGAAAACATTCATTTCAATTCGAAGCTGTATAAGTCACGTGTAGCAATCGTAAAAAAATTCGTCAGAAATAATAACGAAAAAAAAAGGAAAGAACATAGAAGAACAAATATAAAAAAAAATAAAAACAAAACAGAGAGAAAAGTAAAATAAAAAGGAAAAACAGATTATCTATATACATACCATGTTCGTATAATATTGCAAAAAATATCGATATCCAATATAGTAAATAGTATGAAGAAAAAAGTGAAGGAAACAAATAAAAATAAAAAGCATATACATATAGTTTTATATCGATTTATACGCACATGAAAATAATAAAAAATAAATAAAAGTTTGATCATTAGAGTCATGGGAGGAAGGAAAAATCATAGCTTGAAAAAAAAAAACGAGAGGGAGATTATCGCCGGATACGCAGCGAGATCGCTCCAAAATATAGCAGTAGTACCGTACACATTCGGAATGAGGGATAAGGAATTATGTCGTTGAAATACTGCAGAAATTCTCTGCCTCTATACACTGTGCCGCTGCTGGTGTATAGATAAGTACTTGGGGCGTGGGGTATTTTCAGACTCTACTACTACTGCTGCTGCTGCCGCTGCAGTTATAATACGAATCTTCGAACGATCTCGCTGCAGGCGCATCATCTCCCCGCCGAAAACGACTTTATACTACAGCTATAAGATATTATGAGCTTATCTGTGCATCTATGCCCGCGCGCATGTGTATTAATACGTACGTACTAACACACAGAGATCGAAACGCGCGCACGCATACGAAATACGCGAGTACTTGCAATAGTACTTGTGCATAGTAGTTTTACATGAGCTTGCAATACGCTGCTGCTGCCAATACTTGCGCACTCGCATACACACATCTTACACTTGTGCATCGTCAGACACACAGACACACGAACACATGTAACTTGGCATTAGCAGCAGCAGCAGCAGCAGCTCTCGCGATGTTGTTGTGTATCAAACACATGTATACACTCGGAGCCAAGAGGTGTGTGCAGGAATGGAAATATTATATACGTATATAGTTGCACGCCACGAGCGTATGCGTGCGCGTATATACATATCCAATGCCTTGGCGCGCGCATAGATGTATAGATGAGCCGTGGTGGCGCTGGGCGTGTATATGGCTGACACAAGTTTGAAATTTATTCGCTATATCCTATCAAAACTTGGACCCAAGGAGCTCTGTGTGTAGCAGCAGCAGCTTCTGCGTATATCTAGCTGTGTACTAAAGGTACTAGGGGTATATATGTGTATATACGGCGACGCAGCCTGCAGTCATTAATTTCTCATTTGTTTATAAAGTTATACCTTCGCGCAGCATATATACCGGTGTATTTGTATACTCTCGTAATATTACGCGTACGTACACACCAACCAACACCAACTCGACTCTCGCCTATATATACCTGCGCGTTATAAATTTCGGTAACTTGTTATATGCGTATAATATATCGGACGTGGCGTGTGGCGCGTTGCTCCAGATTGACAATATGCAAGTTGTTGCAAGCTCGTGGCTGCGTCGTCGTCGTCGTCTTGGGGTCCGTCGATTGGCCTTTCGGCTATACGTATATTGGACTATTTTTACGATCGCCTTCGCTCGTGTGTACAACATGCATAACACACAGACACACCTTATATTATACACCTATAAGACGACGACTCGGATTTACCTTCGGGTTTCTATGCGCGTAAATAGCCTAGGCATCGTTTATATACAATACAGTATATGGTACAAGGAGATGACTCTGTCTTATGTGCTTTTGCCCGCGCGAGGCGAGCGTTAATAAGTTTATTTATTACCTCGTAAAGGTTGGCTCGTTGTTATTGTTGTTGTTGTTGTTGTTGTTGTTGCTGTTCGCTAAAAGAGAAGACCGACCAGTCAGCCGAGGTAATATTATATACCAAAAGTCTTGGCCAAGCAGAGGGCGAGGTTCTCTCTGGCAGTACTCTCTTTCGACGCTGCAGCAGCAGCACAACGCATACAGCAGCGAGGCACTCATCTTCTTGGCTTTTCTTACTTATACCTCGCGCGAGCTATAGATATATTATATGTAAGGTACACGTATGCACACGCAGCTGACTGCTGCAGCTAGAATGTAAGAGAAAGAGAGGAGTTTGTGCGACGCTCCTCTCTCTCTCTCTTGACTACCTGTGCGACACTACTATACACATATAGGATGTTTTATACCCATTATATCCTCCTCGCTCGGGCCGACCTAGCCCGGGTGTCCCTGCTACGTCCTCTTATATTCTCTCTCTTTCTCTCTGTTTCGCCCTGTACGCGTGTTTTGTCCTATTATACGACTTGTACCGTCCGAGAATGTTGGAAAAAGATTTCTTATTTTTATTATTATTTTATTCGCGTTTTAATAGTTGGCCGTTTAATTTTAAATTGGCTTCATGCGACTTGCGGTCTCTCTCTGTCTCGCTCTCTTCGTGTGTTATATACCTTACGTATTTTCTTGCCAGCTATAGTATTATACTAACTTTAACCCAACTAACATGTACAGTACTCGTTTGTTTCTGTTTGCCTTTGACTCTGTGTGCGTGTGGACTTTTTTTTCTCTCTCTCTCTCTTTCTCCTTACCTCTCGAAGTCAGTCTCTCTCTCTCGCTGGTCTCGAGACTCGCATACTTGATTAACATTGCCTCCGTGCCTTTGTAATGGTATGCGCGCGCTAACCGTTTTCTTTGCTAGAGAGAGAGTTCTTTACCGAGTCAGGCACAGTGTCTCCTCTCCTCGAAGCGTGCCTTCGAGCTTTTTCAAGTATTTAAAGTATGAATGAATTTCGCGCGATTAAAGTCGGTTTGCTGCCTTTTTTTTTGTTTTATTTCACGAATATATACATACGAGTACGAGTCGCGTGACGAACTTCATTACGTAAAGAACGTTTCCTTCAAAGCCAAATTGATTATTTCACTTTGTTTTTTTTATCTCATTATAATTTTATGTATACAATCCTAATACCACACACAATAAAAAGAGTTTATGATTTTTGTTACGTATCGTCCAAGTATAGAACAAGTAGTGTTCGACAAAGTAAAAAAAGTAAAAAAAAAAAAAACAAAAACTGATCAAGTGTTGTCTACTGTCGCAAATCGCATCATTGTATGTGTTTCTTGTTTCTCTCAAGTGTTCTCGTGCCATATATACAGCTTAAAAAAAAAACCAAGTGAACAAAACATATGTGATTTCCAACTTGTGTCTGTCATACACTCGACCACTCCACTTAATGTTTTAACGTTACCAAACGAGTGAATGCGCGTGTGCGTGTGGTTTTTACAAAAAAGAAGGAAAAAGATATAAAAAGAGAATGAACGAGAGCGCGTGTGTGCAAGATTGAATGGTTACATACAAAATAACGTTTCATTTTTTTTTCATAAATACATTATATTATAAATTATATATATTATTAAGTGTATGTGTTAACGTCTAATGTTTCTGTATACTTTTGCGACCCTCGAGCGATGTCAACTTCAGCGACTCTCTTCGCCAGCGTTGCTCCGCTGGCTCCTAACGTCAGTCAAGTATATTTTGCACACGCGGGTCCTTTTGTCATATTACATAAAGCGCTGCTGCTGCTGCTGCTGCTGCTGCCGGTACTGTTGTGCAGGCGCAGCAGCGCAACTCGCAGAAAAGAGAGAAAGTCGTCGCTCTAGGGTCGTTAAAACAAAAAAAAAAATTACGTGGGTTCTCTCTTGTGACCGTGTGGTAACGCCCTTTCTTCTCGTTGGTTTTTTTCTCCCACACGTAGTGCGTTCTGGAGTTCCTTTGATCCGCGGTAAGTTGCAGCTCAGCTCTCTCACTCACTCACTCATTCACTCTCTCTCTCTCTCTTCTTTCTGTCTCTGTCTCTGTCTCTTTCATTCACCGTTTCACTTCCATGTCTCTGTCTCTGTCTCTTTCTTTCTTTCGCTCGCCTAATCGTTTATGTATTTAATATAGAGCAAAAAAAAGTGTGCAATTATCATCTACTTGTCCGTGTCTCTGTCTCGCTCTTTTGCTCTTTTATATGTTTATTATGTATGTAAACGTCTTTGTGTTGTTGTTGTTGCTGTTGTTATACTGCTACTGCTGTTGTCATTGCTGATGCTGTTATTAACCATCCTGAAAATGCGCTCATGATTTAATTTTGTTATCCAATCTTTTTCTTTCACGGCATACAATTTTTTTTGTTAAACAAAAAAAAAAATAAATCTTTTTTGCGCCTTGCATTCTTTCCTTTTCTTCTCTGTTACGTAAGCCATACGTCTCGAATCAGCTGTTCTTTGATTTTTTCACTTCTATGCGCACACGTCTACAAAGGAAAAGTGTGCATTTTTGTTTTATTTTTCTTCCTCCATTCTTTCTTTTTTTTTTTTACTTTGCGCAGTCTGTGTGCTTGCGACGACCATGCTGCTGCTGCTGCTGTGCACCGCCGCAGTACGTGTGCACACCATGGATCGTAAACAAGTCGCGTCGATATCGATTGGTCAATTGCACGCGAAATCCAATACATCTCATTAATTCTTTTTTTTTATCATTTTTTTTTCTGCGCGCTGCTGCCGCTGTGCTGCGCTTCCACTCGAATAAATGAGCTGTACATCATTTTTCTCGACGTGCCCTGCTTACGATTTATACCTTATCACAATGAAGAATGACGCATATTGTGTATGCCGCTCTGCGCTGTGCCGTGCTTGTTACAACACCTGTCCCATCATTAAAACGAAAAGCTGCTGAGGGCAAAAACGATACTTGATTTATTCAATGATTGGCCATCGTATAATAACCCGCGCGCTGGCTCTCTGGCCGTTGTCGTTTATTTTTTAACGAATATATAAAGCGCGATTATCTCGTTTCATGGATTTTCAATATAAATTGCGTCGAAAACATAAGCTTTCGACTCTGCCGCGCATTTTGCATTTGCGAAAATTCACGCTGCTCTCGCTCACGATGATGCTGCTGATGATGATGATGATGGTTGTTTATTAATCAACGAGTGAATCAAGTATCGGTTTGTCATCGCGCGCTGATGTTATGACTACAGTGTAGTATTGCATAAATTAACGTGTAGATTTATATATGAGTCTACTATATATGTGCCACACAATTTTCAACCTTATCACGCATCCCCATCATTTGTATTATTACAAATTTTATATAAATGTGCGTTTTCGTTTATTTTTTTTTATTTTCATTTGGACTGTTATCATTATATGTGTATGTGGTCAAATTGTCGATTTCTGTTCTTGTCTTGTCACTTAATTGTTTTATTTATTTAGCTTTATGTATAAATGTGTACATGTATTCGTTACAAGAAAAAAAAAACACCAACAACTTCATACTATCAAGTCTTCTATCACAGCAGTATTTGTTATTGCCTACATGCCCATATATAATGACGATCCGCATATAAATAAATTAAATCCAACATCTTGATCTGAAGCTTATGTTCGTTACTATATATCTGTGTATTTTATCGTATGAATTTATAATACTGCTAGGCTTGCACTCACCGTCTGTACTGCGTGGTATATGTTCGTATATGTCTGTATATATGTATGTGTGTACGTATATATGTACATATATTATACATGTCACCTATTGTCAAAATACGAAGCGTGCTAAAGGCCCATTTGTTTGAACAGCAGTCTTCTTTCTCTCTATTACACACTCTCACACACATAGTGAAACGTGTCGTCCTGTGCTACATATGGAATTTTATACATTTTATTTTTACTCGTTTTTTTTGTCATTTGCGTTTCACATTGTTATTTCATGTTTTTTTTTCTCAAACTCTTTTTTCACACACAAAAGCCTTATAATACATTATTTATCGCAAGTTCGTGACTTCGTTTGTCATTGCGATCAAAATCTCAGGCGCATATATAATATATGCCGAGAGCGTCGTTTGCTCGAGTAAAATAGAAATAGCGTCAGAGAAATATTGTACATCGATAAAAATACAAAAGATCAAAAATAACAAAAAAAAAATGAACAAATGAAAGTAATGAGAAAAGTAGTTTTAATAAAAAATAAAAAAAAATACAAGAAAAAAGTAATCATGGAAAGACTGACGTTATGTGTATAATCGATAGAAGAAACTCAGACGGTAATAAGAGTCCCGTGGTAAACCCAGCATAAAAAAGGAAGCAAAAATAATCCCAACCTCTTGTCTGCGTCTGAAAAATGTACCTTATCAAACCATCCCATTGGCCAACAAAAGTCCAACAAAAACCCTGTGTCTCGTCTATTTCCTCGACTTATCCAAGTGCACCTCTATCCAACGGTCTAAACAATTACTCTGCCAACCTATATAAGCCGTCCGTCATTCTCGCGTGTTCGACACTTGATTAAAGCGAAAAGTTTTCTCGACACCTAGAAAAAAAAGTAAAAAAAAAAGTAAAAAAAAAATAAGACGGACGGATGGATAATAAATAGAAAAAAAAAAGAGGAAAAAATGTATCATGATACATCTCCTTTGACAGATAAGGAAAGATTAAGAGAGATCAAAATGAAAGGAGACGAGAGTATAGTAGTATATATAAAAGAAATACGCGCTGTATATTGATAGCTTGTCGGTGTTCTCTCGCTCTTTCTACGCGGATTTCAGCTTGAAAAATAGAGATAGAGCTTTTCGCGTGGTTGTACGAAAACGAGGAAAGAAAATAAAAATCGTATGAATCTAGCTAGACGTATATAATATACACTTTGTATATCGCATAAACACAGATACTATATATAATCGCGGTATATAAAAGTTGATTTACTATTATTATATTTATGAACTTATTATAATATTTATATTTTATTTCAGTTCACTTGAAATGTTAACGAAGTATTGTGCCTATAAAAAATATACAAATATATCATATATTTAACATACTATATAATTGCATGTAGTCTATTTGAAGTAAAAAAAAGTAAAAAAATGTTTTTAATAGTATTCTCATTTTTGAAGGAAACGAGATGAAAAAGTGTGATGATAGCTGTTGTTAAAATAGAAAGAAACATTTACGGTCGGTAATAGAGCAACAAGTTTCCGACAGTGGATTTGTTGTAAAGATAATTGTCATTCATTGCCGTCAGGTAGGTCTGTTCTTATCTAATTAAAAAAAAAAACATTTTTTGTTTTTGTTAACGTGCAGCCTGTTATTATTTTCATTTTTCGTTTATCTTATGTATAGTTTTCATTCATTAGCACCAGTCTTTTGAATAATATATATTAAAAGTATGTTATTCTAGTTGACAAGCAGAATATAATAAATAAATTAGTTGTACAAATATATATTTGCGCTTTCACGCGCATTTTCGCAGTTACTTATAGTTGCCTATTATATATTTTTCACTGCAAATGTTTCTTTTTATATAAAAAAAAAACAGATATAATCATATATTATAAAATATTATTATGTATTAAAATTGAATTATGTGTTTGTACCACACGTGTACGTTCACATAATTTATATTTGACCAGCGAAAATGATAATACTTCCTTAGCATTTCAGGTAAACGCTATTATATCATTACAATTATTATCGTTACGATCGGTTATTCTCCCTAATTATTATTGCTCATTTCAATTTGATTTAAGTTTGGATAATAAACGATCGCAATTGTTTTGTTAAAACGATAATTTTATTTTTGGACATTCAGCATTCAATTCGGGCTTATGTGCGCGCTTGAACTCACGAGAGAGAGAGAGAGAGACAGTCAGTAGTCTCAACGTTTTGAAATTGATGGCCACATGTAAATGATTAATTAACACTTGTAAAACAGCAGAATTTTTCGCGCTCAATAATTAATGCCCGCGCCGAGCGAAAAAGATAAAGTTTCGACTCATTAATAATTCTGGAGATGACAATCGCGCGGGACGACGACGAGAGTTCCGTGTATCCGCGATATATATACATACATTATACGCACCGAGTGTATAAACTCACCGAGGCTCTGTATCTCTCTCTCTTGTGGCATTTCGAAATCCTAACCGCACGGTACAGTCCGCGCACTCGGATGGTTATTTTTATTCTTAGCGAAAGCTCGCCTTGTGTACATACGTACAAACTCGCACAAGTACGAATTGAATGTTTGATTGTTATCAAATAATTTATGTTTCTTCAAGTTTTATTACCGAGATCATTAAAATTAATGTAGTTCGAGGTAAACGCGCCATGAGCAATGGAATCCTCTCCTTTGACGAGTAGTGCTGGAAGTTACTTTTAATTTTGTTTGCTTTTGTTTTTTTTCTCTTCTTCGTTCTTTTATTTTCCCTTTTCCGTTGAATGAAAAAAACCGCAAAGTACAAAGTAACTCGAGTCGCGTTCAAACGAGACGGGATGATCGTTGAATAAAGCAAAGTATAAAAAAGAAAAAATAATAGAAATAAACACAGATCCAAGTTGATTCGATCGAAAAATGAGACGGTTAATTATTAAATTGCTATTTATATACACGCAAAATAAGCACAATGAATCTCAACAAGTTCGCTCTCTCGGGTTCAATCAAGAGTCTGCCTTCAGTCTTGAATTATGCCTCAATTCTCATCCGAGATGATCTCTCATCTTATTATTATTACACATTGCACATCGAGACACGCATACTTACACACTCCACACACAATGCGCATTACTTATATATTATGAATCTACTCAGCCCTCTAGACACTATATATGATAAAATTATCAATATTATATGCATGTTCAATATATACTCTATGAACTTCAATGAATTTATACGCCTCGAAGTAACACTGTAGATATTTCGTTCTTATGTATATAAATATTACAAGAAAAAAAAAATCGTCGCAAGCTCAAAAGGTTTATCGTGGCAGCTGCCGCCGTGCTCTCCGCCACTCGTGGTCTTGCATTATCGATGATATTACCAAAGGTATTGGCCTCTACATCGAATTCCGCCGGTACTGCACACATCCACCCATACACACGCATCGAATGGCTCGAGCCGTGTGCGTACGAGCTGTGTACGAGCGAGCGAGCTTTTGCGTCAGGGAGTGATCTATACGGCACAACGTTGAGCCGGAGTGGACAACTCTCAACTGCGTCGAGCTCGGGTGGCTTTTAACCGGGAGCATCCTCCAGCTCGGCGGACATCCGGGGGTTCAACGCACCATCGCCGTGTCCGCTGCCGCTGCTGCCATGCGACCGACCAACTGTGTACAGCTGCACTACTACCTACCTACGAGCGCGTCGTCACACCATCGACGTCGCCGCTGCCGCTCCGCCGACGTTCCGAATCGATCGCTGCCTGGCAGGAGCTGCGCTCGCTGAAGCTCGCATGCCACTCAAGAGCCGACTCGACTGTGTGTGTATGTGTGTGTGTGAGTGTGTTTGCACTAAACGCGCGACGTCGTCTCTCTCTCTGCGCGTTCGGTTCAGACGCATACAAATGCCATCGAGCTTAAATATAGATATAGACATTGTACGTACATACGCGGGATAAGGACTGGCGCGCGGCGGCCTCGGGGAAACCAACTTGCAGAGCTCTGGGCGTACTCTGCGTACCTCTATATACGTATATGTACGACCGGAGACGACGACGGAGAAATAACGACGCGAAGGAAACTAAAACGTTTTCAGCTAATTGTGTGCTTGCAAGCGCACCCTTGCCTTTCCCCGAGAGTCGCCGCCACTGCCGCCGTTGCCAACATTGTGCTACGTCCCGATACGCCTTCCGAGCTTACGACGATGATACGTATACAATCGATCGACAATAGTTTGCTTTACATATATATTATACATCTCTTCATTTATATAACAATATAAACTATTATCATTATTATTATCTTAAATATCTTAAGCTGGATAAGATGCGTTTATAGAGCTTGGGAGACTTTGACATTTCGATTAATTTTGTTCTCTATCTCTTCTCTATCTACCTCGAACAGTCGTGTTGCGGTGATGCGAGGACAAGTCGTAACGGAGCAAGGACTCGGCATAATAGACGTCAGGGTATCCGTCGACAAGGACCAGCGCTTCGGCTTTACCCTAACTCGAGCCGGCGGATGGTAAGTGACACAATTACACGTCGTACGTACTCTGTGCGAGAGGCGGGCGGAGTGGAGCTTGCGCCGCGCGTCAAGTACGCACTCGCCACCCTTGCCTTGCCCGCTGCCACGCACAACACAACGCCAGCTTAATGTAATATAACTGTACCACTACGTTCGTAAGGCATTTTTCTACGGTTGCTACTGCTCGCGCGCGCGCGCCTATACACAGCAGCAGCAGCAGTTGTATAATAATAGCGTTGCGCGCGCGTTACGATACGTCACATACACGCGGGGTTAGAGTCAGTCGCTGCTGCTGTTCCTGATTATATTTCTCGCTTCTCTCCGAAGCAAAGCTTTTAATGAGAAATTAACGGGTAACTCGGGAGCAGCGGCTCTCCTTCGCAGCAGCTTCGCGATCTGTATAGCGAGCTCTCTCTTTGGAGCTCGAGCTTGGAAGAGCATTTCCAATCATCCGCGCGCTATATAACCGAACGCGCGCGCAGCCTTTGTGCACTGTAAAACCGATCGGTGTATATAAACGGGTGTATATATAAGAGCCGCTGCTGCTGCTGCAAAACCCGACGCAGACTGGTAGCTACTACTGCTGCTGCTGCCATTTCATAAATTTGTCAAATACAAAACAAGGTATATGAGAGAACAGAGTGTGGCAGCAGCAGCAGCAGTAGGGAGAGCTATCAACTGCAGAATACGACTACTACGCGACGCGCGGATATTCCAAAGAGTTAAATTCACGACTACTACTACCCCTTTTTGCTATTGACGAAGTAATTTAAGCACGCTCGATTTCCATTAGAATATCCGTTCTTTTTCCATTCTCTCTCTTTTTTTTTTTTTCGTCGATTCTACGCGCGCGCCCAGGACTGGCTGGCTCTCGCTCGCTGTACGAATATAAAGAATAGAGAGCCCAGCAGCAGCCGGATCGCGCTCTCGCGTCGATAGATAATGGGTAGCAGAAAAAAGAAAGAAAAGAGAAAAGAAGATCCGCCGGGCGCGAGAGCATCGAGTAAAATTTAATTAAAACACGGCTTTATCATGCGCGGCTCGCTCACTCATTCTCTCTCTTCTTTTTTTTTTGTCCTCGCGATGATAATAGGTTTGACATCCTGGTGAACGGCGGAGGAGCGGTGACTCTGCAGCTGCAGCGCAGCCCCTTCACCCCCATGACGCGGACGGTCTTCGTACCCTGGAATCAGATCGTCGTGCTGCCGCCCGTGGTGATGGTCGTCAGCGGCGAGGAGGGCGACTCTTACAGATCGATTAATCAGCTGCCTACTCCCGTCATCGGTAAGTACCGCCTAGCTATATACTACTGACTCCCGGGCTGCACTTGTGTGTTGCTGTAAGTCGAGCTCGCTGTCAGACTATATGATACGTTCCGTTAGTTGCTTATACTACTACTTCTGCTACTACCCCTTGCAACCCGGTATATACCTAGAGGCTGCCGCCGCCGCCGCCGTTGATGCTGTGCCGAGAATTTATAATGAAGAACTCGAGAATTGAGAAAGCGCGTCTTTTTCGCGCCGTCCGCGTGCACCTCGAGTTAATTGAAAGCAAATAGCTCGAGTTTGTCGTTTTGATTAAAACTCAAGACGAGATAGAGCAGTGCAGGGGGAGAGTTAGGGGTGCAGGGAGAGAGAGAGTCAAGAGAGGAAGTGAGAGCTTTGTTATACTCTAGTTTGTACTTTTCATTTGTTCGCTCCTTTCTCTCTCTCTCTCGCCGCTGCTCCTAGCCTCGACTGCTCGTACCTACCTATTTTAAACACGTAAAATTGAAAATGATCTTCGCCCTCGAGCATATTGATTCAACGATAAGATATATAATTTCGCGACTTTTCGGGAGGAAAGGGATACGGATATACCTACCTTGCAGTTTTACCTTTCTCCGATCTACCCTCGCATTTGAGCGGGCGAGCTATAATACGGGTTGGCTTCTGCGCCGTGACGTAAGAAGCACACGCGGTAACGGAACGGGCCCGGGTTGTATCATTAGGCGAAATAGTCGTCGTCGTCGTCGTCGTCACGATGAAAACAAAATAGTTGAAAGACTTGAAAAAAAAACTTGAAAATAAAAATGATGATTCGCAGGCTCGCCAGGCTTTCCAGGCTACTCAGGAAATTTGTTCGACGAGCACGGCCCGTGCATGAAGCACGATCACGAAACTCTACGTCCAATAATCGTCGGTACATGGATGCCAGAAAAAGTTGGAGGACTGCCAGGCAAAAGTCTAGTATTCGCCGAGACACAGGTTCGTAAATATACACTGTCTGTGTGTGCGTTTGTGTATAGGCGAGTAGGAGCAATGCACACATACACACGATAATTCGACCCAGATTAATGCCTTCATCTTCCTCTTGCATATTGATGCGCGCATACTCATACCGGAGAAAAGATTATTTTTATTACAATTTTAGAAAAAATACAGAAAAAACATTTTTTTTTTAAATAAAAAGAAAATAGGGGGCGAAAAAAAAACGCGCTCACCAGAGAGCAAAGGAGAGCGAGAGCCGAAGAAAAAAGATTTAGTTCTTGTTCGAAATGCAATTTTCTTTCTCGCGAGAGCAAAGTTGAAAGGGTGGGCAAGCGAAGAATTTAAAAAGAAGGAAAAACTTTTTTGCGAAGAATTCATCATGGAAAATTTATCGTTCTCGCGCGCGCACACGACCGAAAGGAGTCTCGGTATAAGCTTGTGCCGAGCTTGTGCTTGCGCACAATTTACAAAAGTTATACTAGCTTTCGCTCCTCGCTAGCGCTCTCTGGCACAATCGAATTAAATACTTTGAACTGCATTTACATGCCACGTCTAACTGCAGAGAGCGAAAGATCGTAAAAGACGGTATATAATAAGTGGGCCGACAAAAAGATGTTTAAAAAAATAAAACGTTGCCCTCCTTTTTGTCCTCGACAGATCGTGCAGGAGAGCATAGCGATACCGGGCTCGCATCTGCACCTGGTCTACCGCAGCAGCCAAGCGGCCGGCTACCTGTCGACGGTCCAGATGCAGCTCACCGGCTCGTTCATACCCAAGAGCCTGACCCACGTGCACGTGCACGTGCAGATCGAGGGCTCGGTCCACACCAAGACCTACGAGGCCGACCCGAATCTCACGCACACCTTCGCCTGGAACAAGCGCAACGTCTACAAGCAGAAGGTCTACGGGGTGGCGCAGGCGCGTATCAGCGTCGGCTATCAGTACCAGGGCTGCGCCGCCGTCATCTGGGAGACGCAGACCGCCACCCTCCAGGGCTTCGACGTCGACATCTCCGACGTCGGGGGCTGGGGCCTGGACATACATCACCACTACAACTTCCACGAGGGCATACTGCAGAAGGGCGACGGCTCGACCCTGCACTTCAAGCAGTACCCGCGCAAGGTGAACGTGGTGATGGGCACGGGACAGCGTCGCGACATGAACAACAACGACGACGACTTCAACGGTCTGGCCAGGGACGCCCGACTCCTGACCCCGGTCGCGCTGGCCAGCGGACCCGACGGCAGCATCTACGTCGGCGACTTTGATCTCGTGCGCAGAATCACGCCCGAGGGCAAAGTTTACACTGTGCTACAGCTCAGGTAGGTTTTTATACACACACACAACTCGCTTGTAGTATGCTAGTATGTACGTAACGTAACGTAACGTAACGTCGGGTACTGCGAATTCGCCTACGCGCGTTGCTGCTGCTGCTACTATATACATCCCTAAAGAGGATGTAATTTCAGGAAGGTTGGGCTCTTGTTTGCTCTGGGTTTTAGGCAGCGCAGCTAACCAACGAGCCGCACAGCCGCTGCCGTCGCCGACACACACAGAGCTCTAGCTATAACCCGAAAAGCCGAAAAAGAGCTGGAGCTCAGCAGCAACGCCGAGAGAGAAGAGAGTGACAGAGAAAGAGAGAGATTCTTCAGCAAATAAGCCTTTATATTATTGGCTTTTTCGACTCCGGGGCAGGAGAATATTTAACCTAGCCAGTTTTATCTCGACCTCTTTCTCTATCTCTCTCACTCTTGGCTATACGCTTTTCCCAGAGTTCAATTTTACACGCGCGCGTGTGTTATCTACATTTTCCATTTCGCTTTCAAGTTTCCTCTCTTTTAAACAAAATTCATATGATGTTTACCCAAGAATGTGCTACTCATTTTCACATGTATGTATAACGTTTGTTTGTTTGTTCGCACAAAAAAAAAACACAGTGCCACGCAAGTAGCGTACCAGTACTACCTGTGCGTGTCGCCGGCCGACGGCCATCTGTACATAAGCGATCCGGAAAAGCATCAGATTCTCCGTACGCTCACGCTCACCGACGTCAAGGATCCACGCCTCAATATCGAGCCGGTGGTTGGCAACGGCGAGCGTTGCATACCCGGTGACGAGGGACACTGCGGCGACGAGGGACCTGCCGATAAAGCCAAGCTCGCACATCCCAAAGGTAAATATACGTCGAGCTGCGACGCAAGGATATGTTTCATGTTTCTCTGCCTCTCTCTCTCTCTCTCTCTTTCACTCGCCTTCCTCCTCCGCCTCCTCCTTTACCTCCTTGCCTCAGCTGTGCACTATAAGCTATTCCTATACATATGTACGTGCGAGCTCTCTCGCTTTCTCGCTCCTGTGTGTACCCGCATAAACGTCCCCCTTGACGATTTACTTTATTTATTGCTGCGTTTTATAAATATATCACGCGTACGTATACGGAGCCGCAATATTCTGCCGCAGTTTTCTTGCCTATTACTGCTAAACTAGTACTACGACGAACTGAGATCGAAGCGATGCAATTTCAAAATTACATATGGATTTCGCGGAGTATTAATTAACGAAACCCTACAATATCCATAAGCCAATCCGTTCAGTTCTCAATTTTCTGCGCGCGTGATATTGGAGAAAGGCGCGCGTGTACTGCGTACTGCTGGTTGAAGTATATTCCGCAGGTTTCGACTTACGCCCCGAAGCTTTTAACAGCGTATTCCTGTGTTGCGGCAAGGATCTTTCCAAAAGGGCGAAGTCGTGTAGAGCCGTAACCGCGAAACATCATATTCCATATCGATATACCTATACCGAGTAAAGCCAACCGACAATTCAACACGTTCGTCACGTTGTGTCTGTGTATCGATTTCAGGAATCGTCATAGCCGCCGACAAGACCATGTTCATAGCCGACGGCACGAACATCCGAGCGGTCGATCCGAACGGAATAATCCACACGCTGGTGGGCCATCACGGACATCACAATCACTGGTCGCCGGCGCCCTGCGTCGGGGCCATACCGGCCCAGCAGGCTCAACTCCAGTGGCCCACCGGCCTCAGTCTGTCGCCCCTCGACAATTCTCTGCACTTCATCGACGATCGTCTCGTGCTGAAACTCACCGCCGATCTGAAGGTGCGAGTCGTCGCCGGCACCCCGCTGCACTGCACCTCGAGCGCCAACAACGCCCTGGAGCTGCAGAAGGCCGCCATGGCCAGCAACGTCAGCCAGAACGTCACGCTGACCAGCAGCCTGATAATGCAGAAGAAGATGGACGAGGTGCTCGGCTCCGTTCTGGCCATAGCCTTCTCGCCGACGGGCGAGCTCTACATCGCCGCCCGAGACTCGCACCGTGTCAACAGCATCAGAATCGTCGACTCGGCCGGCAAGATGTCGCACTTCGCCGGACAGCAGCGCGACGACGTGCGAGGCCAGTGCGAGTGCAACAACACGACTCCGAGCAGCGGCGCCGACGCGGACGCGAGCTGCGTCTGTCCCGACGACTCGTCGAGCAGCAGCAGCGCCGAGACGCTGCTATCCTCGAACGCCAAATTCACCTCGATCTCGGCACTGACCGTCTCGGCCGACGGGGTGCTGCACGTGGCCGATCAGGGCAGCCTGCACATACTCGCTTTGCAGCCCTACCTGCCGAATCACGACGAGAGCGGAGAATTCAATATTCCATTCCCGCCTTCCAACGAGGTTTACGTCTTTAACAGGTGAGATAACGTCTATTTGCACGCATTATCTTAGTTATGGTTGCCGTCGAAATTTTACGCGCGATATTAATGCGATCGCTGCGCGCGATTCAATTTTCAGATACGGACAGCACGTAGCTACCAAAGATCTTACGTCGGGCAAGACGAGGTACTCCTTCCTTTACAGCAAGAATACGAGCTTCGGAAAGTTGTCCACCGTAACCGACAGCGCCGGCAACAAGATTCAGTTCTTGAGGGACTACAGCAACGCCGTCAGTTCCATCGAGAACACTCAAGATCACAAGTCCGATCTCAAGATATCGGGCGTTGGCTTCCTCGAGAAGCTCACCGAGAAGGGACGCGCGGAAATTACACTGGGCTACGACAGCGACACCGGCTTGCTCACCAGCCGATCAGGGGTAAGTCAATCGATGAAATCTATTTATTATACAGCATGTGCGCGCGTTGCCCGCAAATAACGCGCTTAAGTACGAATATTTTACAAACTAGCGATTCGAGAATAATACCACCCTGCGTATGTACGGACAATGATTTTTAATACCGAAAAAAAGCCATTCACGAATTTGTCACGGTCAAATGCGTTTGATTGGATATCGATGAAAATCCAATATGTTCGACCCGCTTAAGCTGCTACCGCTGCGGCTACTGCATCTACGGGGTCGAGTTGAGTTTTAATTTCACGACCATCTGCTATAATCCAATAGGCTTGCCTTGTTCTACACTACCTGTGTGCTGTATATGCTCACACAGCCGCGAGCACGCGTCTATTGCAAAGAACTCATCGAGCGATGAATTCCAATATTCTATTCGAACGAGTATATGAACTAATTTTTGTAAAATTAACTTGTCTTGCAGGGTCGTGAAACTTATATCTACAACTACGATAGCATCGGTCGAGTCACAGATGTTATTCTGCCCACCGGAGAAAAGGTCAAACTCAATTCCGATCTGGCCACCGACGAGGGTCTCAACGTCAAAGTGGCCGCGCCGTTGTCGTCGCTGAAACAGGGCGACTCGCAGCGCTTCATGGAATTCAAAATGAGAAACGAGAGATCGCAGGTGCTCACCATCATTGACGGCACGATGATCAAGAAGGCCACGGCCTTCACCAACAGCACCCTGGAAGTCGAACTGCCGGGCGGAGGCCGAGTCATCAGCGCCGCCCTGACCAAGCACCCGCTGCTCAAGGCATCGCTCCCCGTCGAGGCGGAGATGCTGCCGATGTGGAGCTACCGATCCATGTCGCTCGGCGAACTGACCAACGTCATGACGACCACTTACAATCTCGTCGGCGAAGTGAGTCGACCCCAGCAGACTCTGAACCGAGAAATCTGGGTGAACGACTCGCGCATCGTCAGCGTCGAATTCGACCAAGCTTACTCCCGCGAGACCTTCTACGACAAAATGCGCAATCCACTGCTTACCGTCACCTTCGATCCCGCTGGCCTGCCTCTGCAATGGCAGCCCTACGAGCACGGCTACAATTTGAGCATCACCTACGACCGTTTCAATCGTATACAGGCCTGGTCTTGGGGTCCGTCCGACGAATCCTACCTCTACGATAGAGAGGGTCAACTGGCGCAGATCAGCAACAGCCAAGACGGCAGCAAGACCTACGGCTACAACGAGCTCAATTCGCTCAGCAAGATCACTCTGGCCAGTGGCCGAGAGTTCAATCTGCTCTACGACGAGGACGGTGGCTTGCGTCACATCGTCCTGCCCTCGGGCGAGAGGCACTCGTTCTCCTGCCAGGCCTCGCTGGGCTTCACGCGCATCACCTACACGCCACCGGGCAGCTCTCGATCCTATCTGCAGCACTACAGCCACGAGGGCAACCTGCTGCAGACCGTCTTCCCGGGCGACGGAGCGCGCATAGTTTATCGACACCACAACTCCGGCCAGCTGGCCGAGGTCGTTCACGGCGACGGCAAGAGCGAGATATTCTACACGGAGACGGGCCTGCCGTCCGAGGTCATACACTCGGAACGCGACGTCGAGTACAAGTGGGACTATCAGTACAGCGCTGGTCTTCTCGTCGAGGAGCGCATCGACTTCGGAGCCAAGACCGGTCTGAGTAACGCCAAATTTACTTTCGAGTACGATTCCAACTTCCGACCTGTCTCGGTGCAAGGTAGAATTGGAGGTCTGACCTTGCCCGCTCACGGCATGGCCTACAGTCAACGAACTGGCACTCTGGAGCAGATCGGCCAATTCAAGATCCTGCGGCCCGGATCGAATGAGACTCAAGTTCACGACGGCACGGCCGTATTCTCACGCACCACCGACGATCGCTTCCTCGAGACCCAACTCACCGTCACGATTCGCAACCTCGAAGTCTTCAAGATGGAGTTCACGCACGACTCGCGCGGCAGGATCAATCAGACGCGCACCTACACGCGCAACGTCGGAGTCAACACCTACACGAACGTGAAAAATTACACCTGGGACTCGGACGGTCAATTGGCCGGCGTCGAGGCTCAAGAGCCCTGGGGATTCCGCTACGACGTCAACGGCAACATGCTGTCGCTGACCTATCGCGGCAACAACATACCCATGGAGTACGATAAGATGGACCGCATCATCAAGTTCGGCGAGGGTCATTACAAGTACGACAATCGCGGCTCGGTCATCCAGAACGCCCGCGAGGAGAGATTCAGTTATAATGCCAAGGGATTGTTGACGCGCGCCACCAAGCGTGGACGATTCGACATCAAATACTACTACGATCATTTGGATCGGCTGTCCGCAAGAAAAGATAACTACGGCAACGTCACCCAATTCTTCTACAACAACCAGCAGAGACCCTACGAGGTCAGCCAGATATACAGTCCGCGAGATGGCAAGCTCATGTCACTGGTCTACGACGACAGGGGTCATCTCATTTACGCCCAAGTCTACAGGCACAAGTTCTATATAGCCACTGATCAGTGCGGCACACCTGTCATGATATTCAATCAGTATGGAGAGGGTATTCGAGAAATAATGAGGTCACCCTATGGCCACATAGTCTACGACTCCAATCCATATTTGTATTTACCAGTCGATTTTTGTGGCGGTTTACTTGATCAGGTGGGTTTTATTTTTCTGACTGTTCTTGAAATTAAATCATACTGCAAATTGACATTCTAATACAATTGTATTTTAATTACTCTTCAGATAACTTCGTTAGTCCACATGCCCAATGGCAAAGTATACGACCCACTGATAGGTCAATGGATGTCACCATTATGGGAGAATGTCGTGGACAGACTTCAAAATCCCACACACCTTCATTTGTACCGATTTAATGGAAACAATCCCATTGATGTACGACGAACTTCAGAAACTAATTTACCTACAGGTGAGTTTTCGTAAAATGATTTTCATATTTTTTATAACAAATTATGAATTATATTGAAACTGTATTTAAATAACTATTTTCATTCGATGTTGCAGATCACACAAGCTGGCTCGCCAATCTGGGTTACGACTTGAAGAGTCTGGCTCCTCAATTATTCCCAGACACTTTGCCCAGCAGCCTAGTCCCGCCGTCGCTGGATACCGTAGGATCGGCGATATTCGTCGGCAAGAGAAGCGAGAGCAGCTTGGGCGTCCGGTCGGGCTTCCTTGCTTACATCGATCAGCGCCACTCGAGCGACGCCGTCGGCTTGTGGGCGCCGCAACGCTCGGCTCTCAAGAAAGACAGCTCCGATCTGATCCCGACGCGTTTGGGAGCCGCGGCAGAGCCACCGTTCGGCCGAGGCATCTTGGTGTCGCGCACTAAAAATGGTCGAGCAGTCGTATCGTCCGTGCCTTCGGCCAATTCGATTTACAAGGACGTGTTCACGACCGTGTTCAACGAGTCGCACTTCTTGCCCTTCACGTTCGTCGTGCACAACTCGCAACAGGACGCCTTCTACTTCGTCAAGGAGCAGGCCTGGCGCGCCTCCGAGGACCAAGGCCAGCTGAAGAGACTGGGCGGCCAAGTGAACGTGACGTTCCACGATAGCGGCAGCAACGGAAGCGGCAGCTCCGACAAGACCGGCCTGACCGACGTGAAGATTCACGGGCCGACTTACGTGATCAATCTGCGCTACGGCACGACGGCCGACAAGGAGCGCCAGCGACTGCTGCATCACGCCAAGATGAGCGCGGTTCGCAAGGCCTGGCACCGAGAGCACGAGGCTCTCAAGAGCAACACGCCCACGAGCATCGAGTGGAGCGCCAGCGAGCAGGACGAGATCGTGAAGCTCGGCAAGGCCCAGAGCTACGAGGCCGAGTACGTGCACGACCCGCAGCTGTACCCCGAGCTGGCGGAGGATCCCTACAACATTAGGTTCGTCAAGAGGTCCCTGGACGCCAATGCCAGCAAAAAGAGACGCCGGAGAAGAGCATGCAGCATCTGGTGGCTCGACAAGTTCTGCTAGGATACGTCGACCTTAGTGATTTATAGCGATTTACTAACTGTGAAAAAAACGGTGTGAACTGTGAAAATGATCGTTTTATACCAAAGTCTATTTGTGTATTTAAAGAAAATATTGAGTGCAGGTGCGCAAAATCCGAGCTAGAGGCTACGAGTGCTAAAAATGCCAAACTACGCGCACTGCCGATGCACCGCACCCTCTGTGTTTATATAAATATAAATATACAAGAATACTATGTAACATTAGATTTATAAGAAGAGCCTGTCCACACTCTTTTCCACGTGAATTCAACTCTACGGCTGGAGATACTTCAAACAGATATTTAATGATAAAGAAATTATTAGGACATTCGGGCTGATACCTTAGCAAATTAATTATTTACTATGATTACAATAACTACAAAAAATTAATGTGTAAGATGAAAAAAAATGATATTTAGAGTCGACTCGATGCAATCGACCGATTAAGATTTATATGATATATATTTATTTCGATACTCGCCATTACTATACTATAAAAAGTATTGACGGTGTAAAAAAGAACAGAAAAAATTCCAAACTATCGCTTTGAACGCTTTTGGTATGCTTGTGAGTTTGTGTTTTTGTGTGTGATAGAGTAAAAAAACTGACGATCGCGTTCTCAAAATCTCAATTGCATCCTTATATTATACGACAAAGGCCAGTTTCAAAAGTGCGCATATTTATAGACGATCACCTTCGTGCAGCGAATTGTGAACCTAGTCAATAAAATAGCTTTAATTGCAGAAGGTCGAGCGCGCGCCAATTCAGGGATTACCATATAAAATGCATATTCAAACCTCTACTATATCTTGACACTGCCGCCAAGCCTCAAGATTAAACCTTTTTTAATATGAATTGTACATTTTTAACCCCATCGCATCGATTATCCTTTTGAAATGGGATGGGGTTGAGATACGATTGCAGTTTTGATCATGCATGAGAGATGATGTTTTTTGTGGTGCTTTAGTTTGTGCAGTGGGGCAATCACAAGCACAAAACGCGTATTTTGAAAAAAGATTTTGAAAGATAATTCACTGATAATCACTATGGCACTGGCACTTTCATAGCGTCCACGTTTGAGTGATTTGTCAAGAAGAAAATATAATTGATGCAACAACATTAAACTAAAGGTACATGTTGAGAGATTATGGTAATTCGTGTTTACATAAGAATGAATATGTGACTGTGTGTGTATAGCTAAATTGAATTTAATATTATAAGAAAATACAATTTCGTGAATTGTCGATACATAGAAGTGATAATGTACGGTATTAATCCATATATAATGTATATGTAATTGTGCTTATTATTGATGAGTAAATCGCATGTACATCCTAATTCAGGAAAAATCAAGATGATTTATTTTTTCTTTCGAGTAATCGTTGAAAAACCGAAACTGAGGAATAAAATAATGTTTTGTTTTCCAATCGCGTGTAGAAGAACGGAAAGAGCGATGTATTGTATGTTCATCTTGCGAAAAATTTATTATATATAAATGAATATATATAAAAATATATACAAAGATATATACATGTTATATGATAAACGTCCGGCTGAAAATAAATGCAAAAATTTACGTATATACTATGAAAAAAAAAAAATTAACACGCGTACATAAAAAATGGAAAAAATACGATAAACGAACGAAAGTCGATTTATATATGTACATGTAAAATTAGAAAGATATTTAGGAAAAAGTGTATATTTTTGATTAGTTATCATGTAATTAATATTTTTTAGGAAGAAGAAAATAAAACAAAAAAGTTGAACATTTATGATGTTTATGCGAATTATGTAATTTAATTATTGACTATTATGCTGTCATTTTTCATATGGAAAAGGGTATTTTTCCTTTTTGTAGGGCTGAATCATCGACGTTATTGTGACTCGCGTCAATTATGATTCAGATAACTTTTATTTTATTTTAATATTTACCCTTTACTTTACTACGTGCCATATGTATCATAAAAACCAAGCCGAACTTGTAATAATAGCTTCATTTTGTAAGTAACACTAACGAAAGACAAAAAAAACACTGATGTATGTTATAAATTCGTTTTTTGTATATTCTTATTCAAGTACAAAATATTTCATCATCAAGAAATATTTTGATTGTTCATTTATATAATTTTTATGTGTATTGAAAAATAAAAACAAAGTAATTGAAAATAATTCAGTTTGTGGCTTTTAAACTTCGTATTTTATAATATATGCGCACTTCTCTCAGTGTGCAACACCCTTGAACCAAAACAGCTATTAAACCTTAATGAAATCTATAAAATCTTTATCGCGAATTAGAAAGATTAATCAATAAAATGATAGAACACGTCACGTTTTTGTAAATTTCAAGAACGGAAGATTAGATTTATATATAAATTCCAAAAAAAATAACACATTTACTAAGAATGCATGTAACCTTCAGATATTTATTTACATTTGAGAAAATGCGTGAAATCTTAGATAATCGACCGAATAAATAGTTGCATACGTATATAGCTAGGTAGTAAAAATGATACATAAATATTTATAAGCTATCTGGTTCAATAGGCGAAAATTTGCTACTATAGCTGTAAAAAGAAATTTTTTAAAAATCGTTAAGATTATACTACTAGGAGCGCGAGCGAGCTTTAAATATTAATCTTTTGAGGAAAATTGAATTTTAAAAATTAACTATCAAACATATTGATGAGGTAAGAAAGATAAATTTAAAATGCTGAAATTAAGACTCTAGCTCGGTAAGCTGTAGCTCAGCGGCTGGGTTCTTCCGATTGAGTGTCAGTGACGAGATATATTCAATTTCATATGCGTGACATCCTGAAAAAACGATCGGTTGAAGATACTTTTGTTTTAAACATTAATTCGTTCTTACAGAAAATAAAAAAAAATAAAATTTTTATCAATTTTCCAAAATGATCTCTCTTTTCTCGCGAGTTGTATGTGCTGTAATTTTACATCATAATTTAAAGTTTACTTTAATTCTTTCATTAAAAATCAGACGGCATAATTAACCACTAGGTGTCAAAGTGTTTTTATCGAAACAACGAAAAGGAACTTGGATCGTTTAAACGAATTTTCAAATAAAAATAAATAAATTAGGGAAGTTTGAAGCGCGAGTGTTAGGAAAAAAATAAAACCACGACCATTATCTTGAAATAATTGGGTAAAATCGTCAAGTGCTAATTTATTGCCGCCGATTATCTAATTGTTCATAATGTAACTGTAACGCATTGCTGTTAACACACCCACATATATATAAAGTATAACAAGAATGGATAATATTATGGAAATGAGAGTAAAAATTAACATATTAACACTGAAAAATAAACAAAATAACACAATATTGAATAAATGAATATGATACACATAAATATATTTTATTTATAAATATAATAATGATAAATTATATGAAAAAATAATTAATAGTTTAACTGTATATTACTTGTAAATAGTCAATGATGTTTGCTATGGCGTATTATAAATAAAATATCTGTACTTGGAATTAAAAATTGAAAGAAAACAGAAGATTTCTGAAATGCCTGAAATGAAACAAAAATATTTAAAAATTTCTTCGAGATATATAATGACATAGATAATGATTTTGTGTACGCGATGAAAATACTAACTGTCCTTTTAACGAGCAGAAACGATTCCACGGAAAAAAATTTAAACGATTGCCTAAGTGAGGGATATCATCCTATCGTTAAAGGAAGTGGTAAGAAAACTGAATGTAATGTGTGTATTTGTTTTTTGTCAAGAAAAAAGAAAATCTTAATTGCATACTTAACTTATCAAAGCATGAATTATGATTTTATGTAAAAAAATATACTAATTATAAAATGCGCGCGAGCATATTTTGAGTAAAGAATAAAGTCTTCGTGTGTATCATATGTCACTGTATAATGCTTATTGTCGTTATTTGTGGCTATTGTACACGTCCACTTTGACTTATTTTCTACTATGCATCGAATACTCCTAATTAAGGATTCAAGCTTGGATTTCAGAGATTGATCGAAATTATTAAAAGATTTACCCGTAGTGGAAAAAATCGAAGTGGGCGTGGGTATATCGGATGATTATTTTCTATCGTCATTAAAGTAAAAGCTATCTGTGTTACAACTTCGTTTGCGCTGTAAGGATTCGAATAAGAAAAAAGAGTTGACTGCTAAAACTCGTGAAACTGAATAAATATTTACGCGATTTCCCAAACATGAGCCTGCGTTTTGCTATTTTTATAAAAACAGATGGATAATATATAAAACCATTTTAGAAAAAAAAGAAAAAAAACCGAACGCGCGATGAATGTAAAAAGAAATGACCTCAATTGCACATCGTTTTTAATACCTTGTGTTCAATTTTTTTATCTAGAATGTAACAACATGACGTCTCAATGTATCATATGATATTCCTCAAAAATTATTTATAACAAATTCATGATATTAAAGACGCGAAGATTTTACAGTATCTGCGGGAATTAAATATAATAGTCATTAAAAAACACTTCATAATTGGAAAAAGTAAACGAAGGTGATTAAACATCATCATATAATTATAGTCATCATAGAATTTCTGCACTTATTAATCACATCCTTTTTCTGTAAAAATGAAAAAAGTACGAGTATGTTTTTTAAACGACCATTTAAGAAATCAAGATTTTTGTGATTAAACTCGGGTTACGCTGATACAGATGTCAATATTAACACTTGATATATGAAATATTAAAATAAAAAAAATTAATTAAATGAGAAAAAATAAGGAATGTGAATATTGTATTGGGTGGAAGTTATATTACTGGATTGTTGATGCCACGTGGAGTGCAGTACTTTTCATTTTTTGGTCGATTGAGCGCGATTTTTCAGTTTCGAATCGCCAATTATAAAGCACATTTAAACACACAAATATCAAAATGTAAAGAGAAAACGAATTTCCTTACTGCCTCTTTTAATTGTACTGCGAAATCTAACTATTAGTAATAAATAATAAAAAAATAAGTGAGACGTATAAATTGTGGAAATAGTTTAGCTACTATTTGAGGGAAGCACAAATTCGTCAAACGTGTTGGGAATGAATTTGAAGTTTTTTTTTTGTATACTTCAATAACTTGAAATAAAGAAAAATTTTGATCTGAATATTTAAAACACTTGAGAGCTCCACGAAAGAGTAGAAAGACTCAAACCAAGCAGCATGTCCAACAATTTACGATATAACATAAGTGTATTATATTAAGTGTTTTCAAAAAAAATATATGATCTATATATGATAATAAAAATGGAAAAAATGTTAATTTCTGTCTCAATTTATTGATCCAGAATGATTTAAATAATTTACTTTTGAGATTTTCTAAATAAAACCAACTGTTAGATCGTTTCGTTTTTTATTCGAATAATTTATCGCTCTTATTTCAGTATTTTTCATATAACAGTATTATAATACTATACAACCGTTATTACACAACACATTTTTTTCATTTCAACACAACTTTCACTTTCAATAATTTTAATTGAATTTATTAGTGTTTCTTTTCGCGCTTACTCTTAGTTTTCGTTGAACCTGGCCCAACAACGATACGGCCAGATGCAATTTCTTCCTTTTCAGCTGAATTTTCAATTTGTTTTTGTGCTTCTATGAAGAACATGAGATCTCGTATTTGCTCCCGCAAATCTGTAGTTTCTGATTCTTTTTTTTCTTTATAATCATTCATCTCATCCTGCAATTTTTTATGTTTCTCTTGCCAAGATGTTTGATTTCGCTGAAGGGCTAGACGCAATTCTTTTTCTTCAGTTAATTGAGTCTGTAGTTTTGATAATTTTGAACTGGATCCTTGTAATTTTTTTTCTAAATTTTGTTTATCTCTGTTTAAAGCAGCAACTTGGGTCTAAAAATAATAACATAAATAATATAACATATTTTTTTAAACATTGTATTTAATTATTCTACTTATTTAACATACCTTCATTTTATCATTTTCTTCTGATAAATGATCAACTTTTTCTTTTAATTCATTTGTCTCAGCAGAAGCTCTTTGTTCGATTTTATCTAGTCGTTCTTCAAAGTATTGTCTTTGCGTTTCAAGTTGTGATGTGAGCAAATATGTAAATTCAAGTTGTACTGAATCAACTTTCTCGTCCATTGAACCGCTTCCACCTTTCATTGGTTCTTGACCATTTTCTACCATTTTACCATCCTTATTTTGCAATAATCTATCTACCCAATGATCTCCTACATAATCCCAAACACGATTTTGTCCTAACTCCATGGCATAGCAATGATGCGTATCCTGATAATGTTCAAAAGCATGACTTTGATCATATCGACCACAGCCAACGTGTCCACAAATTAAACAAATCCACAAAGCTTCATTAGTTGCTTCCGCATCTAAAATGTAAATATGATCATAATTATTGGACACGTTTAAAGAATATACTTTCTAAAAAATGACTTAATACATACCACATTCCATGCAATGACTATCTGCAACAGGCTCTGGTGTTTGTGCATATCTACAAACAGGACAGGAGGTGTCACCCCATTTTACAAGACAATCTGCATGAAACGTATGATTACATAGAATGGTTAATATGCCATCTACGCTTTCATCCATTTTTTCTAAACACACTGGGCAAGATGGTAATTCTGTGTGACCAGCCAGTGGCAATCCATTATCTGCAGTCTCAACTTGTGAAACAAATACCATGTGACACACTGTTTCTGGCTCTAAGGAATTATATGGTGATCCATTATATGTTTCATAAAATTCACAAGCTGCACTCTGTAATTAGAATATATTTTTGTCTTATGTTTAGATCCATTTTATTAAAAATGTTGAAAAAGTATACTTACAGGTGTTCTGAAAGTTATTAAAACCATGTAGTTATTTGGATTTCCATCTCTAATTATTCTAAAATATTGTATATTTTGGTGACATGCAGCTGTGAAGCTCACTAAATCATGGCAAGTCATGGTGCAAGGAACAGATAGTATGCAAATCGTATTACTCTGATTCTGTTCTGAATGCATATCTGTCAAAGAACTAAAGCAAAATCATGTAAATTTTACAAAAAGTTCATATAATTACAAAATTTGTTAACTTACTTTTCTTTAAAAAGATGTAATATACCCTTTGTTACTTCTACAAAAGGATTTCCAGATACAAATTTAATTTGATCATCAATGACATTACTAGCAACAGCTCCGCATGCGTTGTCAGGATTTGTAGCACTGCTGGGAGGATTTGTTTTCTCTTCAGAATTTTCTCTGGAGGTCGACTGAGATTCAGAGCTCTGCAAATTGGCAGATTTTGGCAAAAGTGGAAAGGGTCCATCATCTGGACTCGCATAAGTTTCTACTGTTATATTTCTAGGTTCTCTGCGACCTCTCATTTTTTTAGTGTTTTTGTTCATTGTGCCTGAAAACATTTTCGATTTTGTGTAAATAATAATATTGTAAGGAAACGACCTTCGATCATAAATTCAAAATAAACAGACGCAAATTTAAAATTCACACTTTCACAAACGAATTTTTCTGAAATTTACGTTACAAGAACAAAAACTCACTTGAGTCTGCAGAAAGTTCGGGATTATCAATCTCAATACGTATGACACAGAGCGTTATAAGAGGGACAGACATATCACATAACAAAGTTCGTTGTCCACGGCAATCTTGGAAATGTCATCTGACACCCTTTATTCCAACTACTTGATAGAATCACTACGATCCAAAACACAGTCCGTTACACACGTATTTTAAATACGTCAAAGACTCCGTTCGATCTTTTCTTCAGCTGATTCTAACTGTCACACACTTATATCAAAGCGTACGTAGGTGATAGTGAATTATGCGTGTGTTAAAAATTGCACCAGTTATGAAGTGACAGCTTAGCAGAACCGTTGGCTGTTGCACACATCAGCACACTCAGACGTCGTATGTCGTTGTAGTGCGTGTATCCAATATTCCAATGTTTTCGTTCCTCGAGCTTTGTAAAATTTCTCAGTAGATGTCGTTGAGCGTATTTTCTGCTACTGCGACTTGCGAGGCGTCAAACGCGTCTCTCTCGAGTCTTCTTGCTACGAAAAAACACACTTGCATGTTTGGCATAACTGCATTACACCGTGTTGTGGTCGTGTAGGGGTCTTGTGTGCGGAGGTCTGCCAGGCGCAAGTTTACAGAAACCTGTTCGTAGATTACAATTATTGCTGCTCTACTACTCGTGTAAAATTTCTCTTTTCAAATATTGCTTTTTTGGAAATCCGAGTGGTAAATTTTACACCACGTGGGTAACCTTAAAGTGCATAATTTGTTAAAAAATCGTATTTATGATGTAACAGACATAAGAAAATGATCAACGATGCATTCAGAAATCTAAAAAGGAAAATAATGCAGGAGCGATCGGTAAGTGGCGTTTTATTTATTTTTACGTTGCGCGATTTTCGCGATGTTGAATCTAACTCTAGCTGTTTCTATGAAATTTTAAAGCAAACGCGCAATTTAAAATTGTTGCAGGACTTAAAAGGACAATTTACAAGTTATATAACTATGAATTCTAACCTTACATTGAAATTTTTCAACAATGATATTATTCTGTCAGATAAGCCGACTGCGATGATTTTTTTGATAAATTGCGCTTTTGTCTGAACTTATTATTACAGAACGATTATCTTGCGATAGCGCTGTTTATCAGTTAATATTTTTACGTCATAAAATCTGTCCTTTGTTTACTTTTATTATTTTTCGAATAATTTTAAAAATGTATCTATCACATTGGGGACACACATTCTTTCTCAGTCAATGAGTACTCTACATTTCATTATTTATTTTTATTGTCAAATATTTTTTCTAATGCTTTAAAAAGTGAGAGTAAATCTGGAAAAATTTTTTTAATAGCTATCTGCTTGGTGTGGTAACATTGCATTAGAATCATTACTATTCAAATTGGTTTCTGATGCACTGTAAAATAATTTATGCAAAAGATATGAATGACAAATGCAATGTAATTATAAGGAATGATGTAGCTATTAGTGATGTATTCTAATATTATATAACTGTTTTATTTTTTTTTTTTATAGATTGGTTACTCAAGATGACCTAAAGCTATTTCATAAAAAGAAGTTTAAAGAAAAAGTAACCATGACCTCTCTAGGAAAGCAAATTTTTGTAGCCAAAAACATTCATCCCAGAGGCGATGAGGAGGCTACAACAAGTATTTCAAGACACCCCACAGCTGACTCTTTATCTTTAGCTTTTGAAAATTTATTTCACATGCCGTATGATATTATTGAAAACTATGGAAGTACCATACACACTCTGGACATAAGTCATAATAAATTTGGCAGGTAAAGAACTTTTCTCTTCAATTAATACTTTTTTATTTGAACATAAATTTTCTTAAGTATTAAACATATTTATTTTAATTTCAGGAGTTTACATTTCTTAGCTGAATTTGAAAATTTGACTTCTCTTAATTTAGATCATAACAACATTGATTCATTTACCACTTTTCCCTTTATGCCAAAACTACAACTGCTGTGGCTGAATTACAACAATATTGAAGAACTCTTTCCCTTTTTGAAAAACTTACACAAGAGTCTTCCCAATCTTCAATTCTTAGGACTTATGGGTAATAAAGCAGCTCCCAGCTTTATAAATGGTGGAAATTTTTATGACTACCTTCAGTATAGGTATGAAAATATACATATTAAGACAATTGTACTATAAACAAATAGAGCTCAAAATTAATTTTATTTATTGTTATAGATTGTATGTTATATCATGGTTCCCTCTTTTGGGTCATCTTGATGATAGAGCTATTACTGCTGAGCAAAGACTCGAAGCAAAACGTCTATACAAACGCCCGTTTCTTGAAGAATTTTTAGAGAAACATGAGATGCCAGAGTGCCTTAAATACTTAAATAGTAAAATAACAGAATTTTTTACTCAACCCACAACTTGGCAAGAGAGATTTAAGTTTCCAAAAGGGCCAAATTATATAATCTAAGTCAGTATTATTTAGAGATGCGTGTTGAAAGTAATTTTTTATTGCTTATTTATAATTTAAGCGTAGTGAGAAAAGAGAATTTTATCTTAACTTATGAAATTGGTTAATACTTTGTTTGCATCATTATATTCGGTTGTAAAGTTTGAATGCGCTAGTCATTGGAAAATGCAATAGATTTATTACTTTTATACTCTATTCAATTGCAAAAATAGATTATTTAGGTAATTGACAAAAGCGCACAAGTGAAAACTATTTGAACTACCATGCATGCTTATAAAGGTGTTGACAAATGAGTATTTTATTGAAAATCTGATGACCGTGAGAGAGCTTTAATATTTAAATTGTTGATAAATTTATGAAATTTTGCATTTATAAAAATTATTTATTGTTTTAAAAACCTTTTATATTTGTAGAAAGTTATGGTTTGTTTTATTTTTAACGTTTTATTTTGACGTTTTAAAATTTGTTGAGGGGTTGTTTGAATCTTTTTTAATTTTATATAATCATGTGTATGAATGTGAAATGTTTTCTCTTTTTGTTTTTATGATAAAAATTGTAACTTCATCGAAGAGAATCATAACGTACTATTTATTGTCTATTCTTTGACATCGTACGATGCATTTTCGTATTGAGCAATCAAAAAGTGCGTGTGTACGTAAAAATAACCAATGTAATCATGAAATTAGTCTATTACTTTAAGTATACATTGGGTGGTCTATATTTGACTTATTTTTATATAAATATAACTAAGTTAATCAAACTTACTAATTTATATATTTTTTACATATGAATGTACGACACTGCGATCGGTATAATTTTATACCTAATTGAGCATTTTAATAAAATTGTTATAAATAATATAAATTAAAATCTATCAAACGTTTTTAATTATCCACATCAGTTCTATTCAGCTTTCGTTAACTTCAAAAACTTCAATTTATCTGTTACACGAGCGAAGCGCGTCGCGTTCAAGTGCAATTGTTTGTTAAATGCGCCTCTCTCATAGAAGTCCCCGTAGCGTAACGACCTACCATTACATACACCACACAACGCATATGAAATTCCACGTACATATAAACCGGCCTCGGAAATGCTCACACATTGTATAAGCTGCGCTCGAGTGAAAGATTCGCTCTCGCTCTTATACGATGTTGTTACAAACTGCTGCACCTCCGCGTCGTCGTCGTTTAACACGTGTGCACGCGATAGATAGGCAGTACGAAGAAGAACAATTGGGTCGTCGCGTTGCATGAAGTGTGCAGCTATAAGAGAGGAGTCCTTTAACCGAAACGAGTCTCACGGCTTTCTCTGCCGGCTGCTGTCTTATCCCGCGATTATACACATCTAGTCCTGTGTCACCTCACAGCTGCACACACGGTACTTACTGTGGTGCATGTTTTATGCATACGTTTATACGCAACGACGCCTGATAAGCTGTCTGCGCGCTCGCTGACATAATGCACCTTAGCTGCCGCCGCCGCCGCCTCTCTATATCTTGGGTTATTACGAAATCAAGCCGTGTACTTCACGATCTTGCTTACGACTCGGAGCTTTTTGTCTTTTACCATGTATGTTTTGCGTTTGTTTTTGTTGCTCGATTTTCTTTGGCGCAAAACGACGCATATATTTAATATTTAATAAGTGAAATTAAAACTCGATGCATAACTTAAGATTCAAATCCGGGAAAGTATATTATACGCGCGCGGCGAATGACCCAGACGCGCGCGACTGAAGATCAGAAAGCTCGTGCGGACGTTAATAGACGATAGAGAAGAAAAAAATTAATGTAACATGAAACGCGATCGCGATCCGATTAAAAATAAAAAGTGAGTATAGTCGTTGCATACATCGATGAAAGTGTCGGAGCTTAATTATATCGCGCTGACATATTACAACGTTTGTATATGCACTTCGTTCCTAACTGTCTCTCAACTTTTATGAAAAAAAGAGTAACGAGTAAATAAAATCGTCTAATTTTTACGCTCGATAATCGTAAGTACTCGTAATTACACACGCTACACTTGAGAGAGAAAAATTCAATGTCAATGCTTCGATACGATGGGGAAAATATAATTCTTAAGTGCATTAACGTTCGCGTATACGATAAAGAAAAGTTATAGAAAAATTGTTGTATAAATTTTTATTTCAATACTATTTTAACGATCGATATATGTACAATAAACTCGAAACGATGCCGCGAAGCTTAAATATCCGGAGTATTAGTGGCGATTTCGGACATCTTAACCGACTCGTAATCCTCGTCTCGCGTCTTGTCGGCGTCGTCCTCCTTTATGGCGAACAATACCTGATAAGCCGACGTGCCGAGGGCACCCCCGGCCATCGGACCGACCCAGTAGACCTACATCATATATTTGGGAAAAGTTTAATATTCTTATCGCATTCAAATACAATTATGCGTCCGCGTGTAATAATAATAATTCTTCATGGCTTACCCATTGATCTTTCCAAGCTCCGTTCCACAAAGCCGGCGCGAAGGTCCTCGCCGGATTCATGCTGCAGCCCGTATAAGGAGCCTATACGAGACACACAATAAACTCAAATATATGCCTTTATAGGACGAATCGCATTATAAAAGAGATTCATCGACGAATGTCGCCAAACGTTTTCCTCGTAATACGCGGCAAAGCGTCGTCGCATAGTCGTCCTGTACAGCGTAAGATAGTGCGGTGGGTTACTCGAGCTTTGACGCATATCAAAAGAAGAGCCCACAGGGGAATAACATACGCCGCTCGGTATATACCATGTGCGGCTACGCAGGACTTTCCTAAAGAGAGAGAAAGAGAAGAGCTGCCACTGCTGCTAAAGTTACATCAAAGGGAAGCTGTGCTAGCTATCCTCACGGCACAACTCTCGAGTCGAGTGTATATATAAGCGCGTAAGTAAGATAGTTGCCGCAAGTCCTCGTTCCTCGGCGTGTGATACATAGTACTAGTAGATAGGTATATAAGTAAAGTACATATATATAGTCGAGAGCTTACCGCAGCAAGGGAAATCGAGACGACGGCCATGCCGAACCTTATTGCCACGGAGTCCGTGGTGTGGGCGCAGCGCGGATCCCACGTGGCGCAGGCGCCAATCAGGATCAGCGACGTGCACAGTATCTCGATCAAGATGCCCTGGACTATCGTAATCTCCGGATGAATGACCGTGACGCAGAGCGGGGCCGTCGAGGCGGGATTGCCGTCGCTCATCAAGTGCACCGGAGTCACTATCTATACACGTTCGCAGATTGAGAAAAGAACATTAGATGCGCGAGCTGTCGAATTGTATATGTAGGGCGCCGATCGATCCGAAAATGCATCGAGTAGTATTACGAGAGAGAGAGAGAGAGAGAGAAACTTTCGCAATGTCGCACAATCCACGTATTATAACATTTCAATATCGTTGCTGCTGCCAGACAAGTGTTGAAAGTGTCGGAAATTGGACAATAATAACGACGCGAAATGATACATACGATATGTGCACACGATATATCACGCAGCGAATGCCAATGCACGTATATCGATCTCTCAATTATTTATTACAGGTATTATATAGCTGCTGCTGCTGCAGCGCGTGCCACGTCGTGATATATCGACAGATCTAGGCTAATGATGGTAATTTCGAGAGAAATAGAGATAATTGTCACCTTAATCAAGCCGTATCCTATGGTCGCGCCGATGAACTGCGCCAGGACGTAGATCAGTCCCGTGGGTGCCGATTTCAGGCCGATCATGACGGCCCCGAGCGTCACCGCCGGATTCATGTGGGCCCCGCTCAAGTGCCCGTACGTCTATACGTGATGTAATAACAAACAAATGTAACATAACTGGATCATCGTCGCCCGCTCACTTTCGTAGAAGAATATTTAGAACATACCATAATGAGCAGATTCACCGCCATGCCGAACGTCATGGCGGTCTGGAGCGGCGGCGGTGGCGAGGAGCCCCATATGCCTATGCCACCCATGCAGCCCAAAAATAATAGACTCGCCGTGGCGATGATCTCGGCCACGAACATCGTGAACGTTCCCTCCTGCATCTTCCATGGATCGACTGCGCCAGAGAGTAAAACGTCACGATTCTCTGTTATTTAATTCCCTACTCGTATGCATTTTGATGAAGTTATCGAATCTGCATATGTATACCTTTTTGAATGGCTGACATTTTTAACGAACTGCTTTTTCGGAGGGCAGGTAAATGTATATACTAAAAGATTTTGAACTTTACACAACGATGCACAACAACACTGACGAGGGAGAGACACAAGATTCACATTATTATTTTACAATGGCTTACAAACTAAGCTAGCGTACGAACTAAGAATGAATCAAAGACAACCCGCTTGAGAGCTTCGACGAATGAAAAATTTTTTGCAAAAAAAATTAATTTAATGATAATCCTCGGACTCTCCGTATTGCTACTATTTCCGGTCTGATTAAGCCCGATAGCAGATCTTATCGTTCGATTTCTTTTGACAAATCGCGGTGACGCTAATCATCGACCAATAGCTCGCTGACATTATGACGAATCAATGCCGATCTATCGTCCGTTTCGATTTTTCATTTTATTAGAACGCGTCGGTGATTGATATCTCCAATAAATTATCGAATACTTTTCGTCGAGACACCTTGAATATAACGCAAGAAGTTTTTCCGAACTTATGCAACACCGAGTATGTGAACGCAAATAATTTTGCTTGTATTAAAAAAATTTAAGAATAGGAAGTATAACGCGAGAGCGTACTTGTAAAGAGTATGGAATCGGCGTTGTTCACTTATCTGAATAAACCATCCTGGAAACAATATTTCATCGTATCGCTGATGCACGTTCTGTAAGGCAAGAAATTCATTTTCCCCTTGACTTTGCATGATCGCTGTAGCCATAAATCATATTCAAATTGCAAAAATTTTTTTCCCGTGAGTTTGTGAAGCGTGAATTTGTTACGTCATGAATTTAAAATAATTTGATAAACTCAAGAACTCATTCTTATGAAAATCAATATTGTCATCTATTTCTTTGAATCAAGTAAATAAAGAAACCACTGCAAATAAATTGTCAAAGAGCTTTCTCTAACAATTTTTATCAATCCTATATTCACATTGCATTACTAATTAAATTTGGTATTATCCTATGAATAATTGTAAATAAAAAAATTATTTGGCCTGAAGATACTATTCTAGACTAAATAATCATAGTTATCTATTTTTTACTGTTTTCTTATCCTAATCAGATTTTAAAATCTTACAAATGTTGATTACAAATGTTAAATTAATGGTATTTTCTCAGCATTTTGTAAATCTAGTTGACACTAGCATTAATATATTCAATCAAAAGATGTTGAGTGATAAGATTAAGTGTTAAGTGTTCTGATTGCTATTTATTTCGCAAAAAGATGCAAGAAAAAAAAATATACATGTCCAACTCAAGAGTTTTATAATTTGACTCAAAAGTTCATCGATCAAAGTCAATATTTGTTTTTAAATCGCTGTGAGAAAGAAAAAAAGAAAAAGCAGATAAACCAATTTGAAGATAATTTTTATTTGCTCAACCGAAAATTAATTATTAATAGCATTATTATTCTAATTAAAGATTGATGTTGAGTACTCCAATTACTATTTATTTCATAAAAAGGTGCAAGAAAAAAATGGCCACTTAAGATTCAAGAGTTTCGTAATATGACTTAAGCGTTCATCGATCAAAATCAAACAATCGAACAATCAAACAATCAAACAATCAACAACGTTTTATTGTTGTGAGGTGGGATGTATTTTATTAAATAGAAAACCAAGTCCCCCAATCGCCATTCATTCACGATAAGTACTCTGTAGAACATCGTGAAGCTACACGTATCGTAGAAAATACAAAACGATTTTTATACGCTCAACGTTTTCAAATTATTAAGTTCGTTTCATAGATAGAAAATTAATCGATATGTCTGCCTGCGCCAAAGTTAACGATAATTCCAACGGCTATCCTTCGAAAGTTCATAAGGATTGCACCGATGTCAAAGAGGATAGTCAAACGATCGTGCTTCGACAGCCCGAACAGCTACTCCGACAAGTGCTGGGCGACGAGTTGACCGTGCTCGATCTTCGACAATCGTCACTGGTGCCGACGGGTGAAAATTATGGCAGCTCGATGCTCAAAATCGACGTCGTCGTCAAAAAGAAACCGGACGCAGCCGAGGAGAGGTTGGCTCTGGTGGCCAAAATGTCACCCACCGCGGCCGTTCTGCAAGAGTGGATGAACGTCAAGGTATCGATGCCGAAGGAAATTTATATCTTCAAAAAATTGATACCTACTTATCGGGAGCTGCAACGAGAGGTCGGTATCGCAGAAAAAGATCTGATCGACGTACTGCCGAAATACTATGGCGGCCGATTTTCGCTCGATCCGGATGCTCGCGAAGTCGATTTCGATGCCGCGTTACTGATGGAAAACCTCAAGTGCGTCGGTTACAAAAGTATGGACAGAAAAACAGGTATGTTTCTTTTTTTACTCACCAATATTTTCATAATTCTGTGCGATAACATACATTTTTTTTTAATTTTAATATATTACATGATACGATCTATTCTGACAACATTACCATGTCAGCTTGTCTCGTTTTATGCTTAAAAATTGTATGTTTATCAATAATTTTTAGTTTAGATATTTTTTCTAAAATAACTCTAAAAATATTCAATTCGACATACACAGGTATGGACTATGAGCATGCAAAAAAGGCCCTCTCGAAACTGGCGGAATATCACGCACTCGGCATCGCTATGAGAATAAAAAGGCCAAAGATCTTCAAAGAAGCTCGCAAAGTGATTGACATTATTCCTTTCGACATGAATATCGAATTGTTTGCCAATATAGGTGAAACTATTATGCAAACCGTTTGCAACGATTCTCGGATGGCTATTCACAAGGACCTTGTCAAAAAGCAAATCGACGATAATAAAAATTTCGAATGCTCCTACAACATGGAGGCTGTTGAGCCCTGGCTCACAATACATCACGGTGATTTTTGGGTCAATAATATAATGTTCAAACATGGTACGTAGTCACACTTTTAACGTCCACTGAAAGATCAAGATGTGAATTTAATGACAGATATTGTATCTTTCTATTGCAGACAAGGAAGGACCAGTTGACGTTAAGTTCGTCGATTTTCAACTCACTTACTCCTGCAGTCCCATGAAAGATCTTCCTTATTTCCTCACTGCCAGTCTGTCCATCGAGACAATTAACAACCATTTCGAGGATTTAATCGATATCTATCATGAAAAATTCATCGATACATTGATAACGCTCAAATGCGACACGACGCCGTTTCTGCGAGAAGAATTCGACAAGCAGCTCCGGTACGACTCTAGCAATCAGCTCTACAAATGCATGGCGGCTCTGAAGTTCTTTACCATGGATACAGCTGAAAATAATATTGACTTGAATGACCTGAAACAAACCGTGGTACAGTCCAAGTCAAATACTACATTCATCGACCGTCTATGTCGAATGATTGAAAAGTTCGTCGAAAAAGAATGGCTGTAACGCGTTTAAAATTTGTCAAAAAAAAAGTAAATAGAGTGCTGAACAATTTGTTTGTTAATGAAAATTTTTTAGTAGAAATTGTTCATTACTATAACTAGACGTGAGTCAGGACAGAGCTTTTTATAGAGAAAGCAAAAAAACAATTTCATTTTCTAGTCGTAATTTTTGAAATATTCAACAAAGCATTAAAATTTGACTGTTCTATATTGAAAATAAATTCTCCAAAATATTTTGATCGTATGAAAAAAATTTATTTCATTATTTTTATCTAACAAAATTTTTCAGTAGGATCGTTATCAAGCCCATCACAAAGTCTCCTTATAGAGGAAGCACAAGGTATTAGTATAATTCTTATATTTGAGTTATAATTGAAGTAGTAGAGTGATTTACCCGATCATCATTTATTCACATGAAAGTTTCTTGCGCTGCACGAGTAATCATATGCATTTGGCCTGTCGATGCACTAATAAAAATCAAGGAACTCGATATGTGTGCTCGCGAAACGCTTAGCAACGTCACTCGTCGAAAGCAAAAGCAACAACGATGCCGCCGTCGTCGTCAAAAGTAGCAGCTTCGAAATCGGAGAATGAAAAAATTCCATACGTGAACAGAGATTATCTCCTCGACACGGAGTACGTCGTCAAAGTCGCGAAGACCCTGCTGACACCGATCGGCATCTGGCCGCGCGACGGCGACGACAGTCCCAGAAGCGTGACCATTTTCTGGATGAGAATAGTCGCGGTTTTCAGCTTGATGCTGTGTCTGCTCGTGCCTCACTTCACCTGGACCTTCTTCAAAGCCGAGGACCTGAGGAAATTGATGAAGATCATCGCCGCGATGGTCTTCAGCTCGCTCGCCGTGCTCAAGTATTGGAACATGATCTTCACGAAGAAGGACATTCGAGCCTGTCTCGAGACCATGGAGGATCACTACAGGCTCGTCGAGTCCGAAGAAGCGAGACAGATCATGTTGAAAGTGGGTAATTCATTATTGCGCCAATACACCTGGTAGAAATGCTTGACATTTTATGGCTAGTTTTTGGCCAATGAAAAAATTTCTTGGTCATACGAGGGTTATTCTAATTATTTTTATTTTCTACATTTGAAATGTAAAATGTCAATGATATTGAAATTGTTCTTTTGAATTTTTAAACACTATCCTTAACTGTACTTTTTACCAACATCGGTATTGACTCTAAAAACTTGCTTTGAAGTTCAAAATATTTTGTAGGTCTTCAAGTCAACTAAAGTTTTGGAATATAGACGTTACTTTTTGAATACGTTTACAAACATTTGCATATTAAGATGCATTACAGTAAAACAATGGGACATTAAAACCCAGAAATATTTTTCACCACATCATTGCTAATTCATCAAACCGTACCTTGACTTAAATACTTATTTTGACTTTATCACTTGCAGATTTTACTGATAAAGGTTCTCGCCATCTAGCGGTGTAGGTTTAAAGTGGTATTGTCGAATTTACAGAGTTTGTAAACTGGTATAATTTTTTTGAAACAATAACGTTGTTATTCTAAGGACAGTTGAAAAGCGTTTTTTTTTAAACATAATTGTAACATAAAAATCGCCAAAAACAATTAATGGTGATGTGTTTTAAAATATTTTAAATGGTCGTTTTTTTATTAATGTTAATCATTTCTACTAGCCTTGCGGCTTTTTTTTTTATTGTAAACATTCACATTATCGTATGATAGAACGCCAAGATCGGCCGGCTGTTCACGGTGGCCTATCTCAGCCTGTCCTACGGGGGCGCCCTGCCCTATCACATAATCATGCCGCTGCTGCAGCCCCGCGTGCTGCGCCAGTCCGACAACTCGTCCATGATACCGCTGCCCTACCCGAGCGAGTACGTCTTCTTCATCGTCGAGGATCCGCCGCTCTATCAGATCGTCTTCGTCGGCCAGATCCTCATCAGCAGCATCATCCTGACCACCAACACGGGCGTCTACAGTCTGATCGCCTGCATAGTCATGCACTGCTGCTGCCTGTTTGAGGTGACGGGCCACAAGCTCGAGTGTCTGCTGGACGGCAGGTCGTACGACAAGAGGGCAGTGCGGCCGGATCTGGTCAAGAGGCTCGTGGACATCGTCGATTATCACAACGAAGCCATAGCGTGAGATAAATCGATGTTAATGCTGTTTAGATTGTTTAATAACGATTTTACGTTTTGGGCGAGCAGATACGCCGATACCATTGAAAACTGCCTGAACATAGTTATGCTCTCCGAAATGGGCGGCTGTACTCTTATCATATGCTTTTTAGAGTACGGCATATTACAGGTATATATCTTACTCGTGTGCATTTTTTTTAAAGAATCGAGAAGATACAAAAAATTTTCTCATCTCGTAGGACTTGGAAGACGCTGATTATCTGGGCATGATGACCTACGGTGTACTGATGACATCGATTTTCGTTAATGTTTTTATTCTGTCCTTCATCGGGGATAAAGTCAGAGAGCAGGTACAGATGCAGAATGTAGCCTCGTATGAACAATTCTCTCGATCGCCACGTTTCTAATCGAACGAAGATGGAAATAATTAAATTTTGTGAAAAATTTTCCATTTCAGAGCGAGTTAATTGGCAATTCCATGTACTCGATTCAATGGATGGATTTGCCGAACGATTTTGCATTGAAAAATGTAAAATTCATTATTGCCCGAGCCAATCAGCCGACCAGACTAACGGCCGGCAAACTTTTTGATCTGTCTCTGCAAGGATTCTGCGATGTGAGATGAAATTTGAACACATTTTTATAAGAAAAAAAAGTATCGCGAAGGGATACGAGTAAACTAGTATATTTATCTTTTTGATAATTACAGGTTGCCAAGACATCTATGGCGTATCTCAATTTCCTTCGAACGCTCGAAATCACGTAATGAGTTACATTTTCATGTTCTGTTAATTAGTTCAATCGTAATACCAATTGAAAACATACAAAACACTTCCAAATTCGAATAAAAACGTATCTCTGTGGCATTCCAAAAACGATAGGCCTCAATTTTTATAGAGCATTTATTCATCGGATCATCCATACATGAATCATGAAAGTCAATATAATATACCATTAGTCTCGTATAATAATGCGGAGAAAAGCAAGCCGAAGTTTCGAAAGAGTTCGATGCAGATATAAATTATACTTCGGAATATAAGAATGTGTAATCATGATTTGTTGTAACTGCTGTCACGACTTTTCTACGTACATACACCGCACACACCATGATACACATTGAAGCAAAATTAAACACCATCTTCAAATCAACATATAGTGGAATTATCCTCTGCCTCTATTACTGTACTGTAGATCAATATAATGGTGGCGTTTACACACACATCGCGCGCACATTATTATATACATTTATTTATTCATTTTTTTTTACTATCCGCGTGTACTCCAGGATTGAATTTTTCATATACACGTACCGCACAGAACAATGAACAAGCGTAAAACAATAAAAATAGAAAGAGGCAGAGAGAGCATCGCGTTCGCATTATTGAATATCCATGAAGATTGAAGTGGTCGTCGTCGCAGCTGTGTGCTCTCAGCGGCGGCAGACAGAGTATAATATGGGATCGGACCCGAGCGGCAGCAGATAGTCAATCGGTGCAACGGCTTGAAAATCACGGCCGAGATGCTCCCGCTCGCTCGTCGGCATCGTCTCTCTCTTCATATAGCAATGTATACTCCGAGTGCTTCATGGCTCGTGCATAATAAATTGTCGTTTCAGCCGAACGGTATACGCGGTAATGGCTTTGGCGAGCGACCCCCAGCAGAAGCATTTCAACTTACTTATCTAGGTATATACAGGCATTTCGCTGAGAGAGTATCGTAAGCTCGCAATTATCGTCTTCATTTGCCATTTCGGTCGACGTCGGTACGTTGATAAAACTGTTGGAGCTTGGAGCTTGATTGAAAAACAATTATACGCGATTATTGTCTCTGGGTATATTGTTACGTTTCTCGTGAAATTTAAAACTTTTTTTATCCCTATTTTACTCGATTGATTGTTCGAGAAATATATGTCGATCAACTAATTTTGTCTTTCAGAAGCTTAACTACATTAAAGTTCAGTTAAGCCGCAAGGGAATATTAATTTATAACCCGTTTGAATTATTTTCTGTCGTTCCTTACTTATTTCATTGTGTCTCTGAGGCTTTATACGTTTTTCTTACGACTAACGTGATAACTTGCGTGATTGCAAAATTTCTCACAATTCTCTTTATTAATTAACTTAATTGATCAAAAATATCGGAAAAATCAAGTTTCGTATCTCAATGAAAGAATAGGAGAAAGTTATATTTATTCGATGACATTTTATCAGGCAATGTTACAATATTCACATATATGACACTCGTCGCATTACTCTGAATTTATAAGGATACACACGAGCATTTACACGAATAAGCAATTGCGATAAGCGCGCCTATATATAAATCCGAATCATGATGGCCTCGAGAGATACCTACCTTATACCATACAGCCTTTATCATTCGAGCGGAACTTGAGAGAGCCGAGATCTGCGGCTCCTTGCGCGCCCACGAGAAAGAAAAAAGTCCACAGCAGCCCGTATCGCCGAAGCATTTTACGTAACGAGGCTCTCGCTCTCGTGGGGCTCCGTGCCATAATAAATAATAATATCGATCGTGCGGCTTAAATTTCGCATTGTCTGAACCTCGGAAGTATAATAATACGCGCGGATCAACGTACATATTGTTTTCTTTGCGCTTATGTCTGCGATTGCGTCGCTCGCGGCTACTCTATACTATGCTAATCTTCCTCGAGACTACATGCATTAATACTCGTTTGTATACTTGTGCGCGCGCCTAAAATCGTATCAAGTTGTAAATTGAAAATTTCGTTGTTTTCCAAAGTAGGAAAATTAATTTTCGACTTTCGGCGCGTACAATGGATGCCTCGCAGTCGGTTGGATGCGTAATCGAGTTTCTTCCACAATATGTGCGCGCAGTGGCAGAAGTGAATTCTCGAGTCTCTGCTCGTACGAGGGAAAGCCAATTTATATAAATTCACACAACGTATTACGACGTCCCGAGACTAAATTCACACCCTGGGCAAAGAGAAGAAAAATAGTTTTTTCCAGCCATTGCCGCATTTCATAATAATTATACCAATCGGGTGCGTAATAAAAATGTAAACTATATCCGTCTAAAATTCAGAGCACACCCGTTTCACGCGCGAGATTTGCGTATCGCTTTTCAATAAACGAGTAAACAAGTGCTATATGTACCGCTAAGTAATATACGCATGATATAAGGCGAGAAAAATGTCATGCCAAGTGCAAGCGGAAGTTTGCGTATACGTACGCGCTGCGTTCGAAAACTATTTTGCCAATGATATAATTATATGTACTCGAGAAAAGCCGCCACCGCCACCGCCGCCGTACGAGCAAATTTAATTGCGAGCTCTCGTTAGATAGTTTTATATATAATGTGGCACCAATCGAATGCGACACGAATAATTAAGGAAAATAATTATCCTATCGGTTTTTTGAAATTATGTAAGCCAATCAGAAACCATGGCCGTGTAAATTGTTATCGGTGTAATTGAAAAAATTTGTATCGAACATTCTCACTGATTTTGAGTTACATCATTACAGAATCATCGTTGAAAAAAGTTATGCTGAATAGTTCTTGAGCACTGCAGGGGTAACGAGTCAATTGTACATCAGATTTTTGTGCGATAAATTGACCAATGTAGCTCGTTTGCATTCGAAAATTCAACGATTTTTTTTCAAACTTTCAATTTGTTTTTATGCAACGATGATCATTTTTAAATTAGTTTTCTGAACAAGTACCTACATCAGATCGTACATCACCGTTTATGGTACAATTAAACATAAATTTTACCCATTTTATATGAACGTAATTTATTTCAATCCAATATTGTTAAATTATGGATGGAACTCAAGTTGTTTTGTACAGTATTGCTGTCGGTTCCGAGATATAAGTATTTCTTTTTTTGCGTGAATGTTTCTCCGTATACATAGCTCGTATGCGTAAAGGAATTGTCTGCCTGAATTAATAGAATTTTGATTATCATTTCGATGTTGTTCTAATGGCATGTGAGTACATTTCTGCGTGTGGCCAATCGACAGAGGTGGGGGAAAGTATCGCCGGAGAGTTATCTACGGAGGTACATCTCGCTAATGTACGAATAGTGTGTACAGTCTAAAACGAGGAGCTGAATTTCTTGGTGAGCAAGTGTTTACAAACGGTATCACTATACAGGAGTATAGGTCTTAACCAAAAATCTAGAAGTAGTGATGGCTAATTGAGACGTTTAACCTTGAATATTGCCTCAATGTGCATCGTGAAAATTTACAATTATTCAGCACAAAATCAAGCGAATGATGAAAAGCAGAGAGGACCCAGTCAGGTATAACTTTTTTTTGCATATTTTTAAAGCGATTGCATCAACAATCTCCATTATCCTCAGGGTTAAAGAAGAGCCGAATGAGGATGATCCGGAAGCAGGCAGAAATTATAATTTCAATTTGTCGGACTCTTATAAAGGCAAAAACGTTGAAACATTCGTGTTTTATGAATCACCAGTGAGTGTAACAATTTAAATCATGTTCTTTTTGTACTATCCAAAACTATTACACAATTTTAATTTCAGACAAATCAAATGAATGAGGTTATGTTATTACAAGGAAAATTAGAAGAAAAATTATGTGTAGAATTTGAGTGCAGAGATGTTAAGCCTGAACTGTCATTTAAATCGACAACAATCTGCAAATCAGAATACCAAAGTTCTCTGCCTATTGTGAAAATAGAAAACGAAAATCAGGTTAATTATATTAACGAAAAAATATTCAATGATTTTGAGTGCAGAGATGTGAGACCTGAGCAGAAGTCTTGCGAGCAATATAAGGATTTAGAAATATTAAAAAAAACATCTCAAACCAAATCATCTAATGAGTGTAAAATGTGTCGAAAAAAATATAAACAAGAAGTAAGTCTTAAAAGACATATCAACGCGAAACACAAAAGCATTAGACTACACCAATGTGAAATTTATCAGAAAGCCTTCGAATGTGATATTTGTCACAAATCACTTAGCCACAAAAGAAACGTAAAAAGACATATAAATGCATTGCATGATCGTAGAAAATCGTTCGAGTGCGAGATTTGTCACAAATCATTTGCACAAAAACAACATCTCAAAAGACACGTAAATACAGTACATGAACGTAGGAAACCTTTCGAATGTGAAATTTGTCACAAATCATTTGGCCGCAAAGGTCACCTCAATAAACACATAACAACAATACATGATCGTATTCAATCTTTTGAATGTGAGATTTGTCAGAAATCATTTGGAGAAAGAGGAAATCTAAAGAAACACATCGATGGAGTGCATTATCGTAGCAAACCCTTTGAATGTGAGATTTGCCATAAAACATTTAGAGATCAGAGTTATCTCAAAAATCACATAAGTACATTACATGATCATAAAAAACCCTTCGAATGTGAGATTTGTCACAAATCATTTGGAGAAAAAGGAACCTTAAAGAAACACATCGATGCAGTACATAATCGTAGCAAACCCTTTGAATGTGAGATTTGTCAAAAATCATTTGGAGAAAAAGGAACCTTAAAGAAACACATCGATGGAGTACATAATCGAATTAAACCCTTTGAATGTGAGATTTGTCACAAGTTATTTGTAAATCAGAATCAACTCAAAAAGCATATGAATGCAACCCATAATCTTATAAAATCATAGAAGCGCGAGATTTCTCGGAAACGTGTACGTGCTATAAAAACTTCTACAATCACATGAGATAAAGAGAAAATCTGTAATATTTTCTATCTACAATTTTAGAACAATAAAGTATTTCAAACTGTTAATCGTTTTATTTTCATTATGTAAAACATTTTTCATGCATACACTATAATTTTTCCACAGATCCACAATTGTTCTTCTGATTAACCAGGCCGCTGTTAAACTGATCTTGATAACATCCCATTTATCTTTTTTCAAGTATCTTTGTTTATATCAGGATTCTCGCCTCGAAATTAGAACTCGTTTTTATCTCTGCATTCTTACCCCCATATCTGATTCTCGAACACACAAAATTATAACAGCATCTACGGTCGATTAAAAAAGCTATAAAAATTTCAATTAAGCCTTCTCAACGCAAAGTGTATCTAATAATTTGCACATTATTTCGCTGCAATCGCTCATCTTCAATTAACTATGTACGCTGACCCAGAAATAAACTCTGCATCACACATGATGCTTTTCCTAGTTCATGAAATGTAAAATTTAATAAATAAAGAAAAAATCTAAATGTATTGGGCAGATTTTTGAGGAATTGGGGGGAGCAAGGCTGCTTAGTAGGAGAGGTAAGTTGGGATATATTTGAATATTTCTCCTTATTAATGACTTGAAAAAACATGGTGTCATCGATACAAACACTATATTTTCCCAAATTTGTTTAGAATTTTCGAAATCATCCATAACCCTTGACCAGAAATTGGAATTTTTTCTAAAGTCATACTTACCAAAAAATTATTGTCGAACCTTCTCCAAAAAACGTGTTTTTTTCATCCTTTTTTATCTGTAAAATATTCCAAGAAAATACTTCAGAAGTACAAAAAATTACCCCACTGAAATTTCTGAAAATTTGAAAAAAAAATTTTTTGATTTCCAGCAAATAACTTTTGAAATAATCTACAAAACCATACGTTCTTATTATTAAATAAAAGTTTAATTACTTTTTAAATCGCCGTGAAAATAATCCAATGAACAATTTCAACTTCGAATTAAATGAATTCCTATGATCCTCAATCAAGGCTTTTTGCTACTTTTTTATAATCACTTCAAACATTTTAAACAACTAGATCTACTCTACACGGTTAAAAATTTTTTTTACATTTAATCAATATTTTACTGAGAAATCAAAAAAAAATTTTTTCAAAAGTAATCAAAAAATAAGTTTTTCATGATAATAAATAATATGATACCTGGTTTTAAAACTAGTTTGCGAGCCTATCACAAAGCTTCTTTTGAAAAATTTTTATTGCTAAAAATTACAATCTTCAAAATGTAAAATCATATCGGAACTTTCAGACATCTCTACTTTAATCTATCTATCTGATAATAAAAATAACGATACAGAAGGCGCATGTATCGAAGCAACAATAAAAAAGTACACCTAATGCGTATCAGTATAAGCTCAAATTGTGCACATGTGTCACAGTGAAAGAGAGCGCGCGTACTTTAATTTTTTAAATTATTTTTTATCGCTGTAGAAAACGTTCTTTATACGTTTAAAAAAATAAGAGTTTGTGCGAAATGAAGGAAAAATACGTAATGGAATCGAAAAGCAACGTCGTGATTACGAATGATACATTTGAACTATTCAATGGTTTATTTTACATGCGAATTTTAACACTTCGTCGATTAGGATGGAGTTTTATTATGTGTTTGACTAGTTTTGTGATTTATCATCTATCATTTTTCGATGTAGAAAAACCATCGATTCTTCATCTGTCAGTCGTAAGATAAATTTTAAATCTGTGGATAAATATGGAGCAAAATTATTAATATAAAATATCACAACTATTTTATATACTTACGATCAGGAAGAGATTATAGAGAAAGAAAATTATACGGTCGATAGCGTCGTTATTGAGTCTGAAGACGGATATCTGCTGACTTTACATCGCATACCAAATGAAGATGGACCACCAGTATTTTTGAAACATGGCTTTTTATCGAGTACAGTGGACTGGTTGAAAAGTGGAAAAAATCGATCTCTTCGTGAGTATCCAATAGTCTAACAAGCGACGATTGATGTCATGGCACTTACTTTCAATTAACTCATTTTTGTCTAGCTTACTTTTTGTGGGACCGTGGGTTCGATGTTTGGATGGGGAATGCTCGAGGTAATGCTTATTCCAGACGTCATAAAACATTGTCAACGGACGATCATCGATTTTGGGATTTCAAGTTACTACATGAATATTAATATTTATAAACTGATCATCGCAAGTAATTGTCTAGAACAAGACTCGTATTTTCACACTATAGTTTGCACGAAATGGGTTACTACGACGATGCAGCTTTCATCGAGTACATAAGCAAGACGAGAAATTCCAAACTGTTTTACGTTGGTTACTCATTGGGAGCATTGACGTTTTCAATAATGGCAGCAGAGAGACCCGAAGTAGCTAAAAATGTCAAAGCTATGGTCGCTCTCGCTCCTGCAATTTACATGGGTAACATCAATCATGGATTGATAAACTTAATAGCTATGTATCAAAAAGAACTACAGGTTGGTTGATTGCATTGTTCACGATGATTATCTAGTTATATGAAATAAATAAATTTTTCAAGGCCTTAGCGCAACTGTTCAAGATGCGTGAATTATTTGGTCATAGCTGGGTTCTCGACTACATAGGCAATTATGTCTGCCGATTACATTTAATTGGAGATTTCGTTTGCAGTCAAATATTTTATTATATCCTTGGTTATAGTCCCAAGCAGTTAGATAAGGTGAGTATTTGTAAAAAAAATTAAGATATTATTAATTTCTAAAAAACAATTTACAGACTAGATTACCTATCATCTTCACCAAGTATCCCTCTGGAATGTCTTTTCAATCGTTGTATCATTTTCTGCAGCTTATTTCCTCCAACGATCTTCAGAAGTACGACTACGGTTTGGCTAAAAATATGGATATTTATAACAGCTCAACTCCGCCAAAATATAATATTTCTCGAATTAATATTCCAACCGCAGTATTTCTATCGAAAACTGATCCTTTGAGTACAGAACAGGTAAAAAAATCATGAGTTTTTCGTTACCATTCATATTAAAAATTTAGCTCTAGATGCAAATGTAAATTATTACTTTTTTAGGATGCACTTCGATTCTATAATGAATTACCTGTATAGTTAAGTCTACATTGTGTTGATCGTACTTTTAATCACCTCGATTTCATAATTGGAAAGGACATATCAGAAGTTATTAACACCAAAATTGTTGACATATTTAGTTAATAATATCTATCAATTTTACGTTTATTAGACAACAAAAATGAATTCTTCGAGACTTAAAAAAATCTTAATTGTGATAAAATAAATAATATTTATTTGACTGCGCAATATCATTCAATAAAAATTGATCGTGTAATTGTATTGTTTACGAATAAAAATCCATTGTGAATAAGGGCCAATAAAATGTTTTTATTATAGATAAGCTTTGCAGCTGCATCTTTTTTGTTGTTCATTTTTTGTCTTACATTTTTTGTCTACGTTTGAAAAACCAATTATAATCCTACGAAAATATGAAAAAAATCATTCAGTTTTAAAATAATCATGATAATGCAAGCATGTTCGGGTAACAGTGCGGATGGCATAAAAATTATGGTGTAGTTTAATAAAATGCGAATGTCTGCAATGGATCGCAGACCGCAGTACATGTATCTGCATATGGCAAGTCGACGTTAGAGGGGGACAGTATATCACCAATGAGCTCTCAGTATCACAGTCCCAGAGTCTCCTCGTTAATATACGAGTAGTGTGTTTGTGTATAGTCACAAACAAAGATCTAAATTCCTGAGCAAGTGTTTACCAATTGTTGAATGCGAGGACATGAGAGATGATTGCTCGCGGCGTATAACCTCGAATATTTTCTCGAGTACAAATAGTGAAAATTCACAGAGAATATCGATAATCGAACTCATTATGAATAGCAGCAGTGACAATATTAGGTATACTTATTTTAAGCGTCGTAGTACTACTTTCGAGCAATTCTTATGAATTAATTAAAAGCACGATAGTCGAGGGAATGTCAAGTTATTTTAATTGTTAATAAAATAACTTGGCATCCACTTCACGATCGTGTTTTTAATTAATTCATAAGAATAGGAGGTGCGATGATAAATGAGTGAAATCATACGAAATTCGAATATTTTTCAGGGTAATCAAGAAAGAGCCGATCGACGTTTGGCCAGATGCAGGTGACGATTGTAATTTCGATTCTGTACACATTTGCGAAGTAAAAAACTTCAAATCGTTCGAGCTTTTTGAATCACCCGTAAGTTTAATTATTTAAATTATATTACTTTTTTCCACAATCAAAAAATATATCCCAATTTTCAATTCCAGATAAATCACATGAATGAGGTTATGTCGTCACCGGAAACGTTACATAAAAACATACCAATAGAGTATAGAGATATGAAACCTGAACTGAAGTCTTTAACAACAACCATCTGTAAATGTGAGCATCCATCTATTATGAAATTAGAAAATAAAAATCAAATTAATGATACAAATGAAAATTTATGCGTTGAATTCGAGTGCAAAGATGTTAAACTTAAAATGAAGTCTTTGTCAGCAACCATTGGAAAATCAGAGTATCCAAGTTATCTACCTACTGTAAAAATGGAAAACAAAATTCAGACTCATTACGAGAATAATAAAGATCTGCCGATTTTTATGAAAAAAGAAGATGAAAAGTTAGAAGTTTATCAAGAGAAGACCCGAAACAAATTATCTGATAAGTACAAAATGAGTCGAACAACTTATTCAGAAAAAAAGAATGAAAAAAGATACATGGATAAAAAACACAAGAACGTCAGCGAATTCTTCGAGTGTAGCATTTGTCACAAATCATTTGATTGTAAAAATAACCTCAAATCTCACATACATTCAGTGCATAATCATAGCCAAGGCTTCGAATGTGAAATTTGTCACAAATTTTTTAAATATCAGAAAAACTTAAAAAGTCACGCAAATGCAGTACATAATCCTGAAAACCCCTTTGAATGTAATATTTGTCACAAATCATTTGGACACCAGTACTATCTCAAAAAGCACATAAATACAGTACATGATCGTATGCAATCTTTTGAGTGTGAGATTTGTCAGAAATCATTTGGAGAAAGAGGAAACCTAAAGAAACACATCGATGGAGTACATAATCGTAGCAAACCCTTTGAATGTGAGATTTGTCACAAAACATTTGGACAAAAAGGTAACCTTAAATATCACATAGATGCAGTACATAATCCTGAAAACCCCTTTGAATGTAATATCTGTCACAAATCATTTGGAATCCAGAACTATCTCAAAAAGCACATAAATACAGTACATGATCGTATGCAATCTTTTGAGTGTGAGATTTGTCAGAAATCATTTGGAGAAAGAGGAAACCTAAAGAAACACATCGATGGAGTACATAATCGTAGCAAACCCTTTGAATGTGAGATTTGTCACAAATCATTTGGACACCAGTACTATCTCAAAAAGCACATAAATACAGTACATCTCCATAGCAAACCTTTTGAATGTGAAATTTGTCAGAAATCATTTGGACAAAAAAGTGACCTCAATAAACACATAACAACAGTACATGATCGTAGCAAACCATTTGAATGTGAAACTTGTCACAAATCATTTGGACAAAAAGGTACCCTTAAACATCACATAGATGCAGTACATAATCGTAGCAAGCCTTTTAAATGTGATATTTGTCACAAATCATTTGGATACAAGTACGTCCTCAAAATTCACATAAATGCGGTACATAATCGTAGCAAACCCTTCGAATGTGAGATTTGTCACAAAACATTTGGAGAAAAAGGAAATCTAAAGAAACACATCGATGAAGTACATAGTCGTAGCAAACCCTTTGAATGTGAGATTTGTCAAAAATCATTCGGATGCCCGAGTAAACTCAAAACGCACATAAATACAGTACATGATCGTATTCAATCTTTTATCGAAAAATATTTGGACAAAAAAGTAAGTTTAATAGACACATAAATAGTACATCATCATAGCAGACCCTGCGAATGTGAGATCTGTCACAAATCATTTGGGCACAAGAGTAACCGCGAAAGACACATATATTTAGTACATGATCGTAGCAAACCGTTCGAGTGTGGCATATGTCACATATCATTTGGATACAGAAGTCGTCTCAAATATCACGTCAATGCAGTACACGATGGAATCAAATCCTTTGAGTTTGATATTTGACACAAATTATTTGGATAATAAGTAACTTCAACAAACACATAAATATAGTACATGAAAGTTGAAAACCCTTTGAGTGTGAGATTTGTCAAAAATCATTTGGATATGAAAGTTAAATCAATTGACATAAATGAAGTTCGTAATTATTGCAAACGAAGGTAAGATTTGTCACAAATCATATTAACACTGAAATCTACTCATAAGGCACAATTTGCACATTATTCTCTCAAATCGTGGTGCCAACGATTTGTTTTGAGACATCTGGACACTATGAAAAATATTAAAATCTTATTAGTACTCAACGTAATTTAAAAAAATTTTGTTCAAAAACATTTTATAACTTTCCGAAGAAAAATAAATTATCCAAACTGCATTCGTTTTCTCAATACCTCGTCAAAATTATTTTTCACCCTTTGTACAGAGCTTTCTCAGTGAGGGAACCAAATCGAACTGTTCAATTACACATGTTAAATAAAAACAATCCAAGAAATTGTCAACAAATATTCATATTGAAACTCGATTAATCTCTATTTGATACAAAACATACGCATGGTCCGTTGGGTTTTTAAGGCATCGAGAAACGTCGAGCTGTATAGGTGCTTACGCAAAATTGAAGATTTAGTCGACTCGAGGAACACGGAGTTATCGATGCATGTTTTGAACAGCAATAAATACCGACGCGTCTTACCGTGCATCGAACGAACGAACGCTTATACGCCAACTCAGTTGTACAGGAAGACGCCTCGAGCTCGACCGTTAAATCTCGAGTTGTAGGACGCGAACGTATTTCGTCGATAGTGGCGCGTATCTCCCGAAGATATCGAGCTTGCATTGCACATCATCCCGGAAATTCGAATCGCGTTTGTGTGCTTTTAACAAAGAAACTTTGTCGTCTCGCTCGTCACGCCGACGCGCAGCTTGGATCAACGTGCATCACCGCACCCGCTCACATTTTTTCTCCTAACGAGATAAAAAGCTTCGTACAAGGCATAGAGAGCATCGTTGAGGTTGTTTTAAAGTACGTATACGCGAGTATAAAGCTCGCGAGGAATCGGAGCGGCTGCTGCAGTGCGCGCAAGAGTTGTTGGCGCTGCTGCGCCCGCTGCAGCCGAGCAAGCCTAGAAGCATAATGAGATGGTATAAGCTATACAAGTTGAAAACTCGATTCAGCACATAGGTATATATATTCCAACGGCGAAGCTCGAAGCGTCCGCAAAATCAGATTAGATTTCGAGCTCGGTGTCCTTTGACACACTAAGGGGGATATACGTCCGCGCCATGTGCTTGTGCGCGTCCAACTCGACTACAGCTTACGTAGTATGGGTGTGTGTATGTGTGTACGCCTGCACAAGAGAGTTGGTCGTCGTCGTCGGAGTGGTATAAAGGAAGATAACTCGTTTCACGAGGATTAACGCAAAGTTTACGTATAGAGAGGGACGAGAGAATACGCACGAAACGGCGCCAGTCCAGCCTCGCCCCTATTATATATACAGGCAGCTGGGCTATATACTTATACATTATCCTCTACTTTGTAAATCCACTCAGAAGAGTACTCGCGCGCGCGGGGGTGTGGGAGATCCTTTTTGTTCGCAGCGGCTCTTATAACAAAGTCCGGATCGGCGCGCGCACATTTCGCGACGATAAATCGATTAGCCCGCGCCTAACTAGCTCATACAATTTATTAGTTTAACCAAACTTTCCCGAGGGCTGTGTGATTCGGATTGCGCGCGCGCGACGATCCGCGTCCTTATATAGCGTTATCACGTGCGCGCACTAATGGCTTGTTTTCGCGCGAGAAAAAAAAACTCGCGAGAGGGAAAAAAAGGAGGCCGGTTCCACGCGTGAGTTCGGTGCTCGCGAGATATACATACATTGACGAAATTGAGCGCTGCTGCATACACACGCGCGCAAGTATAGGTTCGATACATTTTGAGGCCGTTGCGAGATCGGCCGCATAATAAATCAACGCGGACACCGACACCCGAGGCATGAGGTCCGTGCGGATTCGATCACACCTGTCACGCGCGCACAAACGTATCGGCATTTGACCCCGTTTTACAATAATGTGTCGCTGCTGTTACTGCCGTACGGGCCTGTATCCTAATCCACGCGACGTATACTTATATGCGCGCTGGCCCGCATACAGTGGCCAATATTCATCGGGCAGCAGTAGCTGGCAAAAAATCTCGGACTCGATCGGACCCGCGTCGCTCGTGTCAGCTACACACATCATACTAAATTGCGCATGTTCGACATTCACGCGGGTGGCTGCATTATTTTTTTTTTGGAGCTCGCTTTCGATCGCGCAAACAAACTGTGATAGAATGTATAATGTGGTATAAGCGGTTTAATAGACATATACAATTATTTTGACTTTGTCCCTAGCAGATTTACAGTTTATGGTAATCGCCATCTATCGGTGGTCTTACTATACGAGTTTATTGGCATAACAGTGAAATGCTTTTTCCCACTTTGTCGCTTCAGATTGGGCTTTTTACTCCTTTACATATACGTGTTTGCCTGTGTGCCGTAAGTATCATTTCAAGATACAATCAAATTGCCGAATAACATTCTTATAAAGCATGCCTTGACTTATAGAATTATGTTTTATTTTCCGCTTGCAGAGTTACGAAGTGTTAATGACGAAGGTTAGCTTTGATTAAGGAGACACACCCTTGTTAAATCCTGCATTATTTTATGAACTAGTAACTTTCAGGCGAGCTTCGCACGCGTACATTTTTCAGTCAGTTTCGAAAAAGTTGCTATTTCGACCGTAGATGTCACTTTATTACGTTTCGACTCGAGTCAAAAGTCAGTCGACCAATCAGAGGTCGAATAGATTGGCTTCACTATTAGGGTCATCATTATTTTAAAAGAGGATTTTAAGAGAGGATAGAAAAACATGAAAATGAAATGTTAAAATTGAAATTTTTGTTTTTGATGTAAAATTATGATTTTTCAACTCTTTTTCAGATCAGAATCAGAAAACATGTCTCTAGTATCTTTTATTATTTAAATAAGTCCAGTGCATACTCAAACTTACTCATCATTACAAAGCTCTATGCTGCTTGAATCCGAATGGAATCTTTGACGATTCTTGATTCTCGATGCCTTAAAATTTTTGTAATAACATTCTCTTGGAACGTCAAGCTCTGTAAGTTTGATACGAAAGCAAAAGCCATCGTTACATATTATGCTGCACCCAAGCATATTATGCCAAGTGTAATATAACATATAAACATGATCGAGAAATCCTATTCAACGTTAGCTAATTGAGTTTAATTTTTAAACGCGTACAGCTATTAATTTTTCCGTTTTCTCGAGCGAGACACACTAGCCTCCGGTATAATTTTTTTTTTATAACGCAGCTAAATTTACGTTTAGATTTTGATGAAATGTTATTTACCAACCGCACCCTTTACCATGGAATAAACGGCGTTTTTTCGCGACGAAAATAAGCTGCTTGTCAACGTAACTCGAATTCCGAACCGACGAAATGTTTACTTCTGATTAAAATCGAAAGTATTTCCAGTGCATTAAGTTAATTATATTAGTGCCACATTTATAATGTGCTCAAAAGTATAGAAAACAAGTAACTGCTTAATTTTACCGAAAAAAATCAATTGAATATTACATACATCGCGACCAATTTGTATCGTAATAACCGTTCACATTTCTGATTCATCTTTCAATATACGATTCCGTTGGCTAATTGGCTCGACTTTAAATTGTTCGGCACTGCGTTTTGCAGCGGCTAATGTTCATATTATTACGACACATGTATTAAGCTCACGTTCGAGTTGGAAAATCGTTAAGGAGGGTATGGCTTAAAAAAATCGAGAAAATATCTTCCGTTTAAAGATACGTACGCATATATAAGACGGCATCCTTCAAAAATGTTCTACAATAATTTTTTACACTGTAATATACAGCTGTACACATTATAATGTAATACGATACTTGGGCCGCGCTAGCATTAATGACTGAGCTATGTGCAGTCTATACACGCGACACCTCGATGTACATGCCATATACATCTCGGAGCTGCAAGTGAACGCGTGCGTAAGTACGCACACGAAGGATAATAAGGGTATTTACGATAGCGAAATTGAAAAGAAAAAACAAAATTAGAAAGGAAAAGTTATAAGGCGCAAAAACGATTAGCTCGCTTAATTCCAATCTTAATTTTTCACAAGCAATTCAGCTCGAGAGGACTCCAAAGCAAAGAGCTGCTAACGCGCTTTAGATTGAACGTGTCAAACGCAACGTGTATAGGAACACGATTTTTTCCCAAATACGAGGTGTACAAAGCGCGCAAAGTTTATACATACAATCGCTCGACCACGACCCTGACTCGATAATTTTGTGCCAGGCGAGAGAGCCGAGCATACACACACACACATTATAGTTTCTCAAGCGCGAGAGATCGCTTTTCTGCAAATTTGCACAAATTGCTTCGGCCACTTCGTGCGAGCGCAAATTTGTACGCGGGAGGTACGTATACATATAACAAGAGTCGTTGCTGTGTGTACGCTGCTGCTGCTGGTGCACGTCGAGAATTAAGTTCAAGGTGATGCATACGTGTGTGTGTGTATGGCGAATATAAACGCGGGAGGTGTACAGTTTCCGCGCGCGTATATACGAACGAAATTACGTTTACGCAAGTTTGTGCAGTGTGCAGTTATTATTATATACCCGTGTGTTATCATTATGGGAAGGCGAATGATCGACAGCTTGGTTGCTGCTGCTGCTGCTGCTGCTGCTGGCGCGAACAGATTGAATTAAAGTGCGGCGTTTTTGCGACACGCGCCATACCCGCCGCTTTGAGCTCGTAGTATACGTACGATAATATCGATTATAATGGTCATAAGCAGCAGCGAGAGAGAGAGAGAAAAACATCGTGTTTACTGCTTGATTAAAAGCATACCATTCATTTTCATTTGGTATACGTATTTACAGTGAATTTCAAAATTAGCCATACGGGTGCATTTAATTTAATAGTCGTATATGAAGAGAATTATCCCGTGCTTCTGAAATATGACATTGCGAAAAACAGATACAGCTCGTACGTTTTATTAACATTAAAAAAAATAACGCAATTTTATTTTTTAACAGACCTCGTATAAAATTAAGTATAAAATTACATGATAATAATTTCGTAAAATATCTTATCAAGCAGTAGCTCTAACTACTTGACGTTGAATCTCCTCTGCTGTCCCTGCCTCGTCTGCAGCGATCGACTTATGTACGGTGAGCGATCGAAGCGACGCTGGTTCTTGCTGTTGGCTCGAGCGTACCTGTCGTGGTGCAGGTGCTGGGCATCTGCCGGATGAGCCACCGGAGGAGCCGGTAGAGGTCCCGCGGGATAATCGTCGTACATGTCGTAGTTGTGCCGGTTGTGGCCGCCACCGTACCTCTCGGGGCCTGGACCGTAGGGATCGTCGTGCCCGCCCAGGGCCTGATTCACGTAGTCCAGCTCGTCTAGATGGCTACCGTGAGGACCCATACCGAGCTCCTCGTCGATGTAGGCCGGATCGTAGTGTCGGGGCGCGTTCAGGTACTCGTCGACGCTTCGATACCGGATGGCGCCGGGCACGCCGTCCGTAACTTTGTTCACGAGGTCGATGGCCAAGCCAAGCACTCGCCTGTCAAAGTCCCGATCCTGCTGCAGCATCTGTCGGGCGCGGGGACCGGCGTGAGCCGCCCTCGAGTCCAAAGCCATGCTTCGTATCATATGGGCCGCCTCCTCGATCGCGTCGTCCATGATCATCCGACGCTCGATTTCGCTGCACCCGTTGAACTGATTAAGTAGATTGCGTCTGGTGCCGAGCAGCGAGTCGCTTCCGAGGCCCAGGCCCAAGCCCAGTCCCGTGCCCAGTCCAGTTCCGACGTGCAGATCGCTCGCGATGCCCGACGACGAGGCGAAGGACGAGCTGACGCTGCCGTCGCCGACGCTGAGCTTCGCCCCCGTCTCCGAGGCCGTGTCCAGCGAGCTGCCGATCGAGACGCCTCCGGCGCTGACGCTCGTGTCCAACTTGCTAGCCGTGGCCCCCGCAGCGGCTATCTCAACGTCTCGTTTGGCTCCTACAGCCGCCGCTGCGTCCGCTGCTGCATCCGCGGCGGCTGCTGCCGAGGCCGCGGCATTTACCAGCTGCGAAGCCGTCGGATTGTTGTTGGCGCACTTGGCCGCGCTCATGCAGTCGCAGAAGGGCTTGAAGAGGCAGGAGAGAAAACGACCGCGTCGCAGAGCGAGATTCGTCGCGGTCGAGGCGATTCGGTTGGCTATGAGCTCGGTGCGCGCAATGAAGCGAGACTTGGACGAGGCGATGAGATTGAGATTCTTGTCGAGGCCGAAGTCCGGACAGTTCGAGGCGATTCCCCGCGAGGAGCGATCATCGCACTTGTTTCTCGAGTAGTACTTTTTGGCTTGACGACTCTTGTGGTTCTGAAATTAAGTGATTAATGTTGCAATAAACGTTTCATTTAAACGATAAAAATATCAATTTATAATTTTTACGTAATAACTAACCTTGTTTGAACTTTTATTCTTTTTAATTTTTCTCTTTTGTATACGCGAGTAAGTGTCGGCAGTGTCGTCTTCAAAAATTTCTCGAGAATCGATGCCACTCAAATTTTCCTGATTTTCATTCGACTCTTGATTCGAGAATGATTCTTGATTGTTTTGATCGATGACGATTTTTTTGGGTTCATCGCAACAATCGGGTTCTTTGGTCGATGCTTTATCTCTGGCGGCCTCCTTGCGGCCGAGTTTTTTTGTCGCATCGATGCGCTGCTCGAGGCCTTTCACAAAATCCTCGACGGCGAATTCCTGCGTCTGGTCTACTTTTTGACGTGTTTCCAAATTTTTCGGATCGTAATTCACGATGTCCGAATTGCTGCCCAATTGTTCGTTTCTCTTGTTGAGATTCTTGATAAAATCGTCGAATTCAAGTACTTGGAACGGCTCGGAAGTTTGGTCACTTGCTACGATCGATATTATCGAGTAAATCGAAATGACGAGTAGGCTCTGTAATCGAGCCATTTTTCGTTTGCAACAAATATTTTTCTCACTATAATAACGCTATTGAGTGCAATCCGAACGAAAGTGTATCGATTTAAATCATCTTTTTTCCTCGAAAAGTAAGAGTATATAATTAATTATGCCGCGCGTGACTCTCCTTCGTCGAAAAGTCCGCGTGCAACTGAAATCGGCGCGGCTGCGAAAAATGTCGTGCCGAAAAATTTTTAAATACCATATCTATCGACTCTGCATTTTCATGTACGCGCGGCACGCATTCGCCACCATGCGCTGTTGCGTAAGACGAAGAATGCGACTTTTCTGCTGCGTTTGCGTAATTGAAAAAAAAAAAAAAAAAGAAAGAGAGTAAAAAAAAGCATACGTTCGTTGTGCGAATAGTTGTTATTTGTTTTTCGTGTAAACATTTGTACAACTTGTTCGCTGGTGTGTCACGCTAATATATAGCAGTGTGTGGAAATCGCTGCTGCGGGGCGGGGTGTCGAGTAATAATAATTACGCATTTCTTTTCCTTTTTTTTCTTTCTTTTCGTTCGCTCTTTATTTTGTAATGTAAAAAAATGTCAATACACAGGAGGAACTAAAAGTAAATTAGATTAACTTATTGTATAGGATGTTAGATTTTTTTCTCCAATTTCATCCACAGTATAAAATGACATTGATCAATGAATCGGATTACGAGGGTAACTGTTAATTGTAATATATCTACAATATAGCTTATTATGTGGTCGGTTTTTAGAACGTTATCTGTAAACAGACTGTGGTATGTATATGAAATATGCATGTATAGACATTCTCTCTTACCGATTCATATAATATTAATACTAAAAATTTCAAATCAGCTTAAAAAGTAGGTAATGTACAATAATTACACGCGCGACGTGCTTGGCGACGACGCAGCATGAGATAATTAATTTACGATGATTAATTTATGACAGAATGTGGCCCATATACGTATGTAGCTCGTTGAATAAGGCACTGTGCACCTCGATGAGTCTCGTTTTTTATCTATACAAAAAAATTTTCTTCGCTCGTTCTCGAGACGTCGACGTTGACATGGCGTTTGGGCAATTTTTCGTCTACTTCTTGCTGATCCACTTGGACAGGGTCGGTCTCACCCAAGTCGGCAGCTGCACGGTGGGCGTGCGTATGTCCTTCCAGAGCGACAGGTCTATCGCAGGAATTTGGTTACAACTGACGAGTGGATTTCTGCGCTCGCGTGTGGCACGAGTGAGGAAACAAGAGGAGAGAAAAATTTCATGAATGCATGTGTATGTGCCGAAAAGTCGTGGCGTGGTACATTGCCTTATATACCGCGAGACGAGAAAAAAAAATTGTCAAACGAAAACTTACGATTGAGAAACTTGCTCGAAGGCTCTCATCTGCATGAGTTGGATGTTGTCGCCGTTGTCGCAGAGTAGCCTGGCTATGCTGGCCTTGCGCAGCTCCTGCAGTTGCTCTGTCAGACACAATTAAAAAAAATATTATAAATCGGGAAAATCGCAGTGGTTCTCGGCAAAAAACGGACGACAACTTATTACCGTGTACATGGAGAGCAGCTAAAGACTTTGAAAATGTGAACAAAAAAATAAAATCGAAAGCTACCGCTGCTGATGTGCTTGTAAAATTACGTATGTACACGCGGTATAGAAAATAAGAGATGCTGGAACAAAGCTGTGTGGTTCGATATACCGAGAGCATAATTAACATGCGACGTATTCGCGGACAAACGGCTTCCGGCATAGCAGCAGCGGCAGCATCCACTCGTCGTCGTTCGTTGCCCACGCAACAAGCCGATGAATATTCAATTAATGCCCGGATAATCGAACGCGTACGTATATGCAACTCTCGTACTCTACTACTACATAATACCGGGGCAGCAGCAATTTCAATTAAAGAAAACAATGCGGTGTGTTAAGCTGCCTGCCTTATTGAGGATATTATAGCGTCGCGTCGACGACTCTACTTACCGATGGTGAAGGCGAGCTCCGGATCTCCGGTCTCGAACCAGTAGCGATCGCCGGCCCTCGTCCTGTAGAACTGCTCCGAGAGTATATTGAGGAAAGTCGGCCCGGCCAGCGTGCCCTGGACGTGTCGCTCCAGCGAGCCGCCCACTGTCAGATCCACGTCGTCCGGGCTCTCGTACAGCTGCGCCAGCTTTTGTATGTTCTGCACGATTCGAACGGAGAAAGAGCCAGATATGTAGTATTATTATTATTATAAGTCTCTCGCAATCGTAATCGTGCGCGGCGATAGCAGCTTGATATAGCGAGACAATTGCTTTATAAAAGCTTTGTCGGACGTGTCTCCGCGCGCGAACTGCGATTATGCATGAGGGTGTGCATTGTCATCGCAGCTGACACGGGAGCATAGACGATCCTTTCTTTCTCTCGCGAATATATAATATAAACTCGAGAGCCTTTGCGCTTCGAGTTTGCTCTATCGCGCCGCAGTTCGAGTTTTCTCTATGTATACGTAGACACGAGCTCTTGGCATTTATATACCAAATTTTGCGTAAAGATTATATCTCTCTCTTTTTCTCACCTCGGGCGATATGACATCGGCGAAGTCGTTCCACTCGCGAGCCCTCGGCAGTCCAGCCAGGGCGCGCAGATCGTTGTAGCTGGCCAGGCCGTGGTCTCGATTTCTCTGGATGTCGATGGCGCGCAAATCGTCGCCGAGTCTGCGGTTATTTCTGAATAGGTAGTTCGTGATCTATAAAACAGGCAAAAGGGATATTAATTTTTAGCATTATGCTTCGACTTATATACAATTATTTTAACTTTGCCACTTGCAGATTTAACAAAAAAGGTAAGATGGCCATCTAGCGGTAGATGCTGCGAACTTAATTTTGATCGATACAACAAATAAATCACTACTAAAGTACCATTTTTTAAGCAAAGTATCTGCAGAATTAAATCATTTTTGATCGTTATTATATCAAACTTTAAATTTTCATTAATTTTTTCGCGTAGGTTGCGTGAAAAAAGTAAATTATTACTTATAAATTAATTTTCAACGAAGATTTCACGTAAAAGTACCACGAATAAAATTTAGCATCTGATTTTATATAAATTCTGCATCAAATTAAAATTTCTGTTATCAACCGTGTACATTGACCCACCTCTCGATCGAAGTATTGGTCGCTCTCCTCCTGGGGCTGGAAGGCCATGCCACGGGTCAGCTGGTCGAGGTTTCCGTTCTCCTCGATGACGCCCGGCCGATTAAAATGATCGCTCAGTCGCAGGGCGTTGTAAGCGAAGGCGAATCTCTGCTCGTTCACCAGCCTGTGTCAGTGGCAGCAGTAATGCGCGCAAATGCGACGTATAATGTAATTATTAGACAGCGAGACTCGCGACACATTTTTTTCTCCTCGCTCGAATCTTACGCAATACGAATGCGGATAACGGATCGAGTGTATCCTTAATTACCGATCTTGACTGTGATTTTAATGTTTGTTCTGCCGCGTGCCAATTTGTGAATAATCAAGGAGCAATATAAATCGAAATTATCGTTTCACAATGAGCGCGGTAGGGATCAGCGAGAAATTATCAGGCTTGAAAGAGAAAGGATAAGATCAATGGACATATTTTCATACTCGTTTGCTTCATTATCGGAAATAACTGTATTACGTAGAGGTCAATGGAAAGATCCTTCGAGTGAAGATGGTCGAATGCAACCGATATATTATCATCATACTCACAGCAATCTGCCGGCGATGAGCGAGTGGAAGTAACGGAAGGCGGCCGTCGAGTGCTCGTTTATCGTGCTTGGATTGACGTTGGGATCGTAATCGCTCACCCAGCCGCCTACGGGCTTGTAGATCACTCGGCGCTCCACGGCATTATCCTCACCTGCACATGCAAGCACGTACGCAAGATCGTCGGCGTCAATCAATCGCGTCGTATATATTTTTTTGTTCATAAATAAAAATTATTCATTGCACATACCGATGAAAATTGGCAGCCACTCGTAGTAGGAGATCTGCTGGTGCTCGGCGATGGCGATCCTGCGCGCCTCCTGGAATATCGTCTCGTCGCTCCAGTGCGGATTGAGCCGGGCCAGCTGGCCAGCGATGCGATTGTGCTCGCGATGCAGTATCAGATGCAGAATCGTCAGCTGGGGATTTTGATTGACTCGAGTGTCGCCTGTGTATGACACGGTTATTACAGCAAATTATAAGTGCGAGCGCGCGAATCATTGAAACATTTTTACGCTCCTGAACAGTCGTGATAATTTTCTGCTTCGAAGGAACGGGGTATAATTGTGTAAGTTTTAATTTTTCTTCTCGCGAGTCCAAGCAGGAGAGTCGATAATTATGTGGGTTCAATGAGGTTGACATGGGTACACGATTTTTACGAGCATACCTACGTTCGATATTGTGTACGGAAAAAGGGACTCGAGAGCCGAGAGTAATGCGTTGCTAAACACGTGCAATAAACATTCTTGTACGAGTTTTATATGTGCCATATAGCAATGAAAATGTGTCTCTCGCGCGCTCTCTCTCTCTCTGTCGCGCGCAACGAGCCGTAGCGATCGTGTATCGCGGAGGAATTCAATTTTTTGTCTTATCCTCTCATCGAGAGAATTTATTTGCGCGTAATAGATTGAAAAAGTTGCCGTCTGCGCGATCTGATATAAATTTTATAGGATAATATCGTAAGCCATCATGTACATATGAGTCTAAACTTACCAGCTGAGTAGCAGACTTCCTGTCCCGAGACGTCGCAAGCAGCGCTTCGATTGTCCGCCGGTGGCAGCCATTCGCGATTTCCGCGCACGTCCACGACCAGACGACCGCCGACACCGGCGCGCAGTCTAGCCGCCGTCTCGTCGTCCGAGCCGTAGACCACAGACAGATCCAAAAAGTGCGACACCGTGGTCAACTGCAAAATCATAATTATTTACCACAATTCGTCTTATGAGGGTCATTTCGGCAGCCTGATGGAATTGCTCAACGTTGATGATGGCGCAGTGACCAAAAAATGACCGCTCAAAATGTTTTAAATTTATTTTTACTATCAATTAACTTATTTTCAGCTATTTTTCTGTTACAATTCTGTTAAAAATATTAAGGATATTTTAAATGACCTGCAAATGATCATTTAAACGTTTTAAAAAATTCAGATAAGTTTTAAACCCCGACACGATGATACTACTTTAAGTCTCCACTAGATGGCGAGTACCTTTGTATGTAAATCTGTAAGTTGTAAAGTGAAAATATTTGTATAAGTGAGACTTGAGAGCAGTTTTAAACACTTGGTTTTGGTTCACAGATTTTGCGTTGGTAAAAAATTAGACAAAAAATGTTGAGCATTTCCACCAGGGAGGACGTAGCGATTACATGCACATCAAAATACCACATTAAGTAGATGCACAAACCTGCTCGGCTGGCTGCAGACCCGAGGAGCAGCCGCGATCCAAGTCGGTCGTGCTGCGAACGAAATTACGGCATCGCTGGCGCTCGTACGAGTAGACCGGGTCGTTGGGCGGTATGATGATCGGGAAGCATAGCGGACTGCTCAGCGCCGACTGGATCAGCTGGCCCTCGGCCGAGCAGCACTCGGTCGCGTGAGGCTCTGTTTCGAAAAACGCAATCGCGAACAATCAGTAAACAAGCTTGTGCAGCTATTCGTTATTATAAAAAAAAAAAAAAGTTGAAAAAGGAACGACATTTTTACTCGATTGAGTCGATCCGGCGATCATGGCCATGTCGTGGGTCATGATCTGACCCCACTGCATTGAGACGAGTGTCCAGATGCGGTCCTGTATGTCGACGTCCGGGAAGAGCGTGAAGCTGACCTCCCGGGCAAGTGGCAAGGGATTTCCATTCTGAGATACCGGCGGTGCGTGCACGTCTGCGAAAAATTTTACAAAAAATGTTAGTAACTATTATAAATTTGTCTTTTCCTCGTTCATCATAAGATAACTGTAATAATTATATTTTCGTGTCGTAATTGAAACTTTCACAAATAATTTGTGCGTTCATATTATGAATATACAAGAAGTCTCCGCGCTAGCAAACACTTGCTCCCGGGTGTCGAGATACATAATATAATATGTATAATGGAGCTCGTGCGAAGCTCGCTCACGAATCGCAATAATTATCATGTAAGCCGCGGCTTTTCCAAGTAACAGTTCGAGGCGCTTTTTTTGGCCCAATGTACTCTACACTCACAATCGATACACATATATAATATGCAACGCAGAACGCACGGGAAAGCCAATCGAGGGGATAATCACGCGAGCGAGCGACGACGACGAAAAAACGAAGCGAAGTACAGTAATACAGTGAGACACGTACGAAAGTGATCCACGCGCGGCGCGCGAGATACACGTACATAAGTTGTAAAGTGGTTTATATGTGCGAGCATTGCGCGGCGCGCAAGTTAATTGCAAAAAAAAGGTCATCGCGAACCGCCCTCGGGGGCTTGTACCGAATCAATGGAGAAATATTCAATTAGCGCAGGGCGAAACAATTTACGATATTACACAGACACACAGACTTACTCGACGAGTCAATTATAAATACATCGATCCCGAGAGCGATCGAGTAACCTGCTTCACATCGTCGTCGTCTTTGGAGCCCAGGCACCGATAATAATTTCGTCGTAATGCGCGCACGGCGTTACAAGTTTTATTACGGCGCAGGCCCGATATACGATTTAATAAGATCTCGGGACCTACATCACATCGCGCGGGGTTCACATTATTGTTACCGATCGCTAGTCGAGCTCGCGGTTAGCGTGACATAATCTCTCTCTCTCTCTTTCAAGCTTGGAGAGTCCGGGTGTCGCGGGCGCCACGGCTCTCACGCGATTCACGTCCCCAGCAACAGCAGCAGCAGCCAACCAGCCTACTGTGTGATAGATTAGATCGTCGAGATGAAATTAGGCCGCTGAGAGAGAAAAAGTCGTTATTTATTTATTTTTATTTTATCTCTCTTAAATAATGTATCGCGATGAAAAATCGGGCTTATTTTAGCGAACAACGAGCTGCGATTTTATTTTTTTCCATTGGAACCTGCTATAATTGTGCGCACACGCGCTCGCGCGCTCGAGTTACGCAGACACGTGCGAGTCGTGTTTTTAATTTCCCTTAATTTTTTTTCTTCCCTTTTAATTACGTAGCTCTCGATTTGTATTACGATGATGAAACCGCGCATCGATAAATCAAAACACGCAGCCGAGAGCAGCTGAGCGCGCCCCATCGATCGGAAAAATCTTTGCCACGCCGTGCATAAATCATTGAAATGAAAAGTAAAAATAAAAAAATAATCAAGTACAAGTGTTTCGCCCATTGGTATTAACGCGATTAGCGCAACGTCTGTGGAGTTTGCAATAATGTAACGTTGATAGGAAGAGATAAGCGCACGCGAGAGCCGCTGCGGCGTATTACGTAGGTTATATAGCGATTGCCGTACTCGCGTTACGCTGTTCTCGCTTCGAGGCGCGCTCCAAGGGCCCAGCAGCTCGTATGCAAATTTATGGGCATTATCTCGTCATCTCCGCGTTATATCCTATATGGGCGGCCCCCTCGAGGCTCGAACGCGCGAAAGTCCTCCAAGGCGTTCGACAATTAGAACGTGTGTCAGTCCGGCACTGAGCGCGCGCGAATAGCTTGAATGGATAATTAGAAAAAAAGTCTGTACTCGTAACTGCAAGTGCGCGATTTTCTTGTGTTAGATTGTCGCTATCATTATTATTAGAGATGTCCGAATAACCGATCCGTCGAGTTAGTATTTCACAAGTATTTGAACTTTTTAATTGCGACTTCATTATGATTTTTTTTAAGATTTATATTTTCTATAAGTTAAGAGATAATTTTGGTTTCGATGATGCGCCGTGGTAATGATTGCATTATTTGAGATTGGTGTTCTTGTTAATAAAAAAAAAGCAAAACTTATTTTTTTAAATTCATTTATTTTAATGAGATGAAAAACTTATAATAATCGACATAATAAAATATTACAAAAATGCTTATGGCTAACAAGCCGCTATGAAAACATTATATAAATCTTTTTTCGACAGCTCGTCAATGATCATATCGCAGCAGAGAATTGGCAGCCGATAGTGTAGCCAGAGTATCGTCTTCGTCGTTGTTTCTCGCGCAAATTACGTGCAGAGGTGTGTATCCCTTATTGTCGGTCACACTCGAATCAGCGCCCCTTCTAAGCAGCTCTTCGACCACCTCCTGGGGACAGAACAGCAGAGCCAGGAGCAACGGTGCAAAACCTCTCTTGTCTGGGGCATCGATCGGTGGCGGTGATAGGGCTCCGTTGCCGAGCTCGAACAACATCCTCACCGATTCGACGTTGGCTTGGTGATTCATGCACAATTGGTGAAGAGGCGTGGATCCTTTGACGTTGGTCAAACTTACATCGGCGCCCTGGCTCAGCAGAATCGGGAGCCAAGTCGCGTGCTCCCACGACGGCCGCGCCAGAGCCACGTGCAGCGGCGTATTGCCCTCATTGTCCTGGGCATTGACCAGAATCGTTCGACCATGGTCATCGCTAATCTTGAACATTACCTCCATAAAGTAATCGTCGCGGCCTGCGTACCTCTGGCAAAGAACGTGCAAAGCCGTCGAGTCGTCCTGGTTGGCCGCGTTCGGATCGGCGCCTCTCAACAGCAGAAGCAGGGCCACGTTCATATTGCCGCATTTTAGAGCCAAGTGCAACGGTGTGTTCCCCGACGAGTCCCGAGCGTCGAGGTGCACCGGCTGTGCGAGTTTGTCACAGACCTCGAAGAATAGCTGCAACAAGTCGTGGTCGTCCGTCGATTTGTCACAAATCACATGAAGAGGTGCCACTCCGTGCACGTCGAACGTGTTCGGATCAGCACCATTGATCAGCAACCATTTGACTATCATCATCGAGCCTTTGCCCGCAGCCAAGCACAGCGGCGGATGGCCAGCTCTGTCGACGTCGTTTACCGGCAGCGTTAGTCGCATTTCATAGGCGACTTCGAAGAACGTCTCCGCCGCGTTTCCCAGGTAGTCCTCCTGGCAAATGATGTGTATGAGCGTCTCGCCCCTCGCGTTGGTCAGCCAAGCGTCGGCACCTCCTCTCAGTAGCAGCTCGATCACCCTCTCATTGCAGTACCATAGAGCCAAATGTAGCGGAGTATACGTTGTCTTGGGCATGAGCAGATTGGGATCCTGGCCGAGCTCGAGGTACTTCTGGACCACGTCGTCGCAGCTAAACTGACAGGCTATGTGGAAATGCGACAGTCCGTACTCGTCGATGTAGTTCACGTCGAATCTGTTGTATATTTTAAAAAGTTGAGGGACGATGTCGCGATTATTGCTCGTTGCCGCTCGATGAATCGCGGTGGTGCGACGGTGCAGTAACCTGCCGTAATCGTCAACTTCGGGCTCGTCTTTGTAGCCGGTCCTGATTACGAAGTCGATAAACTCTCTCCCTATTTCGTTATTACCACTCCAGGGATACATACAATCTATGGAATCGGAGAGAAGCATTTCAATTTGTTCGGGACAAACGAATGCTTCCCGAAGATCTGGAAGTTGGGTATCCCAATCAACGGTCAAGTTATAAACTGCCCGGAGAAAATTTATTCGCTGATCTTTGTTCTCCCATTCAAAATCGTCAATTACTAACATCATCAAACAAGTCATTTTTTCATACGAATCAGCCACGTGATTCTCAACATCGGCGTGAATTTTGTAACCCCAGCTGTCTTCACCACTGAACATTTGATCGGACATGTTGTTGGACATTGTTATCGTTTAAACGCGCACTTACACACAACACAAAATTGTTTATAATTTAGGATATTATATTAATTTCTGTCACAAAAATCACTAACACCAGTGGCGATCTGTTTTAGCTGTTCACGTCGCAGCGTCTTCACATGGACTAATTCTTTTCTTGGGCTACGAATCACTATCTTTCTACAGAGAGAAAAAAAACATGTGCTTACAATGAAGAACGAGGTACGTCTAGTAGCGATTTGAAACTGAAAATCTAGGGTAGCAGCAGCCACTCGTTCACTGTGCACGTTGCAACGTCTACACATCGACTGATTTTTTTCTTGAGCTACGAATTACTCTCTCTCTCTACAGAGAGAAAAAAAACATGTGCTTACAATGGAGCACGGGGTATGTCTAATAGCGATTTGAAATTAAAAATCTAGGTAGTGGGGGCCGGCAGCGAAGGGGAAGCGACATATATAGATATACTATAGCGCTGCGCCGCCGGCCCCCACTACCACTAACATTACCACTACCACTATACACCAGCGTTGGTTTCAGTGGGCTCTACGCTCACAGTCTATGCCGAGTAAGCGCCACGGTGGCGAGAAATTGAAGCGCGCAGTCGAGCAGTCACTACCATAAGCGCGAAGTTATTTTTGAACTTATTAGATCAATATTAATAACTGAATGATGAATTAAATAGTAGGTGTTGTTATTAATAATTGTTATAATATTTATCAATTCTAAAATGGTACATTGGTTAACATAGATGCAGAGCCCGTGTTTGGCTTTGTTAATGTTTTCTTGCCGATGCACCATCATTTTATACCGTATTAATCTAATGTACATTTTGATCTAATATATATTAACAAATAAAAACGATGCGCATATATTTACGTAACGCGTGCAAACATCGCTCGACTATTTCTTCGATAAAAGTATCATATAAGAGATTGTTCGATAATAATGTAAGATACACCATATTATTAATCAAAAAAATCAAATAAAAGCAACACATTAACAAAAAATTTATGAATAGGATTATGTTTATGTTTAGAAGATAAAAAAGCTGAAAAAAAATTTGAATATTCCTTCGCGCGCATAGATCGCTGACCGCTCAACCAGTGAGCCCGATCGTGACAGAAAACAATATGGCGCTATACACTGTGTATATCTATAGGTATTATAAATATAGATATACAAGCAGTGTAAAGCGCCATCTAGTTTCTGTCACGATCGGGCTCACTGCGCTCAACTGCGGCTCGAATGTTTCGGTTTTTCGCCACTGGCGGCGCTTACTCGGCATAGACTGTGAGCGTAGAGCCCACTGAAACCAACGCTGCTATACACTACGGCCACTGTAAACTAATTTTTCAATATTGTGAACAATTTTGCACTGACACTTGAAAAATTTAAAGTGTGATTCGATGTAAAATTTCACGAGGAATCGATTGGTGCAATTAGTTTTTCTGTATCTTGCTTCGTTCGCGAGATATCAGCGAAAAACTCTTTCACCCTCGATTTTCACCCTGACGCTGATGTTTTAGGTAAAAAATAACATCGGCAATGAATTCAGCGCACCCAAAAACATAAAGTAGACTAGGTTTCATCTCTCCCCAAAAAAAATGCAATTTCATGTAAGTTTTAACTGGTATCAATTACTTCGATCGTATACGTGTCGTTTGACTATATATACGATCAACTCGTGCCGGAAATGCGCGAGTATATTTTTATATTGGATAAAAATTTTGTAATTCCATTTTTCTGAATAAATTTTTTTGTGACAGGGTCAGGGTACATTAATCTTAACTGGATGTTTATATTTTTTCAGATTCAATAATGCTTTAGACTTGAAACTGACTGCGGTTTTATAATATATTTATTTAAATGAAAATTATGCAAAATGAAACAGCAATAAACATTAAAAAAAATACTTCAAATACGCATATCGCTATCAAGAGCTTCTGATTGCAGTAGCCAAACAAATGTTACATAATTCTTGGCTCGTTAGCTGATCGATTATCGGTTCAACGCACTCAAGCGGCAGCCGGTACTGTAACAGCTCCGAGAAACAATCTAGCGCCCATTCTCGGAAAAATTTTCTCGACATGCGATAGCAGATGCACCAAATACAAACTTTATCATGCTTTTGAAAGAAGTGCAAATGATCGAACATGAACCCTGAATACACCCATTCCATGATTGAGTCTTGATCTTCTATGTGGTAATACGTATAAGAATACATGTTATAGCATTGACATTTGTCAAGATCCTTAAGCCTCTTGAAAATTTTGCGCTTCGTGAAAAATTCCATTATCGTCAGGGCGTCGCTTCGGTCCAGTTCGTATCCTGTGTTCTCTAAACTTTCGACGATGATCATCACGCTAGACGTTAACATGAAATCAGGCGGCGATGATACCTTGTCAAAGCAACTGATATCGGGAAAAACGAAGCTTGACAGATCGGCCCCATGATTCAAGAGTGCATCGACCGACCGGGGCATAATATTCTCCACGGTTAATTGCAGGGGTGTGCGGCCCAACTCATCTTGGGCATTGACTAGTAACTTTAGGTTTTTTTCATTACAGGTCTCAAAGAATAACGTAAGGAAGAATAACGCCAAATCATCTTTTTGGCTGTCACGGCAGATAATGTGCAGTGGAGTCGCTCCTTCTACATTGACTATATTCGGATTCGCGCCTGTTCTCAGGAGTATAGTGACTACTCCTTTTCTTTGATTTTTCAGAGCCAAGTGCAAGGGCGAATCACCTGTACGTGGCAGGAGGATATTGGGATCCTGGCCGAACTCGAGGAACTTCTGGACAGCGTCGTCGCAGCCAAACTCACAGGCTACGTGAAAATGCGACCGTCCAGTTTCGTCGGTGTAATTCACATCAAATATATCGTATATTTTAAAAAGATCTTCAACGAGATAACCTCTACGAGCGGCATGAAAAAGATGTAGTGGTGTAGTGCGACGCGACAATGGCTTGCCGTCTTCACCAACGGCAGGTTTATCTTTGTAACCGGTCCTGCTCGCAAAAATGATAAACTCTATTCCTTCGTCAAACAGTTTGCCACTATCACACACGTAGTTTACGGAATCGATGAGAAGACGTTCGATCTCTTCGGCTCGAAGAATATCCCGGAGGTCGGGAAGTCGACTCTTCCAATCGACGCTTAAATCATAAAGTACCCGGAGAATATCTATTCGCTGCTCTTCGATCTCCCAATTGGCTTCTTTTCGTAATCTTTTTAATTTTTTTAAATTGTACTTTCTCATGAAGATAGGGTAAGCCCAGCTTAGCAATTGATAACACACAAAAAATATAAAAACATAAAAAATCTCAACGTACTCCACCATTGTTATGCGCACTCAAACACAGCCCTACAGTCGCTTACAATTTACGATATTTAAAATTTCTTGCCACGAATATCACTTGCCGCTGCGGATGCGATCTTATAATTTTTTCAGGCTACTGTGCCTTGAAGTGTACTGCCTACACATTACAATATACGTATAGAGAAAAGAACGCACATGCGAAGCGACGCACCGATAGAAATACTGTTCCGTCAAGAATGGGATCGTATATGTACGGCTTTGGAATGAACGGATGAACGGATTTGGAGCTATAGGATGCAATGTTTTCGACTGTCTACAATAGCTTCAAATGACCTACCATATAAATGACACAGTTCCAAGAAATAAAGATTTCTCATTCATTTATCTCACAACGCCTTGCTTTTTTGAATTCCAAGTCAATTAATATAGAAGAATCAATAAGAACCGTAAAAGAGGCCTATTGTAGCATCACGAAATTCGTAAAACAAGAGAAAGTGTTAGAGCAGCATATTGGTGGCTCGCCATATGCATAACGACTCTGATCGATTACGTGCGTTCGACTATGTATAACCATGGGAATTCTCATGAATTCACGTACGGAGCCGAAAAGACACAGATGCTACAGAAATGCTTTTTCAGCATACGAGCCCGTTTGAGGCTGATTTCGCGCTGAGCGTGCTCAGTGAGTAAGGCATTCGTATACAGTCGAGGAGAGCAGCGCGCTATGTGGCGACAATTCACACTTCTCCTCGTACTGAAATCAATTGAATACAGGTCGAGGAGCCCTGATTACAGTCGAGGAGCCCTGATTACAGTCGAGGAGAAGTGTGAATTGTCGCCACGTAGCGCGCTGCTCTCCTCGACTGTATGCGATCCCGCAGACTCGAGCCGAGACGACTCGCTCAGCTCGCGTGCGTGTAGCCTGTGCTGTCTGCTACATGTCAAAGTGGCAGGCCAACTCGCGCTGCCTTTAACCTCTCTTTCTTGAATACAAACATATCTACACGAGATAGAAATGTCATTTTTAATTCATGTTTGTGTTCGCACTAAACACGATGACTGTAAAAATGAAGCAGTAGAAACTGAATAATGGAAAGAAATGCAGCGTGACCGATGTTATACCGACTCTACTCATCAAGACACTAGGAAAATCAGTGTAATGAGATTCAAGGTGGCACAACCAGTGCTTTATGCAACCTCTCGTTTTTCAGAAAAAACATATCCACACAAGTTGCATGTACAGTATTTTACACGAGACATACGCATATACAGTATGTAGACGAGAGCCGAAAACTAGCGGCCAAGTTACAGTTTTTAGTTTAGAGTGCCATAAAGAAATTAAATGGAACATAACAATTATGCATGATATAGTTCTCAAAACGAGCTCTTATGCAGAAAAATTGTTAACACATCAATGGCTGTTAGCGGTGTGGATACAGTCGAGGTGTGTTTGCAGCGTTGGGGCGCTGTAGTCGCCGAGGCTGCGTAGCGAAGCGAAGCATACAGCCCTTGATGTGTAAATAACTATTCCTGTGCATTCTTTATTTCATATTCTTCATTGTATTGAGTCGATTGTATCGAAAGCAGTCTCTTACTCAAAAACATCTGGCTACATGGAAAATTAATTTATAATCAATCATCGTATACTCACTATCAGCGTAGTTGGCTGGTGCGAGACGCGAGTATCGCGTATTGGCGGCGCCCCAGCTGGGCTCGCGCAGATTGTTGCAGCTACCGTCGTAGCTGCGGTATCGCGAGCTCGGGCAGGCCAGGGGTTCGTTGATGTTGCAGCTACTCGGCGCCGCGGCCGTCGGGATCGGATAGACCGGCGGTGGCCGACGATGCTGATGATGATGATGATGATGATGAGGATGGGCGTGCAGAGGCAGCGGCAACGGCAACGGCGAAGGTGACGGCGGTGGTTGGGCTCTCGGTGGCACGACTATCGGCAGGCCGTTCGGCGTATACTGGTGGATGCTAAAAAAACGAAATCATATACGGACATCAAGATATGGTGAGGTTGACTTTTTCGCAGACGGAGAAATTTTGAAAAGCGTTACGCGATGCATCGCTTTAGTCATTAGTTACGACGTGATGTAGAGTCGTAAAATATTTAACGATAGCAGCAGCCCCGATGACCGAAAATTACGGAGTCGCGCGAGAGAGGTAGTATCGTGTCTCCTATACACGATATAGTCACTATTTTTAGAGCGAATCTTACGGTAGCAGGTTGTTTATTATGCAAACGAGAAATATAGAATATCCATATGTATATTTTTACGGGTGGTGCAGCCTAAAGTTGCATTTATATATGCGCCCGTAAATAAGAACGAGTCTCTGTCTCTCTCTCAAGCTCAGGACTTTCTCTGCATTTCATCACGTCGCGCAGAGCTTGAACGCGACCGCAACGTATCAACAGAGCTGTGACGTATGTGGCGCTTGCACGCACAGCTACCAATAGTTGTACATGTATAATTTCAGTTCTGAGGAGGATAAAAAAATCCTCGAAACACTCCTGCGTGCATGTGATAATTATTATATACGTTGTATATACAGGAATCGCAGCCACGCGCGCTCATTTACCCACCGTATAAAATGCATGTATATAAATAGGAAGATTTTTTTGTCTCGAGATCGTTGAGCGCATTCCTCCTGTCAACGACGGAGAAAAAACGAGAGAGAGAAAGAAAAAAAGTGTACTTTTCCGCACACGCGCCGTCGTACATACACACCGTATACCACTGCTACTACGTGCAGTATATAATCTAGCTAATTGCAGCCTATACAATTCATCTGTATTATACGTACGTACGTACGTACATATACCAACACATCGTCTCTATTAGCGATTACGTTGAGGGAGCACACACACGCGAGCGAGCTAAAATATATAAAGACACGTACGCCGCTATGTGTGTAGAAGAGACTTCCTAGGGACGATGTGCGCTGCTTATGCAGTTTAACCTAATGTAAGATGCAGCATCGAGCGTTTACGAGCGATCGTTGCTTCCGTTTTTCTCGCGATCGAGCGTGTTCCTTCCGCGACCAGCTCGTTTAAATAATAGTAAACGACGACACATATGTATACATAATATACATTGCGCTTCTTGTATTTATACATAAGGGTTTGCGTACATGACTTAATAATGTATGTAATCAGTATAATTTCGGAGAAAAATAATTGTCCAACTACTGCTCTTGAAATTCACGAAATGGGCTTCGCGACTAACCGGTAGGTGGGTTATCGCGCTTCGTGTAATTGAAGCATGGCCAAAAACGAATGTATCTGAATTTTTATCGATCACCTCAAATTACTGTGTTTTTGGAACGCATCGTCTCAAATTACTGTGTATTTTGTATGTATCGTATGTATGTATCTGTATGTATGTATGCATCGTCTCAAATTACTTTGTATTTTCGGAATTTTAAAAGCATAATGAAACCGAGTGATTCTTTCTGTTTCGCACCACCTGCGTTTGGTTTTTGAAGTGTTGCCAAGTCGGCATATATAACAAACGATAGTGTACTAGAAATCAATGTAGTACTGTGTGAACTTAAAGTGTTTCGTCATAAATTAAAATTATTACATTAAATTAATTTTCTTCTGATGTCGTGACTTTGACAATCAATCATTTCGGAGGAAGGATCGAATTTCAACTCATGATGTGTAGCATGCATACTTTACGAGGCAACACCTTGAAAGACTAAAATTTTGTGAAACCCATACATTTACGGATCGACTCGTTGACCTTTTCAATACTTTCTCCGCGACTTGTTACGTTGCTGCATCCATACGCTAACGTGTATAAAACACTATTTTTATCACCTTCACTGACCGAGACAAAAATATGGTGGCGTTACATTACTCTTTGCAGTCGTTAACCCTTTGCTATAGTTAAATAATTGAAAGTTTATTTGATTTATTTTCTCTCCCTCTCTTTAGAGTCCTAGCCTCTTTGCCATTATTACGCGCTCGTACGATAAAAGTTGCAGATATATACGTCGATCGCGATAAATGGCCTTACATATATATATACGCAAGGAGCACAGCTTTATATTTATAGCGATTCTATCGGTCACGGTCACGTAATCGATGCTACCCGAGATTTTACAAAAAGCCGTGCAACCGCGAATCGGACAACAAAAAATTATTTTCCATTCAATGCAGAGCTACATGAAAATGCAATAAAACTATTTTACTCTTTTCTATAGTACGTACAAGCAAACACATGCGCGCGCGCGCGAAGCCGTTTAACAGATTCAAAACGTGTAGGCCAGTTCCGAGATAAGAAAATTTAATTTATTTCCCTCTGCAGCGCGGAATTCATTTAACTATGCACAATATGCTGTGGCACGACTCCACTCGAGCGCATTCGCAAGTCTGTGCCCGTTTGCCCTTCACATTTATTTTCTGAAAGTGCGAGCGCGAAGGGCGACCTTCGAGCTTTCCTCGTACATAGTTCATGGGAATCGAAGGTTTTTCGTTGGAAAAATTTAATTAAATATGTCAATAAAGTTTTTCTGCTATTTTGATAAACGGTTTTCGATCAAATCGATATTGTGCAAAAATATAATTTTTAAAAATTCACTAAGTACCGTACCGAAAAAACGCACAGTACATTTTCACGTGAAAAAGCTTGAGCCAACTCGTGTTCACGCAATTTTCTCGCACATTATCTCGAACGAGTCTTTGTTTTAGGGCAAAATTTGAATACATTTAAATTCAAAAGCCAACGCACCCGAGATTATAAACTGCAGCACCCACCGCCGCGGAGTTACCCATCAGCGAGCGAATTTCAATTTTTCGTCGCAAGTAATACCTTGGTGCGTTACGTAATCTGCTGCGACTAGGCCTGCAAGCGCGTGAGAAAACACCCGATATCGAGGATTGCCGAGCAAAAAAACAAAAAAATATATAAATAAATACAATTACCTGCTCTTGGGCGTATACAGCAGATACGGAGCTGGCGTGTGGGTCTGATGTGGATAGATGAGCGTCAGCAGTGGATGCTTCGTCGGCCTCGTCAGCACGTACTTCTTTGGATACTTTGGATAATCGAAGCGAGTCTCGTCCACGGACAAGTCGTCTAGAAAATGAAAATAAAAATAAGTGATGCATTGTAGTACATATAGATTGTCGAGATATTAGCAAACGCGTGTGCTAAGTATAATAATGTATATTCGAGACAAAGTAACAGCTCGTAATATCGCATTGTCTTTGATATTACACGTAATATTATATCTTTTGTGTAACTGCAATCTCGGGGTAAATGCATGTAATTTGAATGAATTTAAACTCGATTCACACAGACCATCTGTACCATATTATACGTAGCAGCTCTACGCGATTATGATAACGATTACCATTTGCATAACTTAATATCGCGATGAAAAGCTAAACATTAAGCGTGCATCATCGCTATGCGAAAATAGCTCATACTATATAGCTCTAACGTGTATTTAAAGACGCGCAATTTGCGCACGCACACACCCGTACAGATTACATTATATGCGCGCGAATGCGACTTTGACGTATGTACGTAGAAAAAAAAATGAAACTTTCTTTCTATTTTTCCGCGTTGCGTGGCGATGTAAATATGTGCAGTATAGTAGTACTTCAGCCAGTCGAGCGAATTACACGTATATAATGTGTACACGACGAGAAAACTGTATGAAAGGAGCTTCGCGTATAATATATATCTATATATCGCCGCGTACATGATTTTAATTTCAACGTGTGCGGCGCGCATAGCTGGCAGAAGGCGTCGAAATATCAAAGGCACGCGTAACAATCAAGAGCTGTTGCGAGCGTCGAGGCGCGGAGTGTTGATATCACATTTTTACGCGCTTATAACTCGCGCGTGTGTACCGAATATAATAATGGAATGGGCGAGCGAATTTCATAAAAAAAAAGAAAGAATGAAAAATAAAGGAAAAGAGAAGAAATTAACTCGTGCTCCTGTTCCCCAGAGCTATAATTATCTCGTGTTGTAATAATAAGTTTATAAATATTTAAGGAAAAACGAGAGCAGTTGTTGCGCGCCGCACCGTGCCTATAGTATGTGTGTGTGATGCGATTTCAGCGTGAATAAAACACGCGAAATGGAATTCAGAAATCGGCTATAACACGCACGTGTCGGAGCAAGATACGCTTCTGCTTACAATCGGCGAGAAAAACTACAGATCCTTCGGTGAGAGATCCGAGTCCGAGATTACGTTCCCTTATCGCACGCACGTCGTTTTCGTTCGGCGTTTCCTGGAGAATTATATACTTTTTCGAAAGGAAATAACATGTAGGATAGCTTCCGATTGGGATAAGCACTTCGAATTGGAAAAGTAACCAGACAACAAAAAAAACATCATAATGCGTATACAGAGACTCTTCAGCTTAAAACAATCGAGAAGTATTCCACCCATGTGTCAAAACCCATGTGATTACTCTCACATCTCTCTGCTGGAAGTCTACTACATTATAGGTGCTTCTATTCATGTCAGCAGCAGCTGCAAGAATGAACGAGTTTACACGCGTGCACGCACAATGTACATAATTTTATATGCGACTTAAATGAGTCGCTCGCATATAAAGTAAATCTCGAGTTTCGTAAAAAAAAAGATTGTGTTCTCTCGCGTATACGCGCGCGGACAAATTATACAAGCCGTGGCGTGGCGGTGGTGCATGGTAACGCGTTGTAATAATTCGCCTCAGCTTCTATTTTCATTGTTTGCTACCCATTTTCTTGGAATGTACCGTGACCAATTTATAATGAGTTTTTTTATCTCACTTTATCTTTGTTCTTCAGGACAATTGACGTGTGGACGTTGTAAAATTCATGTAGCAACGTTTGATCGATTGAAAATTTTTTAATGAAAATGGAGAATAAAGCTGAAATTCTCAACTTTCGACATGTCATTGAAGTTTTTACGCGTACTAGCTTCGAATATGTTTCTCCTGAATTCATTAATATTTCAGTATAATTTTCACTTTGATCATTTGTAGAAAACCCACAACTTATATAATTTATACCGACAAAAAAATATCATAACCAGTTTATAATTGATACGACTAACAATCGCTTACTCCGAAGCGAAAAGACAGCAGATCCGTATTAATGAAGTTACTTATTGAATTAATGCAATGCAGAATCATACGGTAACCACTTAATTAAGACGACCAAATTTTTTTTTTTTGCCTCTTTTAGCGCTCGCACGAGCGCAGAGTTTATTTACAGTTGATATTCGCTCTTGCATTTACATACGAATTTGCAGCTAAACGACCGTACGGAAGTGCGTGCTCGAAACTTAATTCGGTGTGGAAAATGAGGGCGATAAACATTTTTCCAGCCAGCCTCGTAGATTATTGGAATTAACGATCCTTATTTGGTTAGTTACGACGGCTAGGTTTTTCAACTTTATTTAGATATTTCGTTCTCGGGGATTGGATATTTTTTGTAATTGAATTACTCCGGTTGAAGAGTAATGGTGAGTAACATTATAAAAATATTATAGATTTTTTTATAAATGGATCTATTTTAGCCAGTAGCTTGAATTATCATGAAAATTATTAGCCGTGAGCATCATTTTTCATTTGAATTTGTGAATTCAACTGTCAACTGACTTAGAATTAGAGTAAACGCAGCATTTCAAGCTCCAAATCAGCATTAAGTAGAATTATTTTGACTTGACCACTTGCAGATTTAACATAAGGATACTTGCCATTTAGTGGCAGAGCCTCGAAGTGGAATTATAGTATTGAATGTGCCGTCGCAAAAAATTGCACCAATCTTCAATTGAAAAGACTTCTCGTTACTTTTTACCAACGGGCATTACTTTATATTAAAATACATTACAACATTTTCCTAAGTATATCCACGCGGAAAATCGCAGCGCGCGCAAAAGACAATTTCCACGATAAAATCCATTAAATTGTTACATTTACCCTTTTTCCCAAGCCTGTACAGTTCCATTTCGTCAGGGCTCTCAAGTTCTCATGAGTGCAATGAAATTTGTCAATTATCATTTATGGCTTTATGTTTATAATATATGAAACATGACTACTCGGGCCGGCGACGACAACGACAAGGCCATCGCAGCAGCAGCAGCAGCAGGAAACAATTGCCGCGACGCATGTATATGCACCCGAGCAGTTTATGCGTTATCCCTTCGGCATCTTAACGAAACGAAAGTACATAATGCTCGCGTTTGGTGTGTTTGTGTGTGCGCGAGTAAGCCCGTTACCAGAGAGGCCGCAAAAGCGACTGTAATCTCGCGCATAAATAGCGAGTAAATTAATGCGAGTCTATTTTTTGCTAACCAAGCGCAAACATTTATAGCGCATAGCTATACATACATACACACACCTGTGTGCTCTCCACGGAGCATTCATCATAAAGTATGCATCTGGATTTTGACTCTCGATAATGCTCTCGTATATATACACCGCCTCTAACGCGTGTAACTAGCGGCAGCCGTGTGCAGTGTAAATATACACACGATAGAGAGTGTTTTTCGTAATCCGATTACAGCTATCCTTTATACATGCAATATACTCGCAAATGCCAAGAGTACCTTACCGGCACCTTAGCCTGTGAAGTTATACGTATTATCGAAAGGTGCCACTCGTTTTCTGCCGCGCTCCGTAATGCAGTTATAAACCCTCTTTTTCGCTTCATATTATAGTCGCTGGTACAGCAGTCGTTGTTAGAGGGTCATTACGCGCGCAGTTACATATTTCGTCAGATCTTCCGTATTACCGAACGCGCAGGATATCATTTGCATGTTTCCCATCGCGTTTATCAGCCGCATCGAAACTCGAACTCGAACTTTTTTTTGCAGCCGATCGCTCTTCTAACATTACACGAAGTGCCTCGGCGCGGCTCGAACTTCAATTTTCGAAATAAGCGGAAGGAAGGAAAAGGAAAAGGAGTAATTGTACATGCCGAATGTGCGCCTAATGTAACGCGCCTTAATTAAGACATTAATATTTTGCTTTCTTATCGTACGCTCTATGGGGAATATGTATACGTATGCGCCGCAGTGCTACTACTATGCCTGAGCTCGACGAGTTCGGTGTGTTGTATACTCAACATTCATAATTGAAAATTCATCATTTTTCCGTAGAGATGATTATCGCGCGCACAGTTGCTCCCGTCTATGATATACGCGGCGAGGCTCGCTGCTGGCCATATATACACCGCTGAGGTATATTGTACATGCAGCGCGCTGGGCTTTCTTGCATATATATCGGTGCGTGCGTGCAATGCTCCCGACGAATCGCGAGTGAATTGGCTACTGTATATGGTTGATTCTCCTGAAATCTGCTTTTTGCATGTCTTTATGCCATATTCTTAAACTAGTGAAGATGAGCCAAAACTGGCTCGGTCATTCATTCAATATTGTTGTATTCTTCATGATAGGACATAAATATTTCAATTTTTTAGGGTCCGTTAAATTTGCCGTGAAGATATACATGCCAAATGTCACCTCCGTGGCATGTCTACATCTCAAAATCAACTCTATTTGCATGTACCATGCATTCTCATTAGCACCTGACCCTATAATAACTATGAGACCAGCTTCTATACATCCAGAGTAAAGTTTAAGTCTATTATAGGGCTTTGAAAAATGTTTTAAAAAAATTTCCCACGCAATTGAAAAATGTCTCGGATTTTAATCATGCTTCTGAATAATTTTAAACATACCGCCTGCTTTGGGTCGCTAACTCATTTTTGATGTCGCTAGATACGTAAATGTCAAGTATTATAGCCCAGCTTTCGATTGGAGTAGGTTGCGGGTTCAAATTTTACATTTTATCGATGCTGCGATAATTATTCTATTGAAAAATTCAAGTGTGTCAAAAAAACGGTCACCTCCGTGGACATGAATATCTCGAGCTATGATCATTCTTTTTAACCGCTCGCCCCGTCAAAAGACTCGTTTTTCATGACCAAATTTCGGGTTGTGCGGAAAATTTTGTGCGTTTCTTATTTTTCTTACATAGTTGATCAAAGCAGCGATTTGTCACCTCCGTGTGTGTCACCTCCGTAACCCAAAATAGTCGATTTTAAGCATAAAATCGGACATAGTTTTCGTAAAACGAAATCTCAAAGCCCCAGATTCAATAATTATTCATATTTTATGGTTTAAAAAAGGGTAAACTAGTTCGCGCCGTTCAATATGACAAAAAATTTTTCACCATTTTTTCGTTTTCTATACCCGAAAAAGCAGATTTCGGGAGAATCAACCATATATAGAGCATTGCACACGGAGCAGTTGTAACTGCATTGAATTGATGTAGAATAGAGTAGTCTGCTTGCTGGTATTTTTTGTCACTCGTGATATACGTAATGCAGATGTAATTTTCTCCGCGTTTTAATTGATAAATCTTCCATAATTATATGCCATAACATTTGAAATTATCGTTATTTATAAGTGGTAAAAAATGAGTTTGCTTCTCAGTTTATACGTAGATTACCTCACGGGGCATTCTATTGCATCGTCAGATGCTTTAGTGAGGCTGTGTATCTAAATATATTTGTACGTGCCCCTGCATAATAAGTCGTCATTTTAACACGCCATACTCTCAATGCGCTACCGAATGATGCTAGAAATTTCATAGAAATCCTTTATATGCTAGAAAGAAGAGCGCTATAGTATATATCCGTAAACGAGAGTTTCGATTATGCGCGGGAGCATGCTTGACTAGAGAGAATGATGGCTTGATTGATGACTTTTGAAGTTATGCTTTTCTTCAAAAGATTCGAAATAATGTTGAACTCCAGCTTAAAGCTACTTAAGAGTAACGATAAAATAGTATATTACTGCCCTGGGACTTTTCTGTTTTTCCCGATATAGGCCAGTATACGATTTTACATACCCCGGGCCCGAAAATAGCAATATCCCGTTTAGCGCAGCGGCCGGGAAATACTACTTTCGGGCCGCTGGTATGCAATAGAATTTTACGTATTTCTGGCTAGAAGTAAGTTTTTATTCGCATCATCATATGATGTGTTTCTGGGATCTGTGAATTTGATCTCGCGCCACCCCGTGGTGTCATACTCAACTATTCGATAGGTAAATATAAGGTTTACCGTCAATCTCATCATTGCCAGAGACTCACTTTTTAACCAAGTCAAGTCTTCGCGGATAAGTGACACCTCCGCGAATAGCGATCATCAGGATATGATCCTCGGTCATACACCTGGATATGAGTTTTCATGTGTACGAAGAAAAAATTTCTCAAGTAATTAGTATTGAAATTCACGTTAATTTTGAAAAATTGCATAACATTGTATAAATCGGTAAAACCCGCAAAGTTAAAGGAAGAATCGCCTTCGCTATGCTCCATGCAGCGATGTCTTTTACTAGTTATAGTTGAAGTGATATTATCAATGCGCTCGGCACACGACGACTACTACTAAAGATTCGCGAGATTGCAAAAGAGAGAGAGAGAGAAAGTGCACGTATAATCTATAACGCGAGCGATGACCGATAGATGAATTGGCTTCTGAATTTAATTGGTCGTGTGTGTATAATACGCGTCGTCGATGCTGCGCCGCACACACATACACATAATACGATTGATTTTCCGCCAAGTGAAATTAAGGTATTACACGTATACATAAGTGCATACGTGCGCACCGGAATGCCGAGCTCGCTCGAGTGCGCTTTTCCTCGCGCAGCTCGTGTGTGCCGGCCGCGCGTATTACATACAGGACGTTAGCCCCCGCACGAGATTAAACGTTCGCACGCAGGACACTTTTTCACGTACCCGTACTATTACAGAGCACAGATTTATCGCGAGAGAATCGCTTTACGAGCAATCAACGAGTGTTGACTCGAAGAAAAGTGATCGACGACGGCTCGGCTCGGCTCAATGATAATTGACGTGAATTTATTTGATATAAATGAGGGGGGAAAAGCGACTGCGTCGATCATAATAATTCCAACGATTAGACGTGTCTGTGGTTCGATGAATTCGCGCGAGAAATGTATTGACCTTGAGCTCACCCAGAAGATCGAGCGAGATAATTTTTGAACATCAATAATGGCCTGACGACCAAAAAATGACCATTCAAAATGTTTTAAAAATCATTACCAGTATTGACTTGTTTTAAGTGTTTTTTTTTTCGAAAAATATTCAGCGCATTTTAAATTACTTGAAAATGCCAATTTCAATGTTTCGCAACGATTAAATAATTTTTTGATTTACGATAATTTTACTTTAAACATCTAGCGCTAGATGGAGAGCACTTTGAACTGTAAATCTGCAAGTGGCAAAGTAAGCGTAATTATATAAGTCGACACAGTTTTAATGCCAGTATATATACCTGCCAATGTAGAATCTAAAAAAACTTTTTCGTTGTCCAAAAACTAGTCATAAAATGTTGAGCTTATCCATCGGGGTTATCGTGGCCTTTGTAATTATTACGCAATCCAACACGTATACAATATTCTAAGCAAATGTAATCGACATCCTTATTCGTGCGAATCTAATCGGACAATTTAAATAGGCTAGCCACGCGCTAGCACTACCCTTCATTTGTATGTGTGTGTGTGTGTGTAACTGCACCGCATGTATGTATTCGTGTATCAAGGTACACACGAACGGGAACGAACGGTAGCGTTCACGCCAAGATATGATGTAAAAAAAAAGTTCAGCTCTTATTTTCCGTTCCGCGACTGTTTAGCTCTCGCGATTTCCCGTGCACTCGTACACTTATGCTTACCAAGTACAATAACACGCGCCCTTGCCGAGTCCCATTGTTGTTTGCTCGATCGCTGCCGAGCGTTATTATAATTATCGAATAAGCCGCCAAGAGAATATTGTAAAGATCGCTGGTTCTGGTACACGACTGTGTCCGCGGCGTAACTGCGCGGTACACAATAAAATTGGCGAAAAAAAAACGACGTCACGTTAGTGGTGTGTGTTGCGCGCACAAGTGCGTTGAAGTTAACGAGCTTGTCCGACGATCAAGACCGACGAGGTATGCCTCGGTTCTTATCATCTTATTCGATCAGCAATTTTTCCATTTATCAATTTTTTTAACCCTGGTAGAGATGCTGAATATTATATGGCTAGTTTTTGGCAAATAGAAGTGAATTAGTCATTTATTGTCTGAGATAATTTTTTCAAATCAGGCTCTTCTTATATAATTCATTTTGACTTTGTCGCTTGCAGATTTGCAGACATCAAGTATTTCGCCATCTATTGGTGGATACTTAAAGTAGTATCATCGTTTTGTGGTTAAAAATATGGCCAAATTTTTTATGAAACAAAAAAATTGTTAAGGTCATTCAAAATTCCCTCAATATTTTTAATATACAACGGAAAAATAGCTGAAAGCGAGTCAAGTTATTTTTTGGTCATCAGACTAATATTAATGTTGAGAGTTTTTACCACAGAAAAGTTCATCCTTTTTCGTCATTACGAAATACAAGTGAACATTTTACAAAAAATATAATTCCAATAGTTTACACCTTCGTGTAGCACTTTTAATATATATTATTAACCGCAGTAATGCAAGCAGATAAACGCGGGTGAATGGTAGCTAAAATGAGGGTGCATTCAGCTATTTGGACTCTCGCAGCCTGGACTTGACCCGTTCGACTCGCTTCCTGCAAACTCGATCGACGTTACGCGTATACTCGAGTGACAATTAGTTCCAGCAATTAATGCTCTCTCTCTCTCTCGCGCGCGCTCACAGTCCGTCACATAATAATGTAATGTATATAATAATTTGCGTGCGCACACACGATATATTCTCTTGCGCTATAATGCACCGCGTGTATATAGCCCATTTGTGCTCTATATTAACATTTGGCCGAAGTATTATGCCAAGAAGTTCAATAATACACGTAAAATCAGTGCGCAAACAATAATCATGCCCGCCGCGTACCTATATAATAATATGTAGAGCGCATGCGATAACGGTTACGCTCGGCTGCACCGTAGTATAATGTATACACTGCACACATTTCAACAGCCATTATTGCGCGTTCCATACGTAAACTTTCCTCGTGCTCATAATAATACTCTCGGGTCTGTGTCTTGTCTACTACTTGTCGATTATGTTACTCGTCGATCGCTGCGCACAAAAAAAATGAAAAGAAAAGAAAAACAAAGAGATTTGCTTTTGATAATTATAATGCCGTACCTTCGAGGCTAGAATTATGGCTCGTCTTCGTGGACGCTGCTGTGCTCGCCACCAAAAGCAGTACGGTCCACACGACGTATTTTTCCATGGCCATTTTTTTTCGCTACCTGCAATGGTAAAATGTATTTAGTCATTATTCATTAATTTTCACCATAAGCAATATTGGTGATTAAACGATCGGTATCGTATAGAATTTTCCGTAAATATACAGGAGCTCGGAGCATCGATTTGAAAAAACTCGAGTGACACACTTGTACATTGGTAGACGGGTACATATTGCACCAGGCATTTAATTGGAAAGCGGTGCGTATTAGCAAAAGTGCGTGTATATAACTTCCGCTCCACTGCCGCGTGCGTATACGAGAAAATTTCAAGATCAAGCTCGCTTATACTCGTCGTCGTCCGTCGTCAGCAGAGATTCGACAGGTGTATACTCATGCATACACGTACAGCATATATCATGTTTACGCGCGTCATGCTGCATGTAAAATTATTTTCAATATGCACATAGATATTCACGTGGGTATAGCAGGTGAAAATTATCGCGGTATGCATTAGTGCCGTACTGATTTATTCTCAACGCAGTGTATGCCGTGTGTGCGATTATAAATACATAAAAGTGTGGGTTTTATTCGCTGCGCCTAAATGTATTTGAACTCGCCTGAGCTACGAACAAAAAGTCGCACACTCGCATTCGCGGCGACCCAAAGCAAACAACAAACGAGGAGGTATATAATGTAGCTAGGCTGCCCGACAAATTTATAGGTGTAAATTGAAAATAAAACAAGAGAGTCGTATATAAGAACAATCGAAGGTGGCTACGCGAGCAATTGTGAAATTTACGGTATACACATTATATCGCGAGAGTTTATATATTTACGTTTTCAACTTGAGAGACTGAGCGCCGAGCTGTACAGCTGATGATAATCGAACTGCAACCATATGCACCGTATAATGTAATATATAATGGGCTCTACGTATAAAATAGACTACCTAAAAATACATGATCGTGTCTAATGAGGCCCGCATCATTTCGACACAGAACTATATAGCTGTCTTATTACTTTTCACATTTTACGTTCTTCGTATATGTGTATTGTAAGGCCGTCGAATGTTAAAATAAAAAATCGTTCTCATGCACCAGTTCTTATACCAGCCCAAAAGGGAAATTGTTTATAGCTACCGATCGTGTAATAGCACCACGAGCACTGCCTCGTCGAATTCCTATACTCGTCATTAATCGATTGGAAGCAATGACGAATAATAATAAAAGCTCCGCGTCGTTCGGGAGCAACGATCGCCAATTAAAGGAATCGCGAGATCGTCGCGTGTGCCGCGCTGGCCTTTAATGTCATTTCCGGGCCATTAAGCGAGTCGAGAGACGCGAGATCAAGCGGCAGCAAGCCGTAACTCTCCAATTGCATCTGTGTGTCCTGTACGTTCCGCAAACCATCGTCTCGTCTGGATTTAATCATTCGTCGTTATGAGTACCTATTATACATAAAGTGAATCGGAAAGTGCGCGAGATGCACGAGTTCGAGAGGTTATAAGGTATGTGGCGGCGCCTCCCCCATTCCCCCCAAAGACAACAACGAGATATTATATGCACGGCGGATGAGTTTTATATGTATTTAAAGGGAGCGTCGCGCAACTCACAGGCAGAGTGTATCGCTTGGGCAATCGACCGTGCATCGAACGCTTATATTGTCTCTGAGTGTATATATCCATCGATGAGTTTTTCTTTTTTCAAGTCGAAACGTCGATTTTCGTTGGAAGTCTATATAGTCGCTGCTACCGCCAGCCGTGATTTATTACGCCCGTACGATATATACCTTTATAAATACGATCAATATTATCGCACGATATCTCGAGATAATGCTTCATATTCGATTCGATATCTCTCTCGGTATGCAACGCGCCGTAAAAAGCGCATGGACGTTTCGCAAGATGTCACGGCACCTTCGCACTTATACCATCGTACGACATAATGACTGATATAGGTTGAATACCTCTCGTAGAGCTAGAGGCATGTCCATGCGGGGGTGGCAAAATTTTGCCCAATTTTTTCCGCCATTCCAAGATAATGATCAAAATTTTAGAATTACAAATTATTAATCTTTATATCTTTCTACGGTACTGGACTACCTGAAACAAAGATCTTTAACTTCAAATTGATTGACTTATAGTAATCTTTTGACTTTGCCACTTGCAGATTTACAGAAGAAAGTTCATGCCATCTAGTGGTGGGGACTGGCATTAATTATGATTTGATTTCCATATACATATTTGGAAATTTTTTTTCAACAGTCTAAGTCAAATTTGACAGAAAAGTTTAGACAACGTCCCAGTTATGTAAATAACTAGGGTCATAGTAATATTCAGTTGGACATTACTGCAATCTTTATAATAAAAAAGCGAACTTTGACACTTTCTCTCAAAGATTCGTTAGTATTTTCTGTAGTATTTCTCTTTGTGTGTATATAGGAAATTGGCGCAACACGAAGCCTACAGCCTTAAATGTTTGGGAATGCAGCGACTCGCATCGACAATCACCTACTCACCCAAACCGACAAATCGAGTACACATACACGTATATAACATAAATTACGTAAAGCAGGAAGGATACGGAAAATTCAGTGACAATGTAAATAGCTACAGCTATAAGCATTGAATTAAATATTCAAAGTATTCAAACTGTTATGTTCTAATTGAACCAAATTATAAAATTTTGAACTGATAATTTAATGATATGTAGTCACTCTTTATCATTCAATGACCCAATCATTCCTTTCATTTATTCAATAGCTTTCTAAATTAAAACCGCTTCCAATATATTTACAAAAAGCTTACTTCTAACAATGTGATAATTCTTTTTTTTTATAGTTATATACTAATAAATCCGCAAAATTTTCAAGGAAACCACTTTAACCCTGAAAATAATCAAACTTCTGAAAAATTGATAAAAATTCACTTTTGGCAAGACCCCTTAAATATTAGTTTGAAATCTTACGGGAAACTTTATTTTGATGAAAGTAGATACTGAAATTTTTCCTTCATTATCTGTACTCAAGAAAGAATGAGGAAGTATGGAAATTCATACTACTTGTAAAGTATATTTTTCATGCAAGCTTTGTTGACGTGCAAAACGCAAGGTGGTGCGAAGCAATTTAATTTTAAACACACGATCAAAATAGATAAGTTTCATTGACATTAGGCTATTTGGTTGTAAGTAATAGATATAGATCACTTTGACACATATTTGAATGAGAGAACGACAAATAAGGAATTATGAACATGTTTAAGTATTGATTCTCATGTATTTTTATTTACATTTTGATGGGCGCCAATGCCATAAATCACCTCGTTAATGCGTCAAACGCCAGGTGGCGAGAGACAGTTGAATTGTAAACACGCGATCAAAATTAATTAGTTCAGAAGATATAAGATTTTTATCGCTCCTTTTTTAATAACGATGGTAAAAAATTCGTTCTTTGATATACCGCGATCAAATCAAGTGCTCGAACGATACACACGTACATGGCATAAAAATTACGTAAAGCAGGAAGGATTACGGAAAATTCTGCGCGACAATGCAAATAGCTGCGGGGGCCGCCGCTCGTCCATTACCCAAACGACGTGTCGCCCGCGAGAAGGATTACGCGAGGAAAATAATTAGACCCTGAAAGAATTGGCCGATCGTGTGCCGCGCGCGCACATGGGCAAATATAAGAAAATCGTCCGACGCGAACAATGGCTGCTACATGCGCCTAGGCAAGTTTTTGTCGGTATGTGTGCAGTGTGTCTACACCGCGAAGCTGAAAACGCGATGCCGTCGTCTGTGTATCGTAGAGTTTGCGGGGGAGATCGGCAACTGGGCGCAAAATGGGGGGAAAAATTTCGTCGCGCGTCGGGCGCGATACAATTAGCAGACGCCTTGGCACACGATTATTTAGCCGCGGCTGGCTGCAGCCGATGCATGTGCATGAGTAGTGGCGGTTATACTGCAGACACGTTGCATGCGCGAGGCGTGCACATGTGTTGTGTATACTGTATACCTACTCTCTCTCTCTCTCTCTCTCTCTCTCGATACACAGACTCTTAGCGGCAGACGTGTGTGATGCAACGCGTATATATATCTTTTTTGCCCGTTTTATAAGTGCAGCAGCAGCAGCACAGAACCGACTCTCGTGCCCGAACATTACCGCACACTTTTATACACACACACACGTACACATTAGTATATAGCATACATCGAAGGTCGCGACTCGCGTTTTGTACAAGAAAAAGGGCTCGGCAGCAGTATGAGCTCTTCTCTTGCTCATGGAGCCTCGCAATTTTCCCATATAACTCCGGTCCGTGTAAAGCATCGCAGGAGCGCATCGACGCGGACGGGGATTTGCCTTTTCCAAGCCCGCACGTTGCATATTGTATCGTCGGTATTTGATAAGCGTATACACGAGCAAACATGCGAAGTTTGTTTATTCGTTTGTACTCGCTCGTTCGGAGATCGGTATATCAATATTTAAGTCTACGTACTTCGTCTATGGAGTTTTCATACGAAATGAAGGAAAGAATGGATTTGACGGACAGAATCAGAAATCGTTTCTCGAACGCGGTAATGTTATTGAGGGCATTGCGCGCCGATATCGCAAGTTCGGAGGCAACTCGTACACATAATATTATAATGACCGAGGGGAGGACTATCGGGGAGCCTATATAGGTATCATTAAGCAAAAATTACCACGTTACTTCATCCGAAGATTCGAGAGAGATTATCCGCGAGCTAGTTAGCGTAATTGCTATTTAATTTTACCCTTGTCCCGCCCGAGTGCCTCGAACGAGACGCTTGATCATCTCTCTCTCTCATTAGCATGTGTTTACCTGACTCCTGCCGAGCACGCGCCTAATGTATGTACTTAGACTGCACAAATCGTCGTCGCGCACATTAGAACCGCGATTAACGATGCCAAGTGCATCGTGTATAGTAGAAACGTCATCAAGTGACATTATATTATTCGACGAGTGGTCCATAAAAATTCAATCGCACGTAGCTAAAATATTTGTATGTGTGTGTGTGTGTGTGTGTAAAATACACTTGATTGCCGCAGTCGAAACGTGTGCACGTGTAATTTTGTCGGCAAAGACATTCACCGAGTATAAATATTATTACACGCGTATACGCACATTTTAATACGGTTGAGGTGGCGAAAGACAACTTTTCGAAAAATTTCAAAGACAAAGCATTGTGTATTATGCGTCCCAGCTATTAATGCGCCTGCAAGTATTTTTCGTTATATCCCATTATATCCCGTGCAGTGTTTCAAAAGATTATCCTAATAATCTAAACGTACAGTGTCATTCAAATGAGGAATTCGGCTAATTATGCGTACGGCACATACTTATACTTTATACCGCGAGCGACCGGCTACGGCCTATCGATGTAGGTATTGTTGGTGTTATGCGTAATTCGCCCCTGTATATAGAGCAGCTAATTAAATCAATGGACTATTTAAGCCATATAACGCGCGGCTCGCTGCTTTTTACTGCGCACCTTCAAAAACTAAACAAGTGCACGTAATTTCGTCATACATGAAATTCTCATTTACGCGCGCGGCGCGCATGTTTCGAGCAGTCTTATACACATGAGCTGACTTTTTAATTCGACAAGGTGTACGGGCATGTCTTTTTACTCTTCAATCCAGCATCATCATCGAGAGAGAGAGAGAGGCCAAAGAAAAACGAATATATAACGTGTAATCGATATGAGCGAGCGCATGTATGACATGAGCCGCGCGCTCTTGAAGTGTATACGTTCCAACATATTGTGCAAACTCGCGAGCGCGCAAACACAATCGCTCTAATTCTAAAACGGGCAAATAACACATACTCTCGGGGCAATTGCACTTGCTCTGTGTCTCTCTATCTCCCTCTTTCGTTCTCAACGCCTCGCCAGTCTCACTCGAGCTGAGTAATGAATAATGACTAACTTGCATACCTGTACGACGATCGAGTATCAAAAATGTTTAAATTTGATTCGATTCGCCACTCGCATCGATCATTACTATTATCGAACGCGTTGAATGATCATCAAATAAGTAATTTAATCTAATTAAACGGGTTTAATGTTCTTTTTTTTAATTTACTACGAAGAATCAATTATCCGGTGAGCTAAACTACACACACTAAGACACTACTTAAGCCGTTAAAACGCACGACTCGATGAACACATGCAATGCCGCTCGCCGCACATTACACTATATTCATGGTTTATTTGGAATTCAACACGTTCAAGTTTACGCATTGATATAAGGACTACTGCTGCTACTCTATATTTATGTAACGAAAACTACACGTTTCCATTTCTGCGGCTCGCGCGCACACGACCAGACTAGTAATTTATCACTAGTCGCGTGGCACTGGGATGTTAAAACTACATTCCTATGATATATAGCCATAAGCAGCTGGGATCGCGCATTAAACCGTCGACCTATTTACACAATTTTCCAAACTTCCGTCGACGACGACGCGCGACGGCGACGACGACGAGCGACAATTTTGATTTTTGCACTTTCACTGCTAAACGGTATTACGGAGAGCCCCACTACATGCGCACGATATCGAGACGCATAAAAAGAGAAATAATTGTATTCGCGTGGGTTTATAAATAAACATTTGAAAAAAAAACTACAGCTACGCACAGACGAGCTAATATGCGCATAGCTTCGAGTCAAGCTCACGCGAACGTCGAGGATCAAGCGCGTAGAAAGCAGCAAAAGTTGTTTGATGCAGGGAAAAAAATGCAAAAATATTTAATTTTCTAAATTGACGAGTGCAGCATATATTATGTAGATATGAGTTTATAGTCGATGAGCCTGTATCGAAGAAATACATTTCTTTGAAGAGAATGAAGATTCAAACAAAAAATGAATCATCTTTTAATCTCGGAAAGTTATGTAATTTTAATGCACTTATTATTGCCTTCAAAAAGTAAAATATGCAAGCTTTGAAAAGAGCCTCATCCATGCCTAAAATAGTTGCTATTCGTAGGGCCCTATAAATCAAGACATTTCAGGATCGTGCACGACGTTACGCCGAATGATTATCGGTTACGGAAACCGAAAGCAATATGCATAAACGGAGGCTTCAAGAAATACTAGCGAACCCACGCGTCTCATACAGCAGCTCATGAGAAAGAAAATCTCTGTAAAGAAATGCTATTGTTGTCCATTTCTTTTTGAGTTGTTAAAAATATCAAAGGGGAAGAAAAATATTAGCTGCCGAGTTATAACTTCATCGGTAAAACTGCAAAATTTTACGATGACTCACGCACGCGCGCGAGATACAAAATCTATATCATTAAACCGAACCTTATAATTCCTTGAGAACGTATATAACTCATCATTATCGAACTCGCGACCGGCATTATTAGGCATTTCTTTGTTTTAGAAGCAAATTTCAGCATCGCATTATATTGGGCGTCGTTACCATATACATTATTGATAAGTTTTTGCGTCGTGCGGATGAATTTTCAACCTCGCGTCTCGCAACTCATGCTGCGGCATGTACACAAGAATTACAGAGATATTGCCGTGCGAAGTTATATACGCTCGGAGCACGTACTTACACGGGAGCGACTTTTAATTTGACGAACAATAAAATCTTAACAGAGATCCCGAAAAAAAAAGTTTAGAGCTGAAATTTATTATTTACGATCGTGCGTTTGCATATTGCATGCGCGCTTATGAATTTTTATGTCCTCCGTGCGAACCTCGCGTGGAACGATCGTAACTTCGGAATTGTTGTTTTTTTTTGCCAAAGTTCACGACGAACTTAACATTACAATTATTGATTATTATCGAGTTACATAAAATCATCAAAATTTCGTTATAACATTTATCGGTAAAACAAATTATTCTTCTTAATTTTGTGTATAACTTGTATTGTAAAGGCAATTATTATACATGTAACAAAATGTAAGCCAGAATTTCCACCACAAATAGTTATAATTAAAAAAAGTGCGTTCGATGCAGATACAGATTGCAAGAACAATTTTTCTTTCCCCATAAGTCTGATATAATATATAATTTTATCTAGTTGCAAGTGATTAAAATCATTTGTGCGAAATTTTTCTAATGATATCTCAATTACACTTCGGTGTGCTTTCGTTGCGTACGTTTTTTTTTACGCGGGAAGTCGTTAAATACGCGCGCACACACGATTTTTTAAACGCGCGACAAAACGCGCACGCGTGCAACCTGATTTTTTTTCAATTCAACCACACACACACACACACATTGGTATGAAAATTTTTTTTTCGGTGCACTATTCGCACTTGCACGATACGCACACACAAATAAATTGCGTAAATGTTTTTTGGCCAGCTCTCGCGATGCAGCTTGGAAATTTCGGTGCGTTTGCATTACGATGCAGAAATTGATTTAGAATACACGTAGCTCTCGGTATCGCAACCGATTTCTTGTCGCAAGATCAAGCACGCTGGTAAAAAAAAAGTCTCTCACAATTCGAAGGCTCGTTCGTTAAATAGGTTAAAATAGCGGAAACGCGAAAACGGAAGAAACGATCGATATGTAGAATAGTTACGTGTGATCGTAAAAAAAAACAGCCGGTCATAATGAGTTATGTTTCTTCAATGTCTGTATCAATGCAACGTGCCGAGCGCGTATATGTAAAACACTTGCGCTTTCTTTACGAAGGCTCAAGATCGCTTTCCATTTCCAAGTTCAATGGATGAACTTTTCGTTCGAAATTATACAATTCGTAAACAAATTTTCATTATCAAAAAATTCTGACATTATAATAAATTTAAAATTTTTTAAATGCAACCGATTTTTTTATAACTACACTTGATCGGGTAAGTAAATTAGCAAAAAATATTAAATTAAGTCGTAAATAAAATACCTTCTAAGTTTCCTTGAATTTTGCCACACAATGCCAATTTATTTGTTTTGTAAATTGGTATAGATTTACGAGCTGAAAAACCTTCACTTTTGAAACTTCTCACGACCCTCCTCTAAAATATTCGATTATCAATTTTCTATTTTTGAAAACCAACTTACGAAAATATCAAAAGAATAAAACAATATATTCAAATATCCGAAGAGTCACGTGCTATCAAAATTTAGATTTACTCATGCTGAATTATTTTTCCCCGTACTCGTACGATAGTTGGTAAAGTACGTAAGTACAAATTTTGAGAAAATTCCAACCGTTAGAATTCGTGCGAGTCGAGGGTTGACACTGTGCTCGCACTGTATATATGTATGCACAGGAGGAAAGATTAAATACGCGAATTGTTGGTAGAAACGACTGAGCGGTAAGTTTGTTAGAAGCTAGTTTATAAACCGACGGAGAAAGTGAAGCGGGGGGCTCGACTCCTAGACGTAGGTATACCGTATCACCCCACGCCTTTGCCGCATTGCTCCTTTTTCTGTATGCACATGCTATATATATTGACTTATAGCCACGTCTATCCATGTGTGTGCCTGCAAATGTATTTAAATATACATATATTGCATTCGTCGGCACATCTATACTAGATCATTTAAACTAGTCTATTACAGAACTTCTTGACAGATTTTGGCTGAGGATTGACTAATTTATTATTGGCTTTCAGGCGCGATTGTAATTCCTAAGGCTCTATATACGTTCAACTGCATTATAAAATTTTGAACTGAGAATTTAGTGAAACGAAATCACTCTTTAACATTCAATAACCCAATCATTCATTGGCTTAAAATTTCCTCCTAAAAATGAGAGAATTCCTATTTTATCGTTAAATTTTTATAAATATCAAACGTTCTAAAAAAATCAATCATCTTAGAACAAAAAACAAAGCATAGAAACTTTCGAAAAAAATCATTTTTTGCAAAAAAAATTAGTCCGCTTGGTTATAAACGAGTTTATTACTCCACTGGAATGTTACATGAAATTGCATATTTATCGAATTAGATTCTCAAACCTTATACTAAATGTTAATTATTCTTTAACTTATTGTACTCAAAGAATGAATCAGAAAATATGAAATTTCGTAATACTTTTTGAATATTGTCTTAAAGCAAGCTTTATTTTTGTGTCAACCGCTAGGTGGCGAGACACAGTCAAATTGTAAACACACGATCGAAATTGATTAGTTTGATGGATATAGTAGTATCCATATAGTTATTGACTCGATTTCTAAATTGATTTTTTTTTTATATTCGGAAATGTACGTTTAATTAGGCCCAATATATAAAAACAATTTGCATCTCGTGACAAACCTCTATGTCGTTTTGTTCCAGTTGCTTTTTGCCGAACACGCGTCCTAGATGTTACGACAAATAATTGTCGCAGCCGTCGCCATACTGACAGAATTGACGAGACCTAATAATAAAATTCATTGCAAAACCCAATCCACTCGCGAAATTCAATTGAATGTAATTTTATTAGCCCTGTTTTTGATGCGATGTAGTAATTCAAAAATTGATCGAGCTAAAGTCATTTTATTATCGTTGCGTAGGACAACGATAAATTTTTTAATTCCTCGATGTTTACATAATTCTATATAATTTTATAGCCCGAATTTTTCAAACGCGATCAAAATAGCACCGAAACTAATTAATTGAATCGTAGCGCCGCAGTATATACAAACAATTTGATTATCCGGGATAAATCGCGTAATGCTTACACACATACCTATACTGTTTCGTGCTGCTTTTCCCAGTGCACGAAATATAAATAAATATATACGTATATAATAATGTAACAGATATCACGGTGTGATCTTTGAGTTCTCACCACCACACCGGCTGCACGATTACAATCGCGAGCGCACTCACGCTTTTTATGATTAATTTTATCGGAACGATTTATCGTTAAAATTTTTCGAATTCGCGTTCTTCCAATTATATGGAAAAAGTCGTGACCAGTTGCAGAAAATGTCATTGCGACTTTAAATATAAAATACACTATTTTCCTTTCATTTAGATATTGATACGGAAAACATAGAGATTATTTCATCACTTAATAAATGCGTGTCGCAAGTTACGAAGATCCTTAACTTTGGTCTAGCGCACAACTGATCATTCAATGTAAAGTAACGCGCGAATTAAAAATAAAGAGAAAAAAAGAAGAAGAAGATAACCGAAGAAGTGTAACGAACGTGAGAGCGATGACATGAAATTAATGTAATTTAGTTACGTCAGGGTGAGTACTGCTGCAACCGTTGCGAAGACGTCACGATGATTTAGTGATCTGTTATGCGACCGGTAATAAACCCTTCTCAATGGTTAATTAGCGAGAATCATACGAATAGTTAAATTTATAAATAATAAAAATTGCCCGTCGGGTAGCGTTGTACACATTAGCAGATGAAAATTAGCTCTTATGGACTGCCTTTTTTGATGAATCATACATTTTTAGGGTCGCAAATAAATGGATAATTGATGAAGCTAATTTTACTTTCACTGAATTATTTCTTTCTCGCCAGCCACGTAATGTCTTTTTGAGATAAAGTACCGAGTGCAGATTTTCACAGATTCATAATTCGCTAATTACCCAGCCAATCTTAACAGCCACTCACTGCGAAGGGGTGCGAAAAAGGCGATTCAGGGCAAGTTCAAAGTGCCGTTATTTTCTACATTTATGAGGGGATAGAAACGATCTGGGAGCTAATCGTTCGCGCTTTTAACGCTCACTGCCGTATAAAATAAACTTTCGCTTATAAAACCGCGTCTAGGCAGCAAAATCAAATTGATTAATCTTAATCCAACATAATATTCATACTCGTGAGTAAAAAAAAAGAGCGCGCGAGTACACTAATATGTTCAAGTGGTGCGTCAATGACATTTAATACGCATGGTATCAGGTGCATATGGCGTACACGTGACATTGAATGCTCGCGCCGAGCTGTCAGTCGAGTATCAAACCCCTAAACGAGTGCATATTTTAATCGCTGCTATTATTTGTGTCTAAAGTCTTCAGGCACGGAATTACGGGTACGTATACGTACATCGTACTTATAAGCGGACGTTTACCGTAGTTACTAAAAATTTTATGTACTCATTTTTTTAAAGCTAATTATCATATACACCGATTTTCTGAACGATGTCACTCTCTTTTCCGGAAATTAATGCGTATGATTTTACTTTAATTCGCAATAATCGTGAAACGTTTGTGCCATGAAAATTCGGCATGGTCAAAGTAAATGCGGATAAATAAATAATTTTACCTGCGAATTTTAATTGAAAGTCTCCAATAATTAGGCAAATTTATGTCGCGAATTATGTACACTTGAAAACCATTTATGGCAATTAACTTTTTGTTTTATTTCATAAAGTGGAATAAAATGTTTCATAACGATCACAGCCCATCGCTTCCTTATCGATCTTATATCAACTAATTCAATTCCTTTGAACGCACTACAAAATTTATTGCATCAAGCGTATATTTGCTCTCTTTCACTCTTAATAATGATTGTCCTCTCGCATATAATAAATATGTGTCGAAACGCCCGTTCTCCGCGTGTGGAATAGATTGTCCTCGATCGTTTGTTTTTCTATGTGTAATATCGACGCGCGCCATTATGCATTTGCAGCGGAGCGCGCGCGTATGAAAGACACTTTTTTTTCTACTCATTAATAACCGCGTCGCAAATACTATATATTATTTGCCTATACAAGAGATTTGGTTGACTAGTCTTGAGTCCCTCTCTCTCTACACTTCATAATGTATAGCTGCCTTTTAGATGAGCGGCGCGTGCCATGCCACGCGACGAATATGTCCCTATCTATATAACTTAATACGAGAGCGCGGAACAAGTACAAGGATAAAACATAAAGTGCGGCAGGCACGCTTACTCTCTTAATCTAGTTTTCCCCTTGGAGCGCGAAACCCGTGATTTCTAAGTATACAACATGAAATCGCCATGGAAAAAAAGGTTAATGTTATATATACCAGCAGCAAGTGTCGCGCATGTATAGTGTACAAGTGTACCGAGCGACGGATGAGGATTGCTTGATTGAGTGCTCACACCCAGGCGTCGTGCGTTTGTGATGTATAGTTGCAGGCAATTATGTAGTAGATCAATTTTTCGCAGTTACGATTAATTGAATTTGTCAAGATATCTTGTCCCCTTTATTTTTAATTTATTATACTTGGCAAAATGTAAAAAATGGCGAGGAAGCGCGTCAATTCACGAGAGTCGTAAAATTACGCTATATCGTACACATAAAAACATGCGGATCGTCGATCGGCCACACACCTACAGTACAGAAACAATTTCTTTAACTCCACCTGATGTATATCTCGTTCTCTAATGCATAATGGCGTGCGTAAAGTTTAGCACATATACGATCGCGCCCGAGAGTGTAATGATACCGCTAATACACTCCATCTACTGCGGTTATATCGAGCAAAATGACTCGTCGAGCCCGCGCGGCCACTGCACCGTCCGCCCGTGTCTTGTACATACGTTGAAAACATTTTTTCGGCATCGCGTATACAGTCGCCCAACGGCTCACGAACTGGCTCGAGCAATTGCTTTGCATTGCCTCCGTGTGTGCATAAAATTAGCTACCTGGTAGCATATATATATATATGGCACTCGCCGGGGCATGCACCTCTTCGCATTATAAGAGGACTTTCTCGCGCGTCCGCTGCCGCCACCGCCTCCCTGGAGCTCGTGTTTTATACACACAGTTTTCTGGAAAATCACGATCAAACTCGGAGCGCGCGCGTGTGTGTAAATATGAAATTGGAATTATTATTATTGCTCCTGTGGATATTGCCTCAGTGTTATATTAGTGCACACTGTATTACGGAGGGAACAGTTTTATCATAATGATACAGTTTTTTTTTTTCAAGGCTCGCAACTTCGCTTTCACGCCTGACGAGAGTATTTCTAAAAATAGTACGGATTTATGGACGCTGTATCATTGATTCGAAATAAAAACGTAACGGAAAATTAATTATTGTCAAATTAAATTGACGCAGCTGTTGCGAATGTTTATCATTTAATTTATATAAATTATGAAAATGATGCTTATCTCGATAAAATTATCCTAAATGCAAAATAACTACGCTTGTTTCGCTCGTTTCACGGTAATAAGTGAAAATTTCCTTCTTTTTTAGGGGGCTACACTTTATGTACGTCGCATATGACGCCTCGGCGGCGCATGCATGTAACAAGCGCGTGTCAGGCGCCGGCTCAACAAGTTCAACATCAAATGTGTATACGTCAAGAGTGACTGAAAAAAGTAATACTCAAGTCATAGTTGAAGCGCATTTGACTCGTTACTTTCTCGCTAAGAGGCTCTCCTTAACTGCTCGCTCGACACGCGAAAAAAAATACTTGCGTGTATTTAAAAAGCCTCTTAAAGTTTAAACACACGCGGTACAGAGTTGACGAGTGGTTTGAAATTACTGTTTTTTTTTTTAATTTGTAATCGACATGGTATAATTTTCATCAAACATTGCCATCATCGGTGATTAGCCTTGGCCGTAAAAAGCAAATAAAAATATCTCTTCTGAGACTAAGTTTATTCCCTGAAAAAATTTTCTAAATCAGAGAGCAGCAGTGAGTAATTAGCTGTATCTTTACTTTCAATTTCAATGTTAGGTGAATGGTAAATGATTTTAAATTAAGACCAGTACACAATTTTATTACTTGAATTATAGATTACGAAATCTGTTAACAATGTTTTGATCGGGATCCATGATTTCAAATTTCATGTATTGTTATATTGAATAATTCTCAAGTACAGAATTTTAATGTGAAAGTATGGAACAATAATTGTTCAACTTACTAATGAAAAATAAAAAATGTTCTTTATCTAGTCTTATTTGAATATTATTCGTATTTATACTTGATTAAAAATAACTCAAAAATGATAAGTCAAAAAAATTTCATGTGTAATTTCTAAAAGAGATTATGAATATTTTTGATGAAAATGATAAAAAATGTAAACACTTGCTTAATTTTAATAAAAAACTCGATAAAGTAGCAATTTTAATAATTGCAAATCATTTTAAAACGTCTCACCCGTATAGAGTTGCCATCTAGTGGTCAATTGTGAAATTTCCTCAACATTTTCATGTATATGAAATTATGTAATAAAATTTTTATTTTTGACGATAATCCAATTCAAAACGTTACAATCGTTAATTTATTTTAATGTCGATAACGAAGTTTAGCCTTGGCAGCCTCGTCGTCGGCGATTTTTTTCACGGACTCCAAAGACGACGGAATATCTGATTTTTTACTAGCAGCTTTGTAAAGTGCGTCACGAATCGATTCGCTGGATGCTGTTTTCAAATACGAAACAAGACCAAGATTCTCGCACGTTTTGATGAAGAAAGTTCCGCATCCTCGGTCGTAAGTTCCAAATTCATCACATTTGTAGTCCCATGGAAGGAGATAATGGTAATTCAACCAGTAAGATTTGTTGAGTATGAAAATAGTATTGTCATCCGAAGGGAATCTGTAATAAATTTAATTATTTATATCGATCAATATTATCCTTATTAGAATAAATGAACAGTTTTAAATTGCAAAATCTGATTGATGATGAAAATTTTATTCGCGGCATTATGAAGTTTTACTATCTTATTAGCTGTTGGATAAGTCTAAAACGCCGTTACCAATTGCATACGGTAATGCAGATGCAACACAAGTGCAACAGGTGTCTCTACAATGCTTTTTATTTTTATAAAAGAATCAAGTACGAAATGAATTTTTAACTAGAGGAATTATTTCAAAAAATTAGTTATGTTACTGAAATTATGAAATTTAAAAAGAATGTTTGACACCATAATCTTACGGTATCTCAAATTATACGGTAAAATGTTAGTTACGTTTAAAAATCATTATGATAATAGCTTGAAAAAATTGTTAGCACTGTTAGATAGTGAAGAAATTTTTTAATTCTGGTTTAAGAATAGTACTCATGAAATTAAACACTTTACACCTTAAAAACTATAAAACCCTTCGTTGTTAATCATTACTGTATTATGACTATACGGCAACCATATTAAATTTCTTAACAAATTAAATGAGTGATAAATATTTATTAACTTGTCTCCAGGTTTGAGTCCCCAAATAAGCATGGCACTATTAACGAGCCATGATAAATTAGTTGTAACAGCTAGCCGGAAAAATCCAAGAATGAATACAGTATTTTTGATTGATTCTCCCCAGTATTCTGCTGGTGCGTTGATCGGTAAAAGCAAGCCAATAACTATGAACATTGGCCAGTAGAACCTAAAATTATTTTTTTATTTTTTAAATGCTTGAATAATATACCTTTTTCAATACTGATAATTAACGCCGATAAAATTAAATTTATGACAACCATTTTTCCAGAGCAGAATTTAAGAAAAAATTTTAGAAACGAATATAGATTTGTCTTGTAAATTTTTACATGACATTATTAGATTTAATAACGTTTTTTACCATCTTTGAATCCAGACGTATCCATCATAATCCACATCGGTCATATCTATGTCTTTATCCAATCGTTCTTTTTGAGGGTGGGGCGAGTAAATGTTACTAACAACGTGACTGAACCAAAATCCTTTTTTATGATTGTAAGGATCTCTTTCGGTTCCATAATATTGATGATGAGTTCTATGAGCTACCACCCAATCATAAATATCACCCTGAAAATATAAACATTTTTGTACAACTTCCAGTGAAAATTAAAGTGAGGTTTCATTTTTACAGATTAAATCTCTGATAACCGATGCAAATGAATATTTTTTTACTTTATCAAAGTATTGAAAGTCAATTTTCGATTCAATTATAAATATATAACAGAAAAACGTTACTCAAAATACCAATAAAACGTAAACTATACTTACCACGCCAGCTAATGTATGACCGATCATCAAGATTCCTCTGATGATACCTGTTGCTTCAAATGCCTGATGAGCCCATAATCGGTGAGCTCCTACAGTAATACCAAGACCCGCATAAAATATGATGAACATAGCTGAAAATTAAATGAAGTTTTGATCATTAAACAATTAATATCAATAGTTTTTACTGTATTTATTTTCGTAACCAAAAAAAGGCAATAGAAATACGATCGTAATAAGTTAATTACTCAATTTATCGATAAAATTGTCGAGAATTCCATTTTCAAGGCAAAATAAATTTCAATTCTGTTTCAAAGAATGAGAGTTTCATTATTACGCAAAACTACAAGCAGCTATTACACTAGTTAAATCATTTCCTGCCGCACTCGCATAGAAGCCTACTTTTACAACATTTCATGTAATAACTAAATAAATATTATTAAATTCTTAACATTTGATACAAACTTTTTCAACCCGTTTTAAATGTTCAAACTTTTGAATAGAATCAAAACTACAGTTTCAATTATTGAGAAATTGTAGTTTTAGATTAAAACTTAAATATTATTTAGAAAACAATTTAAGCGATCTTATTAAAAATAATAATGAAAACTTACTGAATAATACTGTGATCCATTTTGCTTCCGTGAAAAGCAGAATCAATCCATACAATCCGAGAGCGTGCAGATGAATATAGTACAGTACCGTAGGCCAACTAATATCCCTTTTGAAATCTTCTATAACTTCGTGTGGCATTTTCGCAATTAATAATATGCAACAATTAAACGGTCAACTTTGTCTACTTTTTAACTGTTTTTAAAAAACGACATAAAAACTAGGCAGATCGGAGTTAATGTCTTGCTTTTTCGATTCACGCACAATAACTGTGTTCGATTCGCATAAAGCAATTGCGTTACCCCAAAATACTTCCATTGACCTCCGAGACCTTGAATAAACAGCGTCTCAAAATTTTGCATATTTATACATTGTCATTTCCTTTGCGGAGAAGAACCGAGAAGCGCCTATACTGAGCTAGAACAAGCTGACCATTAATTTGAACTTTTGAGATATTTAAATATAATTCCAATCTGATGAAACGTAAACGTGAACCGGAAAACAATTTTAATCTAATATAATAAAGAAAAAAACAAGCTTATCCACTTAGTAAACGTAAACTATAATCATGTAGGTATTTTAGTCCCTTGCATAGTGTATTAGAACTGTTTTGTGTGCAGTTCAAAATTATTATAAATTATATATTTGATCGTTACAATTTAAAACCTAAATTGCACCATATCTTAAGTAGCATTTAATTATTTTTTCAGTTAAATAGTATTTCAAAAAATTTTCGCTCAACGTTGCTTAACGTTGCAATTGTAATAAAAAAAAAAAAAAAATAAATAAAAAATTTCCTTATTTTACCGTCTGCGGACACAGCTTTAATCTTCGGAAGCAAATATAACATACGCAGCGGATTATGTAGGCCATGCAGCACTTTCTGCTTCTTCAATTGACCTGGCTAACAAACGGTACTTGCTTTTAGCTTGCGAAAATAATATCCGATGTGAGCATTGAAAATCGGCAGTCACTTGAGATATTTGTCATCAAACACTATGTGAGTAATTTTCATATTTATTGAAAAAATTTAGTTAAGGTATGCTATTAAAAAATATAGCTTCAAGTTAAGACTATTATTACTTATTTAATTTTGATTTTCAAGAATTAAATTTAATGACACAAATAGATTTTTCATAGTTTGTAATGAAAATTATTTAATGCTTTCAACAAATATAAAGAATTGTTAAGACGACATCTGTTGTACATCATGTTTTTTTATCTTGTTAATCTAGTTCACGGAATTTCACGCTAGTGGAAATAATAACAAGAACCAGCCAAGTACATAATATAAAATTAATTGTTTTAAACGATAATGAAACTTTTAGGTAAAGAAATAAATTTATTTACCAATATTTATTTTTATTTTTTAATTACAGTAAAATATTCCGTACATGATCGTGTGAAAAAGTATCATTATAAGTATTTAGCATAAGAGTGTGCACCCAATACAATAAAACACTTGCCATTGTTAATTTCTAATAATATAAAATGTGATAGTGAACGTCAGGATTTGCAAGAGAACTGTAAAGCCGTTGCCGCTTGTTCGCTATACAGCAAGTCAGGCGTCGATGTTTACGGCTTAGTGCTACTTTGCCTGGTAACAGTGACCTGAAAAGCTGCAAATGACCTCTTTTCCTCATACCGATCCCGTTCGACTCTCCTTTCAGCATCCACATTCACCTTAAGCATCAAAACTGGAAAAGTAGCCGATTATCTTTTTCGATTTCCCTCTCCATTGCGGCCGGAGAGATGCACCGTGTAAGCATCGGATGCCTTTCGAAGAAAGTTTCGCGTTACCTTCACTTGGGTTTTATCTTGGCAGAGTGCTCTCGCCTGCACGTAGAGCAGGTACCATTGCATCTCGGGTATTCTCGCAACAGGTTGAAGCGCGGGAACGCGGATAGTTTTGTGTGAATATTCAGTTTTAAATTGTTCGTTTATTACGAGTTTTTACGTTATTTTTTTGCAAACTAAACTACGATAGTAAAAAAAAAAAGGTAAGTGATTATTGAGATTAAAAAAAAATTAGTTTAAAAATTTAAATGTGAGTGCATAAAAATAAAAATTTAATTTTTTCAAAATTTGATTCGGGTCGAATTCCTTATTATAATTTAAAAATTTTAAACAATTATTGTTAACTGGAACTGTTATTCGATAGAAATTACTAAAATTTACCAATAAATTAATTTCAAAAATTAAAATTAAAATGTCCAAAAATGTTAAATTGTTCGTCACCAGTCGCTATGTCGCCCAATTTATTCGGTACCACTGCTGCTGTCATTTCTGAAGCATCGCAAACTCCAGATCTAAAAGTTAAGTCCAATGGATCCTCGACATCTTACCTGAATAATAAAGAAAATAATAAAAAGTACCCTTGGAAAATCGTTTGGCGAAATGTCATCGCCTTTCTGTACTTGCACTTTGGAGCTCTATACGGTTTATACCTATTTTTCGACGGCGCCAAGTTTTTGACCGTACTGTGGAGTGAGTAAAAGTTACCGTACGAAATTGCAAAAAACGGGTTTTTAAGTGAACGATGTGAAGAAAACACGAATGTCCTCTTTTACAGCTATCCTCGTAGCCTGTTCAGCTGCGGTTGGTATCACTGCGGGGGCGCATCGACTTTGGTGTCACAGAGCTTACAAAGCTAAATGGCCATTGAGAGTCATTCTTATGATATTTCAAACCACTGCATTTCAGGTAATTATTCAATATTATTTTTAAAAATTTTAAAAAAGCGATTATTGAAAGTTATCCTTCCATCATAGTCAATTTTAATAAAACTTTACATACTCAAAATTTAAAAAATTACAGTAAACGACGTTTCGTCGATCATACGTCGATCGTACGTCGACCTATTTTAAGTTAAAATTATTTTTTCAAAACACTATACGTATAAATCAATGAGAGCTCATAAGTCAATGATTTTCAATGAGTAAAAAACGTATTAAAATAAATTTTTAATATTTTTTTGCTTCGCAATAACTTTCAGAATCATTTATACGAGTGGGTGAGAGATCACCGCGTGCACCACAAATTCACGGACACGGATGCAGATCCGCACAACGCGAAGAGGGGCTTCTTCTTCTCCCATATGGGCTGGCTGCTGCTGCGCAAACATCCCGACGTCATCAGCAAAGGTGCGAGCGTGGACATGAGCGACTTGGACTCCGATCCTGTCGTTGTATGGCAAAGAAGGTGAGTGCAATAATTCCGTTAGGAATTTACATGCTACGAAAAAAAATACTCGTCTTTATTATTCTCACTGACGAGCTCAGCGAGTAATCGATTTTTCAAAGTTATAGTGCTCGAGCGATATTGTTTAAGACCATAAAACATAATTAAGACCGGCCGAAGTAGCGCATGCTATAAAGCGCGTTTTCTCTTACTCGCTCAGCAAAGCGTAAGATAAGCTGTTCGTTTTATTATGTAGTAGAGCCATGGCTATTTTTGCTGTATCATTGTAATATTTTTCAGGGTTTTACAGTAAATATTCAATAAATCGAGTTAGTTTAAAAATTATATCTCAACTCGATTAAATATTAATCTAAGCGAAAATCGAAATACTTATGAAATTAAAAAAAATACAATGAAAATTAGACTTAATTTGTCTGATATTGAGAAATCGCGCGAATCTTATATTAGATAAAGCAATTTGATGGGAATCAAAATAAGTTATTACTTAAATTTGTACAATCCATTAAGATATCGCAAATTTTTCTATCAACAGGCTTTACATCATTCTCATGCCATTATTTTGCTTCGTAATCCCTGCTTGGATACCTTGTTACTTTTGGAATGAAAATCCCATGAACTCCTGGTACGCAACAATTTTTAGATACACTTTATCCCTCAATATAACGTGGCTCGTTAATTCCGCTGCACACATTTGGGGAACAAGACCGTATGACGAGTAAGTTATTTTTATTTTTAATAAAATATATTATATTTGCCATGAATAATCTTGTAGATCTGGTATCTATGAAAAGTGGCAGAAGTGCTCAATATTTTATGACTAGTAAGGCATGTTGAGTTCACGTACGCGACTTCCGTCAGTAGAATTGCGTCGAAACCATGTTTTAATTTATACAATTAATTGAATTTGCCACTTGCACATTTACAGATAAAGGTACTCGCCATCTAGTGGTGAATTATTAGAGTAGTAATATCGTATGTGAAGTGGTTGTAAGCTGGTCTAAATTTTTTGAATCAATTGAATTGTCATTATTAGGCCATTTAAAATATGTTTAATATTGATAACGTAATTGTAACGTAAAAATTGCCAAAAACAAGTCTAATAATTTTAAAAAATTTTGAATAATCATTTTTGGTCATTATAAGACTTCTATTCACATTAAGCATTTCTACCAGGGATTAATGTTGAAAATTATAGCCTACTATTATAAATTTAATTTTAATGGAAAATTACAGAAATAATTATGTGTCATTTTAACAGGTCAATCAGCGCAACGGACAACGTACGAGTAGCATTGGGAGCCTTCGGGGAAGGATGGCACAACTATCATCACGTGTTTCCATGGGACTACAAAGCAGCAGAATTAGGAGATTACAGCGTAAATTTTTCAACTGCTTTCATTGACTTTTTTGCTAAAATTGGATGGGCTTACGATCTCAAAACTGTTCCCCTGGAAATGATCGAAAAAAGAGCAAAACGAACGGGCGATGGTACGAGAATTGAGCACGACGACAGCGAAAATCATCACGAGGGTGCTATTTGGGGATGGGGAGATAAAGATATGCACCAAGAGGATATCGAAATGGTTCACATAATTAACAGCCAACCGAATGAAAAATCAAAACTCTTTTAAAAAAAATCACGCTCGCCACCGCATTAAAAGACATTAAACAAAATTATAAAGACTGTTTTCAATTAATTAAAAATTAATTTGAAGATGAAAATAATACTAAGGAAACATAAAATTGAAGGAAGATATTTACATATCTTTTTAATCATAAAATAATTCAGACTTCCTTTGAATATAAATTTAAAATGATAAACACAATATCCGATTTAAATGGTTAAATTGTAAATTTTATCTTTAGGAATAAAATGTAAATATTGTTGTTATAGTGTTACTTAAATAATAGTCATTAAGTCTAATGAAGCGCATGGAAATTTGTTTGAGTATGACTGGACTGTTTATTTTTAATCACTTCGTGATTTATTAATTTGTAATAGCTCAATATTACTTCAAAATTGTTTCGTGTTAGGATTGTAGTTGAAATGCTTAAAACTATATCAAGTCCTTTTGGTGATAGAAAACTGCAGGACTTTATTTTTGTTATTATTTATCATTGACAATTTAATTGTCTTTACGTTATATCTTTTTATATAAAAAGGATTTAAAGCGACGTCTGTAATCATATCCGCAAAATATGTATCTGAAATTTATTAAAAACTTTTATGCTTTAGTTTTTTTTAAGGCAAGATCTATATCATTTTAAGAATCAAATGAAGGTCTTGAATATCATAAAGTTATTATGACTCTTGTATAATTAAGAAATTGACTGTCATGTATATAAACGATGTAAATGTCTTAATAATGACTTGAAATATATTTTAGTAAAATGTCTTTTGAAAGTATGGTTCATTTTAATCAAATTTCTTACATTAGTACTCCATTCACAGAGTTTACATTTTTCAAGAGTATCATAATCACGATATGTATTTGCTGTGTAAAGCGTTTAGTCGCCCGTTTCTCATAATTTCCAGATGTGGCGCTGGCGTCCATTTACTAGCTAAGATGCAGTTCGTCTGGCAGACTAATATTTGAATCGTTTAAAGCAACCGCGCATTGTCAAGCATCATTCAGAATCATTTTCATTTTTGCACTTCATTCATTGAATTTGGCTTAATTCTTCATGTTACAATTATTTTTATTATTGTATTCATAATTTCATCTTTGTGTGTTATTAAAATATTGTATACTTCTCTGGAAAAAAAACAGTAAACTTGACACACTTTGAGACAAAATATAGTGATGGGTAATTTGTTGCGCAGTCAAATTAGAGTGGTGAAATTTTAGAACTTAGATTATAATGAAAAATTTAAAAAATAATTAGCCGACGCAAGTGAAAAATTCAACACGAAGAAAGATGGAGGCGTGTCAACTAAAGTAGACCGAAGAAACATTTAGTCATAAATTTTACTTGATTGGTAAGACAGTAAGTAATTGCACATTTCACCATGAATCATAGGAGAAAATTGTATTCATATTCGAGTGTGAGTTTCATCAACTTGAGCTTTAAGACAGAATATTTTAAAAACAAAAAATAATGTTATAAACAGCGTTTGAATTTCCATAGTAAAAAATAAAAAGATGATAATCAAGTATTAACGTAGATTAATGCGTCAATTATGAAAATTGATAAACGTGAGATAACATTTTATGGAAGTACAACATTATAAACTCAAGTTTTTATTTACTAAAATAAAAATTCAATTTCGTGTTGTAAGTTATGCAATTAAATAATTCTTTGCTTGATAACATAATACAAGATACAGTCTCAAGATGAAATAAAAGTACTAAACAATATTTCAACTGGGACATTTTTTTAATTTGTGATATTAAGGGTCAAGTCACCCTTCCAAATTTTCAATTATCCATAACTCTTTTTAACTTTAACTTTTACGTTTATTAAAAAGCATTCGTATAGATACCTGATGTAGAGAATTTCTTTCGTTTACAAAAAAAAATTGTTCAATTATTTTTTTTAATTTAATTATGTCTGATAAGGCTAAATGAAGTATTGTAAAATATATTTAATAGATATTAATTTACTATTCAACATTATCAAATTAACAGATTGTTTATCTTAATCCATTAGTAATTATTTCTAAATTCATAATAATTTAATTAAAATTATCTTCACCAATGAATAATTTCAATTTTTAATAAACTGCAGAATGATATTTAAACTTTATCATAAAGATGAATGTCGCGAGAATCGATTACGGTGGGGATCGAGACGCAGATGATGGTACTGTAAAGATAGGTCAGTTTGCGTCACCGAAACCAGATAAAGTAAACTTGCATCGAAAGCAGAGACAATTAATTTTTTCAACCTTAATTTGGGGATTTTTTGCTCTTATCAGTATCGCTAGCACCTGTTTTATAGTTGCAGAAGTTGCGATACATCTGAGTCCAAGAACAGTCAATTTTATCAACGGTAAGCGCAATGTTTTTATTAAATTCTTAACAAAATAAACACAGTTTCAATGTTTAATTTTTCACAACACCAAACTTTCGAATTTAAAAAATGAAAAATAATTAAAGCTTATTTAGTAAGTTGAAATTCATTAAATTCGCTCAGTCTCATATTTATGAGAATAGCAGAATATTTTATCAACAAATATTGTGATTATGAATAGCAGCGAAATCAGCTGAATAATGTTGTGTATAGACGTGTATATATTGCCTGGTCTGTCCGCCAGATGTCTTTAATATGATATAAGAGTAATTTCACGTTTCACGGATCGCAAAAGTAAACAGAAATACAAATGCGCGCGAATAAGATTTGAATGCACAGACGCAAAACAAATTTTTTTTAACTTTTTTAAGAAATTAAAAAATCCTATAATTAATTTACATGTGCAATGAACATTTATTTTAAACAAAGTTTATATTTTCACGCTTTTTCTGATACAACCCCAGTTGCAGTGGATCTCTTTGGAATTCATGGCTTTGCTAAAATTGCCGAAACTAAGACTTGGTATAAACGGTATGTACCGAGTTATTCTTAATGGCCAAAGAGATTTTGAAATCGAGCGTCAGAAAAATTTAAGCATACTTTTTTCATATTTTGGGATACTTTCGAAAATAAAGTTGAATGTAATAAAATAAGAAAGATATAAAATTTACGAGGGAGAACATTTTCGAAAATACGTTTAAAAATTTTAATTTTAAAACTTCCTGTAATTTTACAATAAAAAATCTTGAAAATCTAAAAAAAATCTTGAAATTTCGTGAAAAATTAGGTATACTAGAACGACTATGCGTATACTTACAAGCTGACTCCAAGCATTTTTGATCCTATTTTTAGAATATATTGAGAAAAAAAATAACCTGAAGTGATTTGAAACCAAATGAGCCTTATCCTTCTCATCTTCGATCAGTGGGAATCTAATCTAATCTTATAAAACTAGTAACAAAATAAACTGCTAGTAGTACACAACAGAAGCTTGAAATCTTAACAAATGTGTGGTCTTACAATACGATTCTAAAGCAGTGAAATTATTTTTGCGAGTTATTTAATAAAAATTGAAAATGTGTTTAAAAATTTACATTTTTTTCCTAGGTTTGTTATTTTAATCGAATTTTCAGAAATGTATAATAGAAAATTTTGAGTGTTATTTGATAATCTTTCAAAATAAGTACTTTAATTATTACGTACAACTAAAAATTTAAAATTTCAATCATTTTTACAGGTATTGGAAGTGTACTTAAGTATATAAATATGCATCAACACACTGATATACCTTTCCGGTTGACACCGTTGATTCGCCCATTGAAGTATGACATTTTACTTATTCCCGATTTGGATGCCGAGAAATTTCGTGGTGAAGTATCGATACAACTTGAAATTTCCGAAAAACAAGACCTCATTATGTTGCATCAAAAAGCACTGAACATTAGTTCGGTTGACTTGATCGCAAATATTAGAAAAAGCAAGATGCCTTTGGAAATTGAAACTAGTTACGTCGTAGAGGAGAAGGAAGTTTTCGTAATAAAACCCAAGAGAGTTTTGGATGTTGGATTTTACGATTTACATTTAACCTTTTGCGGATCTTTAAGTGATAAAATTGTGGGATTTTATTCCAGTAAATACAAAAATCAATTGAATGAAACACGGTACGCTATCTAGGAATTATTATAATTTCAAAAATTATTATTTTATAAAATACAATTTTTTATATCAATTAACTACATATGGCTGTAAAAAAATTTTATTATAGAACCATTGCTACGAGTAAATTTGAGCCAACTTATGCCAGAAGAGCTTTTCCGTGCTTCGATCAACCCGAATTCAAAGCACAATTCAGTATAAAATTAGTACATCCCAGGGAAAACTGCTACAGTGCTTTGTCAAATATGAACGTGAAGGTAAATATAATTGGAATCGAACTAATACTTCGTCGATTCAAACATGCTCATAAAAAAATTTTATTAAATTTCAGAGCATTGACGTTGGAAAACCGAGTGAAGAATTAACAACAGTGACCTTTGCTGACAGTGTTCCGATGTCAACTTATCTAGTTTGTTTCATAGTTAGTGATTTCGTGGGTGTGACCAAAAATGCACATGGATTGAATGGAAAAACATTTCCAATCAGTGTTTATACTACTAAACAACAAAAAGCCAAAGCTACTTTTGCATTAGATGTTGGTGTTAGAACAATTGAGTATTACATTAATTTATTCGGAATCGACTATCCGCTCCCAAAACTCGGTAAGACGTGCTGAAATTAAAATTTAATTTTTCAATACTGGAAAATTCAATTTTTCATTTTTCAGATATGGCTGCTATTCCCGATTTTGTTTCTGGAGCAATGGAAAATTGGGGCATGGTCACCTATAGAGAATCTAGACTCCTGTACGATGAAAAAACAACGTCTATCGCTAATAAGCAAGATATTATTCACGTAATCGCCCACGAATTCGCGCATATGTGGTTTGGAAATTTAGGTAATTTTAGTCAATTTAAAAAAATTTTTTTAAAAAATAATTTTTCATAACAATTTATTTATGTTTTACAGTGACCATGGCTTGGTGGAGTGATCTGTGGTTGAATGAAGGTTTTGCGACATACGTAGAATTTAAAGCAGCTGATAAACTATTTCCAGAAAGCAATTTCGTAAGTTTTTTTATAGAATTGAATCTATTGATGTCGGTATTCATTGATTGGGGTAATTTAATTATTTCAATTACAGTTGGATCATTTTCTATTCGATAAATTAAACCCAGCGCTGGTTATGGACTCAAAAGCCAATTCACATCCTATTATTCAAACAGTCAATAACCCAGACGAAATTAATGCTATTTTCGACCAAATTTCCTATCTCAAGGTTTGTGAAGCCAAGAAACCATACACTTTCTAAATAACTAATGTTTAAACATATTTTTTTAATTACAGGGTGCTTCTTTACTTCGGATGATGGAAGGTTTCATCGGGGAAAATAATTTCTACGAAGGAATAACTAAGTATTTGAGGAAATATGCTTACAAAAATGCCGAAACTTCCCATCTCTTTGCGGAGTTGGATAAAACATCAGATAACGATATCAACGTCAAAAATATAATGGACACGTGGACATTGCAAATGGGCTATCCAGTAGTTTTTGCCAAACAATCCGATAAAAATACTTATATTCTAACTCAAAAAAGATTCTTAGTCGGTTCCGATCCGAAAAAAACGCAGTCTCCATTTGATTACAAGTGGACCATACCGATCACATATGTAACAAATAAACAGTCAACTCCAGTTTTGGTTTGGTTCGACAAAGATGCACCTTATCGTTAGTTGACTTTTAAAATTAATTTTTAGAAATTATTTTTCAATATAATTAATAATATTAAAATAATCGCAGTGGAAATCAAGATCGACGAGCCTATCGATTGGATCAAATTCAACGTTGATCAAGTAGGCTTTTACAGAGTAAACTATGATCAAGGCCAATGGGAAAAATTGATTGATACTTTGCAATGGAGTCACAAAGTAATTTGTTTAAACATTTTTTTACATCTAACTAATGTAAAATAAAAATTAACGCAAGAATTAAAATTTTTAGAGACTTTCTTCAAGAGATAGAGCCCATTTGCTGGAAGATATTTTCAGTTTGGCCGACGTTGGAGAAGTTGAATGGTCATCAGCAATGAATATGACAGTGTATTTGGGAAGGGAGAAAAATTTGGTTCCATGGAAAATAAGTGCGACTAAATTATCTAAAATTAATCGATTGCTCTATGCAGATGCAAAACATTTTTCTACTTTAGAAAAATACCAGGTATGTTTTTAAAGCAATAAAATAAAATTTCAATTAGTTTATAAAAAATCATTAATTGAATAATGTTATGGGCAGGATTACGTAAGAGAATTGGTCGATGGTATTTATCATGAAGTGTCATGGAACGTCGATGCAGGTGATACGGCAGAATTTTTGTAAGTATTGCAATTAAAAAAGTTCTAATAATTTATTTTTAATTTACAAAACATCATTTAATGACATTTTATGGACAGGAATCTGAGAGTGGCTGTTCTAGGACTTGCTTGTGCAGTTGGACATAAAGAATGCAAAGAAGACGTTGGTGCAATGTTCAAAGCTTGGATAAATGACGAAGAAGATGTTCGTCCTCATCCTGATATCCGATCCCTCGTATATTACTATGGTAAACGCAATGACAAATTCAATTTTTCTCCAAGATAAATAATTTCATAACGACAAAAACTATTTTTAGGCATGAAATATGCTGGAGGTGAAAAAGAATGGAATGTCATGTTCGACAGATTTGCCAAAGAAACGGACGCTGCCGAAAAAGCTAAACTGATGAACGGATTATCAGCCGTGCAATCGAGTTACATTTTGAAAAAGTAATTATAGTTCGAGTTCAGAATCATCGACAATTAAAACATTTATTCATCAACTTTTTCCGCTAAAATTCCAGATTCATCGCTCTCTCCACGGAAGAGAAGTACGTGAGAACCCAAGACTTCCTCGGCTGCCTGTCCAGCATATCCAACAATCCCGAGGGCGAGAGCCTGATCTGGGACTGGGTGCGCACCAACTGGCCATTCCTGGTGAAGCGTTACACGCTGAACGACCGATACCTCGGCCAGCTCATACCCGCCGTTACGAAGAGCTTCGCCAGCTTCGAGCGTGCCAAGGAGATGGAGGCCTTCTTCGAGCAGTATCCGGAGGCCGGCGCGGGCAAGCAGTATCGGGGCCAGGCCATGGACACGGTGCTGGCCAACATCGACTGGGTCGCGCGCTCGGTCAGCGATATCGATCAGTGGCTTAGCTCGAGACCGAAATTACTGGTCACCAGTTAAAAATAAAATTATAATAATATATAAAAACATCATAATGCCTTCGACATTTCTTCTTTTTTTTTTGTAAGAACGTTAATTCGTATACTGTACAGAGCATTTATAAAAATGCCACCTAACTTTTGTACTATCTCATTTTAATATTAAAAATAAAATAAAAACAAAAAATACAATACGTCGTTTTCACAATGCATCGATACACGCCTACAACGTTATGCCTATATACGACACGTACGTGCACATAAAAGTATAATATCATTCCTCCGGTCTATCAAGCTCTCGCGCAACGGCGGCGACGAGACGCGCGACTCGCGTGCAGCGCGCGCGCGCGCGTGGAAACAGGTTTTTTCTTTATCGCTCCCTTTACCTTCGCGTCTTCTCTTTAAATTGCTTCTTCTCTTGCCTTTTTCCGCTCTTTCAAGTTTTGTGCGCGCGCGCTGCAACATCGATATATAGGCACGCACAGCATTGCTATAACGCGTGTACACACGCGTATCCTCGATACATATATGCACCGTGTATATATCGGACGTCTCACCTTTCTCTTTTTCCGCGCGCGCGCGAATGCGATGCAGGCGCGACGACGTCGTGTATTATACTCGGCGCGATTTTGTCAGTGCACTTCGCGTGCGCTGCGCTAGTAAGTATAGTATTATAAGTTAAGTAAGTTCTTTTAAGACTGCGTTAAACTTCATAAAAATAAAATATATGTAAGCTTACAAGCTGAAAGCGCGAGCAAAAAAAGTGAGAAAATCTCGTTGAGTTCGTGTATTAAAAGCATAAAGATAAACATCGATTGTGCAAATAGTCGTATTTTTGTGCGGATCGAAATATCGTTGCATCTCATTGAATTTAATTCTTATAAAAATCAGAAATACTATATACTAAACATAAGTGATAAAGGATAACAAATGCACGTGACCAGTAGCTGTCAAAGTAGCCTATGAATCAAGTGGATCATCGCGAAAATCGCTAAATGTTCAAAAGCAATCGAGAAAAATGGATATTCACGACGACGTCAAAATCGAATCGACGACGACCTTGCTACAGTTGCGAAGAGATCCCCTGTACATCGTCGTGCCGGTCAGTGTCGCGTACTGCGTGATATTTTTCGCCGGATTGCTGGGCAACGTGTCGACCTGCCTGGTGATCGCCAAAAACAAGGCCATGCACACCTCGACGAATTATTACTTGTTCAGTCTGGCGATTTCGGATCTGCTGCTGCTCGTCAGCGGACTGCCGCCGGAAATCTATTACATGTGGTCGAATTATCCGTACGTGTTCGGCGAGGCTTTCTGCATACTGCAGAGTTTCGCCGCCGAAACGGCGGCAAACGCGACTGTGCTTACTATCACGGCCTTTTCGGTCGAAAGGTTTGTTATTTATTGTTACTATTATTTATTACAGGTGATCCCTGTTATTCGCGGGGGTTTTCACACCAGTACCGCGAATACGGAATTCGCGAATACGGAAGTAATGAGTATATGGAAAACAGGGGGTTCAGTTTCAGAAAATTTTGGAATTTATTGCACCCGCTTCTCATCAAATACATAAAAATACTTGCAATTAGGATATTTTATATGTATTAAAGTAATTTGTGAGGCAGCTCTGTTTCATATTACGTAGAAAATCCTTGCGGAGCTCTTCATAAGCATTCAAATACACTTTATCGTCAATCCAAATTATCAGCATATCTTCCTTACGTTCTAAATTACTTTTCCTACTTATTTTTACACATATTGCATAGAATCCAAGTTTTTTCATACTTAATTTTTGTTCGTTTGCACGAATAGACCGAATCGTAGACTTATTCACATTAAATTGTCTCGTGACAAATACTATTGTTTCTCCACTTTTCAACAAATCCAAAATTTTGATTTTTAACTTTTCCATGTATCAAAAGATACACAGAAAGTTGCTCAGAAAATTACACATTATATCGATCTCGTTTTCCTTTGCAAGCGCTTCATTTGGATGTTCACGAGATTTTTTATTGGTCTCGGAATACGATTCATCGTTGGTAGTTTTATCAAAATTATTCAAAGATCTTAGAATTTTTTTCGCAACGTGATCGCTTCTCATCATCTCTCTTCTTTGCCGCCACTTTTTCTTGTTTTTTTTTCAAATTATTTTTTTACTAATCCAGATAGAAACCTCACTCGATTATAAAATACATAATATTAAATGTAAAAATATAATTGTATTTATTTTTGGTTTAAAATTGTCACTGGTTATAAAATTGTAACTTCAATCCATCAGAGAAGAATAAACAGAAGAAAAGTTCAATTAAATCTCTCCCTTTACTTAAAACCCATACAACCCTCATCAATTTTATTTGATCTTTAAACTTGTATCTGATTCACTTTTATGAATAATCCAATTTACTTTTGAATTATGCAAATAAAAAATACGATAATTAAATTGTTTTTCACACAGATACGTTGCCATTTGCCATCCATTCCTTTCACACGCGATATCCAACCTGAAGCGGGCCATCAGGTATGTGATAGCCGTGTGGACACTGGCCCTCGTGCTGGCGATCCCTCAAGCCGTGCAATTCGGCCTGGTCTATCAGCGCCACGAGGACGGCTCGATCGTCGCCGAGAGCGCGATCTGCTCGCTCAAGTGGACCTTCCTGGATCACGCCTTCGAGGTGTCCACCTTTCTGCTCTTCGTCGTGCCCATGATCGTCATAACGGTGCTGTACATTCTGATCGGCGTCAAGTTGAGGAGGACGAGCATGTCGATGACGGGCACGAGGGACGACAAGGTCGAGCATCGATACTACAGCGTAGATCGAGGTGACGGCAGGAAAAGGTGCTCGCAAAAGAACATAACGAGGATGCTGGGTGAGTCTCGACTGACTGTAGATAGCTGAAAAATTAATCGCCTTTAAACGTTGTCTATTTTTTTCTTACAGTTGCAGTGGTCATAACGTTTTTCATTTGTTGGGCGCCGTTTCACGCTCAGCGACTGTTGGCTATTTACGCGAAAAACTACAACGTCAAGAGTAGCGAGCCAACGATCGTTTTACCGGTTTACAGGAGCCTCACGTACATATCCGGCGTTTTGTACTATTTATCCACCGCGATCAATCCATTGCTCTACAACATAATGTCGAATAAATTTCGCAAAGCTTTTATGGTGCGTATATCAAACTGTCATAAATAAAAGTCGAAATTTTTCATTGTTTTTTTTACTCTATTTCTGCTTTGCAGCTGATGTTTTCCAAGAAATGCCGAGCCCAAGTCCAAAGAAACTCGAGCAATCGTCCTCAATTTTCGATAAAAAATTACTCACCCTATCCGAATGGCAGTAGCAACAACCAACAAAAGGAAGCCTGCGTGACGATGTCGCTATCTTTGAGCGACGAAACTGTGCCAAAGACAACGATCTGCGGTCAATACACCATGCAAAACGACAACATTACTCCTAGCTCTTATCAAACTACCTTAGACAGATAACAATAATGAATATATTTTTTCTTACATGTATTTATTATTTATTTGTAAATAAATAACAGATGATGATTGATGTATTATAATATTGACATAGTTTACGCATATAAATATATTATTAATAAAAAATCTGAATTACTTACTTACCCTTTCGATTTTTCCGAGTTTTTTGTATCAATTTCCGATTGTAATATAGTTATATAAGATATAAGATAAAAAAGATTATTTTTTTAGATAAAAATGTTACTGCATTACATCGTATGCCATAGAACGCATTCACTATATCACTGTATGCAGCAAACCAAACGGACACACGTACTTGTATGTCATACAATGCATACTTACTTAGACACGTAGTTGTATGCCATCGTGTACGAACCTTAGCGCTCACTCTGCGGTCCTGTCCGTGTTCCCTACTCCCGCGGGCATGACAGGTTTAATACCTTCCGCGGCAACCGACGCGTCGCTCATAGCGCAATTTTCCCGCGCGATTCCACAGCATGTTTACAGCGTTTTATAAAGAACCGGCGTGTTTACATAATTAAATAAAATAAGCTTGATAGCTTGCCTAATTAAAAACTGTGCAGTTATTGTTAAAAAGTTCTCGTCGTGTCGATTCGTTTTCCAACGGTGTTGCCGTAAAATAACAGCAAAATGGAAGCTATTGAAAACGATCAACGTTTGAAAAAAATTGAGAAGGAGTACCTTGAATTTTTAGACGATGCAGTAAGTTGAATATCAATAATTTGCGTTTTATGATGATCTGAAATCTGAATGACCCTAGGAAAATGCGCTAGTTTTTCCCGACAAATCACGATTTACGTACACGTACGAGACGTTCTAAAAACTACACTTGTTGTATGCTTTATGTATACACAACACCAAGATTTATGAATACATTTCCCCCAGATATGCATTTCAATTTTTTGAACATTTTGTTTCATGTAAAAAATTCAAATAATTTTTAAAAGCAAATCTTTTATTGTTTTGTACTGCAATTGAGTTATATTTTTCTAAATTTGAATGTTATACTCCCCTAAATTTTTCTTGTTAAGAACAAACAACTCTAGTTTATCAAATTTTAATGTTAAAAAAATTATTTAATTTTATTTATGATAATATTGTATTATAATAAAGTACAGTTCCTATGCCTAATACTTTATTTTCAAATGTTCAATAGGAAGATCAAGGTATTTACTCCACATTAATCAAAAACATGATTGAAGAGAAGAGGTATCGTTTAATTGTTAATATGAATGATTTAAGAAGAAAAAATCCAACTCGAGCTGCTGGGTTAGTAATCAGTCACTTTATTTTGATCAACTTATTAATTACACCTCATAAATGTAATTCATAACTTTTCATTTTTCTAGATTGTTAAATGATTCTTTTGATGAAATAGTACCCTTCAAAAGAGCACTAAAACAAATGGTAGAAAGTTTTGATACTGAATATGGCAAAGGTAACACTGAATTTTTCATTGGTTTTGAAGGAAGTTTTGGTAGTAAACATACAACACCAAGAACTCTTACATCAAGATTTTTGGGTAACATGGTATGCGTTGAAGGAATTGTTGTTAGATGTAAGTTACAAAAGTTATTTAGAATTTCAATAATTAAGTACGCATAATAAAAGTAAATTAACATAATAATTTATTCTGCAGGTTCATTAGTAAGACCAAAAGTTGTCAGAAGCGTACATTACTGCAAAGCAACTTCCACAGTTAGTGAAAGAGCTTATAGTGATTTGACATCATTTGATGCTTTTCCTGCTACTGCTGTTTATCCTACTCAGGTAAATAATATAACTTACAATTACATAATCTATTATAAATTTGGAGTCATACAATTTTTATTTATTCATAGGATGATGATGGGAATCCATTAGAAACAGAATATGGTTTATCAACTTATAAAGATCATCAAACTTTAACAATCCAAGAAATGCCTGAAAAGGCTCCTGCTGGTCAATTACCAAGGAGTGTTGAAATTATATTGGATGATGATCTTGTTGATCTTTGTAAACCAGGTGACAGAGTTCAAGTAGTTGGAAATTATCGTTGTTTACCTGGAAAAAAAGGTGGATATACTTCTGGCGCATTTAGGTAAAATTTAATTAACAATACTTAAAGATTCATATGAATATATTTACCATTATTGTTAAATAACACTTATAAATATAATTTTTAATGTTTCCAGAACTGTTTTAATTGCAAACAGTGTAACACAATTGACAAAAGAAGCCACGTTGCATATATCTCATGATGATGTTACTCTATGCAAAAGTCTATCCAAAAAAAATCCTCTCAACAACATTTTTGAGCTTTTGGCTAAATCATTGGCTCCATCTATTCATGGTCATGAGTACATCAAAAAGGCCATCCTTTGCCTACTTCTTGGTGGATGTGAAAAAATTTTATCAAATGGCACAAGGCTAAGAGGGTAAATTTGATTTTTATCTTTCTGATAATTATTTCCTTTAAACTCTTGAGCAGTCAATGAATATACAATCTTCTGAATTTTTTAGAGACATCAATATACTGCTAATTGGTGATCCTTCAGTTGCCAAATCACAATTACTTCGATATGTACTCAACATTGCTCCACGAGCTATAACAACCACAGGACGTGGTTCTTCAGGCGTAGGTTTAACAGCAGCTGTCACTGCAGATTCTGAAACTGGAGAACGAAGATTAGAAGCTGGAGCTATGGTTTTAGCTGATAGAGGAGTCATCTGCATTGATGAATTTGACAAAATGTCAGATATAGATAGAACAGCTATACACGAGGTGATGGAACAAGGCAGAGTAACCATTGCTAAAGCTGGAATTCATGCAAGTTTAAATGCTAGATGTTCGGTACTTGCGGCTGCAAATCCAGTATATGGTCGTGTGAGTACCCCAATATTCAAGTAATCTAAAACCACAATATTTTAAAAGTTATTGAATCTATACATCTTTATCTTGCAGTATGATCAATATAAATCACCCATGGAGAATATTGGATTGCAAGACTCTTTACTTTCCCGTTTTGACTTGTTATTTGTTGTTCTGGATAATATTGACTCCGATATCGATCATATTATCAGCGATCATGTCGTTCGGATGCATCGATACCGAAATCCAAATGAACAAGAGGGTGAGGCCTTACCATTTAATGTAGGTTTAGATTATTTGAGTACAAAAAATCCAGATTCAGAAGAGCAACAGGAAGAAGAAACACAAATTTATGAAACATACGATCCCCTTCTTCATGGAAAATCGCGGAAAAAAACGTAAGAAATTTGTTTTATCTACTGTTTAAGATCAAAAATATTATATTCTTAAACAATGAATTTTTAAATTTTAGGGATAAAATATTATCCTCACAATTCATGAGAAAATATATTCACATCGCACGTATCATGAAACCAGAATTAACCGAAGAGGCACGTAAAACAATCATAGAGGAGTACTCGCGTCTGAGATCTGAAGATAACGTCGAATCTGATGTTGCGAGAGTATGTATAAGTTCTAATTGGAGTTTATTTTATTCACCTAAGGTTTGCATGACTAACATTTATTCAATTTTCAGACGCAACCGATTACAGCTCGTAGTTTGGAAACTTTGATTCGACTTTCAACGGCTCACGCTAAAGCTCGGTTATCCAAGCACGTTACCGTCGACGATGCCCAAGCAGCAATCGAGCTCGTCCAGTATGCCTACTTCAAACGAGTACTCGAAAAAGACAAGAAAAGACGAAGAAGAGCCGAGGACAGCGATAACGAGGATGACTATTTTGAGAGTCAAGAGAGAACAAAACGAACCAGAACGACAAGTGAGTCCCAGCAAGAAACTGTCACGGAAACGGAAAGCACCGAAGTTGATCAAAATACTGAAGAAATGGAAACAGAGCCAACCGTTTCTGAACCAACTCAAGAATCAGAGCCAGTTGTTTCAGCTGTGACACAAACTGTTGAAATTTCAAACGACAGGTAATTCATCAAAAATAACCGATACAAGAGAATATTTTTAATGCAAATTTTTCAGTTTCGTCATAGTTTATTCTTGTAAACCGAAAAACATATAAGTTGAAAAAACATAACGATAATTTTTATTTCAGATACGTCGAATTTAAAAGACTGTTGGACCCCATTTTCCACGAAAGACGAGGCGAGGACTCTATGAGTATTTCAGATATTTATACGAGTATCAATAAAAAATCGACAGATCGCTTTTCAAAGGAAGAAATAGATTCTGCTCTTCAAAAGATGTCAGAAGAAAATAAAATCATGATCTCGGATGATCATGTTTTCCTCATTTAAAAGTAATGTAGTAATTAGTGAAGTGATTTAATTTTTGTATTTTTGTACGACTATGTTATCATGTATATTTTTTTTTTTTTTTTACTAAAAAAATGTATTTTAACTTGAAAAAGTATAATATATCAATTACAGATTTTTACAATTTCTTGTTGTTGAATCTACTCTTTTTTGTAAATTTGTTGAAAGATTTTTTTTCAATGTTTGTCTGATTGTAAACATAATTTTAAAAAATATACAAAAGCTTGAAAAGAAAAAAAAACTGCTTTAAAATTATTTTTAATATTATTTTTATTTTCTCAAGTGTCCACTTCGTTCTTTGTATATAGAATATTTACAATTTGTATATATTATTTATAACAATACATCGCTATGCTTGGCAAGTCCTGCTACCAATTCAAACAAATAGAAACTAGCTTCATTCCCGTATGCTAACTTATATCTTATATACAAATTTGTCTCAAAAGAAAAAACAAGATACTTTTTTCGATGAGTCAAGGATAAAATGGATAGATAATTATTTACAATAATTTATAAAAATATCTGAAAAACATTGGCTAAAAATTTTTTTCAAGGTTTCAATAGTGACACGACTGTTTAAAAATTGCCATTCATCCGTATGATGACAATCAAAACTTATCTAAAACTCTTAACTCTGTAACAATGTGTTAAAATGTGTTTTATTTTTCTTCTTAGTGTTCGCCGTCGCTGCTCTCGCTACTGTAGGCCAATTGTTCTCGCCACCAATCCTGCACCTCGTGCATCACGTTCGACGCTTTGGGCGGCGACGTCTTGGCGCTCAGATTCTCTCGTTGAAATCGGAACTGCTCGCTGGCCTCGGTCAAGTGAGGCAGATTATTTTTAATCGTTGTCGCTAAAAATTCGGGAATGATTTCGATGAGTAAATTTGCGCACAGACGAAAATGACAAAGATGATTTAATCGAACTTACGGGTGGGTCGGTTGTTACGCTTTTTAGATGCCGCGATCTTTTCTTTCTCGGATCGTATGGATGCCGGATCCGACAGTGTGGGCGCCAGATATTTTCTACCCGAGCTGCTACCGATACTGTCCGATCTCGGCAGTCCGATCATCTTTTTACTCCTGTGTCGCAAGCCTTCGCTATCCTGCAATCACAAAAAAAATTTTAATAAACGAACAATTATAAAATTTAATTAGCATATGATTAGGCACTGACTTTTGATTCTGTCTCTTCCTCGCGCTCAACCGGAGCTTCTTTTTTCTCGTCGTTGTTTTCTTGGACCACCGCGTTGAGATCGTTGGTCGCCCTCAGTCCGGCGATCAAACTATTTTGTTGCTTCTGGAAGGAAAAAAATGACCGTGTTTATCAAAAAATTTCATCCTTGAATTATAATAATGATAATGAAATGAAACCAACCCCGGTAGCTCGTATTTTTTTCAGGCATCCCTCTAGCCAAGTTCTAATTGTCTGCTTGGCGACTTCTTCCTCGATTATGTATTCGAACTCTTCTCGGGCCAAAAGCTCCTCCAATTGCAGAGCTTTTCTTATGTCGACCGAGCGGTACGACAGCATGCTGAACAAGACATCAATGAATATAATCGAATAATTCAATTTTTCAGGGAGCTTTAACTGTAATTACTCACTTTATGACATCGTGGAATGTCACGTCCTCGCCGTTGTGTAGTCTTTCCAATTCGTAGCACATGTACTTGAAGAGCAATCGGTCCTTCTGCGGATCCGTTTCCAAACGGCCTTTGAGCAGCCTAAGGATGAATTTTACCCTGCGCACGGGAATGACTCCCCTCTGATGGATGTCGACGATGTTCCAGGTGTTTTGGAAATTTCTGATGTCGGCGTAAGACAATAGAGCGTCCTCTTCGTTCGAGTAGAAGAGGGAAAAGTTCTCCATGATAATAGCTGACCGATGAGAAAATAAAGCTCGTCAGTACGTGATCGTAAAATTCATGTGTATAAAGAGAAAATAATCTATCGAGACAATTTTTTTTCCTTACCCACGAGTAGATTCAATACGATGTAAGTGATGATGACGTAAAAGGTGCAGAAATATATCAGCGAGGCGTGAAAGTTGCCGCAGTCCGTCTCCCAGTAGTTGGCCGCTGGGGTGCAGTACGGCGGCTGTATCATGCAGTCGTGCATGATCTTGTTCCAGTCCTCGCCGGTGACTATGCGAAAGAGCATGGCGACGCCCGTCACCGGCGACTCGAAATTCGCTCGTCTAGAATGAAGATAAACGTGATTAGAAGTTGTTCAAGATCATTCCCCGGCGATTTTGACAGCGCCATCAATCGAGCTTACCTGCCGATACCCTCGCCGTACTTCACGGTACCGAACAATATCGTTCCCGCTAGGGCGTAGAAAAATACCAATAGAAACATGCCGAAGATGATGAAGAAACTCTTGCAGACCGACACACCGACGGTCAGCATCAGCATTTTTAGGGTCGTGTGTTTGCCGGTTATCGTGAAGAAGCGCAAGATGACCACCATAAATCCAATCACGTACGAGAGATCGTTCTGAAAAAAAAAAAAATAGAAAAAAGATTACTTTCGACGTCTACGAGGCTGACGAGGAAAACAGTCAGTTTGATAAGTACCTGCATTGTACCGTGAATCACAATCCAAATCACACCGACGACCGTCACGAGCAGATCGTAACGATTGCGCCTCGACTGCCAGTAGCCTCTCGGCGTGAACGCGATGTTTTTCATGATGACCTCGGTCAAAAATATCAGCGTCAGCAGCGTGGAGACCGTGGCGAGGGGCTTCGTGTAATCCTCGCCGTCTCTCCACTGGAAATAGGGAAAAAATGTACCCATGAGTAAGTCATCGAATGTACGTACACGAAAATTTAATTTTTTTTGCTCCACCTCCTTTCCTTAACGCCAAAGAAGAATGTGATATGTGTTAGGAAATTGTACCGAATGTTATGGTTTGTATGCGTAAACGTACGTCAACCATTGTTACTTTTTTTCTTGATAGGGAAAGAGAAAATACATGAGGAAAATATAAGTCTCTCCCAAAACCACGACTACTCTAGTGGGCAGTGTACCTTTTTCTTTCTTTTTAGGAGCGGGTCGCTTCTGCTCTTGCTGCTACTTCATTCCGTTGTCACCCTAGAGTCCTAGAGGAGAACCGAGAGAAAAAAAGGTGTCGACGAAAAGAGTATGTGGTATTAACACGAGCTGCGCTAAATGAATCTGAGTCTGATGCACTGCACAAGTTACACGCGCGTTGAAATACGATAAAAATAACTAAATTGAAATTAAGGCAAATTAATGAATTAAATTTTTGTAAATTAATATATTTGAAATACATAAAGAACCTGCAAATTTTAATTACACCAGACGTGAAAAAATTCTCTACTTATTGCCCTAGCATGAGCCTTAGACAGTGGTCGCTAAGCATGCGTGACATAAATCTTGGTTCATTAACTGATCGATGATTTTTTCACAGCAAAGAATCGGCAGCTCATAGTACGCCAACTCCAAGAAAAAGTCCAATGCCCAAAACTGCAGAAATCCTCTTGACAATTTTTCACTCAGATGTAAAGCACAAGCCTTCATAGATCCTTCGGGGAGCCGAAAAATGTCACCCAAGCACGAGAACTTGTAGTAATCCACATAAGTGAGTAGTTTCGACGCCTCTCTGGGTTGTAACTTAAAGTCGTAGAGCGACGAACTCGGAATAAACATTATCTTTTTAGCTTCTGTCGCGAACTCCGTGTCGTCATACCAACATTTTTCAAGATCCTCCGCCTTCTCGAACAATTCGTACTTCGAGAACAATTTCATGATCGTTAGGGCATCATTTCGGTTTAGCTCGTATCCTTTTTTTTTCAAGGAGAGGAAGACGCCTACCGAGCGAGCAGAACAACAACAAAACCTATAATCAGCTTATTTGGAAAATGCCACCAAAAATATTACCTGCTGGCTCAAAAATAGTTGAAATTGCTTCATACACTGCTGCTTGTATGCTAATAAAGGGACAGAAGTAAAGATTTAGACTTTAGAGGTTTCTTCATAGCAAGTAAATTTAGCATCAAATTCGATGAGCCAGCTTGTTCATTTGTATATTTGAAAAGCGCGCAATTGTCACGTGTAAAGAAGATAATGATCGCTAACTGCTGACACACGTTTAGTGCGTTGTTTCGTCTAAATGTTCTGGAACTGCTAAAATGACGTATGCCATCGATCAAAGAAATTGCGATTAAATCCTAAGCACATGTCTGCATTAAATAACACCAACGACTCTTTAGATTCGTATCTCTTAACGATAAGACCCCGTGTAGAGTGACAAATCGACGATCGATATCAATATCAGTCGTGTATAAATAATAAAAGCCGAACGAGTTAGCGTCATAGATCAATTGTAAGTTGAATTAATCCGAAGATGTACTCTTCTGTACTGGCAGTCGTTCTGCTGTTGGCTGCAGCCGGCCACGCCAAGTTCATTACACGAATCTACGGCGGAGACAGCGTCGAGATCGAGACATATCCGTACCAGGTCAGCGTACAGAAGTGGAATCTCCACCACTGCGGAGGCTCCATCGTCTCGCCGTACTGGATCCTGACGGCCGGTCACTGCGCCTTCCCGGATGACCGGGTAGTGATCAATGTCCGAGCAGGTACCTCGCTCGTCGAGCAAAACGGCACCGTGCACCGAGCCGCCAAGATCATCCAGCACCCGGGATTCGGCGTCAATTCCGATGGCCTCCCCGTGGGTGACATCGGCCTGATCAAGCTCGCCGATCCCATCGTCTACGACGAGCAGCACCAACCGATCGAGATGTTCGAGCAGGACGAGGAGACCGTGGAGAACGCGAGGGCCGTCGTCTCGGGCTGGGGCCGGACTCCCACGAACAGGCGGCCGAGCCAGCTCCAGGCCGTCGCCGTGCCCGTCATCTCCAAGCGCACCTGCAGCGATCTCATCCGCGAGAAGTTTGGCCCGCTGCCGTCGGGCCAGATCTGCACTCTGGTCCTCGGTGTCGGCGGCAAGGGCGCCTGCCTGGGTGACTCCGGCGGCCCACTGGCCGTCGGCAATCGCCTCGCCGGTGTCATCTCTGGAAGCGAGAGCTGCGACGGGCCCTTCCAGCCCGGCGTATACAGCGAGGTCGCTTTCTATCGCAACTGGATCGAGCAGGTCATGAGGGAAAATTGAATCTGGTTCGATTCAACGAGAGTAGTCGAGTTTTTTTACCTAGCGTAGTTGATGTAACTTAAATTTTGTAACTTTGTCGCCGTATGAAAATGAACGAGAAAAATAAATAAAATTCATATTATTCACTCACAAATTTGTCCTCCTTCTCTTTTTCATCTTTTATTTTATTACCCACTGCGATTAGTGTAATTAATTTTACTGTTTATTAAACATGACAAAAAAATGGCACGTGATGGTAACGCAGTTTCAAATGTAAATCTTGATATCCTAATCGACATAAATATGAACTTTTATGTTGATTTTCTCTAGATACCCCTTCTACATTTGACAATAAAAAATTTTATAACGATTACGAATTTGGCTTGATATAACACGAACTTCCAAGAAAAAGATGTAGGGTTTGTCATGAGTAATCAATTATTCATTCAAAAAAACTGTCACTTCCTACCAGAAATCAAAAAATGACAATATCAATTTTTTCATTATTTTGGTATCTGTAAAAATATAATAACATTTCGTCGTATATAAGATTCTGTCTGAAAAAAAGGTGTTCATTTTAAATAAGAAATTACTTAAAAGTAAAGATTTAGACTTCAGTTTATCAAAAATTTACTCTGACTATCGAAATTTGATAACTCCGAGATTTCAGATGAAAGCCCAATGATTTATTATCAGCGAAAAATCTCAAAATAATTTTTTTGATATTTGTAGATTATTATTTATACCAAAAACATACTTCGCGCGTTCGCGACCGCTGCTTTCTGCACACGGCAAAATTACCGCAGCGACTCAATCAAGTGTCACTTCCTCTCGGTTCATGACTCAACCTCAATGGTAAAGCCGATATTCGCGAGCCCGGACACAACAGAATCCGAATATTTGCGTGACCTGTTTAGTTGCCGCGCGCTAATATCAATGCAGACAAGTCGTTGCCAGTTTTGAATCAACATGCTGCTGGCGTTTAGCGTCGATTGAATTGCAACGAGCAATTCAAACAGTTGTCTGGTTGCGACGACTTTTCATTTTTTGCCAAAAAGTAAGAGATTCGATAAATAAATTGATATCGGCATAATCTATATGGAATTGTCATAATTGATGGAAAACTTTTTTACAGCGATTTGTGTTCAGCAAGTGCCTTTGCCTCAAGTCGACTTTCCAATTGACATTTATTAACTTATTCAATCAATAATTCAGCAGAATGTATTCGCAGTATAAAACTTTGGCCAGTCAAAAGCCCAGTCAATCAAAAATAAATGAGTTTGTCAAAAATGCTAATTTCAACGAGGTTAATTGTGCATGTATTATCTGTCATGCTATGTGCTATTAACACGAGCTGCGCTAAATGAATCTGAGTCCGATGCACTGCACATGTTACACGCGCGTTGAAATACAATAAAAAAAATAACTGATTTGAAATTAAAGCAAATTAATGAATTAAATTTTTGTAAATTTATTTATGAAATTAATTTATTTATGAAATTATTGATATACATAAAAAATCTGCAACTTTTTAGTACACCACAAATGAAAAAATTCTGTACTTATATCCATAATGAGTCTTAGACGGTGGTCGCTAAGCTTGCATAATATAAATCTTGGTTCGTTAACTGATCGATGATTTTTTCACAACAAAGAATCGGCAGCTCATAGTGGGTCAACTCCAAAAAAAAGTCCAGTGCCCAACGCCGAAAAAATCCTCTCAATAGTTTTTCGCACAGATGCAAAATACAAGCCTTCATAGATCTTTCGAAGAAATTGTGGGGAAACCATCTCAAGAACTTGCAGTAGGCCGCATAATTGAGTAGTTTCACATTTTTGGGTTGTAACTTGATAAAGTCGTAGAGCGACAAACTTGGAATAACCATCATCCTTTTAGCTTTTGTCACGAACTCCGTGTCGTCATACCAACATTTTTCAAGATCCTCCGCCTTCTCGAACAGTTCGTACTTCGAGAACAATTTCATGATCGTTAGGGCATCGTTTCGGTTCAGTTCGTATCCTCTTTTTTCAAGGAGCTCGATGACTTGCTCAACGAAGAACGTTAATCTTAATTTAAAAACTTTCTCGGAGATTAGATTGTTTTTATTCAATTGACAATCGACCTCGTCATAATGACACTGAGTTGGGAAAAAGAAGTTGGACAAATCAGCCCCATGATCAAACAGTACATCTATCACATTCGGCTGTAGATACGCCACAGCGCATTGAAGAGGTGTCCGGCCTAACTTGTCCCGAGCGTCGACATGCACCGTTTGCTTCCTCTCTTCGTTGACTTCGAAGAATATCTTCACCAAGTCGTCGTTATCTCTCCGGCATATAAGATGCAGTGGTGTCAATCCGTCCTCGTTGGTCAAATTCGGATCTGCGCCGTTTTTCAGCAGTAATTGGACTGGGACATTTTCGGAGTATTCCAGAGCCACGTGTAGCGGTGTATTACCCAAGTTGTCTTGAGCATTGATTTGCACCGTATGCTGGGTTTTGTCGCAGATCTTGAAAAACTCACGCGCCAAACCATAACGATCATAGCCGTTCTTGCAAATAATATGCAGGGGTGTCAATCCCTCTGCATTGGCCAAGTTCGGATTGGCGTCATATCGCAGCAGCAATTCGATCAACCTCTTCTCGTTGTAGCTTTGTAGAGCCAGATGCAGCGGCGAATCAGCTGTACGTGGCACGAGGATATTGGGATCCTGGCCGAACTCGAGGAATTTTTTGACGGCGACTTCGCAACCCCACTGGCAGGCCATATGAAAATGTGTTAATCCATTTTCGTCGGTGTAGTTCACATCGAATCTGTCGTATATTTGGAAGAGTTCAGGGATGACTTCAAAACACGTTTTAGCTAAATGATGAATTACGCTGGTACGACGCTGCAGTAGCCTGCCATAATTGTCGACTTCGGGCTCGTCCTTGTAGCCGGTCCTGATCATGAAGAGGACGATGGAGTGTCTGTAGCCATTCATTGCATCTTCCGTGATAAGCCATTCGATTTCTTCTTTACAAAAAATGTCCCGGAGATCAGGAAGTTGGCCCTTCCAATTCATGAATAAAGGGTTAAGTTGACGGAAAAATTCAAGCCGCTCTCTTTTGATTTCCCAGTTAACCTTTTTTCGCATAGTCTTTAATTTTTCTAAACAGCTAGGTTCGTATCTGTCCATCGTTCAGCTCACTCAAACTTTATGACGCTTGATACGAAAATCACTTAATACGTCGATGCGATTATTTCTTTGTTCACACTGCGGCGTCGTGAGGTCTACTGTATTGCGACTTGCGAGAGTGTGGACAGTGGTGCCGTTTGAGCGAGCGACGCGCACGAACTTGCACAGCACAAATGAAACAAGCGAGCGCGAGAGAGAGAGAGAGTTACCCGATACGTTCAGACTGCTCGACGCAGCAAGAGCGAGCGAATGGAAATTTCAGCATTGTGGAGGCCCTATCGGAATTCTATATACGATTTAGTTCGTGCCGGCTCGTATTTGACGGGTTGTTTCCTCGATCTATTATCCAACGCAACCAACAAAAGCGATACTTCAAAAAATACTTACCGACACGCACAAGAGTGCGCTGTTCGTAAGGACGATTATAGCTATGAAACGCTTGAAGTATATATTTTGAGTTATGTCGTAGATGAAGGCTCGAAATTTTTTGCCGTCGGGCCTCGGCGGCAAGTGCAGCGGTTGAGCGATCTTCAATCTCTTCTTCAAATCGCACCTGCGTGATACGGTTTTGGTCAGTTTTTTGAATTGGTCAAATTTATAGACTCATCGCAACGACTATATATTTCTTACCATCTCCTCTGATCGACCGTGAGCAGAGCCGTGCCTTTGTTCTCGGAGTAATTCGCGATGACTACGCCGACGAAGAGGGTCAAGCCTATCATGCATCCAAGAAAAATATAGATATGAATGTAAATGCCGTGTATCTGTGGAAAACAGAAGGTTAAAATTATTAATGAGTCCATAGTTGTGATTTAATTTTTTGCAATAAAAAAAAAGGGACTCACGGGTCCCAGAGCTTTATTGAGTACGTCGCGCACGTCCAGCCAACCCTTGAACGAGAGCACCTCGAACAGCGTCAGAATCGCGTCGCCTATGTTGTCGAAGTTGAATCTTCGCGGATTGGCCCAGACCCTCGGCACGAGGATCGACGGGTAGCTCTCGTTCGGGCCCGGCTGCAGCTTCATCTTCGTCACGAAGACGCGACGCATGAACACGCCCACGCACTCCTCGCGCTTCAGTATGGTCGGATCGTTGCAGCGCGCCAGACGGCCGCCGTACAGCTGCACGCCGTAGCTGGCGAACACGAACATGAGCAGAATCAGCAGGATCGATACGAGGAGGATCTCCTTGAAGCCGCGACAGAGCTCGTAGACGACCTTGCGCATGTGAGGCACGAGGGTGAATATGCGCAGTGGGCGCACGCAGCGCAGAATCATGAGCAGCTGAGCGCCCGAGTTGGGCTCGACGCTCTTGGGCATCCAGCAGAGAAAGACGAGACTGACGACGTAGATGAAGACGTCGAGGATCGAGGCGACGTCCTTGATGTAGGCCTTGGGCGTGAAGAAGAGGCCGTCCGCGAGGATCTTGAGGGCCAGCTCGATGCTCATGAAGATGACGAAGCCGAACTCGGCTATTTGGAGGGCGGGCACCTCCATGACGCGATAGTTGGGCGTCTCGAACATCATGGAGATGCAGGAGAAGGTCGTGGCGCATATCATCACCCAGTCGAGGTAGGTGACGAGGCCCAAAAAATTGCTGAGGAAGGTACACGTAGTTTTAGTAAAATTATATGTGCTGTATGGGCTGTTTTTTTTCAATATTATACTCACTGCAAGCTCTTGTACTGGACTTTTCTCTCCTTGCCCGTGAGTGGATCCTTCAGTCTCGCGTCGTATCTCGCGTAGACCAGCAACTGGCAGATCTTGCGAAATCTGCTCTCGCGAGGCACGACGAACAGCGGCGTGTCGAAGAACGGATGATTCTCCCGCAAATCCTCTTCGCGTTGATTTCTGTGCGTGAAAAGTACGCGTGAGAAAAATAACTCGATTCGTACGAGACTCATGTTGTCATACACCTACTACCTTCGCATCTCGGCCTGCTGTCGCTTGGCCTGCAGCAGTTTGATGTCCAGGTCGTGGGGCCTGCTGCGAGACGAGCTGACCCGATTCATCGCGCCGATGTCGCCGTTCTCCATCAGGTGCTCGTACGTCTGCTTCAGCTTGATCGAGCCGCTTCTCACGCTTCTGCGTATGGATCTGCGTGAAAATCATCGTGAAAAGTGGAGGAGTGCGCGCGGGTACAATTATTTGAATTAATTTGATATATTTTTAATTGTTTGGGTTGTCGTGTATACTTATGGGCCAAAATAGACAAAGACTGACGGATCAAAAGAAGAAATTAAGACTAAGTATGCAATCACGAAATATACATTGATAAACGGAAATCACCTAGATGAAAATTGGTTTTAAATTTAACCATTTTTCGCGTGTATCGAGTTTGAAAAGTTGACGCGTTACGTGAAAAAAGAGCAAGCGCTATAAATCTTCAATTTACGTACTACCCACACACCCTCATTAATTGATGAGCATAAAATTTGTCTTACTTCTTTTGGTCAATTCTCAATTGCTTCGAACTGTTGACGGTTCCTTGCGGCTTCAATAGACCCTTGCCAGGAACTGGTATCATAGCTGAATCACCCAACAATAATCTCTGGTTGTTGGAGTCACTGCGAGCAACAAAATCATATTGACTCAATCGAACAGCCTGTTATATTTTATTATGATGAAATGAAGTTTTTACTTGATGATATAATTGACAGCTGCTTTTTTAAAATTGTTCTCCACTACTCGGACTTTGGGTGGTTTGTTTAAAATCTGAAGCGGCCTCTGCTTGCGATAAACCATCTTCGAATCGAACGTCTCGTTGACCTTCTTGGAGTTTTCATTCTCCTCGTCCTCCACTTCGTAAACGAACTGCCTCATGAAGCTCTCTCGCACCTTTGGCAGATTAAAGTCCGACGGCACTTTGTGCAGACAGGTCATTTGCGGACTGTCCGGGAACTTTTCGAATATCCTCAAGCGAAACGGTAGGGTCTCCTTGATTTCGGCGCTCTGTTCTCGGAACTTGAGTTGCTTCAGTTTTTTAATGTCCTCGTCCAGCTCGAGATTGTCCAAGATCACGGCGACGAAAAGACTGAGCACGATCTGTGTAGTACGAATGCGTAAAGCGTAAGATACAAATATTTTGTCGTTCAAAATGAGCTTGTTGGAATAATGTAATTTACCAATGTGACGAACAAATGGTAGAGAATGAAGTAGACCGCGACCAGCGGAGCGATCGATTCGTGGGTACGTAGCATCGTTTCGTCCATTACCTCGACCCAAGCCTCTTGAGTCAGGATTTGAAACATAGACATAAAGGCCTGTGAAATAATTAAGATAAATTTGTTTTGATAATCAATTTTCTAAAAGAGAACAGAGGGTAATCGATGATGCTTTTTACCTCTGGAAATGTTTCGAACTTCGTAAAGTCACACAAGAAGCAAAAGAGCTGCATCGATATACTGGACGATATGACGAGCAAGCACATAGTGAAAATGATCAAACTGCCCAATTTTTTTCCAGGGCCGAAAATTTTGTACACGAAATCCTCCAGCATGGGTGAAGCTTTGATCAATCTTACAACTCGAAGAACCTAAAAATAATATCCCTTTAATAGTGATATAATATTGCGGATAATCGGTTAATCGTATATGGAAGGCAATGATAAACCTGAAAGTAGGTGAAACCTGACAGGTAGAAAAAGGGCAGAATGTGTACGCTCGTGCCGATGGCCAGCAGCAGCTCGAACTTGTGTATCGAGTGCTTCCAGTAGCTCTTGAAGCCCAGACAGCAGATCTTGAACAGCGACTCGAGATCCAGCAGAATCGTGAACACGATCTCGGCGTAGTAGTACTTGTCGTAGAACGTGTGCCTCGGCCGCTCGTCGTGCTTGAAGTTCATCGTGGCGGTGATGAGGCCGTTGGCCAGGATGGCGCACATCACGACCATGCGAAACTGCGGCGAGCGCAGAATCGCGTGGCACAGCGGCGACGCCAAGCCCCCGTGCTTGTTCTCGCTCAGGGTGATGAGCTTCCAGCCGGTGGTCTCGTCGCCCGTCAACATCTGCGACGCGGTGCTGTTGCTGATGGCCCCGCGCACTCCCCACATCTGCTGGAACTGCACCCGGATCTCGTTGAACGTCTCGGTGATGACGGCGATGAAGACGTTCTTGACGAGCCAGGCCAGAAAGAAGATCATCGTGCTGAAGTAGAGGATGGCACGCCAGGCGGGCAGACTGTCGATCGCCCGATACATGATGAAGACCCAGCCCTCCTGGGAGGCGGCCTGGTAGACCGTGAATATGCTGGTGGCGAACTCGTCGAAGCCGTTGAAGCCCATGATGTACTTGGACAGCTGGAGCTTGAGGCACTTCATGCCCTCGGGGCACTGGTAGCCGGACTCGGGATCGAGCGAGCAGAACGTGTCGGGTATGGCGAGACTGTTGATGGTGATCTGGCGCGGATCGGTCGTGTTGAGGACGCAGTGATTCGTGAGCTCGCCGAAGAATTGCACGCCCAGCAGGCCGTAGAGCGACATAAAAAAAAGGAAGAAGAGGGTCACGTTGTAGATCTGTTGGCTGGAACGCCTGTGGGGGAGCAAAAGAGCGTTGAGTTTCTTACTGTAAAGAGATTTATTCAACACGATGGACTTACTTGAATATCTGATTGATTCTCGCTTTCGGCATGGAGAACTTGAGAAACACGCGTAAAAAACGTATCATTATGAGGGGCCGCGGGGCGCGCAGTATCGACGCGTAGCTGAACTTGAGCATGATGCCGAGCATCTCGAACATCTGCAGGATCACCGATATCCACAGGAAGAAGACCATGCTCGCGTCGAACTGGCACCAGTGATCCTTCAGGTAGGACTTGTCGCTCTTCAGGATGCCGCGTATGTGCATCTTGGCGATCATCTCGGCGGTGAAGAGGAAAGTGACGACGAGATCGCTCACGAAGGTGATGTACTGCAGCGACGGGACCTTCTCGAACGTCTTCGGGGTGTTGAGGCAGACCGAGGCCAGCGAGACGAGGGCGCAGGCCCTCATGCATCTGCGCACCCATAGCTGAGATACGGAAAATACATCAACGATTAAGACTATTAAAGAATAAATAAATATCATTAAATAAAATAACATATGGGTTTAGTCGTGCGAGTGACAAGTGAAGAATTTGTGTATTTTTTGTTGTTCCTTAATTTTTTATTCATTGACGTGGCGTCAGAGAGAAAGGTACAGCCCAACACAGTCGTAATATTTTTAATAATTGTTTATTAGACGAAGATATAACAGTAGATTTAATATTAATTAAGACTGTATCACTTAAATTTACAATGATGATAGCTCAATAAAATTATCACGTATCTTCCATAAATAAAGTGCATTGACATTATCAATCAACAAAGCCCTATTTACCTAGATATTTCTCTCTCCCACGGTATACGTTGTAAATCGTCAATTTAAAAAAAAAAAGTATTTTCTGTACGTAAGCGCGACTTCTCTCGTTGTCAAAGCATCTCTCTGTGCTGCGCGCGTGTGCATCTTTATACATTACTACCCTCCGCGAGTGCATGTGCTCTGCAAATGTGTGTGTGTGTGTGTCGGTCGTTAGTCGTCGCGAGTCTCGAGTGTGCTTATGCGCTACTGCTGCTGTCTTACCTTATTCACCCATTCAATATCAGCATTTTCATTGAGAGACTCTTCTGGGCCGTAATCGGCCAGAATTGGTTCTCCCTTCAGGCTTTGCTTTCGCCCGAGCATAGTGTCAAAAATCGATTGCGACTTGTCGGCTGAAAAAAAGGGAACGAGAAAAAAGAACGATGTTGAATTGTATAATTTTCTCGAATTTTAGTCTATTTACTATGCTACTATTGCTACTTTTGATTTTCTAGCAATAAATTTGAAAGCTTCATGTAGAGCGTTTATTTTAAACGTGAAACAACATGCTCGTGGGATATTCTATTATATGTCGTTTGTCAATCCCTGTCACCTGTCAATCCTGGATGACATCATTAATAGATGTTTCGCTGCCAGCCGTTTCAGCACTGCTCTTCGTACGAGAAAACAACATCCCTGCGCGTCGATGATGCCAAGTGCCAACGATTTGGCGGCCCGTCCAAATACATGCTGACGACGACACACGATCTCAACGCGTTAAAGACATAACTTCGGTACGCGGAATACGAGCTTCGGGATTACTTTCGGGCGAGAAAAAGCTCTCCGCGTTTCTCCGAGCTTCTACTGTACCCCTTGGTTCGTCAGCTGCTGCTGCTTGCGACGACGCGAGCTTGCGAGATGTGGTCCAGCAACTGCGCATCCCACCCCTTTTGCTCCAATTTATTATACTGCGCGCCACTCTGGCAGCGATCGCGCGCGCAGCAACCCCTATTTACTATATAGTCACCGCGATTGGAGTTCAACATTCGAGATGCATCGAACGCGATTGAAAATTGGAGTTATCGTCATTTTTTTCTTGACGTGTTTCATTAACTATAAGTTCAATTTATAACTCTGAATTGTTTTACGATTCAAAATGTATTATGCTGGCGATTCAGGCAAGAGCCTAAAACTTATATCAAGTCAGAAACTTGAAAAACATTTTCAAAAGATTTATGTTTAGGGAAATTTATAGGTTTTGTGTCAAGTTAATTAAAAAGCAATCGAATATTTAAAATTGATATTTTATTATAATATAGGTAATACAACGATTGTATTAAGTGAGAAAAAATACATTTAATGATATTATGATACATGCACGTACTTCGGCTAAGTACATTTGTGATGAAATAATAGCTAAGTACAAATACAAAATGTTGCAATAAAAATGACATTCATTGAATATCGGTAGGAATTTTATAATTAGTATAATATTATATCTATAATATTTACTTTACTTGAGGTTTTGCGGATAGAAGGAAAATGACTATGAACTGTTGAATTCAAATATTTTACTGATATACCTAACAAATTAATATAACTAATACTTATGTCGTTTAAATATTAGAAATAATTAGCGATGTACAAGTTTGTAAATTATACGAGAAAATGAACTGTTGGTTAAAAAATTTAACCATAAAAATAGAAATTGAATTTATGATCTAGACTGATGACTTTTTACAATTAAAAAATAACAAAACAATTCTCAAGATCATTACATTGACCCAATTGTTTATGCATACTTCTAACTAATATTATTTCTAGATGCTAGAACTGATGATGGATGATGTAGTTTTTTTTAGAAATTATTATTGAAATTATTCCCTCCCATTTGGTTATTGCCATATCCTCTGTTATTTCCAGAAAATCCTGTTCGGAAATTGTTCACCATGCCTGGAAAATAGTTTTGAGGTATTTGTTTGTTTTTCATTTTTTGGAGAAATTTTTCTGATTGAAATGCTCTTAAACCTCCGCAGAAATTTCCTATTCCGCCAAGCATTTGACTACTCCCACCTTGTTGATTATTACTATGTTGATTTGGACTGGGTCCGCTTGAATTGAGAAACAATTCAATGTATCTGTGGGACATATGACTTTTGTCTTTAGTCATAGCTCGAACCGCTTCCTCGTGTGTGGCAAAATCAACATCAGCTTCGCCTGAAGCTCTGCCACCATTTTCCAGAATCATACGAATATTCACTGGTATCAGAGGTCTAAAGAACTGAAATTCGAAGAGCATACAAAGTTCATTTCAACCCTTGGAATACATAATAATGTGGTGTAAAATTAAAGTAAAGAAAATTACATCAGCAATGTCCTGTTCCGAAGCTTTGAAAGGTAAACCTCTCATGTGAACACTGTGTCGACCAGGATTACTATTCCAGTTATCGTTACCTCTGAAATCACCACTTCCTTTCATTTCCATCATACCCATGCCACCTCTCATTCCACCTCCCATATTTCCACGAGGAGGGAAATTATTTCCATTTCCCCAAGAATTATTATCATAATCTAAAAAGAGAAATATAGAATAATTGTTTTAACTATTATCATGAATCATGTGAAATTCTACTTTACAAAGATGACTATTTCAGGCTAAAAACTTAAATTTTTGATGAACTTACCACGAGGTCCTGCTCTGTTATTTCTAAGATTGTTGCCAAATCGGTTCATAGCTCCAAATCTGTTACCACGATCATAGGGAGCAGGTCTCTGGTTAAAACCTCCCATCGGTCCACCTCGCATTTTGGGGCCGATACTAGCGTGTACTTCAGACAAGTTGCTTCGGAATATCTCTATGTACCTACGTAAAAAAAGCAAAGCATGTTAATTATAACATGTTCAACTATTAAAAATAATATTCTCATGTTCATTCGTAAAAAATGTTCATAACGAATTGTAAAATTAGTGAAACGCGAAATTATATAACATAATGGTTAGAAGAATCCACATTATTTTTACACGACAGCAAACAATACAATGTTAAAGACTTAGTGAGGTACATTAAAAAAAAATAGACCATCTCATTAAAACTAGAAACTCAAAGTACTTTTTTGTGATTAAGTATCGCAAAAACGTAAATTCTTCATGCGGATTCAAATAAATATTCTATACAAATATAGTTATACTTATTCATAACTAACTAATAATTTTTATGTGAAATTTTCGAAATCACGCATATTTTAAATAATTATTAAATCTTTATTAAAACAAGCAATCAGATTTATTGGTTTGCAAAAATAATTTTCCCCCAGGTAATTTAGTTCCATTCCAAACCAGGTGCAGAATAAATATACCATGCCGTTTATTACATGGACAAAAATACCTTTTTTATTGTTATTCTTTAAGTTTAAAAAATTTTTAAGCAAAAACTTTTTAGAAAATTTTCAATTTCATTGATTGACATTGAATTTCATGGTTTAAATTATTTATTTATTAAGATTATTTAGATTACGATTATTATTTGAGAGAATTATCATGGTAGAATTTTAAGATAAAATGAATTATAAAAAATTTAATTGTTGATTTGGAAGTGTTGTGCCCAGTTTTTCTTCTACAATCATCATTACATTCACTTATTTCATACCCGCTGTGTAATGAACCATTTTAATATACCATGATTTAACTTTTTCCAGTTCTTTGACACATCTGATTACTAGTCCTTTGTCAAACATTTATTACAGGTTAGCCTATGAAACCCAAATTGAGGCATAGATTTCTACCCAGAGGAATGAACTTTGTTTTGAAAACCCTTCACTCTCAAGTTATTAAAGATTCTTACTATAATTAGGGAACTTATTCTTTTTATGAAAATGGGTACACTTATGGAAATTTTAAAGAAATTGAGAAGGGAGCCTCGCGCACTTTGTCAGACAAGTCATAAGTGTGACAAATGAGCTGCTTCTAACACGTTCCTAAATTTTCTATACATTTTTACATGATAAAAAAAAGTTTGAAAATAAAAAATGATATCTGGTGGATTCAGTTTTTTCAAAAAGATTACTTTTTTACCAATCAAAAAACAGATAGAAATTTTTAAGTTGATGATTCATTTGGGTTATGAAAGTGTTTGAAAACCTCAAAAATACGAAATCTTCATGTGTAAATTTATCAAACATTTTAAAAAAATAATATTTTTACTTACACTTTGAAAATATTTAAAAAAAAATTATTTCATAAAATGTTTGATGTACTTTCCTCACTATCAGATACTTCGAAAATTAAATTATAAAATAAAAATAAAATGGGGCCTTTCCAACCCAGTTGTACTCCCACCTGTGTCCTATTTTCTCCTTATGCTTTTGCAGAGCACGCTCTGCGACATCTTTATTAATAAACTGAACATAGGCTTCCCCTGTGCTGCGGCCCGTGTAGTCCGTAGGTAGCGTGATCCCATTTGGCACTATCTCCAACCCTGACCCATACAACGAATAAAATTGTATTATCCCATTTAAGTAGTTTTTAAGTTTTAAATCATCGCATTTGATTGAAAAATTCAATTTGTAAAATTACATTTTGGTGTCAATAATGTTCAAGTATCTATCACAAAAATTTCAAAACTTAAAAGAAATTTTTTTCATCTACAAACAATCCCTGATAACTTTAATACAAACTTCAATATTAGTTGAATGATTTTTACAATGGTATTAATGATTTAAAAATAATTATCAACAAATAGATCTTAAACATATAGTAGTCAAAACATAAGTACAAAAAATTGTCTTGCAAAAATACCAAAACTAAGGTAAAATATATATTTTTCAACTAGATTTTTTCAGATTTCTACTGAATATATTTATTAAAAAAACGCTGCATAAATATTTCTTTCTTTTGTTTCCAGACATTTATGTAGTTTTATTCAAATATATTCAGTGGAATCCTCCTAAAAGTGATTGAAAAAATTTATTTTTCCTTTGACTTGGATATTTCCTTATAACAAGAAGAATGTTAGAAATAAGTTAATAGGTTGAAGATTATGATATTAAAGACCAACAATTTAATGAACTTTGAGTTAATTAATGAACTACATCTTTCTGCTTTAAAATTATGAAGTATTCAATATCATAAAATGATATTAAATTAGACCCTTACAAACTTTCATAAAAGATTTAATGCGGGCGAATAACAGATGACTATTTACCAATCACCAATTAGTATTTTGTTTAAAATTCTTAAAAACTAACAAATGATTATAACAAAACTAGAATAAATAAAAACTGTTAGTGTCTGTGTCACGAATAACATTATATGTATTATTTGAAATTATTTGAAATTAACATGCATGATGTTTTATTTAATGTGAATGGTAAAATGAACAAATAAAACTTGTTCTTTTTTAACCATTCTATTGAAAAAATGAATCAGAATTGCAATTAAATGTACCTGAGAAAAATTGGGCGATCTCTTCCTTTGAGCATCCAAAAGGTAAACCTCTCAATCGGACACATCCATCATCCATGGCATTTTCTAGATTGTATCCACTTCTTTTGATCACATACTCCATTTCTCCTCGCTTAGCTTTGAAAACTGAATTTCAATTGTTTCAAAGTTATTATGAAATTTTAAAGTAATTTATATTTTACAATAAAATTAATCTATAAAATCTTTATCCACCTTCTATGTAGCGATGACCCATATGATCTCTATCTTTTTTACAAGCTGCTTCGATATCAGCCTCCGATTCCATTTCAATGAATGCCTCACCGCTTGGTCTACCTTCTCTAGACATAGTCATGTGAACGCCATTTTTCCCATTGAGAATGCGACAATCACCGAAGAATGCTATAACTTCATCCACAGTGGTTGACCATGGCAAACCTCTAATCTTAACAACATGACCTTCTTCAGAGTTAGACTCATTATCATTACCGTTCACCATCTTGATTGAATGCTGAACTGCAACTATATGGTCAAATAATAACAAAGTTAACTTTTGCTATTTTCTCCAATGTTTTTTGTTAATATTTAAGTGAGTTCACGTTCAAAAAGAAGAAAACTGTACGTTTAAAAGGATTGTTGCTTTTTTCCATTTTAGGTTATGTTGGGAAGCAGAAAGCAATCAAATGCAAAAATAAACGCTCTCCGCCGAGCTAGTTCAAAACAATATCCAAAATATTTAGCGGTACAAAAAGTAAAAAGTGTACAAGCTGCTCGCTTTTTACTTTTATTCGATTTGTTTAGTTTAACAGCAGAAATAGTAAATGACTATGAAAATCAATGCTCTCTAGCCTGAGCTCATCAAGTATGAAGAAGTTTTCCACAAAATCTGCATGAAAAAGTAAAATTTTTGATAGGAATGCACTTACCTTTATGCACAAACGATCATAGAGTAAATAAATAATCTTAGTTAACAACAAATATTGATGAAAATATCGTACCTCAATTAAGGATAGAAAAACCCAGATAGAAAATGGCGTTGCACAAGACTACCCCTGTAATGTGGACCACGATATTGCCAGAGAGTAAACACTAAACAGTACCACTGAGACCTGAGTGAGCGCGAGGCTGCGAGCGCAATGAGCGTAAGTTTTTCTACATTCCAAAGCTGCCTCATAGAAGATGGCTGATTCTACGTTTATATATAAGAGACAATCAGATGCGGTCAGCTACTGGTCAGTGTCAGGTGTCAGCATTAACTACCGTCCGCCCGCACTTACTAATCGTTCACTGACAGTTTAAAAAAAAAGAACGAACCGAGCTTTTGCGAAAATTATTATCGGCGTGCGACGTTGCGATTGTAACACCAATCCTTACTTTCGACGTGACAGCTCATAATTGCTGACGTTGACTTTTGGAAAAATTGTTTTGATTTTATTAATTGGTCTCGTATACGCCAAAATATCGAAAACTTTAAAAACCCCAAGCGGGAAGAGGAAAAATGTATAAATAATAAGTTGTTGTTATTGCCAATTTTTCAGTAATAAAAAAATTACCATAAAGTTTACATAAAATTTTTTTTGTTAAATTGTTGTAATTTGAAATTAATTACGCCTGTTTTGACATAACATTCGGGCCACTATTGATCAACTATCATCTACCATCTTCATTCATAGTTTTATCTAATGATTTTATGTGATCATAATCATCTTTTTTTAAAACTCGATCATCAAGTGGTGAACTGAAACTCTAGCATGATAATGCAGGAAGTTAATATTTTCTTCCCATAATAATTATGCACACCGAATGCAAACCTCGGCTCCACCCACGCACTCGCTTATCCGAGTCGTATGCGCCGCGAGTGCGCTCGACTTTGTAAGCCGGATGGTTTATGGCCAAAACTAGCAAATGTGTAACTTGATGCTAGTTCCGTGCAAATGCACAATGCACAGTGCATTACAGGCACGACTTTTTAATTGCGAACACGGATCATAAACATATTTTAATAATTACCAAAACCGCACTACCAGTGGGATCAATTATAATCGCATTAGTATTAGTAATCGTAGCGATAAGTTTTGACCGTGAATTGGCTTTATCTGAGTGACATTTGGGCCGACGATCATATGTGTTTACTAAATGCTTTTCATTGATAATTAGTTTGGAATTGTGAGATTGTGCCAAGCTGATAAATAATTTCGATTGAGATTACTCCATTTTTGTATCGCTTACCAACATTCCTTCATTATGCTGAAACTTATCCACGTAAATAAGTCGCTTAGACTTCGTGAATTACGTTAAGGTTTGTTTGTAAATAATATCCTCGATACTTATGTACTTACAGTATTTATACAACAAATGGCTAAAAATGACTGATTTTCAGACGGATGATATGGGAAAAAATCAAATCAAAGATCCCTCATCAAACTTTAGTACAACAGGTCATGTAACAAGCTCAAAACAGTCAGCTAGTGCAATGTTAGAAGCAGCCTTACTTCAAATGGATGATATTATATCTGGTAGGCAGTTTTTTAAAAGTAATGTATCATCCAACCTAATTTCAAATCAACTTATTTTAAACGTAGTTGAATATTTCCAAAATTTTCATGAAATATAATCTCTGATTTTCATTTTCTTACTAGAAGCAGATGCAATGGGGGACCTACAACACTCTTTGAGAGATACTGTTAAAAATCTTGTAGGAATCCTTCAATCTTCACCAGTGTTACCTGCTCGTCCAGATGAAAGAACCGTGGATTTATTATTAAATTGGTTACAACCTGTGAGTTTCATAATATTTTCTTTTTTTTTACATTTTTCATTTTGTGTAATCACTAAAAATTGTGACAAGTTTCTTTTGCATAGAATTTAAAGCATTCTTTTATACTTCTTATAGTAACTGATGATGTTTAACACACTTTTTATTTAATTTTTAGGAAAGATTGAAAAAACTAGAAATTGATCGTAATGCTCTTCAAATGGAAATAGCGGTTTTATCAGAACAAATAGATGTTCAAATGCAAGAAATTAACAATTTAAAAGATGAATTAGATTCTAAAAAAGAAGTGATCCAGCATATGGAAGAAATAATGCATAAGGTGAGTCAATTAAATTTTAATGATTATCATCAAAAATTTTTAATTTAAATCTGTAATTCAAACATGCTAGGAAGCACTATTGAGAAGTTCATTGGAAACTCAAAAGTTAGAATTACTCAACTCATTGACTGAAATGAAACTTAAACAAGCTACTTTAGAACATGAAAATGCAACCTTACGCAATACAAGGTCTCCTGCAAATGTAAGTTTTTTCATATACAAATTAAAATTTTCTCAATATTTTATTATCATAGAATTATTGAAAATGTTTCTTACGTTTTTAATTCTTTTATAGGTCGGTGGTTTTACTAGACATGCTAGACAATATTGTAGTTTACCTCGTCAACCACATTCTATAAAAAAAGGAGTAGTTTTTGGTAATTATAATTTGCATTATAAGTATTCTCAAAATTCATGATCATGCTTTATTAATTTTTTATCAATATCAGCTAAGGAAAAGCCAGTAATAATTGACTGCTCTACAAGCAGCGTTGTGCAACAGCCACAAAAACGAATATGTGATATGTCCACTGAAGAAATATGTACTTGGGTTACTAACTTAGGATTGGGTTCATATATTAAAGAATTTGAGCGTGCAAAAATAAACGGTAAATTTTTAATCGAATCTACTTTAACGGAACTTGAAAAAGTATTAGACATAAAAAATGTCCTTCACAAGAAAAAAATTTTATGTGCCATTGACTGCGAAAAATTAAAAGGAGCTGATTATTTTGGATCAGATAAGGTAAATGAAATATTATTTAAATACTTTAAAACCTACAAAATTTGATTCTAATATGCAATGCTAAATTGAAAGTTATGAATTGAAATATTTTAATTCAATTATAAAGACATGGTGAAATACTTGTTATGTGTAAGTTCAAGAACAGTCTGTTTGTGAAATTGAACACTTGTAACTTAATATATCAATTGCATACTAATGAAATTTAAAACTTTCTTCTCTAATATCATTGAGTTTACACTCCTACATTACATATTTTATAATTATTATGTAAGGATTTAATATAAATTTTACCTAAGAAACAATTTGAATTTTTTCAAAATTTGAGTTTTTAACATCAAATTTAATTTTGTGTTATGTTTTACAGATGGATACTGTAGCAGTATTACGTTGGCTAGATGATATTGGGCTACCACAGCATAAAGAGTCTTTTCAAAATGCTAAAGTAGATGGACGTGTTTTGAATAAATTAACAACTGATGATTTGGCATTGCTTAATATTACAGCCGAATTACATGCCGTTAGTTTAAGACGCGGAATCCAGGTAATGAAAAAAAAAATTTTTCACATAACAGATTTTAGAAAAATTCATTAACTTTGAGTTTTTTTTATAGACCTTGAGAGAATTGAACTTTAAAAGTGATGATCTGGAACGACGCTCATCTAACGAAAATACTTCAAGACTGCACGAAAATTCAATTGAAATTGAGGACCAAGTAAAGCTGTGGACTAACCACAGGGTTATGGAATGGTTACGCGCAGTTGATTTGGCAGAGTATGCACCCAACATGAGAGGATCGGGAGTTCACGGAGGACTCATCATTCACGAACCGCGTTTCAACTCTGAATTATTAGCAACGCTGCTAAATATTCCTCCAGCTAAAACTTTGTTACGACGACATCTGACTACGCATTTTAATCAATTAATTGGTAGAAATATCGTAAAAAATAAGAGGGAAATTGAGAATTCCGAAACATTTGTACCTTTAACAATCACGGCTAAATTAAAGGTCAGTCAATCGGTATTTTTAAAAATTGTATTGATTTAAAAGCGCAATGATTACATTTATCCATTTTTTTCTAGGTACAAAAAAAATCACAGTTTACTTTGAAACGAAAAAAGAAAAATAATGCGTATTTTACTCCACTCGTTTGCCCATTAGAGAACACTCCACCGTGTTCTCCGAATATGACTTTGAATTCCGATGCATAGGTACTTAGTTATAATTCATTATCATTTAATATTTTTTTATCAATGTTTAAAACTAATAAAACTCATTCTTTTTTTACAGTTTATAATGATTTTTACCATTACTGACGAAATATCTGCCTTATAGTCATGTTAGAAATTTATTAAAAATATTATGATAAAAGAAATTGACGGACCCTAGAGTGCCTAAACCCAGTAAATGCTGTATAAATAATTTTTACATATTTTTATAAAAAGTTTTGAAAATACGATATTTATCAAAACGACAGTCAAGTTTTAAATATATTATTCTATTTATAGGTATTTCATAAATTGTAAATTAGGGTACTTTTTGAAACGCTTTAATACCCCAATATTGTAATGAAATTTTGAATTAATTTAATTTTTAAATGGAAGTTTTTAACTTGAAATATACACTTTAGTGATATTTTACATTCAAGTTTTAAATAATGAAAAATTATACACGAAATATAATGTGCCAATCGAACTAATCGAAATAATGTGACCAATTGAGTAACAAAATAAATTTTTAATTGAAAAAATACGTACATGTACATTTTATTGGATACTTTTTTTATGGGTGAATAATCACTTCTCCAACTAAAATGTATTAAATAGTTAATTTTATTTACTTAAAAAAGTGAAAAAAAGGCTAACGCTTATTGTGCAATGTAATTAAGAATTGGTTCATTTCACATAGGCATTATGTTACAGCTCAAGTGTTAATGTTGCAAAATTAGCAAATTGCGTGAAACTCTACAAAGTTTTTGTACTGAATTGTTTTTTTCATTACAATATGAAATTTCTCATTATTTACCGTTTAATTTACAGCTCATTAATAATTTTGTTTAAGTAAATTTAAATAAATGAATAAATGTCCATATCTGAAAATTTATCAAAATGTCCTTTTTTAAGATAATTTTTGTGAAATAGTTGACCGCTCTTCATAACGAGACGCCGCTTGCTGTAGTAATTCAACATTATTTAAAAATTATAGACTCACAAGGGTTTCACGTTCATTAAATGAAGTTTAACCAATGTCATTTTTTTTCTTATAATAATTTTTGAAACGAACAATACTCATCTACTATTTCTTATCCATTAATTACGCCACGATCTCAATGTGTTTCCGATTACTAATAAGGACCAGATTTCTCGAATAAGAAAATAAGGGCATAATCATTCTCCACGAATTTTGGAAATTCAGTTGCAAAAGTTAACAACAAGCTTTGTATTTTTTAATGTAAAGAAGATAGGAATGATGATGATCGAAGAGTCTATGCAGGGGAAAATCCGTATACGAAATTTTAGAGATTTTTGAATTTCCTGTACGAAAATCATCATTTTCACAAGTTCTCTAGGATTATTTAAAGTTTTGTAATAAAGTAATTTATGATGTTCAAATATCAAATTATAAAAAAAGAAAAAAATTAAGGTAAGAAAAAGTAAAAAAAAAACGATTTTAGCTGGTAAAAAGGTAAGAAAAAAGTACGAGTTTTTTTTGTTTCGCATTATGTTTTATGTACATTTTAGTCGCTTTCATGTAAAAAAAACATGTTAAAATTTCGATTACGCTAGATTCTTACTTAATCAATAACACAATTCAAATTTTTAATCTTTGCATAACTGACTATGTTACAAATAAGTTATAAGTAATGCACTTTGTATTCACCGATATAAATCTACTTTACTATTACAATAAATAATTTATGCAAAATACATGTTAGTATTTTCGACAACAATTTTTTGATGCTCTTATTGACAAAAATCTTCAAAAAGCATTTAAGGGAACATCAAAGTCAAAATAAAAGCAAAATTTTTTACTGCACTTTTTAAGACCTTTACTGAATATTTTTTGAAAAGTTTTATGAATTAAAAAAGTCGAAAAAACTACGTCACTCATACAACTTCTTACAAAATTATTCAATTAAAATCTCAGAAAATGTTTTTCAAAAATTTTAGTATGATTCTGCCTTTGATATTCTCCTTAACAAGAAGGAATGCAATTCTAAATTTCTCTTAAATTTAGACTGTGGTGAAAAAAACGTATAAGTCAAATAAATAATTTATATTAAATCAATGTTGAAAACTATTAAAAAGTCTAATTTCATAGTTATTATTTTCATAAGTTAAGGTGATTGCAATTTGGAAATTATAAGATTGTGCTTTTTATAAATAGTCATTGTCATTGATCATAGAAAAGTCAAGTTTTGACTTTTTGCACTGTTTTTGTTAGCTATTTCATTTTGTCAGATCTTAGTAAAATATTGAAATTTCTGAAACCAAGGCAATGAAAATAGCTCAAATTGCATTCCAGTAATAATCACCAATTGAATATACTGAGTATCAAACTTTACAATGAAAAAGTGAATGCTGTACAAATAATACAAATAAAATTTTCCAAACGGATAGTTCATACATTTGTTACAAGCTCACATCAATCTCACAGCACAAAATCTCGATAATCGATTCATTGAGATTTTTTAATTAGTCCGTATATGAATGATCCAACTTGTAACATTCTTGCATAAAGTTACAAAGTTATCACTTTTTTGTATCACATAGAGAAAAATGTTTGTATTACGTCGTCTAAAGGCTGTGGGCATTTTTGTTCAATTGGCGGCTCTTCATTTTCGGCATGCCTATCTCTTAGTTCTTTCCATTGAGCAAGAATATCCATGTATTCTACATACTTGGTGTGGTTTTCCAGTTTGGCATAAACATTGAGTAAACCCCGATAATCATATTCTAATCCACTATAACTATTGCCAAATAGCTTTAGACCTGCACAAACAAATTCGTATATTATTAGAATGATATACTACTTATTAAAACGTTGAATTACAAAATCTTACTTATTTCTATGCTTTTGTAGTATAACGCCTCGGCATCTTGAAAACGATTCATATGAAAATTATACAAAGAAGCTAGATGACCTATACTCAACCCCACTTCATAATCATCGCAACCCAATAATTCTTCTTTTATACCAATTGCTTTGAGATGCATTTCTTCTGCTTCCTAAATGACATTTAATGGTATAGTGTTAATTTGTAAGAGACATTTAACATTAATAAAATTAATGTTGCTTACTTGGAATCTCCTCATGCTTTGATACAATCTTCCTAAATTTCCATAGTGTTTGGCAGTTTGTACATTTCTTTCTCCAAAAGCTGTTCTTGATAAATCTAAAGCACACATATGTAAATCTTCTGACATAGTCAACAAGTCACTTTCAGAACTATTTGGTGAAACATCCAAAGCAATTTCCTCAAGAATTAGAGCCTTTACTCGTTTGGCACTAGCCAACATTAAATGTTCAGATGGTAGAATTTTAATCATAATTTCTATGGCAAGATCAGCATGGCTTCTACAAAGTAAAATCATTGAAATGAAAAAATATTATTTATAAGATTTTTAGAAGCCAATAAGTTGGTCTAACTTATTTTAATAGCATGTTAAGAAAACTTACCTTGCAACACCAAACTTTCCAGAACTATATTCTTGTACGTATAAAGCATAGGCTAAATCTTCATGTGCCATTGCAATATTTAGATTATTTTTACCATAAACTCCTTTCCGTATTTCATAAGCCAACTTAAAATACAAAAAAACAATGAGATAAAGTTGGGATACAGCAAAATTTACTCTGAATAACTGTGATTACAATGCTATTAAATTCAGATTATGTCAATTACCTTGTAAATTGCAACACTATTACCAATACTATCAGAATTCAACAAATAAAATCCATAATCAATGAGAACATCACTATACTTGGGATGATTAGCATCGAAGATTTCTTTAGCAAGATATATTGCTTGTTTAATGAGCAAGCCAGCTTTTTTGAATTCTCTCTTGACAACACAAGATTTGGCAGCTTGACGAAGTACATTAATAATGATAAATTTTGGAAGAGATGGATTCAACTCTTTTAAAGCTTGTAAACTCCATCTAGAAAATAATTATGATGAATGAATTTTTAAATTTTTAGCTTTCATTGTTAATTAATGTAATTTACTTACTTGTACGCTAAATCGTATTCACTTCTTATGAAATACAAAACTGAAAATTCTGCATACAAAGCTGCATGATTAACGTATAAATAACCTACTTCATTTAATTTATCTATTGTTTCCAGAGCAAGATCATGGGTATACGCAGCTCCAGTGAAAGAGCAATATGATGCTTGTGCATGAATTAATCTAAAAAAATTGTTCATCCATATTAAATAGTGCTGTCAAAATATTAACAATATTTTTTTTATCAAGTGAAGTTATCTTACTTGTGACAGCAATCTAATATTTCACACCATGTCTGAGGGTTTTGTTTTCCTAAAAGACACAATTCCCTACAGTCTAATAAAATCTGTTCACTTTCATAATACCATCCTGCATCATTTAAAAATCCTCCAAGACGAAGGCCTAAATTTATAAGTCTTTTGTCCCAAGTAGCATCTTCTTTAGCTCTTGTGCATATTGAATGATAAGTATCACATAGTACTTCTGCTGCATGCATATCATTATCCACTAAAAGCTGTAGACAATTTCATAAAGATTAAAATAAAATAAAATTCTTTTGGTTCATATTTCATAACAAAAAAGCAAAATTGTTACCTGGAAGCATTTGATCAACAGATTTCGACTACTTTGTACATTAAGTAGTTTTGTTACCACATTGATATCATTCAATTCAGTTTGAAGCTCTGAAAGCTTGTTTTCAGTATACAACTAAAAACGAAAAATTGTTGAATTTTAGTTAAGTATTGAAATTATGTACATGATTTGTAATAGAAGAATAATTGAAATTTGGAATTAGGTTTATGCATAATGTTATTAAAGAAAATTGATAAATATTAATAAATATATTAAAATTATATACATTGCTATTGTATCATTAATAAAGAAAATTATGCAACACTAAAGCAATGTAAAGCTAACTAACATACAAACAAACTTAATCATTTAAGATAATGTATTGTATGCTTTCGTGTATATTTAAAGTTTGACTTTTCTACGAAGCTCAACAAGTTTTTAAAATATTTTTTATTATAAGATAGTTGTCAGGTAAAATTAAAATTAAGTATAATAACAAGCTATTTTGTACATTAATTGCAAAAGTGTATGCACACAATCAAAACATGAAAAGTAACAGAGGTAGTGGTACAATAACAATTACTAGAAAAAGAAAAAAGATGAATAACAAAGAAATTAATAAAATGTTTGATACACAGCAGGGGAGGAGAAGAAGAAGCAAAAAATAAAAAAGCAGAGAGAGAGAAGCAGAGAGAAGCAGAGTGCGTTGAGTAGCAAAGAGTGAGAAGGAAAAAGGGAAACTGATAAATGACTAATGAATGAATAATAATAAAATTTTGATAGGGAACAGAGAGATAGAATATGATTAATAACCTGGTAGACGAGATCGAAGTGAACCATTTCGGGCAGATAAGTGAAAGACTTTTTATACTGATAATAGTATTTCGCTACTACTCGAAGGCTCAGCCGATAGAGGCTGGTCACGGATTTGGTGGGTGGTTTGTTTTCTATTGCGGCCATTGTGGCGGAACGACGACCTGACGGCGGCGCGGCCAGGACGATCAGATGCTGTTTGTCTCGTCGATGTACGAGCCTCGACTTCCTGTCACTATATCTGTGCAGCTCCTCTGCGCCTTGTGCAGCTGGGCTCCTGCTGCTAATCACTTTCGGAACACTCGGAGACAGTACTACGACGACGACGAGCTGCTGCAACACCTATCACGAGCGCTAGTGCGATCATCGAATAATGACTTGTTTTTGCAGAGACACGGGCAGTTGACGTCTGAAGATTTTTGTTGCTTATGGACGAGAGAGTACAACAACACAGCTGGCAGCTGTATAATAAAAGCTCGTGCCGTGCGCTATGATGAAATTTTGTATTGACGTATATAATATGTGCTTGTTGCGTTTAAATCGGGCGAGATCCGAATCCGTCGACTATACGACAACGAATGAGCTTTCTCGGCGTAATATTAGATATACTTCTTACAAGCGTGTAAAAGCAGTGAGAGTTCGCAGGCTTGAACGAGTCGTCGCGATGAGACATAAGCGCCTGAGCCTTCTTGGTAATGTCACGGATATGGGCTTAGGTCTTTTCCTCATGAGTGAGTATCGCTATACACTTGAAATGTCTCACGTATACAACACACCAACGACAACAACACTATCGACGAGCTGATGCGCTGCCGAATAATACTACCGATTGATGATCAGCCGTGCTGCTGGTGGTGTAAGTATAAGAAGGCATGCAGCTACTTGGCAGCTGCTCGACGAGTAGTGCAGGGGCCAACAAAGCGCACATTATATTATATACGTGTATTCGTGACTACGTTTAGTCGGCGCAATGCCCGATAACTAAGTGCGACGCTGCCTGTGCATTCGGTATCGCGGCAGCGGAGCACGTCGAGCTCTTTAAAAGCTGTTTTTCCGTGGATATGAATTTCACTCGATGCTCGGCGCTGCGCTATATATATATCTGTATATACGTTATTTGTGTTGCCCAAATCGCGCAACACACCACACACGCACGCACTGCAGCAGCAGCAGCAAAACACAACACACTCTCGACTCGAGGAGCGATATAATAATCGCGCGCACGAAACGGCGAGAAGTTTTAGCGAAGCTATATTATAGGCACTAAAAAAACTATACGCGAGCGAGGCAGACTGAGGCAGGCCCGATCACGACGATGAGCTGCTGCTGCTGCTGCTGTTGTTGTGCGTTTCGCCCGTGTTGCGTGTACTGCACTCGAGCTATAGCGACTCGTCGTGACGGGATTAAATGTCAGGAGGCGACGACGGCGGCAGGGTGCACCACCGCACTTTATATACTACTGTGCATACGAGAGAGAGAGTTTATGTGTTGGAGAGCAGCGGTCGACACTCGAGGCTGCAGCGCTGATTTGTGGCCACTGCACTGTAATTGTCTTGCAGTAGCAGCAGCAGCAGGCAGAGCGAAGGCTAGTGTGCTGCCACTGTGCGAATATTTAAAATTTAAAAACACAGGCACGAAACATATGTTTCTGCTGCGCGTCCGTCTGTGTGCACTTTAAAACGCCTTTTTATGCGTGCGCTTGTGTGCATTTAAATCCACAATAGGTCATTTCTGCATTCGAAAATGGAGAACCATTTTCGAACTGTACGATGGGCTTATTTTCTTGATCCCAAATGGATTTAACGAACAGCGATGTGTCGATACGTTCGATTTCGGTTCGAAATTCTCGAAGCGACTTTATCTCGTTCGTAAAAAATTTCCCCGAGCGACAGTATAATCCGGGGAAAAAAATAATTGAACGATATGAAGTTGGCGATGACATTCTCAAAAAGTGCGGTATGCGCAGGGTTCAATAACCCCGATTTTTCGACCGTCGAGTTGCAAACTCGCGGCCTCGCTGCAGCCGCGAGGAGCTTCGAAAAAATGCTCTCTTGAGGCTGTTTTTTAATAGGCTCTGCGCAATCGTCTTTTTGTGTGAAAAAAGGATGGAAGAGCAAGTTCGCAGCGATTCAAAAGGTAAGCGAGCCAAGCGCATTTGTCCGTTTGACGGATCACCTATATCGCTGCTACGCGGGATTACGAGAAACTCGTTTCGTATTTGTGTGGCGCATACCTGCATGCATGCATCCGCGCGCGCGATGATGCACGAACTGGACGCGCTCGGGCTTGTTGCTTTATACACATTTCGGAGTCGCGTCGTTCGGAGTCGAACGTGTTACAGATGATCACATGGATTTCAAGTAATGCGAAAGGTGTTTTCTTTTCGACAAACAAAGTCAAGTTCAAATAAACTAGATAATTTGTTGGTTAAGTCCGTGGGGCAACTGTATCGTTCGAAACGTAGCGTCCTTTTTTTTCAAAATACGCCGTTCTCGCAATGTCTCGTTGCAGAAAGTTCGTCAGCGCAATCCAGTGCAGCAGCAACAGCAACAGCAGGTGGAGTAGCAGCGTCAGGGGATAAAGGAGACAAGGAAAACAATAGCGCGAGCAACGTCGAGGCACTGATCTGCTGGTTGTACGTGTCGCGCACCGCCTCGGTCGGTCGGGATGGCCAGATCGTCGTCGAGGCCCAGCTGCCCCGGCGCAACCTCGAGGAGGCCATAAGAGCCACCGAGCCCTCGGCCCGATGGAACGTTTCGGAGACGCACTGCGGCCTGATCGCCGGCTTCGCCCGTGAGTCCGACGCCGACAAGCTGCTGCAGCGCGAGGATTTCGGGCGCATTTTCCAGACGCCCGTTCAGGTATTCCGGCTAATTTTGTTTTCGAAGTCGAATGAATAAACGATGTATTTCGTCGCTGCAGGTCGCGCGCTTCTGCGACCGAGACTCTCGCCATCGTCAGGCGGTGCTGCTGCGCGACGTGCCGGCGGCCATACCACTCCAGGACATCGACTCTGCCCTGGCCAGGCAGGGAATCGCCAGCGGGGCCATCGAACGTCTCAAGCACTACGTCAGAGTCGAGGTGAAAATTGTTATCAACGGTCTATTACATGTCGGTTATCGTTTGGAGCACGCAAAGCTCGCGAGCGCGTTCGATCTCGTTTCAAAGTTTCCCGCCTCGCGCGCGCGCGAAAAGTTATTAACGTCCGCGGATTCGGAAATCCCCATTCGGCGCACCGACTGTGTATGCTGTGTGCGAATTTATATACACGAAATTGTACGTATATCATCATGAGAACGCACTTGAAAACTTGTTTTCGACTTGTGTGATATATATAGTAAAAAACATATATAGTGGGCGCGCAAAGTGTCCCGTCGCTAACATATGTTGCTGCGTAATCTGAATTACGCGAAATTTCTTCATCTTCGTCGTTGCTTTTATTAAAAGTACGCGTCACCTCGACGACCAGTTTCGCAGTCAAACTCTCGACTTTTGTAGTAAACAAGTAGATACGCACTCACACGCTCGCACATACATACACACCCTTGCGGTTTTACGTGTATACACACACTCGATTGGCGAATTGATAATTCGCGCAGACGGCTACTACTCTCGATTCGTACACAGACACATACGCAGTTTCGCGCTGTGTGCTGTTGACGCATAACTTGTTGGAGGCTCGTGCCTGTGCTGATCTAGTGTAGTGGTAAAATATTCTGCGCGCCAGTACAGAGTGTCTGCAAGCCAGATCGCAGCAACAGTTTATAAGAGTGCTCTCCGTCCGTGAGATATCGTTCGAACGCAGCAATATCGTCGCCGTTTTTGTTTCTTAACGAGGACATGACGTTGTTTTCCACCTGACGTTCGACGAATTATAATAATAGACGAAATCAATAGTGAAAAACCAGCAGCAGCAAACAGCATCCAGATAATCTTGCGTGATATTACTACTGGACATATTGACGAGAAAATTTCTGCACAGTCATGATGATCCGAGGATTAAAGTATATCGTTGCCGTCCCCAAGGGTGGCAACAAGATGTTGGACTTGAATCTGCGCACCCTCGCCACCCAGGCAGCCGTGAAACAGAAGGATGCCAAAAAATCTAGCGAAAAATCGGCTGCTAAAGAATCTCAATCGTTTACGATGAATATGTTTAGAGGTCATCTGCAGACCAGTCAAGTGTTCCCGTTTCCTCAGCACTTGAGCGATGAGCAAAGCGAGACTCTGCAAATGATGATCGATCCGCTCGAAAAGTTCTTCGAGGAAGTCAATGATCCTGCTAAAAACGATGAGAATGCATCCATCGATAAGGAAACCATGCAGGCTCTCTGGGATCTGGGCGCTTTTGGCATTCAAGTGCCACAAGAGCTTGGAGGTCTTGGGCTCAATAATACCCAATATGGTAGATTGGTGGAAGTAGTAGGCTACAATGATCTTGGTGTTGGTATTACCTTGGGAGCTCATCAAAGTATTGGTTTCAAAGGAATTCTCTTATTCGGTAATCCAGAACAAAAGAAAAAGTACTTACCACGAGTGACGAGTGGTGATATGGCTGCTTTCTGTCTCACTGAGCCAAGCTGTGGCTCCGATGCCGGTGCAGTACGTACCAGAGCTGTCAAATCAGCTGATGGCTCTCACTATGTTATGAATGGCAGCAAAATTTGGATTTCAAATGGTGGATTGGCTGAAATATTTACAGTCTTTGCTCAAGTACCCATGACAGATCCAGTGACTGGTGAAACAAAAGATAAAGTTACAGCTTTTATTGTTGAAAGAGGATTCGGTGGTGTTACTAATGGACCCCCAGAAAACAAAATGGGTATCAAGTGCAGTAATACAACTGAAGTATACTTTGAAGATGTAAAAGTTCCAGCTGAAAATTTACTGGGACAAGAAGGTGAAGGTTTTAAAGTTGCTATGCAAATTTTGAACAACGGTAGGTTTGGTATGGCCTGTGCTTTATCTGGCACAATGCAGCATTGCATTAAAAAGGCAACTGAACATGCTGTGCAGCGTGTTCAATTTGGTAAAACAATCAGCAACTATGGTACCATTCAAGAAAAGTTGGCTCGCATGGCATTGCTGCAGTATGTAACACAATCTATGGCATACATGGTTTCTGGTAATATGGACAAAGGAAGCCAAGATTATCATCTCGAAGCTGCTATTTCTAAAATTTTTGCTTCTGAATCTGCTTGGTGGGTATGTGACGAAGCCATCCAAGTTTTAGGAGGAATGGGCTTCATGAAGTCAACAGGATTGGAAAAAGTTATGCGAGACTTGAGGATTTTCAGAATTTTTGAAGGTACCAATGACATCCTTCGTTTGTTCGTTGCCCTTACTGGTATTCAATTTGCTGGAAGTCATCTGAAAGAACTACAAAAAGCCTTCAAAAATCCAACAGCTAATTTAGGCTTGATCGCAGAAGAAGTATCAAAGAGAGCTACGAGAGTGATTGGTTTGAATGCTCCAAACATGACTCCTTTCGTTCATCCAGAACTCGCAGAATCTGCAGCTTTGTGTGCCAAGAGTGTAGAAGCATTTGGCTCTACTATTGAGTCTGTGCTCGTGAAATATGGCAGAAAAATTGTCGATGAACAGTTCATCTTGAACAGGATAGCCCAAGCTGCAATCGACACCTACACCATGTCAGTTGTATTAAGTAAAGCCAGTGCATCAGCCAAGAATAATGTACCAAGTGCTAAACACGAAATTATGTTAGCTCAAGTATGGTGCAGCGAGGCTTCCAGTCGAGTTGCTTACAATCTCAAAATTGTAGGTGCTTCCAAGAATTTAGACGTATTCAAAAAACTGAGTTTGATCTCAAACGAGATTTGTGATGTTGGTGGTATAGTTCACAAGAATCCACTTGGTTTTTAAGCAGAAAGAGATATTTTAATTGAATATATATTTTTTATCTGATTTTATTGTATCTACATTATTTATTTAAATTATCTGTAAACAATGTACAATATATACAATTATTTTATTTAATCAGTGTCATGGAATGACAAAAAAAGCGACAAATCATGTATTAATACTAAACCAATAATTTGGTTTAAGCTGTAAAAATTGAACTAAAATAAAATTTTTCGTATTAACTCATTATTGTCTGTATATTTTTCGTCCCCCAGACTTGACTCCGTAATTATGTTAAATTCAAACCGCACATCTTTAGGTGCTGGAAGCGAGTCATTACGAGCAGCTACTGCGTCACGGATTGGATTTTTTCGGCGCCACGCGTTTTTGCGCCATCCCCGAACGTTGGCGGGGAAGCAGCGGTGGTGGCAACGGCGGAAGTGGCAATGTCAATAACAACAATTCCACAATGGCTTCGGCTCTGGGCAACAATTACGCCTTCGAAGGAGCTGCCATGCAGCAGCAACAGCAGCAGCTCGCCCAACAACATCAGCAGCAGCAACAGCAGAACCTCGAGAACGTCTTGCAGTGCTACCGATGCCAGGGCTTCTGGCACGTCGCCGCGAATTGCCGTCATCTGCCGCGCTGCGTGCGCTGCGGCGAGCCGCACAACGTCGAGTTTTGCACCCGGCCGAGAAACAACCCCGTGTGCTGTCACTGCTCGGGACCTCATCACGCGGGTAATGAGCAGAAAATTTCTCCCGCTTGCGTAATGCCGATTTGCGATAGACAGTTTTTTTACGACGATACATTTTTTTGGCGCTCGAATTAGCCAACGACTCGACTTTGAGAGATAGCGAGGTTTTTTTTCTTATCTCGTTTTTTTTCGAAAAGCCTCGATCTCTTTTGCAATGCTTTTATATATATTGGCATCTAGCTGCTGGAAAAGAGAAACAATAAACAAGCTACTTATCGGCGTTACATTATATGATCGGTATTGGCTTCGGGTCGGCTTCGTGCCAACCAAACCGTTTTTTTTTTATAATCAACGACGATGATCGCGAAGTGCACTCGAGCGAGCAGTGTATACTTACAATATTATCGATTCGATGATAATTTTATTTCGTGTCCCGTAGATGTACAATAAACTCATAAATTTATGAAAATCGATCTACCATTACCGCGCACGTCCGAGCGAGTCAATATTATACAAAAAAGGGTCGTTTTCTCTTTCTCTCTCTATCCCCATCAAGGCTATCGCCAGTGTCCGGTGCGTCTGCAGCTGATCAACGCGACGCCGGTCAGTTTGACGCTGAGCGCCAGTCGCTCCGGAGGAGGAGGAGTCGTGAGCGCGAGCCAGAACAACGGCAATCATCTGTCGAGCTTCGTCAAGTCCAGTACCAACAACAACAACAATAATCAAACGGCCAACAACAACGCCGCCAATGCTGGATCGGGCCGCGCGTCCTCTCCGCCGCCTAATCAGAAGACCGATTGATGATTGTGAACTGTGTCACGAGCTTTCAATGATTTTATTCTTTCATTTTTTGATTTACTTTTTTTATTTTTTACTTTTCTGACTTTTTGAGACATTTTTTCGTGACGTTCGAGTAGAGTATCTTTTACGCGCGAGGTCGATCGGTCGCAACGCACGATCAATGACTCGCTGCTCTTGATATTTTTACTGAAAAATAAAGTACGAACGTATAAAAAAAATTCCTTGTATTTAATTTTTATATTATATAGTCGTAGTATATATTTTCTGTAAAAGCATGCCCTCGTATATCGATTCATGCAGTCGACCGAATGTATAAATACGCGGGGAGCGACAAAACTCGGCTCTTGAAATCTGCAGAATCATGTTACACAGCATTGGAAGCTTAGTCAGCGCGCGGACTGCAGAGATAACTCCGATTCTACTACGACCAACTAATATACTGAATATGTATCAGCGCCTCTACGTCAAAGTCCTCCAATGCTACGATTTGATTGAATCGTGTACTGTTATTGCGTACACTTTTTATATTTTAGTAGATTAGTAAGACAAGTACGAATCTTTCAAGAGCAATATAAATCGCTCCGCTCTTAACGCGCATCATTAACTCCGTAAACCAATGCCCGAATTATAGTTTGAAAATCTCTATATCTGTGTCATGTATATGCCTACTAACACTTAGTCATTCGATCTTGCTCGTTGCGAAATGACATAATAGAAATTTAGAAAGAGAAGGTTTTTTGTCTCAATGAAAAGTGATCGTGGTTGCGCAATTGGCAGATTCTAAAAAACCACTTTCAAAAATAATAAACTTATACATCGACTTTTTCTTTTGATGTTTTTTTTAAATCGAGTTATACATTTTACGTAACATCGTTATATAGCTGTATTAGCGCTTTGTTTTGAATGTATACTGTTTGTCGAACTATTTTATCTATGACCCCATGTAGACTAGCTTCGATCGAACCAATTTGATTCCAAACTCAGCCGTAAATGAATGAAGCCAAGCAAGATCGATACAAGCTCGCTGTATACGTATGAAAGAAAAATGTGTGTTATATTAGCTTTGTGTCTGCCTACCGAAGAGACCGTTAGCAAATTAATTGCGGCTCGTCTGGGCATATTTTAATGATTCAACGTTATAATTAACGTACGATACGACATTTTTTTTTGATAATTTTTATATTAACATCCCGAGTAATATTATCGTGTCATGTGTATATTCACGGAACAAAAATGTGTAAAACGAGTAAAGTAATGCACGTATATAGTCGTAATAATTAAACAAATGACTAAGAACCTCTCGCGAAGGTTGTCTATAAATGCACTTGTAACTTTGGCACGAGCGGTCTATATATAATGTATTTTTTCCGGCTCAACTTTCACGATCAAGGACTCGCGGCGGCAATCCGTTACACTTACACCAGCTTTTTTTGTCTATACACGCTGAAAAGCTCGATTTAATTTTCTCAAGTTTCGAATCTTAAAATTAAGTTATTTGCAGATCTTTTATAATTCTTAAAACGTGCGAATCGTGGATGCAATTACATATATACGCTCATTTACATATTTCGCTCTTTGTGCCAGTAAAGCTTATATGTCTGTGTGTCAACGAGCTCGCAGGTGCCGGCACATTTATATACATACCTACCGCGAACTTACCGGCAAAAAATGAATTGATAAAAAAAAAACACGTCGACCTGCATTGTGCCGAGCCGGTCTCGTACGTGTGCGTCGAGCCGCGCGCTCGTATACTTAAATACGTAAGTACGCACACGTGACGACGGCCTACTTTCTCGCGCATCGCTGCGGACGCGCTCCTCGCGAGAGAAGAGCGAGGAGGGACTATACTCGCGGCGGACTTCTGGTGAAAAGTAGGTTCCACGATCGGCAAAACCTGCACAGACATCTTCTCCTTACTCCTATATGTAATGTGTACTACATGCTGTACACGCGCGCGCGCACACACGGCCACCCGCAGTTTCTCTTTCGAGACTCTTCTCCCTCGTTATTCGAGGCTGATTTTTCGCATAAATAAATATGATACAAAAGCAAACGCACACAAACCTTAAAACTATATAGGATCGCTGTTGTGTTGATAGTTTTGTTGACAGTTATTGGATACCGAAACGAAAAGTTTTTTTATCTGTTAACGTCTGCGCGGGTATATTATAACCGGCAGTCGCAAAGGCATTATAATACGAGCGCGTTATCTGTTCAGAGCGTTGATACTCAATTACGCGTCTATCTACATGCTCGAAGAATTTTTCCTCCTCAGATTTTAGAGGCTTAAATTAAAACTTATATTCAACCGATTTATTCTCCTCAGCATTGTTATTATTCAAAGCTACTCATCGTCGTGTAAAAAAAAAGTATTTGCCCGAATTTCGACGATCCACGCCTCTTTTTCGACTTCTACGTAACGAATGGTGATTGATTGTCTCTCGCTCTTATCAATGCAAAATATCGGGCGTGTGCACAAACGATTATAATTACAACCGAGGATGATAATCCGCAAATATTTTATCGCGTCGTTATACTCTCGGATTATAACGAAATGACATGTAATTTTCGGAAATTTTATGTGTTGTAGTAAAGACTACTATTTGTTACGCTTAGCTTCAAGTTTATGAGTATATTTTGCTCTCTAATGTTGCATATTATATAAAAAAAAGTGAATGAAAAATTATTTTACTGCCTCGTCGTCGTCCTAATGATCGTCTTTGTTTGTGCGCTCGACGCACGCGGGTATTCATATAACGTGCGCGACAGGCATAAAAGTATATCATTATAGATGTGCAACCGTTTACTCCTGCGTAAATAAGTTTTTTCTCATGAATAGTTTTTCTTTGTAATCATTTTCACGGTCAGCTAAAGACAATCGTCGTCGTGTCGCAACGGAACCAGGCTCCAAAAAAAAAAAAAAACAATATTCATAATGAGTTTGGTAAAAAAAAAAGTAAAGAACCATTCGATCCGTTGTAATACTCGCAGGCTCTAATGACATTAAAACAACTCTGGAAACGTTATCCATTGCATTCCAGCTCGACATTCGCAGTTTTCAAAATAATCGAAACTCGCTCGTGCCGCGATGTTTCATCGCGACTACACGGCTGCTTGCAAACACACGTTTAATTCGACCGGTGCGATCTCGTATACCGATTGCCAAGCACGTTTACGCGGCGCGATATACGATTTCACATGCATACAGCCGCGCGCGCTGTACCTATATATTATAATATTTACCGTAGATGCTCGCGCCTCGCGCACACAATGGCGAGTGACGAGTGAATAAATAATGATGTACACGACGATGTGCACGATATCTCTACCTACATTCACCACGGCGTCGGCTTGTCTCTTTTTTTTTCTATTCGCGTTTTCACGGTAAATAATGCAGCGCGAGCCTTGAAAGATGCAGCTCTATACAAGTATATAGTTATGAGAGCTATAGGTGTATATGCCATGAGACAAGCCATTTATATACCTCATGATATATAGGTATAATATCATACTCGCACTATCCCACCCGTTGCAGCAGCAGCGAGTTTCACAAAGAGCTGTGTGCAGCAGGTGAAAGAGCGCGTGGATATATATACCTGTCTATATACGTACGCGAACCTACGCACGAAGGAGTCGATTCAAGCCTTCCGCGCCAACATCGTATTAGCCGGAGTTCAGTCTTGTCTTGTACCTGCTCGTGTGCGTCGATATATATACACGCGTGGATATATCCGGGGCGCCGATTTTTCCGAGTGTGTCCGCGATCACGATTTATACGATATTTTTCAATAGTTCGACGCGAGGTGCGATGGACATCGATAATTTCATTGGATTTCATCCGATTTAAGTACGTGTGCGAGCGCACTTGGAATTTTTATTTTATCGCAATCAAAATATCACCATTAAAATTGCAATGCAGCTTCGACATAATGATAGGACGATTCGCGTGCTTTTTCCTACAAAAGTTTAACAGCGTATTATTATTTATTAAAGAGTCATTTAGTATCGTTCAATATGTGACAAGTTCATCAAAGTAATGGCTTATTTAGGAAAAAAGTGAAAATTGCCTATTTGCCAAATTACTAGCTTCCAAACGACCGGTTTGAGCAAACTAATATAACACGCCAAACGACAATCGTTGTACGTTACATTGTATTTGAGTCATCTTTAATGGTGAAAATACCTTTCAGTTTACTTTTTTTTTTCATTCGTCGCGAGTGTTTGTTTTTTCCACAAAGTTCACTGCTTTTCGAGTGAAAAATCACGCAAATTCAGCGACCTAAATTTTTCATTAAAAAAAAAAGATAAAATCGCGCGAGTGATTGACCAACGTCTATAAAGGATTATAAACGCAATTACAGGGAACGAAATGGGAAAGCAGGTGGAAAGTGGCCGTGGCTTTTTGCTTACGTCGTTGTCGTCGTCGTGCGAAGGCAAAAGAAAAAGGTCGAGCGTCGACACCGCTGCTGCTGCCGTCACTACCAGAATCGCTTAGAGCCTAATGTAAAAAAAAGTTGTCCAGCGCCATAAATAGGCAAGTAAAAATCAAACCTACTTAAATATGTCCGCGTCCTCTCTTACGCACGCAGCGGCGGTGGCTTTTTTTATTATATATCGTTTTCGTTTGCCTGTAAATAGAGAAAAAAAAGTCACGTGCGTGTGTGCGGTGATGCAAGTCGATGTATATAAAATTTTGTTGTGCAAGAAAAACCCGCGATAAACTTTATTATTAATGTTTAAGGAGATCGTTAATCTTTAATGATGTTGTGTGCTTTTTTTCGTAATGAATAAACAAGCTCGTGATAAAAAAAATTGTTAATTATTAAATCTTTAATTAGCAAGAATGGACTGATAAATTTTCTTTTCTTAGAATATCGGAAGTTGAATTTATATTTGCGTCAGAGATTCATCTTTTTTTTATCCTTCCAAGGATTAATTAAGAACTCGAACATAAGATTCGCACGTTCAGAAATGTCACTGTAGACATGCGCCTATTGTTAACGATCATTCAGGGAACTTCGCCAAGTGCTTCTAAACGCGTATTACTTTCGGAGGAGACCCATCGTCGCAGGGACTCGAAAACTTTCTCCCGCGGGAAGCTGAAGTATAAACTACAACAAGCACTCCTGCGCGTGTTTAAAAAAAAAACTCAGCTCGACTCTCCGTGTAGTACATGCCCGCAGATCGTCATCGCGCCTACCGCGAGCAAATGAAAGCGTGCACAATTATTATCGCGGCCGTATATATACAACCATATAATATTGCTCCAGAGAGGCTTGTACATATATTAAACTTGCAAATGATGTTAATTTTTTCTTTGCTCTACCTATATAATTACGCTTGTATACGAGAGGGGGATAGTGAGCGAGAGAAGAGGTGGTCGTTTTCACTTTTTCTTATACAAAAAAACGCTAAACTACTCTCGCGGTGTTGCAATTCTTTGGCAGCTGTATAATATCGATACTCGTCTCACTCTCGAGCGAACACCATGTACATAGCGGTGTTCCTCTTTCACTCATGACACTTATGAGGGGGGCCCGGCTTCACCGGGCATAATAATTATTCGCATAATACACGCACACGGAGGAGAAGATCGGCAGGTTTTTACACGCGTCCAATCGGCACTCGACTCTTTAATAATTATATACGATCTGTATATCGGTGAAGGCAGAGACCATACAGTTTCCAGCGCAACTTGACTTACACACATACAAATTACATGTATAGCAAAAGGAGTTGGCAGCAACGGCTCGTCCGAATCTATACCGAGAGCTGAGACGATCGCGAGATGCGACAACGATCGTTAGTTTGGCGGTGGAGTCTGCTGCTCGTTTGGCTTTGCTGTGGCTGCAGTCCCAGTTGGCAGAAGCCCTCGCTGCTCGACCAATGGCTGACGGGCGTCAGTGCCGATTTCAAGGGTGTGCCGGAACTGCCCACCCTCGACTCGGCCATCAACGAGAAGCGGGCGGTGTACTTTTACGAGCAACTCGTCGCCGTCATCGATTACACCGATGAAAAGTTGAAACACTGCGAGCTCATCGAGGTCTAGTAAGTTACTCTTATCCCGAAAAAGATCGGTATAAGCGATTTGATAATTAACGATTAACGCTTGATTTTCAGTGAACCATGGGAAGCCGAAGAAACTTTGAAAAATTTAACGTCGCTCGGTCTGAAATCGAATAGTCTGTCGTTTGAAAATATGATCAGGTTGATGATCAAGTGCGACAGACTCGATGGACCGATCGCAGTGCAGGGCAGATCGATAGGAATGGTGACTCAAATGTGGGACAAAAAAAGAAATGCTCATCCGCTCTTGGCGGGAATAGTGCCGGGTACATAAAATTTTGATGCAGTCATGCGTTGCACTCTTTTTTTTACCGATCGACGTTTTATTTTTGTATTATAATTTTAATGGGTTTGCTTTTTTCCAGGAACAAAGTGGTGTGGTACCGGAGATATCGCTAAAAATTATCACGATTTGGGTTCAAGGCCTAATTTAGACAGGTATGAATAAAACATGGCTATCGATTAAGTACAAAATATAATCTTTTATTTCTATGTAAATTAATGAGTAGTTTTCAACAATAAGCTTATTTCCTTGCTTCGTAAAATTAATTTTTAGAATTGATTCAAGTAATTGACGCTTTTTACAAATGATATAATAAGTAAAGATCTCTGAAAATACCACAATAGTGATTCCGTAAATTTTGTAGGTGCTGTCGAATGCACGACTTGTGCCCGGTGAAAATTCGCGCATACAAAAATCGCTACAATCTCGATAATCAGTCTTTCTTCAGCAGGTAAATATGATTATTTAACTATTTTTAACAATATAAAGCTTTGTTCTATTATCATTCATAATCCATGTACTGTATTTACAGAAGCCATTGCGTCTGCGATGAGACTTTTTATCAATGTTTGAAAGACGTCAATCATGTATCGGCAACGGTTATTGGCAACGTGTATTTTAACGTTATTATGCCTACGTGTATCGAAAAAGATCCTTCAAATAGTGAAAAGAATTCAATGAGATTTTCATCTCCGAAAAAAGTTTTTTAATTCCTGAAAATGGATATTTGTTATGTGAAATTGTGATATATAATGTAAAGTGTTGTTATCATAAGTTTATATTATAAGTTTACCTTTGTTACTTGTTATATTTTAAAAATTACTATAATTATTTATGCTACATCGCTGCATGCATTTTTAGCTAATGTTAAAGAAGTTAAAGATAAAGCATTTAAGGATACAATTTGCTTAACGGTATCCACTGGATGGTTAAAGAGATTACCTACAAATTAAAATATTTATTTAAATTATTTTTAATATTTATCACTACATAAACGATAAAGTATATGTGAATAAAATTTATACAAACCAAGTAACCAAATTGTTTCTTGTCTCACACAATCATAAGGATATTTTAGCAATGCTTCAAAAAGCAATTGATTCTTCTCATGTTCAGATTCACAACTCCCAAATACTAGGTGAGCTACCTTTCCTGTAGTTTCACAGATGACATTAGCTAACGTTCGTAAATATGCTGATACCTGCAAAAGTGTACTTTTATAATTACTTTTTATGAGGAATTATATTAACTCAAAGTACCTCGCTTAAATGTACATCTTTTGACTGTGATAAAGAATAAAGTTTGGAAAAAATTTGACTAATACAGTATTTTAAAGGTTCATGACATGCTGAATATGATGATAAAATAGCAATTAACCAAATTGTATCAATTTCTGAGTCTTCACTATATTTTTTGGCAACATGATCAGCAATTTTTCTCAAATCTTCTTCACTACAAATACAAATTTTAATCACAAATAAAACTTACATTTTTAGTCTAAATTCAAATATTCTCATACCTAATATTGTTGAAATCTGCATGAACGTATCGTAAAATTGCATAATGCAAAGCAGGCAACAGTTCACTTTGGCATTCATCCAAAATTTTTATTAAAGTTTGTAAGCAATTTTGTTTTTTAAAAATTGCCAATGCCTTATCACTTTGACTCACAATATTGCCAATGGTCCAAGCACATGTTTCCTTCGGAATAAAAATTTTCAAAAATAAATTAAACATGTTACATTTATGATAACTCACATAACATTGTCAACTTACGGCTATTTTTATGTTACTACTTGCTAGCTCAAGAATTAAGTAAGGGGCTGAAAATTTGGAAAGAGTAAAACACGCTTTTGAATTACCTAAAGACAAATTACATAAACAATTAGCAGCAAAGAGCTTGTGCGTGCCATTTCTTCCAGACAAATCTCTCACCAATCCTTCATAACTTTGTCCAACGGAAAAGTATGAATTTATGTTATTCTCGCTCTGCAAAAAATAATGTAAAAGAAGGTTGCAATTTTTGAATTGAAAGGCATAAGAATGAATTTAATTTTCTTTTTCTTTTATGTACCTGAATCAAGGCATTTTGTAAATCTCTATACTCGTTTCCATCAAGCGGCTTTTTTCGCAAATTTAGAGCCATTCTGCTAACATCTTGCTCGGAAAATACTGTATTTTGAATCACTTCTCCTAAGTAGGGTCGTTTTCTATTAATAACATTTTGACGATTTTTCTTCCTATGTATATTCATTTGGCTCCTGAGATCGTCTCGCAACCTCTCGGTTGGTGAGTCGTGGAGATCAGAATTTTCAAGTGATTCCGCCATTTCAACTGCGAAAAATAGTCAATAATATTTATTTAATGGTTCATGAAACATAACCTGTGCTTTTGTGTAAAAGGTATTACATCGACAAAATGCCTTGGCCACTATCAAGAAACTTTTCTCGTCTTTTAACACTTTTCAACTTCCAACACCGAGCACGAACGGTAAACAATACAGCAAATAACCTCTGCGCACCGGCAGCAGCAGTTGCAACGGTTTTGCAGAACAAGTGTATTATGCTGTTTGTATCTCGAGCCGCGGCAACGATGATAAAGGCAACAAGTGCGCGCGGGCACGTGGGACTGTTTACATTCGGTTGCTAAATGAAAACACATTCAGTGCGTAGCAAAAATCGTCAGTTTATTTAAAATCAAAATATATGTACAATTTTATAATGCAGCCACCATTTAACTAATGACTTTGTTGACCATTACCACGTGTTCACCACGCAGCAATAATTGAGGCACATGCCTCTCAAGAGTTTCGAATTTTTTCGTCCTCGAGATCACTTTGGTCGATGAGTTCACACTCGATGTCGATGGCACTGACAACGGGTCGACACTTGGATCACCGAGAGCAGGAGCTTTTCTCTTCACTTTTCTCGTCCAGTGCTCGAAACAGTCCTCCAGAGCCAGATTCCAGTGTTTGTCAAACGCGGCAATGTACGCCTCCACGTAGCCTCGAACTCCTCTGTCGTTTCTCGTGGTTATCTTAACCCTAATTCTATTTTCCATGTATTGATAAAGAGCGAAAAGCGGCCCCTGCGCTTTGCCCATTCGATTGAGAACATTTTTTCCCGATTGGTTGTCTCTACTGGTCGATTGTATTGGCATCTGTGACGGCAAAAATCTTCGCGCGGGTTGTTGTTGTTTCGAAGCTTTCGATGCGTCATTTTTTGGCTTGCTGCTAATCACGAGTCCTTTGAGTGCCACCGATTCGAATTTGCTGAGATTGTCGTAAATTGGCGCGTCCGGAACTGGGATACGCACGTTGGGTCTGGTCAAAGCTTTCAGCGCGTCGAACTTTTCACTGTAAGCGTCTGTACTGTCGTTGGAAGAATTGTTATCTTCTTCCATGCTTGTGTGTGTGTGGAGAAATTTGACAACTGACACACTGAGAGCCAAGCTTCATGGCTCCGACCGCGCGGGCTGCTGCGCGTGTAATGTCGGAGTCGGAGCGGACGACGGAGCGTATATGATTCTGATTCAAGCGCGACCATATTACATATAGGTATTTCGATGATATGCCAAATTCTTTTCTGTCTTACACCAATAATGCAACTAATTGCAATTACTTTTTTTCTTAAATTTTTTATCGAAAATAACTTCAAATGACTTATCGGTACAATTTTTTCATTTTAGAATTTCTCTAACCTCTTTCCAATTGAAAATTTTACATTTTTGAAACGTAATGTAATTAAAAAAAAACCAATCAATCGTTATAAAATTATTAAATCGTTTTGATTAGCATCACGACATATTTCAATCACAGTATTTGAATTTCATAATCAATAATTATGAATCGATACAACCTTATGGCAATTCTGAGTCATCGATATCAAAAGGCTCAAATTTATCATCGTGATTGAGAACATTCAGGGCCAGGATATTATAAATCGATTTTTGTATATTTGCGGAAGGACCAATAATTTGCATCCGAACAATGCATAATTTTTTATAGTATTTCTCCTTCAACTTGATACGCTGTTCTCTCGTCATACCCTATGAATAAAAAATTCGTTTGATGTCATTTATTATAAGGAAAAAAGGGTGAATAACAACCTAAAAAATTGATAATAAAAATACCCCAATAGCTTCAGCGGTGCAGCCAATTACTTGTTCAGCGGCCGTGTCTCGTAAACGACAACCCACCAAGTATCCAGTGTCATCCTTCAAAGTAATCAAAATATTCAAACTAACAACGTTCATCGGGGCCTTCAAGCCATTTCCAAACGGGCATTCCAGATTCATGCACGATTCATTACCACTTGCCACCATTCTTTTACACTTGGCACTGAAAACAAAATACAGTTCGGGCAGAAAGTAGAAAAATTATTACAATTGATATAAAAAACAAACCATCTTGCACTCAGAAGCGTTAAATCATTACTATCCAAGTTCATATCGTCGACCATGGCAGTCACAACAACCAACAGTTGTAATCTTTCGTCGCTAGCAATCGATGCAGCAAGGTTCAATCTGTTAGTTATTTCACGAATCGTCATTTGCTTCGTTATGGAATTAGCTGCAATTCAATTATTAAAAATTTAAAAATTCATTCTCGAGCCAAAAATTTACCGTTACTCATTGTGTATCTTACGATTTGGAACGGCGTAAGGAGACGTCGATCCGATATCAGGTTTAGTCAGAAATACATCTCTCATCTGTTTCGTTTCAGAAATATCAGGATTCTCCGTGATAACGGTTTTTCTCACTACAAAAAAAATTCAAATCCAATCGTTGCGTTCCAATCTCGTATTCCAATTTCAAATAAAAAAAAACTGCTCTGCGCTCACCTATCGTCAAAGTCGACTTTCGCACCTTATCGCTGTAAGTCACCTGGGCGTCGGCCAAAAACAGCACCGTGTGCTTCGGCTCCCATTTGTCCGCCAGCTTGATCCACTCGAGATCCCACAGGGTCAGGGGCAGCGAGTGATTGGTCGACGGGTCGCTCACCTCGAACTCGCGTATCTTCGACAGCTCGCCCAGCCGAGTGACGATCTCGCGAGTCTGGCTCACGAACGTCACCACGACGATCACGTCGACGTACTGGTTCTTCAACGATTCCGCGTTCTCCAGCACGTAGGCGAGATTCAGGGCTCCGGCCGGATTCTTCGTCGGCACCCTGACGAGACTGGCATAGCGAGGCGTCGCCGGGCTCGAGTGCAGCTGCATCAGCGAGGAGCTCTGGTTCAGCGTCAGGGTGAATTGACTGGTCACCGATGGCACGTACACCTCGTTCGGATCGTCGGGCTTGCGATCGGTGATTTTCGCATTTATCACTTCCACTTGAGTCGATCCAAGGAGTCACTCGTTAATTTTTCACATTTGAGAGCTTTTTATATCGTCGATTTCTATAGAGCTTACCCACGCTTCCGATGCCGTAAGTGGTGAACAATTTATTGATGAAATCTACCGCACCCCATACCGTGGCGTTAATAAAGTCGTTCACCGAGTCTCTGAGGGTGAAATTCCAAACGGCTCGCGATCCATTGTTATCTGAGAATTTCGTAACGTTTTCGAAAAAAAATTCCAAGAAATTATCACTTTTAATGTTGACCGATTTTAAATATTAATAGTACACAAAAATTTATGGATTTCCATAAAGCGATATGGTGAAAAAAATGAGTATAGTGATTTTATCTTACATCTCGTGCGTTCGATGATTTTAGAATTCTGACTTCGTATAATCACTCCGACTATTACAGTATTTTGCATTTGCGGTTGAAGCGAACAAATCGGTTGTCTTGACACATTAGCCATTATTATTTCTTTACTTTCACTTTACTTTACCTGCGTAATGATTCGCGACTAATTGGGTCCTTAACGACCAACAACGATGTGTTCGGTAAAAAAACGAACGAACGAATGAGCCAAGGGTGTAGACTAACTGTTAACGGAGATTATTAAGAACAATTTGAATTTTTACCCCCCGACGTCGCGCCACCTACCGGCGGGCTTCACGAACGTTCGATAAACTAATTCGAACGGAATATTTGAATTTTCTATAAACAGCAGAGAATTCGAACGAGGAAAAAGAAACTTTTTGAGCGATTTAATTGATTTATCATTTATTTTGTCATTTTTGTTTAATACATATCAACATCTTAACTTTAGTGGTTTGAAAAAATATTTTCATTAATTTATTTATCATTTATAACTTATAAATTATTTGTATATTGAATCGTAAATAACCGAGTTATTCAAGCTTTTATTTTGTGGATAAGCAATAAATAGCACCTCCCACAAAATACTCTTCAATATTACAATATATCGATTAATGTACAAAAAGATACATCTTAACATGTAATTGGTAACGAAATATTACACATAGTAACTGAAAATTGGCTTAACTATTAATTTTACGAACTAGAACAGATCATTGATTGTAAGTGATATTATATTTGTCGTAACTAGTGTAATTGACACGGTAAACTGTTACACTTAAACATACAATATCAGCAATAATAGCGTGCAATGCAAGCTAACTGCTAAACGTCATTGAAAAAACTACCAGAAACATTTTCAATTATTAAATATATCATCATGTAAGGCACCAAATTTTCTTCTAAGTAATACTGCCAAGTATAAATTGTTACAGTAGATTCCGGTGTTTTATAAACAACTATCTACAATAAGAATTTTAACTACTAATGCCAATGTAATTGTTTGCAAGTACTAATTGGCAATTTTATTTAGCTAACTCATTGAGCATATATCGTATGCCTTCAATTCCATGATTATGTTAACGAAATGTCTACTTACAAAAACTATAAGTAGTAAAAAATTACAACTCTAAAAGCTCGATTGATTTTGATTTCCTTTTCACATTAAATACGAAAACGATACAACCGTATAACAAAAAAATTAATAATTTTTAAGGAATTATTGCTAAAAATGCCGTTAACTTAAAAACATTTTTCTTAATATCGTACTAAAGACAGCATAAAATCGTAGTAACTTTTCAAGTAAATAAGAGGCATAAAAAAGTACGGAACAGCCTGATTTTCAGATCACCATATAAAAAACATTTGTATCTTATGAGAAAAAAAAGGTTCTCATAAAATCGAAACGATTTTTCCACTAATTCAAATAAGCACTCGCATTCTGAAAAATTATTTTCTTAAAAAAAACAGTCGTATTTGTTTCGGTTAATCAATAGAATATATCGATAACGGAACTTCGATGTCACATAAATGTTTCAGACACGTTATTAACACATTAAGTATCGGATAATTACAATAAGTATAAAATAGCAACCATGTAGTCTTCGAAAAACTGAGGAATGCATCAAAGATATACGAGATCGGCATAAATTGCCGATTCATACAAGTGGAGTACTGAAAGCGCAAAAAAAGTCACGAGATACATTGAGCCCCGCTTTTTATATTATAATTTGTATAAAGTAAACGGAGATAACATCGACGTATTTTCGTGACTGGTACAACAACAGATATCGATTGCGCTTCGCGGTAAATCACACGGGTGTCTCGGGATTTTCCCAATCCTGAGCGTTTTGTCGGGCCAGCGATCGGCCGCCGTTGGCCGATGAAGCGGTAGATTCGTGCACCATGAGACCGAGCGCGCCCATGTCGAGGACGCAGTGCTCCAAACTCGACGTCAAGTCTCGCGACATGTGTCCGCCGGTGCTGCAGCCGGCAGTCGTGGGCGAGACCGAGTCGCTGCTGTTGTCGGTCGGACCCGGGCTGCGCATCGACGACGTGGTGTCCGACGAGCAGGTGGGGCTCGAAAGCTCCGAGACCAGCGGCGTCGACTCGCCGCCGCTGTCCTCGCTCGTCGACAGAGTCGCTTCGTTGCTGCCCGTCTGCTGCTGGCCCGATTTGCCGTGGCTCAGCAGCTTGTCCTTGAGGCGACTCAATTTTGCCGGAAGTCCCGAGGTGACCGGTGGCACGGGAATGGTGATGCCGAGCTCCTCGCTGAGCGACGTGGTCGAGCGTCGATTGCCCCGTCTCAGGGCCTCGGCGTAGTTGTCGGTGGACTTGGAGCGCGACGCCGGTTTCGGCGATGTGGGCGGCGACACCATGAGCGAGCCGGGCCTCAATTGCTGTTTATGATGGAGTCCCGCGCTCGTCGGTGGCGTTCGGTAATGATTGTTGGTCGAGCAGCTCGACACTACGCTGCAATGCGACGAGAGGCTGCGCTGAGAGCTAGCTCGATGCATCTGGGGCATGGCGTACGAATCCATGGAGTCGTCCGAGCTAGAGTCCTCGGCCAGGGCCTCTTCCGAGACCGGCACCCAGTGCAGAAGAGGATTCGACTGAAGTATCACGTAGTCCGTTTCTTGATGGGACATGCTCGAGGCACGTGATCGCATACCTGTAACAACATTTCGAGACGCTATTTTAGAATAATTTACATTTGTAGCGAACACAGCTTACACTGTTTCGTGCGACACTTTTAAGATTAGATAGTACTTACTAGGTAATCGTGCAAAGCAACACTGCGTGCATAGTGTGAGTACTTAGTTTTTCAAGTATTAGTCAAACGCTACTGGTTATTTACAAATTTAGTATTTTCTTTAAGAGCTGAAAGATATTAGTGGAGAGGTTTTGTCATGCACGAAGCACTTATAAAGAATTAAACAACGCTGTAAATACAATAAAACTCTCGTAAAAACGTGTAAGATTATTATTGTTTTCAATTTCTTGTTTCGCATTCAAACGACACGTGAATAACATTCTTATTTGAATAATGTGTTAGTACGAGAAACGATTGTAAAATAACAAACAAAATATCAAATTAAATATTAACTACGTTCGATCTACAATAAAGACATCTTCAAAAATGTATAGCCTACCAAGACCTAGGCCCTGACATCCGTCTAACTAAAAATCTTGTTTGAAGAAAGAAAAAAAAGAGCAATAAAAAGAGCAATAAACTTTGATCGACTCTCTTTTAAATTTTTTATTGCCATTGATATAATTATAATATAATTTCATTTTTGCGTAGTGTTTCACATAAAAAATAATAGAAACTACTTTTTCAAAAATCATACAGCTATAGTGTAGTAGTAGCATTAAATAATATCGTTTCAACGCGACAAATTAGTACACTCCATTGAGATCAACTATCTGATTCAATAATATTATTGCATATTCACTGTTTTTGACTTTAAAGATTTCTCTGGCTGAGGAACATTCCATTGTTTTATCACTTTTTAAATCTTTCTCTAATACTCTATTATTTCTTAAACTTCATAAGTATCACAGTTCTTTCATCCCATTATTTTTATTATTTTTTTTAATGTTCAAAAGTACCATCAAATAAAGTTTAATTTTCAATTAAAATAAAAGTAAGTACTTGAAAATTTAATGATATTCCTCTATCAAAATTCAACATTATTTTATTCAATGTTTTTTTTTGTATCAACAATATAGTGTAGTAACAATGTTTTAAGAACATTTTATTTAATACATCACCAGCTGGTAATGTAAGAATGTTTTAAAATCTCATCTTTTTTGTCAACACTTTTGGCACATTAGCACGGCACATGTCTCACATTAATTTTAGTTGACATAAAGTATAAACTTATCCATTCTAATTTTTGTCGCAATCACAACTTATTTACAACTTACATTCTACGATCATACATAGTTCTTATGTAATAAGTTATTATTATATATCTACAATTTTATAGATAACATTTATCGTCCCCTGATTAACAATATTTCTTTCATTAGATTGTATCAACGACAATTACTGCAATTTTAAGCACCATGACATAAATATTATGAAATATTAAAGTACTTTTTTTAAGTTTGAAAACAGTTTTAATATGCTTTATCTTAAAAGTATAAGTATCCTTATATTTTATAGAATAGATGCAAATATCCGATGAATTGGCACAACAGGTTTTCAATATACATATTTGCATAAAGTAATAGTTTTCAAAATATCTTCAGTCTTAACGCGTAAATTTGATGATTTGCTATCTGCACAAATGCAGTTCTTGAAATCTTACGGATTTACAATACAGTAAGTTTCAACGTTTAAGTACTATATGGAATGATTTGTATTTTTATGTTAATTCTCATGAATATAAATGCAATTATTCTAAAAACAAAAGAAAGTATCTGATTTATTGAAGCTTTTCATTTTTCTTTTTAGGCAATTTATTAAAAAATTGATGAAAAACTCCTGGTATCTTCATAGAGGTTTCGTTTAAACTCGGGTGTCGTTAGTAACACAATTGCCATTATTAAGAATGCGTGCAAGGAAGAGCACAATTATTTAATAGCTAGACAAGTTCAAGCGTCTTTATTGTAGAATTCGTTTACGGAGTCAGGGCTTTGATCGTTGGGCGGCGGTTCGTCAACTACAACCTTGGGTAGTGTAATTGCTACACTATTAAGCTCACCTGGCAGTGAGTCTACAGGTGCAGGCGGTACATCCAAGACATCCTCGCAAGCCTCTTCATTTAAAGTTTGAAGAGCGCCACAAATCATTTGCTCTTCTAGTGTTACCTGTAATGAATTGATTTAGAATATAAAATTGAATACGTATTAAACTTTGCTGTAGAGGTTCAAAATTTTACTATTAATTCCAAGTTATAAAATGCTAATCATTTTCTACTACGTTCAATAAAAAATTTTCAACATTAACCATGCATAAAAGGTTATTCATAAACTACAATCTTACCTGCAACTGTGATTAGTAATTTAGTTCGCAATATCCGATCGGGTGAGACAATAAATAATAAAAGTGAAAAGTTGAATAAGTAATAGTTTTCAAAATTTGCATTTTCATTAATATCAATAACTTCTATTAAGTATTAAGTTATTTAAAAAAATTGTTAATTATCACTATTTGAATACTTCAGAAAATTAGATTGATGTAAATTAATATTAGTTTAAAATTAAAGAACCTATTTTTAATTTAATCAAGATATTACTTTGACATTGTAACACCAATCATTGTAGCTTTGAAAGTCATATGAAAATTAAAATAAAAAATGTACCAACCTGTTTTTCCATTATTGATTGTTTTGTAGAATCTCTTCTAGGAGGTCCGTCAGTTCTAGAAGTACCTTTTTCTTTTTCAACTATAGACGGTACTCTTACTGAAGTATTTTGGGTAGCATGATCTACTATAAGTAGTAATAATTATTTTAAATTACAATATAAATTTATTTAGATTAAATACAGATGAAATAAATTACCTTTCTTAGCGTTCGGTTCATCAGCCCCAACAATGAATCTAACGCTTCTAGGGCCTTCCTCGTTAGTAGTGGTAAAGGTTGTTCGTTCTTGTTCTCTTAAAGAAACAATGACAATACGGAATAGTTCCCAATCACCAAATGCCATATGCAATGCCTATAAAAATATTAAATATAGAACATAAAAGATTAAGGTTTGAATAATGAGAGGTTGCTAAGGAAATTGAAATTTACCTCCTTCAAATCTAATATGTCACAGTTTAATAATACTGCGCCTGTGATGTTATTATCTTTTATAACGCGTTTGTAAGTTGGTAAATTTTGGGGATTAATGTCTTGAATTTTATCTAATAAATCACAGATATTGTCCACCGTGAGTGTAGATAATTTTTGGTCCATTATTTCAGGCTAAAAGGAAGAATTTTATGAGATTTTCATTCGATGATATTGAATATATGTTTAGGGGAAAATTCCTTACAGGTAACACAACAGCAGGTACTGGTTTTGGATCCATCATGGACATTAGATTTTGAGTAGGGTGCCACTGAGGGCGCCATTCATAGCCATAACCAGCCGTCGACCAACCAACTGATTGAGGAGGCATCGGCATTGGGGGTGCCTGCATATGCATGGGGAGCGGAGCCGACGGTATTTGCTGTGTTACGGTTGCGCGCGATTGTTTTACAGATCGATTTGCCGGAGCGCCACGTTGCATCGACCAGTTTGGTTCCATTGTTATACTCGGTACCACAGGATTGGCCCAATTGAACATGCTCTGCTGGTGCTGTTGCTGTTGACTGGCTTCTTCTTCCATGGTCTGCTGTTCTTCTTTGATCTTTTTCTTGATATAAGGATCGAGATTGATGGTGAATGGCAAGAAGACTTTCATATCACTAACGAGTAGACGTGAACGATGGAAAGTCAGAAAAGCGTCTAGTTTTCGTTCGTCGCGATCCATATCAAGCTGTGCATCTTTCAAGATAGGAATTTGAGGGCGCACTCTGAAATTGAATGAATAGAATTACCAATTTTCATTTATGATGCGAAAAACTAGATTTAAACTGCATTACGCATCTACTTACTTATCGTATAGATTTTTCAAAGACATGGAGTCCTCGAGATTATCTTCGGTTGTATCATAGTGTAATATTATCCACGAAGTTCTAAATGGCCATTGTTCAGTAATATTAATCCAACTGGCCAAATGGTACCAGTTGAAGTCAATTTGGAATGATTTCAATAACCTCCCTATGTTAGTAAATTAATTATTAAAAGATGTAAACAACGATTTATTCGGTTAATAAAAAGTAAACATTACCTGTAATGTAAACGACGTTCATTAAACGTCTCATACTGCGTGGATTGACATCACTAAAGTAGTCGTCAGTCAACAGCATTTTGCTCAAATCCTGAGCTCCGCCCATTTTATTTAAATTGCTTCCAATGCTACTAGCTATGGAGTCGCTCATTCTGAGTTTTCGACTACCCTTTCGGCTGGGAGGCTTGAGTTTTTCATTGCTGTTGATGACGGTTGACTCGGTGCTCAAACGGCGATTCGACATCGAGCGTTGTATTGGATTTGCTGCATAATTGGCACTTTCCTCGGCTTCGCTCCACATGGCTTTCCTATTGTTTTCTCTTGCAGTGTTTTGTGCTACCTTAAGTTGCCTAAGGCCGCTATTTTGCAAGTAAAACGGCAAATGAACCATGTTACGCAAGTAATCGTGGCCACCTATATTCGACTCGGTAAACAAGCGTCGACTGTTTACCTCCACCGCCTGTAAATTTCAATACATTGTCGTTTGTAATCACGAATCAAAGTATGATTTATTCGATATAGACAGGTGCTAGAATTACCTTTGATATAATGTGAGGATCAATGGCTAAAATAACTACGAAGGGACATCCATTATCACTGAACAATGCTTGAATAGCATCGAGCACCAATAGCACCTTATCTTGTTCACAACTATCGAGACCGTCTACTACGACAACTAATCTACTCTTTTGACTAGTAAAACTGTCTAGGCACTTGACCTGTAGAAAAGCAGCGATCATTAGCGAATCAAAAATTCAAAGTATGCACGTGGTGCTTGACACTTCAAACGAACGACTCACCATTTCCACCATGAGATTGACTTCGCTTTTGAGCGTCTGTATAAAACCTTCGCTCTTCAAGTTTTCCAACTTGGCAACGCGACGTCGCAGCTGCCTGCGCTGAGAAAATATGAGCGAGCGAATCGTCTTGCCCCACGTGCGCACATGGGCAATCACATTGACAGATATGAATACGGCTATGCAGATCATGATAATGTGAGCTGTCACTCGATCGAGAACAGGCCTAGAATAAAGACATTAATATTACAATGCACATTTCTCTCGATCGAAGATACGAAAAAAAGCGGATTTTATCCTCTTAACGAAATGTACTCACTGCTCGGATGATAATTCGAAGAGATAAACCGCGAGTACGCTGATTCCAAGGAGAAAACTGATGAAGCAAAATTCAAATATGGCAACGTTAGGCATGCAGCACATTTGACGCCACTTCCACGACTCGTTGGTCTTGGAAGCTTTCGGCTTCAAAGCTCGATACAGACGAGTCGGTAGCGAGCCGAATTCAGCCTCGATGGCGTCGTAGAGCGAGCCGACCATCTGGACGATGGCGTTCTCGCCGGCTGCGGTGGTGCCGACTCGAGTCTGATCGGTGAAGAAGAACTTGATCGGCTGCACGGTGGTGACCTCGGACTCGGGCGTCGGTGGCGGACCCGGCGGATGGCAGAAGGTCACCTGCAGCAGCAGCTTCAACGAGTTCAGCTTCTTGCTCAAGCCCGTCGTAAAGTTGTACGGCCAGTCCCAGTCGTATCTTAATGAGAAAAAAAGTCATCGGAATTAGCGATCGAAAAATGCACACAATAATAAGTACGCACGAACTGATAAAAGACTCGTATTTGTTTCGCACGTGCACGCGCAACTCACTTGTTATTGGCGTAGTAGGCACAGCTGAGCAATAAGTACGTCAAGACGACCAAGCCGACTCCGGAAGCCAGTCCCGCTATCCAAGATTGCGTGAAGAGGCCTAGGATCACTCCGAAGATGAGCGAGATGTGCAGAATGACGAGGAAGAGCAAGGTGGAAAACTCGAACGTCGGATCGAGCCAGTGACGCGCGAAATTTTTCATCTCCTCTGCAATCATCGTAATTACGAAAAAAACAGTTAGCACACCGCGCGTCTATTTCATTCGGTAGCGGTAAGCTGTCTGTCTCGAACGTACCCCTCAGCTTGTTGAGCAAAAACGACTTGCCCGATCCCCACTTGGCGTAGAGACCGACGGTGATCGGAGTCGAGAGCGAGGGCTCGCTCAGGATGTCCGCCAGGGCGCAGCTGTACAGATCGTAGCCCAGCATGTTCTCGTTGTCCTCGTTGGTGTTCAAGCGTCGCGCGCCGAATATCAGACTCAGGATGTTCTTGTTGTGGGCGAGATCGATGTTGTAGGGGGTCTCGCCGGCCTTGTTGGGCCTGTAGAGCAGCTGGCTGTGCTTGGGGTTCTGCAGGAGGATCTCGACCATGCGCCTGGAGCGGGCGCGCATCGCGATGTGCAGCACGGTGTCGCCCTTGTTGTCCGTGGCGGACACCTTGGCCCGGTGCTTGAGCAGGTCCAGGACCATCTCCTCGTTGCGCAGCTTGACGGCGCGCAGCAGGGGCGTGTCGCCGTCCTTGGTGGCGATCTCCAGGTCGGGCGAGCTGTGCAGCAGCATCTTCAGGATGGTCGGGTTGACTTTTTCCACCGCGACGTAAGTGGCCGTTTTACGGTCCTATAGAGCAAATGATTTATCGAGTTTCAATAAATGTTCCGTCACGATTCATTGCCAAAAAGAAGTCGCGGTTCGCGCGCGTCACGTTTACTGCAAGCTCGGCTATTAGCGCACGGGTAATTAATATCAAACAGTTTGAGCAACGCTCGGACTTTATGCCAGAGTAGAGAAACGATTGATTTACACGAGTTAATCTGCTAAAAACCAGACCGAGACGCCTTACTTATTTCCGTGCAACGTAGCACGTGTTTGGCGGCGGCGGCGGTGTGGCAGTGGCAATTTACAAAAGTCGCCGATTTATACGCACAAATCTCTCGAGCATACATCGGACTAGACGTATGTCAGACGAGTCGTTAAGCAGCATATGCTTGTGGCGTAATAAAAAGTATAAACACCAAATATAAATCGTTCGCCTTTTTTTCCTCGTCGCGCGATACAATTTATCTTTATTTACATACCTTTCCAGGGATGTTGATCTCCACGTGCTTCTTGAGCAGCGCATCGACGATGACTTTATAGCCACCCTTGACCGCGTGTATCAAATTCGTGTCGCCGGACTTGTCCTGTATGTTGACGTAGGCGCCGGCGCTGAGCAGCTGCGTGACGATCTCGCTGTAGCCCTCGCGGCAGGCGATCGACAGCGCCGTGCAGCCGTCCTTGTCGACGGCGTTGACGTTGGGCCGGTAGGGTATGCTCAGCAGCTTGTTCACCACCGTCGCGTGATTGTTCTGGGTCGCCACGATGAGCGGCGTCCACGAGTACATGCCCGCGGTGTCGGCGTTGGCGCCGGCGTCCAGCAGATCCGAGACGATCTGCTCGTTGCCGTTGCGCGCCGCCCACACCAACGCTGTGGTGCCGTACTAAAAAGAGTTTTGGGTAAAAAGAAATTTGATAATATCGAGCTTGCGGAGACGAGCTTTGATCGCGAGATGGATGCGGATGACGAAGGGAGGAGGATGAGTACGCAATAATGTATACGATGTATATATACCAACCTTGTCGCCGACATTGACCTTGGCCCCGTAGGACAGCAGCTGCTTGACTATATCGGCGTAGCCTCGGCCGGCCGCCCACAGCAGCGACGATATGTGATAGTTGCCGTGCGCGTTGACGTCGGCCCCGCGCGACAGCAGCAGCGTCACCGTCGAGCCGTGGTTCTTGTAGGCCGCCCACATGAGCGCCGTCCAGCCACCCTGCGCATATTACATCGACGAGCACACGCGTTAAATTTCATACTTCGAGAGCTTTACACCACTCCCGGCATTTTTTTTTTCAATGTATGTAATCGTGCTTACCGCGTCTCGATGCTCGAGCTTGGCTCCGTGCTCGATGAGCTCCATGCAGACTTCGGTGTGACCCTCCTTGGCCGCGCACATGAGCGCCGTCCAATTGTCCTGCAAGCACACGGAGTTGACGCACACGTTAAATTTGACATTTTCGCGGATCGAGTACATTCAAGTAGAATAGCTTTTTTTCGTCGGCACCGTAGAATCAATTCTTTTGTGCCTCATTTTTTCGTCATAATACATCGTAGATGAAAAAAAATTCAATATTCATTAGGCACACTCCATACAGTGTTATTTGTTTGATGATATGATTATAATGACTTGGTTTAGCTCCGTTTACATTGATAACTCCAAAATTTCATTAAATGAGTTTTGAATAGTATTTAAGCTTGATCGCTATAATATTTTGAAAAACCTGAGTCTATGTAAAGCTCAGATCCACGTAGCCTTGTATGCGTATACGGCGTAGCGTTACTACGGCAAAACACCGCAGGCTGGACAACACAAGAAGAGGTCATGCATGCGACGCAAAATGTAAACAACAAAAGGAGCACACAGTTCTCAGTGCTTTTCGCCACTTGTCCCTTGTAGTTCGCTCGATCATTACAGAAAGATTCGTAGCTATCGACATTCCAAGCGAGAAAGATGGAATCTAGTGGTTTATTTAACAAAGTCGTCAGGTAATTTTCATTTCGCGAGAATGAAATAGTAAAAATATTTATATGAAGTGCAGGATCTTATTGTAATTATTATTTCAGAGTGAAAGAGAAATCTGGTGATGTGTCGCGTATTCAAAATGATTGTGATATGACAGACCAAAAACCTAATTTTAAACATGTCCAATGCTTATCAATTTCGCTGAAAGATGCTGTAAGTGTTGATAATTATACGTAACTCGTATTGTATAGTTGTTCTTTAATGATATTTTCTTACATCAATTTTATTCTTCGACAGATCGAAGCGCTTCGAAAATTTGACGAAAATCGAGAGGCTGAACTCGAGAACGAAATGAAAACAGCTTTTGAATATGAAGATATCGAACACAATATGGATTTGTCGGTAGTGAAAAAAATTGACGATGATTTTCAATATCACTTGCAAAATATACAAAATAACGATGGTTATAATACTCAAAACATAGTTGAAATGGAAACCTCGGAAGAAGAGAAACAGGAATTTTTTGAAAACAATACAGAAACTTTGGAACAATACAGAAAAAGAAGAACTGACGAACATAACCTCGAACCACGCATCGATACAGTGCATAATGGCGATTCGTCGCATGCATGTGATATTTGCAGAAAGAATTTCACAACAAAGGGAAATCTTAAGTTACACATCGATGCAGTACATAAAGATATTAAACATCCATGCGATATATGCGGTAAAAGATTCACAAGTAAGTACTATCTCAATACCCACATCGATGCAGTACATAAAGATATTAAACATCCATGCGATATATGCGGTAAAAAATTCACAAATAAGCCCTATCTCAATACCCATATCGATGCTGTGCACAAAGGTGTCAAGCATGTATGTGATATATGTAGAAAGACATACTCATGTAAAAAGTATCTTCAACTCCACATCAATGCAATGCACAATGGTATTAGGTATCAATGTGACTTATGCGAAAAGACATTCGCACAGAAATGTTATCTCAAAATTCACATCGACTCGGTGCATACCGGTGTTACACATGCATGTAATCAATGTGGAAGATCATTTTCACAAAAAACTAGTCTCAAACTCCACATAGATAAGATGCACAAAGAAGTTACACGTGCGCGTTATATATGCGGAAAGAAATTCTCAGAGAAAGGTAGTCTCAAGCAACACACCAACTGGATGCACATTGGTACCAATAACGCAAGTAATGTTTGCGGAAAGTCATTCGCATACAAGATCAATCTCCTACTCCATATCGATGCAATGCACAATGATAAAGGGTATAAATGTGACTTATGTGAAAAGACATTCATACAGAAAGGTTATCTCAAAATTCACATTGACTCGGTGCATAATGGTATCACACATTTATGCGATGTTTGCGGAAAGACATTCAAGTACAAATGCGGTCTTAAAATCCACAGTTATAAGGAGCATAATTTGCGAATTACAAGTTAATTAATGAATATTGAAAATTGAATGTACTTTTTCAGAAGACTAATTTAAAAATGTTGATTTATATAATCTCGATTTATCCAATTTCATCTCATTATGTAAAAGCAATGTTTAAGTTTTGTAAAATCAATACATTTTTGTAGAAAAATTAAGCTTATTCTTATTTCAAAGCTAATATAATGTCGAACCCCTTAAATTGATAGAAATTTTTCATCTCATTTAGTTTGAAGTGCAAAAGATAAAGCGGCCAATCAAAAGCCGTTTTAAGCGTCTTAATTCTTCGGTACATTCTTCTTAAATCATAAAAAAATAAAATTAGAGATGCAACTTACCGAGTCCTCGGCGTTGACGTCGGCTCCATGGTCGATGAGGTGTCGGACGAACTGCAGCTTGCCCTTGGTCGCCGCGAATATGAGAGCGGTAACGCCATTCTGAAAGCACAGACACGATTGCTCCCGGTTTTTGTTTCACAAAGCTCATACCCCGCGCAGACGATGAAAAATCGTGATCGCGACTGCGATTTTTTTTTCATTCTCAACCACGTAACAACTTGGTACGAATCGTAAATTCATAATTAATTAGAGAGTCGTGGGCTGTACCTTGACCGCGCGCAAGCTCGAAAGATATCGCGGATTCAAGCCCAAGAATCGTACAATTAAAATTGCCTCGATTACGCACAATATAGTATCGATTGCGCAAAAAGCAAATCGATGTACGCGCAGTATCTAAAAAATTGCGCACGTTCCTTGCCTTTACATACATACATACATACTCATTAAGCTGCAGACGCGCGAGCCTTGAGATGTCCCGTTATTACATTAACGCGCGCTTGTATCTCTCGATTTCATCTTTATGGCCCCCCCTATTGTGTGTGACGCGCGTGCTTTATCCTAACGCACTCGCTCATCGCGACGAGTGCCTCGACACTCACCCGCGCACACACGCATACACAAATATGTACATATAAGTGCGAACGCGCAATTGTATATTGATATGTTGATATTGATATATATACGACCGCGCGCGAGATATAGATCGATCATACAGCGTCACGTTTCCTCGTCGTGATACGAATCGCCTCGTCACGTTCTTCGCGTTCGCAATGTAATTTCGGCAGTGTATAATACGACATATATAGTATGTAGGTGCACGCGAGTGTCCGAAATTCTCGCGGGATGCGCGTCGATTACGCAACGCTCCGAACTCGTATACGAGCTTGTATAGATACTCGAATCGAAGATCGAGAGCTTTCAACGGGCGAGCAAGTTCGGGCGCGATAAGTCGAGAGGAGCTTTTTTCTCTCGACTCTCGATGATTAGCCGTGCGCGATCGAATGCAGCAATCGCCGTAGCAATCGAAGATATAAAATGATTCGTAGCAGCGAGCGCTATAGGCTGAACCAGTAAAAATCTCTCAACGACTCGGACCGATTTCATCCAATATTGCGCGTGCGATTTTATCGATAATTAACATGGCCAAAAACACGCCCCGCTAAAATAAAACGAAATGGAAAAAAAAATCATACGCCCGAGACTCGTCCGCGTGTACTCACCTCGTCGCGATCGTCGACCTGAGTCCTTTTGTTCTCGAGGAAGTGCTGTAATCCGCTGAGATTGTCTTCGCCGATGAAAGTGACCAGGTTACGGTAGCAAAGCGATACCATCGAGTCTGTCCGATGCAGGGTCTGTTCAAACAATTGCAAAAAATTCTTGAATTAGTTTCCATTCTTTTGCTCACAATTTTTTCAGTGAAAAATTACGTGCGTTTATTTTTTCTCGTAAATACAATTAATTCTGTCTCTTCAAATTCACGCATGTGTTTTAATATATAATAAAAAACAGAGCTGGGTGTGACTCGATCGAAATTCAATCAAGGCGGTGAGAGGAAAACATTCTCGACGCAACAATTGGCCGTCGAGTGAGCCACTTTTTGTTGGTCTTAAGCTAAGATTTCAATTATTTTTTTGTTATAAATACTTGAAAAAACCTCTCCTGCGTTAAGATCATTTTGTTAGTACTGAGGACTGAAAATTTTTCAAAATCATTATCGTGTGCGCGAAGAGTTTTAATGCTATCAAAATGATCCAAAGGTTGGAAGCAAAGTTATAGCGGGGCAAATTTGAAGCGGGGTTTAATGAAAGCTCATTATTAGTTCCTCTTACATCGAAAAAAACTCGAATGTGCTTTAGGGTGTAACACTTGTTTTTGGCCTACGATTAATTTTTTACATTATTCAAAGCTGAAGTATCGCAAAATAATGATGAAAAAAATCAACAAACTGTAAAACGCCAATTAAAGTATAAGTTAAGTGACGGAGCAAAAGCACGTGATCATCGATAGAAAATTGGCCTCGCGGTTGAAGTGCGGAGCAAGTATTGTGCGTCTTTGTAATCTAGTCTCCTCACGTGCTTACACACACACACACACGCGCACACAAACTTTTTCTCTCTCTCATACATGTCCATTGATCTTTGCGAATTATTTTTTTTTTTTTGAAATAGAAAAGAATTTCTTTGGCGATTTTTGATCGAAATCGTCATAGATTATCAAGATATAGTCATCTTATAGTTGAATCGATGATAAGAAAATCACACACCTGTCATAATGCTCTCTCTCGCTGATTTTACCAGCGAGATCCGCCAAAAAACTTCCGACTACGAATTAATGCAAAATTTCGCGATAAAAGGCGCGATTAAAAATGTTTTTAAATCTCTTTTGTGTCTGCACTTTTGTTTTTTCGTACGGCACAATAGGAAAAAAACAATAATTGTTCAAAAACAAAAATTGCGCCAATTCACTTTCAAGTGGACTTGTCGCAGAAATTACGCGACTCGCGAATAGTTCGCGCGCTCGATAATCAATTTACGCACGGGCAGCTGATAACAACAAGCCTCAAACTGCAAAAAAATAGTGAAAAAAAAGAAGAAGGCCAGAAAACTTTCGTCCAGAAAAAAAGGTACACAAATAATTATAGAATAATTAAATGAGATAATAAAGTAATACAGTTAACGAGACGTTGAGACTGTGATTCGAAGCGACGGTATTGAGCCAGGAGATGATGGCGAGTTGCATTGTTGATTCGATTATTGTTGACGATTTTGCGGTAGAGTAGTTGTTGTTGTCGTCGACGATGTCGATGTTGTTTTACGTGATAATTCGTTTTAAAGTAAAATAAATAAAAATAAAAAGTATAAAGTTATTATTACGGGCGGCACCACCGAGAACGACCAAGCCAGCTTCGGCTTCACAGGTGTAACGGGCAAGAGCCGACTGACTTTGGGTCGCACTGCCGTGCGAAGCACCACTTGCATCTCATGCATCACTTCTGCAGTAAGAGTATCTCTCCCTTGGCAGTAGAGTAGTAGCTGTATATACGCGGCGTCGCAGCAGCAGCAGCACACACGCGTATCTCCGTCTCACTCTTGCTTGCTTTTGCTCGCTCCTTCTTTCTCTCTACATGTACGTATTTCTGCAGCAGCGGCGCGGAAAACCGGAATTATACGCGCGGACGTCGACGTCGTCGTTGTAATATACGGTGCGGCGCACTCGCGAGAGAGACGCAGCAGAGAGTAGAGCACAGAGAAGAACTCGCAGAAAGGCGCGCGCGCTTTTGCAGCAGCTGATATATGTATATTACGATAATATGCGTATATTGAATAGCACGGAGAAGACGCGGATACCGCGTCCCGTGGTACGCAGCAGTCTTGCGATCGAGAGCGCGCGAAAACGTCGTTCGCGCACGGTATCTTTCACACGACGATATGTACGCGAGTCTTTGTCGAAACTTGGACTGACGATAATTCGAGCGACCCGCGGCTACTTGTACTTATAGCCTCCCCGCAGCCGAGCCCGGGCCCTGATAAGCAGCCAAAACGATTAACACGCATAAACACCCACACAGACGGACACGCGCGCGCGTGTGGACATCGGACTTGCGGACACCTATACAGACGACGACGATGATATACATTTTTATTGACAGCACAGCAATCATCGCGTAACAGCTTATAATCAAAATATACATGAAAAAAGATTCGGACTTGCGATCAAAATTCGAAAAAGTCACGTGTAGCGATAGATTTATGGGGCACGAATTCTTCGAAGTCTGTGCACCAAAAAAATCGACCGTGACACACTGCATACCTTTGTTGTCAAAAGCTCCCATCGATAAACAGCTTTCGAGCATAAATAGAAGGCTTGTAAAAAAAATTTTCCGAAAATCAAGCTATGGTGGTTTTCTTTCATAGAGTATAGTGATCTCTTTGTCATAGTGACATAACGCTTTTCGTAATAGAGCGAGATAAAGATTACTATACATTCCTGAAGGCAAAACAATCACATAGTTGGACAATTGGAGCACTTTTTCCGTAGCGAACGCAGCAGCGATTTTGAATATTAGGCCTACGTGTAATTATTGCAAGCGATCGTTTCGCTTAATTAAGTGATTTAACATATTTTTATTATCACACGGTCATCGCAGTCGTAAAAAAAATTTAACCATTGAAACGTTTTAAGCATTCAAGATCAAGTATTATAATGGCAAATTTATTCGAGATGTCTATCCATCAATAAATAAAAGGCAATAATTTAGATCACGTTTTTTTATTATGATGAAACTCTTCTGCCTCTGCCTCCTCTTCTTCTTCTTCTTTTTATTGAAACACATTCTACGCGTTATACGTATTGTTTGCGAATGTAGCTATGAAACCGCGCAATAATACAGACGCCGCGGCGATACGTATGCAAGCGCGCCGTGCATATGTATAAATGACGCACGCACGCGAAAACTTAAAGCGATATTAGACGAGATAGCGAAGATAATTATATGCAGCTATACGCGATGCGCCACAACACGTGCGTTGTACTCGTGTTAAAAGTTTGCGCACATTATATACTTGACAAATCTTGCGATATTTTTCAAAATTTTTCGACACCTGATTCATCGTTTATTGCATTAATATATCATTAGTGAAAAAAACACAAAAACCCGGCAAAATAATTCATAAAAAAAATTATACGATGCGCCGTGCTGTTTTGCACCGTCGCCGCCGACGCCGCCGCACCGCTGCTGCTAAAACATCAACGAGGAGTTCAACGACCAGAATAGCGGCGTGTGATGACCTCGAACTTGGTACTGATCTGAAAGCGCGGCGATATATAGCATTATACATATAAGTCAGCGCGTATATGGGTGGTGCGTGCAGGCAGCTGTGTTGTATGGCACAAAGCAGCAGCAGCAGCAGCAGCAGCAACGTAGCAGCAGAGAGAGGTTGTGAACCGAGAGCGATGCTACGCGTAAGAAAAAAAAAGAGGAGAAAAAAAATCAACAAAGCGAAAACGGGGAATAGCAGAGGCGGCGATGTGAACGACGCACAGCACACACACACACACATAGTGTGTCGTAAACATACAGTGTATTATAGATCTCGGTAATTGCATCGAGGAGCTGGTGGCGATGATGGTGGAGTTGGTGGTATATTGCCATGCTACTGCCGTGGTTAACGAGCAAGAGTGCAGCTTCACTTTCTCGCTTTAACGTGCGTCACGGGATGGATTTTGTTTTTATTTCGCAACGTCAACGTTAAACATCAGCGGTAGCAGCATACTCGAGTTAATGCAACAAGATCGTCAACGTTATACATTACATATTACGAAGCAGAATTCAGGACTGCAAAGCTCGAGAGATTATTTTTCAAACAATGTATCTTGTTCTCTACTCGTGGGGGAGAGCAAGAGTTCGTCGAACGTCACGATCGTTCGAGTCTCTTGATTGAGCGTCAAGCAGCGGGACATGCGTGTGTGTGTGCATTAACAAAACTCAAGATCATTTTTAGCGGGCCAAAATCAGGGTTATTATAACTGTGATTATAACTGTGCGCGCGAAAAACGCATCGAAGCACACGTAGCTTATGGAGCTTGATCGCAGCTTCACAACACACTGCTGATATACTTCGGTGACAAAAAAACTCGGGGTAATCATAAAAATATTACAACAAGCGTAACACATCACAATTATAGGATCGTCGAGGTGTAGACTCAACAAACCGCGTGGGAGTGTCGCCTGATGCCGAAACTGAACTTGCGACCCTGGCCGGGACCGCCGTCCGTCACCGAGAACGTCGGCACGTGCAAGTGGGGCAACAAGTGATGATGATGATGGTGATGATGATGATAGTGGTGATGGTGCTTGGGCCGCTGCTGGGCCAGCTGCAGCTGATCGTCGTCGGCGCTCTCGATCTCGCCGCCCGAGTCCCTCGAGTCCTGATAGAGGCCGCGCAGAAAGGGCAGTCGCGCGGACCATCTACGGCCGCGGGCGTCGCGCACCGCCTCCTCCAGGTGGATGGGCTCGTTCAAAGCCGAGTAGGTCGAGCTACGGCGCAGCGTGGAGATGAGCAGGGGCGACGAGGCTGGATCGACGCCCGAGGCCGAGAACAGATCGCCGGGCGCGCCGGGAAAGATGCCCGCGAGGCTCGGGCCGATGCTCGAGCATATGGCCACGTCGGTGATGCTGGGCCGGCGCGACTGTTCCGCGGGCACTCCCAGCAGCGACTTTTGCCGGTGCTCGCTGAAACGCGACAGGTGCTCGCTCGAGATCTCGGGCATGGTCTGACGACGGCCCGCCGGGGGACTGCTGATCGTCGGTGCGGCGGGCAGTTTGGGCCTGCCGACGATCATGTCCGCCACCAGGGCCACGGTGCGACATTCCTCGTTGGTGATCGATACGACGGCGGCGGTGGTAGCGGAGACGACTACGGGGCTCGTAGCCGCGACCGCCTCCTGTGCGACGAGGCTGGCGGCCTGCAGCAGCAGTTCTGGATCTGCTTCTGCTGCTGCTGCCTTGACCTCAGGCGGCTCTTGGACGATGTCTTGGCTCGTTGGGGGAGAGGGTTTGTTGGCTGTGACATCTTCGAGATCGGCTTGGACCTCCTCCTCGTCCTCCTCGGTGATGCCGAATTTTATTTGAAATCGACGACTCGCGAACGCCGACTTCCGCATGGCATCTTTTTATTCCACCGCGACGGAGCTTTTACAAGAGAGTCAACACATGAATAATAATGGCATATGAAACTTCGGAGTCGTTAACTGCGGCGATGATCGTTTATAAATGCGAAAAAGAGCTCCATTTATATAGATCATCAAGCGTCGTTTCTCTGCCCGACGTCTCTCATAAAAAGGTTTAATCGTGTGTGAAAAATCTGCGATATTTCTAAAATCGGGTATTTGCTATTTTAATGAACCTTCTTTAGCGCTTTATTTGCTCGAGCTAAATTCGAAAGAAAAGAATTCAATCGATCGAACCCCGAGTTCTCTTATCTCAAAAAATATCTCGCTCGGAGTTACACACAAGTTTTCTCAAGAAAATTCTCTCTTATTATATCTCCTGGCTAAAAAAAAGTGCCCTAGAAATAAATTTTGCGTATGACGTGATTCGACGATATCGAGAGTGCAGCAGCAGCAGACTTGGAGCCTGTGCGACGAGAGTGAAATGTCGCCGAGAGAGAAATTCACTGTGCATCGAGGCGTTCCCCCGACCTTGCGAAAACAATTGTGTTAAGTTGTGTGTGTGCGCGCGCGCGCGTGTGTTTGTGCTTTGAACCAACAGCTGTACAAACTTCGACTCGATCAAGCTCGGTACCAAAATCAACTTTATTTTCAATAATGTCACATAACGATCGATCGAACCATCAACTGAACCGAATAATTTGAAAGACAAAAAATTGTCACGGGTCTAACATCGCGTTAACCTCGTTTCAAAAAAAAAAAAATATTCATGGCGCAGAAATATCGTCGTGCATAATAATATTCAAAGCTTCTTTCAAAAAAAAGCAAAAAGAAAAGCATCGCTATAATACTTCTGCATACTTTAATAAAGTTCGCATCGAACGCGTCGGCCGTACGTATCAACGATCCGTATAAATGGAGGAGAGCCCGCGTGCAGCAGTATAAAAGCGAGATTCTCAATTAAAGCTCAACGGTCAAGTGATGCGCGCGACTCTCTGAATTGACTTCGAAATTGGCTGTAATTAATCGGCGCTGATATAATTTATTACACCAAAAGTCGGCGCGTGTAGGCGACGACGACGACGAAAAAAACAGCCTCGAATGTACATACGTGCACTCGCGCAAAGGATAAATCGGTTGTTGTTGTTGCCTTTTTCGTCTCCCCTTCGATCAACTGATTGAGAGATGAGAAATATAAATGTTGTGCTTGGATATACGAACCTTCGTGAGCTGGGTGAGCTTCAGCATCTTCTCGATATTGCGTGCAGTGGTCATTTTGAAAACTGATTCGATATCGATCTAAATCGTATATAAAACTGCGATATATGCGACTGCGTATCGAGCACGATCAAATTGAGTATTTGCGAGCGACTGATCTGAACAATCTTTTTTTTCTCAAGATTGTCGCATCCTCCACACAAGGAGGTTTAAAATTTTCTCTAAAACGCGGCGAACGATTGAACTTGAAATTCATATGAGAGAGAAAAGCCGTCGACAGATGCGCTCCGAGTAGTCACTTCGTACGCACTACTTTTATCGCGCGCGGCAGCGACGATGATCGCGACGAGCGTATGCGAAAGCACAACTACTACTACCGATACATAATATACGGCTGCGAGGAGTCGTCGTCGCGACTCTCGCGACGCGACGTCACAGTGACGACGAATACGTCGTCGTCTCTGTACATAAATGCGCTTAATGTATGTATGTATATCGTTTTCTGGGCGTCGCAGCACACAGCAATTTTTAAGTGATATTTGTAAAGCCGCACGCGCGAATTATTATGCACACACGATCGAAACTTTATAGGCGGCGAACGATGCAGGCCTCGTCTCTCTGTTTCAGTGTGCTTTTGTACGGCGTGAAAATCGGGAGTGCACGCTCGCGAGAGAGAGGAATCGAAAAATCGGAAGATGCGTTCGCGACGCGCGCGCGCCTGCGATTATTTCCCCGATTGCGGTAGCTTAATGATATAAGTACGAGTGCATCCCTCCTTTCTATAGATGCATCATGCGCTATATATTACACTACTTATGCTACGTCGTGTGTGCTTAACAATCGTAAAATTTTCAAAGTTTAATTTAGGATTTTTATTGTGCGCCTTTAAACTTCTGGGGTTTAACGCGGAGAGAGAGAGAATTGCCGCGCGCCGAGTAAATGTTTTGACTTAAAATTTTTATTAATTTGGCCGAGGCTCGCGCGGGCTTATCTCGACGTCACTGATTTACGACCCTTGATTTTTTTTCACACTTTATTATTTATTGTCGATTAAGATTAGCATTCCTTGCTGCTGCTGGTGCTTCAGTAATCGTCATATATACATTGAAAAGTTATTTACCTTATCGAGATCTCGATCTCGCTTTGTGATTTGAATAAATATTTTTCTATAAAAATTAATTTTTTATTACGCAACAGCTTTCTAACGTTGCTCACTCCATTGTAGGCCCACAAATCGAGACGGCGTGGTTTAACTTTCATGCGAGTTATCGATGCACCGCTAAATGACTCTGCTAAGGTGAACTTTTAAAGATCGCGAAATTTCAAACTAAACATCTCTTTAAGCAGAGTGACGCAGAGAATGTCTGCCGTGCAGTCTGCGAGCACCAATTAACTGCTAATATAAATCAATAAGCGATCGCGTGGCGTTGCAGTCTCGGACGGGCGCGAAGGTAAAAATAAGTTTCGTTGGTGCAGCGCGCGATATTTTATGCCATAATTTTGGATTTCAAAATTGATTGAAAAGCCGGAAGGTTGGTCGTAAAATGTTTTTTTTTTCGTTGTAATTGGCTTAACTAGCACTCAACTGACATTGTTAACGTATTTACCAGAGTTTTTTCCGCTTCTAAGCATGAACGTGCATCAAGCTATATATACGTTCACGCGATAAAAGTTTGGCCCAGTGTGAAATAAAACTTTCTTGCGTAATTCGCTACATTGCATTAAGACCTTCGTATGATTACGAATTGAAAAAAAATCCAGTTGAAAATCCAGTTAGAGCCTACATTATCAGATTATCTTTTAGTTGGAATTGCTTTTTATCTATTCGATAATGCTCAAGTATGGTATAATTCGTACTAATTTTATTGCTCGATGCAACTAATAATTTTTCGCGCACAATGAAAAATATGTGTCACGCCGAAAACTCGTTCAAATACATTTCAATGACGCTCAATGAGATACAACTTTGTACACTGCAGTATATGTACCAAGTATGCATCATGAGAAAACAATGAAAGAGTAAATTTGTGTACAAATATTCGCATGCCTTAATTCGCACAAATCGTAAATATACAAAGCTAAATATCGGCTAAGTCAGTGATAAGAAGGTCTTGCGCGCAGCGGCGGCGGAAGCAGCGACGCGCGCCTAACATCCCACAGTCGTAAAAGTAATTTTTAAAGCAATCATCGTAAATATCGATCGAGTATTATGAATGACAGTTCGAAGCGTAATCAATAGATGGAAGCTTTAGTTCGGTTTCCCGCGTTCGATTCGATCATTGTGTGTGTACAACTTTCTGTACTAAATATAAAATGATTGTAAAGGTGAATCACAAATTAATGCTCGATAATATAGATACTTGAAAATTCATTCTTGGCATTTTTTTTTCTTCAATACGATTTCAACCGTTGATATATATTTTTTCAAGTGTATAGGTGCATTCGAACAAGCTCATGAGCTAATGAGTTCCAAGAACGATTGATAAATTTTTTATTGCATATAAAATTGTTCGACAAAACCTGTCAACGATGACAATGTGTTCGGCAAGAAGTATGTTAAATAATTTGTAAGGTTAATTGAATTGTCTATTGTCTCTAAGTAAGGCAACATTAATTTTAATTCTTAAATTTTTTTAAACAAAAAATAAAAAATTGCATAAGTCAAAACATTGAACTAAATTGCATTACTTTACTTCGAATTTCCCCAGTAGCATTTAGGGTATAATTATTAAAAATCACTTAACCTCTCGAAAAAACTTAGATTTTTCAAATGTACCTACGAAATTTCGTTTCTTCCTTAATGTATGAAAGTTAATTTCAAAATTTTATATGCTTCATCAAATTATAAAATCACTTTATAATTTATTTAATGAGTTTGAAAGTATTTTATGAAAAGTAATAATTTAAATTGAAAGTGTCTGTACCTTTTTTTTGCGCTGCAACAAAGCTTTAATATTGACAATCACTGATCCATAGGATCTACTAGTACTAGCGCTAGACAAGGACGAGGACGATGCACTTAAGTTTATTGGAAGCAACAGTCTACTTCGTTCATTGTAGTTATTTTCCATTGTTATATCTGAGGAAATTCTCATAATCGAAGTTTAATGATGGGCAAATTTTGATAATTTAAAGTAGCTTTTGCTAATTTTACTTTGAAAGAAACAAATTTGATAGCTTGGTAAATTTAATCTGGAGTGAAAATTCTCATCTAACAATATAAGTTTATAATTTTAGTTTTGAATATTTAAAAACTGTTGTCACTATGCAATAATTGTAATGTAATAAAATTGTTTCATTCATCAATGTTGGTGATGCTAAATACCCAATATTTTGTAAAAGCAAAAGCGTAGAAAAATAATTACAATCTTTTTTTCTCTTGAACCAGTCCATTTTCAATATTTTGCTCATTGTCAATTAGTCGTGCTGTAATTGTCTTTATCTATTTACACGACACTCGTACTCCGCGACACTCAAGCACTAACATAAAACAAAAAGAATTATTTTAACGCCACAAACTGTCAAGAACGAATAACCAGGCACACTTCTTGCGCACGGAAGATACACTCGTACAAGCAACTAACGCGCGAGTGACAATAATCGGTATTTCGAAGATTGTTAAATTTCTCGAGAATTGTCGTCAGCACCGATCTCAAGCGGCTACTATCGCGCTCGGCACCTGTCGGCCATTGTTCCACGAGGGAATAACGCAGTCGTGTGTCTCGGCTATATACATTTGGAGGAGCTGTCGTCGTCGATTCAACACTTCTCTCTCGCTGGTCAGTTTAATATCACGGCAGGTAAACATAGAGAAGAGAGCGAGAGAGATAAGGAGATTGGCGGTTTTGTCGTGCTTGACGCAAGACACTGACTAACTATTTCACACGATAACGGCCCGAGCGCAAATCGCACGAGATAAGAGGGAGAAAATTGCGAATAATATTTATAGAGATTTTTTAAATTTCTCCGACAGTGATGGATTGATTGCGTGTAATGAAATTTGTTAGTGACGTAAACGATGAGATGAAGAGTACGAAATAATCTCAAAACGGGTTGTGTTAAAACATCTTAAAATTTTTAAAAATTCATTCAACATATAGTATACTGAAAGCAATGTATATCCTACGATACATACACTGAGGAGGTGACACAAGGCATTATAATCCATTTGACTACGAATTTGCTCGTAATCTAGGTCTCCTTCCACGAATGTCTGAAAAGTTTAACCTGCGTTTCGAGTTTAACATTCGATTTTCAATTAAAAACTAAAATCAAGTTCAAGGGGGTGAGATCAAAAACAATCGTTAACTGGTATCAAAGATTAGTAAAACTGAACAATTGACAAGTTACCCAGAAGAACGACAAGTTTCTTGCGTCAAAAATCATGGACTGATAGTAAATCTTTCGAGCACAGGTGTGAAACAGATCAGAGAACTAGATCGGTGCACTAGAGAGAGAGATGGAGTGAGAGCCAATGCACACACATATATACACGCAATTAAGTATCTTCAACTTGAGAGGCTGTTAAACGACTCCCGAGATGGACCGTAGCGTGTGTGTGCAAAGCATCAAAAAATGAAGATAGTGCTGCTGCTGCTGCATGCTGTGCAGGCGAGGCGCGCAGCACATGTAATAATAAACCAGAAGAAGACACTCTGTCAAAGCTCGTACAAGTATATTAGAGAGGGTGATACGGGCGAGCTTACGCTACATCCCAGAAGGTGCATGCATGCACGTAGATAGAGGTGCATTGCGCGTGCAATAAATCTCGCAACGACGCGACGTCGACGGTGCGTGGCATGAAATAGAGGTAAGAACGAGACTCGTATATAGTTGTGTGCCGGGCACTATACCTACAGAGAGAGAGAGAGGCAACACAAAAATAGTCTCGACGCAGCGGTAGTGCAAAGCAGTTATCTAGACATATAGGTATAGTGTAGAGACCCCACGGCAGCTAAGCAGCAAAGCTCGCCAAAGCAGCTAATCTGCTGCCGCCTCGTCACACGCGCCTTAACTCGCGATGTAATAAATAAAAGCAGTGGGAAGAAGAAAAAGACTCGTGTAGACGAGCTTTCGTGCTTGCGAGACACGCTTAACCGATGTTGCGGCTGCTTGAAAGAAAGAGACAGAGACACACACACACACACATGTACAGCGTGTTTCGTTCGCCGCGATAAGACACAATTTTCGTTCGTCTGTGTGTTGCCTAAATTACGTAAGCAAGGACGTAACGTAATATATAATTCATTAATATTATCGTAAAATTAGTTAAGAGTTTTGACAGCTGAGCATTTTTTTGCTACTCTGATTGGGACGACATCTAGTCACGTTCGACGATCCGACGAAAATGATGTTAGTACAAGATGATTGAAAAATTGTTGTTTTTTTCCAAAAAAAAGACTGTATAATTCTGTGAACGTGTATATCAATGATGATAGGCTGAAGATGTGACCCAATATCGTGAAAGTATGCTAAAATGTGGAATTTTTGAAAAATGTTATCGGTGGAACAATAATGAGATTCAAGCGCATATTTTGCATCGATATTTCATCGAAATCACTCACTTTACTAAAGTATTTGACATTCATGAAGTATCGACAATTTTACCTCTCGTTCGTTACATTTTAAACAGCGAAGTAGGTAACGACGAAATTTTCAAATCGATAAAAAGGATATTTTCTTAAAAAGTCTCCTCGAACCAGAAGCTAATAACAAGCTAACTTATTCATTTGAGGAAAAAAACCTTGCACTTTTCGTAATGTACGTGTGCCGCGGTTATAAAGTACTCGGGTATCGTAAAGTCATATTTTTGTCAGGAAGTAAAAGAATCGTAAAAACGTATTCCCCGTGACAAACTGACTTTGCAGAAGAAATAATATAAAAGTTTTTTATCCTGCGTTCATATAGCGAGTCGCGCGAGCTCGATTTTTAGACTACTTTTATTATGCCACAGCGATAAAAGTTTTATTTTATCCTATTATTACGATGCACAAACATCGCTGGATGCAAAAAGCAATTGAAAAAGGAAAATCGAGCGTATATGAAGCGATTACGAACGCGGGATGATTATATATTTTTGTGTTTATAGCGAGAGAGCTTGACATGCTTGTTTTTAATAATCTTTTGTATGAAAAAAGTGTTGCGAACTAATTGCTAGGCGTTGTAAGTAATAAGATTTCATTCATCATTCGACGTGCACAGATGTTATCGTGTAGTAGCCTCCGCGCGGCAAACTGATCGTTTAAAGCTCATAATTAAAAGCGAGAAACTAATTTCATTTCTCATTTTACTGAATGACTAATTTTGCTTTTTTTCATTATTTCAAAGTTTGTTGGACATTTTCATATTTTGCTGGTTGTTCAATGAATAGTTCGAATTGTTTATGAAAAATCTATAAATTTTTCATAAACGATTTCCCAAAGGCTTCCAACCGAACGTGTAATTAAACATCCGCTAAATACTTCAACTCAACTAGCACATAATAAGTCAAGAACGCTTTTTAATATCGCCAATCGTCGGAGTTTGACCAATAGTTTTCCCGCAATCTCCGCATGGCAGACCTTCGCCGGCTTTTAGCCGTGAAAAGTGAAAAATTCTGCGCTTTATAAAGTTGAGCCTTGAATTTTTCTAGAGCAGCACGTGTGTGCATACAAATGCATTCACTCATACGATACGCGCGCGAGATAGATAGTACAGCGGCGTCGTGCAACGAGAAAGAATTCAGGAAACGCGATAAAAGAATAAAATCCAACGGAGGTTGAACGCATTTTTTTCTTCTTCATATTTGCACACACGCACAGATATAGACACAGACATACCTCGTGCATCCGATGCTCGTGCGACGACGATGAGCGACCGACGCTCGTGACATTTTGCAGTGCGCCGCTGAGCAAGGTGAATTGCCGATAATTCGTCAACAATCTACCGGGACTTCTTAGCCGATGTGACATTTGTGCTGTGTTGCCTGCGGAGCTTGCGCATATGGCCGGGCCTTAACTTATATATATCGTGGATGGATGTCCTCCTGTTTCTGCTTCTGCTTCTGCCGTCACCGAACTTATAGTGGTACGTCTCGCAGTCATGCGAGCTTGTGCCGCCGTACCGTGCAGTGCGTGGGTGTGCAGTGAATATGTATATAACGGCACGTTGCGTGCGAGTGCGCGCGCGAAAAGCTGAACAAACTCGCGAGCGGTTAAATTTTATTTATTTTTTTCTCGACGGTTCTTGGACAATGTCGACGTCTGTGAGTTGTAAGAACGACGACGACTGCACTTCACAAGGCAGCGGCAGACATTATTTGTCGTCCATCCACGGTCACTTTTGCCGACGACGACGACGATCGAACGACGAAGACACAGCGCGCACGCACAAATATTTACGCTCGGTCAACAGAATTCACATGACGCGCGCTGCGCTTGCATACGATCTGCAGCATGAGTACAAGACGTGCACTCGCGCTTTCACTTCTGCAGTGCACGCAAATATTATCGCGAATGAACCGAGGAGCGACGACGACGAGAGATCCCATAGGCAGCAAATCTTTATTCTGTGTATACGATGAACTCGAACGCACGGGCCACAACACAACACAATCAAGCTTGAAACTATAATATGAAAATATAAACGTCCTGGAGCGAGAACAAATGCTAAAAAATTCCTGGAACGACCGCTGCTGCTCTTCGTCAAATAATGCCCATTAATAGCAAAATTGACAGCTCGCTCACGAATCAGCCAAACTCCAAACTTGTATGTATCACGCACGAACTATTTTGTAGAACTACTCCATATACAAACACTCACAGACACAACACAATACAGCGGTCGATTCGCACACGCGGCACTGACACTCTCACTGATATTATAATGCGCTGACAAATGGACGAAATATTCGATTCATATGCGCGTGTGAACTTGTTGTGGGTCAATCGCGTAAAAATTACGCAAAAACGAGCGAAAAATCTCTCGTATAGCACCAAAAAAGAATAAATCTTCTACTATTACTACGAAATTGGAAGTAGTATGGGTGCAGCGCGCGAGTCAGCTGGTGGGCACAGATACACAACACGAACGACGATGATGAGGAGGCATAATAGCCACTGCTGCTGCTACTACACACTCATACCTATATGTAAGCGCACAAAAACACTGTAATTTGGTTGCGTCAACGTGTGTGCAGAGCGCGCGCACGAGCCGCGCCGATGACTGCCAGACAGCGTGTGTGCACCTACTATAATATAACACACGATGCGAGTGCACGCCAGAGTGCAGATAGTAGCTTCTATAGGATGAAGAATTACAATCGCGAAGCGTGCACACGAGCACGAGCATACAGCAGCAGACCAGTCGCGCGATCCGCAAGTTTAAAGCACTTCACTCACGCACACTCTCATAATATAAGATAGGGTAGTCTCGCTGTGTGTGATGCGCGATGATAATACAATTTTTGCACGCACATCACGTTGTAACGATTCGCGCACACGTTCGAGTCATGATCGAGCGCCAGTCAACGCACAAATTGACCAATCGACACTTTAGCCGGGGCAATTAATTCAAATATAAGCTACTTGAAGAGTCGCCCGTATACAGAGTATAGGTGCAATAAAAAAAAAATAACAACAGTGAAGAAGATAATACAATGCGCGGCACTTGAGAAGGAGACGAGCTGTGTGCGGTGGGCAGAGAGCAGCGGCTTATCGCTGCTTTATAAGCGCGCTATTGCTCGATGACTGACATCAACACAACGGCAGTGGCGCACGAGAGCGTGCCGAGCCACGAGCACAGAGCGGAGCGGAGCTCGCTGACGAATATATATATATACGTAAAAACTATGTATATATAGATGCTGCG